CTATACTTAAGTCGTAGCTTTAGTACTAGTAACTACTATTAGAGTACCTAAGCTCCTAAAGGCTAAGACCTTCGATAGTAATAGATAGAAGTTCCGAGGATTCCTAATATAGATAGATATCTATATCGACGTTAATAAGGGATACCTCGTTAACGAAGATAGTAAGATTATCTTCGTATTAGCCTATCTACGAGGATAGGTATAGGACTAGCTCGAACTATATATTCGCGAATATTATAAAAAGGATAGTAGTAAATAGAATATAACTACGTAGTTAATCTTTAGTAGCTACGCTATATTTCGATAATACCTAGAATAAACCTTCGGTAATATTAATATAAAAAAGATAGCCGAACGTAAATTAAAACGAATTCGATAAACTAGATTAGTATCCGTCTATATAGCTAAGTTTATATAACTTATAGCGATACTATAATAGGAGGACTATACTTTAATTCTATACTACGATTATAGACTTAAATCCTATATTAAGGATAAACTCGTATAGATTAATCGACTAGATACTATAGAAAAACTTATCGATATAGTAGTACGAATCGATAATCGCCTATATAATCGATAAATAGAAAAAAGAGAAATTAAAGGATAGTACCGAGATACTAGCCGACTATTATACTACCGCTATAATAAGCGATCTAATAGACCTATAAGGGATAGCGATCCCTATAGACTAAAGCCAATAGAGCTCGATATAGCGAGGCTCCTAGCCGACGAAGAAAAACGGCGTAGAGATAATAACTTATACTTTAAATATAGAAAAGTAGGATATAGGGCGCGTAAGTATAAGAAAAAGTATAACTATATAAAGCTATAGGCGCGTAAGCGTTACGAGAGATATAATAATATAAGGCTATAATAGATTAGGGTAACCTAAGATAAATAGGTTCGGCTATAATAATTACGAGTAACTAGCGATAGTAAGAAAGTATAAATTACTATATACTATACCGGATAGAAACTAACAGACAAAGAAGTCTAAACCGTATATAACGAATAAGTAAAAGTAGTATAGCGAGTCACGGAAGGAAATATCTTTAAGACTTACGTAGATAATATAGAATACCGCGACCTAATTAGCGTAGAGTACGCGACGGAAGGTTTTCCCGAGATCGACTAGGAAAATATTAAGAGTTAAGGGTAGACCTAGTACGGTCCCTAGAATACTACTAACGACTCCTAGGAACTATCCGACGAGACCTAGGAGTAGGGCGAAGAGGTCCTAGAGGGGCTAAGTATTACGGACCTTAGATACCTAAGGACTATAGTAGATAGAGGGATAGCCGAGAACTAACTATTCTATAGGTAGTACTACGCTAGTAAAGTCACGTACGTTTTAGTATACTTAGCTAGACCCTAAGGGGCTCTAAGAAAAGTATTTTAGAAAGGAAGCCAGATTCGGCCTATAACTAACTATACTAATATATACTCTATTAATAGAGCTAATAGTTAGCGGAACGCGGGAATCGGCTACTAATCTACCGGTACTAAGATTACGCCTATAAGGCGAGTAACGGTAATCTAGTATATAACTAGAGTATACTCTAAGTATAACTCTAGAGAGTATATATAGGAGTATATAGCGACTCTAGATCTACTCCTAGGGAGTAGATCCGGGAGTAGGAAGGACTAGATATATAAGGATACTTATTTAGCTATTATATATTTAGTTCTTCGCGATTAATTATATATTATTACTTAGTTATTACTAGTAGTACTTTATACTTTATAGTTTATCTTTAAGATAACCTAATCTATAAGTAGGGAAGCTTACTTAGTATTCTATACTAAGCGACTAACTTACTTAGTATATACTACTAGTACGTCCTATAAGATACTTAATAGGACCTAAGCCTATATAAGACTTAGTATAGTAATAGTATAGTTACGAGATACTCTTAGGATCTATAGTAGAACTAGATAAGTATAATCCTAAGGTAGCTCTACTTATAGTAACTAGTAGATACTATATAATATATTAATTACCCTATCTTTAAACCGTAAAGTAAAGTTATTATAGTAGATAATAATAGTAGTAGTAATCTATTATAGCGTAGTATAGGCTAAGTCCTACTACCTATAAATATATAACTTATAGAAATAATATCTTAGCTTTAGGAATAGCTAGTTTAGGCTTAGAGTAACTAGTATACTATCTTAGTTAAACTACCGAAACCTAAGTTCTTTTATAGCGACCGAACTAAGCTTCGTACCTTTATAACTTAGATAGATATATAACTCTGTATTATTAACTATATCGAAGAAGTAGATAAGGTTATTTACGCTTCGACTTATCTCCGAGGAGATATATTCGATTAGTTTAAATCCTATATTAGAGAATTTAATAAGAAATCCTAGAAGGATTAAGATAATATTACTAAGGAAATCTTTATCTCCTATAGAATCTTTAAGAAGAAGCTTAAATAAACCTTTAGGGATATTAACGCTATTAGAACTATAGAACGATAACTTAAATAACTATAATAGACCGGTTTAGTAAGTATATATATCGCTAAATTCTAGTAGATTATCTTATATCTAGACTTCGATAAGGATATCTATATTTAGCGATTTAAGTAAGAACTTAAGGAAGATATTAAGGATAAGCTTATATAATATAATCGACTAGAGAAGCTCTCTAAAATAATTAAGCTCGCGGTTAAGATCGATAATAGACTCTATAAGAGAAAGCTCTAATAATAAGAGTAATAATATAGAGATAGCTAGAGTTTAGTATCTTACTAATATCGCCGCTATAAGGATAGATAAGAATAGTAACAAAACTAGCTAAGAGAGTTATATAGTAATCCCTATAGACTATAAATAATAGAGCTTAATATAGTAAGACTTCTAGCTAAAGAGTAAAAACAGAGAAAAGATAATAATCTATACTTTAATTATAGAAAAATAGGATATTAGATATATAAGTATAGAGGAAAGTATAATAATATAAAATAGATAAGATAGATAGATAAGCTAAAACTATAATAATTATAAGTAATCTAAAGTAATAAGATCCGATCCTAGTAGCTATAAGCTACTTAGGAGAAATATATATAAGATAGCCCTAAAGAAAGCTAGACGCTATAGATAGGCCTAAGCTAAGACTAGATTTAGTTAGCCTATAAAGACCGAGTAGAGACTATATAGAAGATTATAAAAGATAAAACTATAAATACCTTCGTAGATAATATCGAATACCGTAGCCTAAATAATATAGAGTATACGATAGAAGAATTCCTAGAGATTAATTAGGAGAATATCGAGAGTTAAGGATAGATCTAGTATAGTCCCTAGAATACTATTAACTCCTAGGAACTATCGGATAGATCCTAAAATATAGGTAAAACAATCCTAGAAATACTAGTTAAAGTACTAGGAATACTAGAGATCCTAGAAACTCTATCTACGCTCCTAGGAATAGCCGAACCTAAATAGCCTTATAAGAACCCTAAGATAATCGAAAGTCGATATCTTAGTAATAAACTCTAGGAAATTATAAACAGAACTTAAGCGATATATAAAAAGATCGCTAGAGCTTACGATATTATCGACTAACTATTCGAGCTATATATCGGAAGTCCTACTATCGAAGGGAATATCTCTAAAAAGATTTAGTAAATCTAATAGTAACTTTAATAGTTACTACTCGATAAAGAAGTTATTACGGAAGCGTTCTGGGCGGATACTAACCAACAAGACCATAAAAGATCACTAATATCCGCAGTTACAGATACTGCCCAGAGTCCGGTATATATAGTATGGTATCGCAACTTGTTCGGCTACGCCGTAACAACTATACTCCTCTTTCCCTGAGGTGTGCCCTCACGCCTAGGATCCTTTCGATCTCTAGTTTCAACGTGGGACCCCGGTTTTTGGGTATACCGAAAACCCCTTCGCATAACTCGCGGCATCCGCACTCTGCGGGTATCAGCCATACGCAATACCGTAGACCCCTAAGCGTAAACCAGGGAACGGGTAGGTAACCTAGCCGTCCTTAGTATTTCTTATTAGCCCCCCGGTCGCAGACTCGAATCATCCGCGATTCGAACCTAAGACCTTAGACCGGTAACTACGGATATTTTGTTACGGAAGCGTTCTGGGCGGACACTAACTAACAAGACCATAAAAGATCACTAATATCCGCAGTTACAGATACTACCCAGAGTCCGGTATATATAGTATAGTATCGTAACTTATTCGGCTACGCCGTAATAACTATACTCCTCTTTCCCTGAGGTATGCCCTTACGCCTAGGATCCTTTCGATCTCTAGTTTCAACGTAGGACCCCGGTTTTTGGGTATACCGAAAACCCCTTCGCATAACTCGCGGTATCCGCACTCTGCGGGTATCAGCCATACGCAATACCGTAGACCCCTAAGCGTAAACCAGGGAACGGGTAGGTAACCTAGCCGTCCTTAGTATTTCTTATCAGCCCCCCGGTCGCAGACTCGAATCATCCGCGATTCGAACCTAAGACCTTAGACCGGCAACTACGGATATTTTGTTACGGAAGCGTTCTGGGCGGACACTAACCAACAAGACCATAAAAGATCACTAATATCCGCAGTTACAGATACTACCCAGAGTCCGGTATATATAGTATGGTATCGCAACTTGTTCGGCTACGCCGTAACAAAATATATAATACTAAACGAATATCCTTATATATCTAGTCCTTCTCGATTATAGTCTATAGTTAGGAATAATTAATAGTATACCGGACTAGTCGTTCCCGTAGTCTATATAGTATACCTAACTATATACCCTAGATTATATATATAGTAGCCGTTCCCTACGTCGCGCTAACCGTCCTATAGGTTAAGTCCGTATAGGTCGTAACGGTTAGGTATAGGCCGAATCTGGCTTTCTTATCTAAATGTTCTTTCTTAGGACCCTCCGGGGCGTGCCTAGGTATACTAAGACGCACGTGATAACGCTAATATCTAGCGTCCGTAGAATGATTGGTCCTTATTTGCCCTTAAATAGCTGCGGCCCCCCACACCTTCTTGAGGTCCGTAACAAACTAGTTATTAATTAGTAGACTTACTTTGACGTTGAAGAATATTAGCGTAGCGAGTCTGTATGTCACTTGAATGATAGGATGAGTGTATTCCGAATGTCTCTCGAGCAAAGAATTGATCTATATCACGCTGATCAAGAAGGCGAGACCTAAGGTTATTAGTCAAAAGGTAGTATATAACTAGTAGACCTATTCACATACTTCGTTACTGCTCCTAAGAGAGAGTCGTATACCCCGAGGAAGTAGGATTTGTAGTGGCTTTGCTCCACTGCGTTCGTGTGATTCCTAGTTTCGTCATAAAAAATAGGATTCATCAACGAACAAGCTTTACATAAACCAGCTGCAATCACACGGTGTTTCTTGTGCTCCGCCCATCGCTTTAGATGTGGGTTATGACCTATCTTAACTAGTTAGCGGGTAGCTAAATACTAGTTCTACATAAAGGATGTATGTAAACTTACCGACAATTAAATCAAGCAGTCTGTGGTAATCATCCTTCGTTTGGCAACTGAGCAAGCTCATTAAGATCGAACGATCTTCATGGTGTGATTTATCCTTTTTTTCCGGATAGATTTTGTTAACAGTTCTCATGAAATGCACCTTACAGAATACAATAATATTCTGTAGCTGAAACTGCCACTCTCGCTTCTGAGGATCAACAGTTTGAAGATATTTTCCAAGAACTTTAGTCCGAAGTACTAGTTAGTAACTCATTTACTATGTGTAAGGTCTTATTTACCGTACCTGTCATCTGACGCGGACACATATCAGACACAATTGCCTTTAAGCCACGACCGTGAAGGTAGTGAAATTCAAATGGCTGATTAGCCACATCAGAAACCAATGAGAAAACCTTCTGGAAGAGAAATTGATAGCCTTCTGGTGTTTCTTGATCGGTAAACACACGAAGCAGGGTCATAACTAGTTCATAATTAGTCTAGTGTTAGTAGTTTTTGGATAAAACCTACTCTTGCCATGGGAGGGAAGAAACACCGCAAAAATCACCTCATTGAAAGGGCCTTTAACCCTTTTATAGGACATATCAACTTCAAATGAGGGCAAAGAGGCTAGGTGCTTGATTTGTTCATCAAAAGCACAGAAGATGAAGGTTCCATGTTCGGTATCAGAGATTTCCCGTATATAGAGCTAAAGGTCGGAATTAGTATTACACTACTAAGATAACTAGTAGAAGATAACTTACTCTTAGACTCGGATCGCGTCGTAGTTCATGCTTAATACCGGCTAGCTGTCTTCCGCAAGGATAGGCTAAAGCTCGTTGCTTTAGGATGATTGCCGAGAATCGGTCTGAATTCACGAAGCTATGGTGGATCTGAGAGAGTGTCTTGCAGTTGTACTTCCGGCAAAACTCCCGGAGAGCAGGACTCCTTAAGAAGACGCCTAAAACTAGTTAGAACTAGTAGAATACTATTTTTATAGTTACAATACTCACTAAGTGTCAGATCTGGTGTTTGCATGCGGCAAATCAAGTCCAGTATATCATCCATAATTAGCCATGGTGGACGATTTGGTGGTGGAGGCGGATGTGTGTGACAACCACGAGAGTAAAAAATGGCATACGGGTGGGTTCGGATATCCAATGGCATATAGGTACAGAAGTAAACACTACAGTCGTGCGTCTGCATTTTACCTTGTCCTTGTGGATGAATTACACCTAGTAATCCTAGTTAATAAATAGTTAAGTATTAGTTAATCTAAGACTTACCGCATTTTGGCTGCCGAGATGATTGCTGTTTGATCACACCACATTCTTGGAAGATTGTTGGTTTATCGTGGTCGATTAGATGCTTCAAAAGATGGATATCAAGTGAAGAATCCTTGCCAACTAAGCTATGATGATAGTGATTACCAGGTTCACTACTTTTTGAGTTATAGCAGGCAAGATAATGGCTCCGAACACCAGCGATATTCTATATTACTCATTAGGAAGCAGTTAGGATAAGGAGTATAGTATAGATAAATAGCTCACTGGGTGATCATAAATTCCATATACGAGACGGCAGCTCTCATTCTGTTGACGGCACGCCTTCTGGTGTAGGAATTTTTCCTTTGCTGCATGGTATAGCCTATTGATAATTATTAGCTGATGAAAATTAGTTCTCTACTAGTTAACTTACGCAGTAGAGTTCTGTTGCGGTAGTCTGAAGCTATCCGACTGATGCACCATTCTCCGCGCGGTTGCCATTGAGCAGAAAAGTTCCTCATCTGCATGGTGATGATGTTTTAGAGACAAACTGGGCTCTAAAGACTGGCATGCCTTGACACCACTACATCGATATGCAGTTTTGATCGTTTGGCAGCCTAGAAATGCGTTGAAAACTGGTGATGGACTACCCGACCGCCGGTAGGAGTATTGGAACTAGTAATATGTTAGATTAACTAGTTGAATACCAGTTAAACGAGGGATATACCGATGTGACTGCCGCTTTTGCCTGTTTAGTTGATAGCCCTTCGAGATTTACCACGTATGCATAACCAGCATCATGGGTTTGAGGGTATTCTGGCAACATAGCCACATGTTCAATAACTGTAGCTGAAACAGGCTCTGGCAAGCCATTCGTGAGTGGAATTGGAAGATGATTTTGATGCTAAAAAAATTAGCAAGTTATGAGTTACGTGGTGGTAAAACAGTAGTGGTGATATATATTTACCTCATGTTGCCCATCAGTAGCTGTGCATGTCTCATGTAATATATCGAGGTCCTGCTGATTAGCTATCTCCCGCCATTCAGAGCTCTCTTCTGCTGGAGTATCGTTTAGATCAAGCAGATCATTGATCTGCCTGTCTCGAAATAGCTTCCAATACTCGTCTTCCATCCTGTTGCATGGGTTTTTGCTTAGGAGAAAAGAAGAAAGTAGTTGGTAATTAGTAAACAAAACCAGACGGAAAGAAAACAGGGATGGAATTCAGTACGTTACCCCCCATTCACATTCCAAAATACGATTAATAAGCGGAATAGTGGAGCCCAGTTAGCTGAGCATTGACCAAAATCACGTGAAAATGCGGAGCCCAGTATGCTGAGGTGTCTGGCGAGGTCGGTTGACCTGTGTTCTGGCAAGTGGGGGTCGGAATGACCAAGGGGGTGTTACGCTCAGGCATGAAGATACAAGAAACCAACATGGTAGCATTCGACGAGACAACTAAGCATAGGGAAAGGAAGAAGGAGAGAAGTGAGAGAACGAGGGACGATCTAAATACATGATGGATGCCTGCGGTAGCAGGCATCAACACCAGGCATCAAGCATCACCACATGTGAACCGTCACAGGGGGGTAGCTCTAGCAATCCCCTAAAGTAATTGCAGTCACTATTGTAACTACTATACGATCTAAATGTTATCTATCTATCCTTCCACGGAGAGAAAAACAAGTTGAGAACATTCTGTCTAGCCCACCATATTAAGACACTGTTGTACCTTAGACACTTGAAAACCACTGTTCCTGGAGGCTGGAGGCACTCTTCAAACTCGTCCGCTGCCTCCAGAGTGGGGACCATTATGTAAGCTGCCTTGATCAAGTCAGCTTACATAATGGTCCCTGCATGGGTTCCCCCAAGACCACGTTTTGACACTGCAAATCGCCAACGAGTGGCATCTTTGCTCTATGACTGCAATTCTAGCTGTCATCCTCAACGCGAAATAATTATACGTTAAATACCCTATAACCCCTGTTTCTCTGTGGCTACCAAAATGGCTCAGTGTGGCCATTTAATTCCAATCCTATGATATACTTGCATTCCTAGCATTCCTAGCAATACTGACGAACATATGTGGCCCCCTCCGGCAGTCGCTCCGCAATGGCACCAGGATGGCTAAAGTAAGTTGTCCTGATTCTGGATGACTTACATGGGTAGCTTGAAAATAAAGGACCGTACATAAGGCTCTGCATTATCGGATATCGCTATCTACCCAAACACTGATCCCTCTGCGTCTACTCAGGCGACTCTCTCTCAATAGGTTCAGAGTGGGTCCCTGCGGCGCTTGGGTCCAAAGACCAAATAACGCGCGCCAGTTGGCTGCAGTGAGCTTGGGAAGGATCACCACAGTGCTATGCTCGAGGAGCTTGCACACCAAGTATGTCTTCCACTGGCTCTCGGATCGGACGAGGATAGCATGATTCCTATTGCGGCAAGTTAAATGACGGGACAACCATAAATGTAGGATAATTAGACAAGTCTTTGAGCCATTGGTTCTGCGTGGATGAATCAAATATATACAGTTGCCGGTCCTTTCGACATCGGACAGCCACGAAGACATCCGATTCACACTGAAGAACGAATTCTTTTGCCTTTTTGAATAGGGTCTTTTTACGTCTGTTGCGCTGTTGTTCTTTTGCACGAGCAGTCCCCGACTGGCGCTTCTTCAGATATGAGTATTTCTTGGACATGATGTAGTTACCACAGAGACTGGGTAGTCAAAAGTTCTCCTATAAACTTGAGGTAGCTCAACCTGTTAAATACCTTAAACATGGTCCCTGAGGATGGCTACGGTAGCTACTACCTTAGGGAGCCGTACCGCAGCGAAGCCATCCTCAGTTACCGTATGTTCTTTATAGATATCTTGATTCCCGCGAGTTCTTTACCCATCACTTCCTTCTCATGATTTACACTATTAACTTATACCGCAGAAATATCCTATACAGAGCATAGAAGTCCTAGCCATTTATACAATTACCGCTAGCGGCATTTTTTTAGCCCTCTTTCTGATCTAGGCTCGCTCTATCTTCATCGACTAGACGGAATCCTTTTCGGTTCTACTCTTTCGACATCTTACTCTCCCTATCCTCGTTTATAGGTATCGGATCTAGGGTCCATAGACTCGATCCAGCGTCCTCATTCACGTAATATATATCACTATTAACATCACGCTTATTTTCTTTAAAACTAATTCATTAATTAAAGCTAGCCGCCGCGTAGGAGAGCTAGCCCTTATTAATCTAATCTTTCCTCTATCAGCTTTTCACCTAGGCTATCTAGCTAACCTTCTTAGTATTATATAGCGAACTAGTCGCAAAATCCACTATATAACTAGCTAGATAGTTATTACTTTACTATTATTTCACGTAATTACCGAGGCCCAGAGCTAGAGCTTTAGCTTTACGCTCGGTGATATATATAATTTATTCACTATAATCGTACGTTTCCCTCTTAGTATTATATCAATATAGCTAATAGTTATAGGGTATTACCTTACTCGGGGTCCTTACTTTATTTTCTATCCTATACTTTCGTTAACTATCCTACGAGATCTTTCTCCGAGCCTATCAGGTCCTAGCTAGTATCTTCCTCTACAGTACTTAGCAGTATCTTCTAGCCTATAACAGCACGCTAAAACTATATATCTATATTACTTTAGGTATCTTAGGGCTTACGATATATTTAGAGCTAGTAACTATATATTATCGAAACGGGCTCTTTTCGGGCCGTAGGGCTCCTCGAGCTCTTATATCGTTTACCCTAGGGAAATCTCAGGAGAACGGTAATATAGTTATAGCAGCCTATATTCGAGTCGTCTCACCTCGTCCTATAAAGGTTAAGCCCGGCTAGTATATCAATCTCTAGCTACTATCGGTCGGTTTATAGTCGTAGGCACAGATACATCCTTTTATAGTTATATCCTAGTCACGGGATAAGCAGAACACTATAGAGCTTCTTATACAGCCACGACGTAGCATAACTTCCAATCTTCTCCGTTATACCACAGTCGCTCTAGATAGCTCAGTATCTCTCTTCGCCCTTTTCACTAGACTATATAGGAAAAGCGTAGATATCGGTTAATATAAAACTACTTTAATAATTACGAGCGGATTTAGAATTACTACAGTAATTCTATACCTCAAGAAGATAATATATAGCTATAATACCTATACTCTTCAGATTCGCCGGTTATACTTAGTATAGTAAATAGAATCGATTAGTAAGTACATCCTTCATAACCTCTAGATAAGTTTCGGCTAATAAAGCAGAGATAACAACCCTAGCTCAAAGCCTACTCAATACCCTTCTTAAAGATGATATTATCGATAAAGGCTACGTTTATCACCCTCCCCGAACTAAAGATCATACTTAATACTAATCGAAACTCGGATCTAGATCCTCAGCATTTCAGTCTATATTAAGAATAGTCTTACCCATAATAAAACACCGTTCGGCAAACATAAGCGAGCATATTTCTACTAAGGTATACCCGACTATCAAAGCATTATCTCGCTCGAGGCGTCTAGGAGCCAGATCGAGAGGCTACCGAATATTCGGGACGAGCAAGGCCAGACCCTAGTGATAGGTAAGTTGCTCGGGACTAATTCTGTTCGCATCACGTGCTTAAAATCTTGTGCAGCGTCCATATCAAACCACCTTAGAGATCACCTGCGGGAGATCGTCAGAAGCCACCTCCACCAGGGCGTTACGCTAGCAGAACTAGAGTACCAACCTAAGTAGAGACGGATCGGCAATCTATAGAAGTGGTAGAGTTTAGAGCCCGTCAAGAGATACGTAACGGTGGTTGTATGTCTAGATGCTATCTTAGAAGTGACCGTAGGTAATAGAAATGAATTCTCACTTTGAACCTTTGATAAGCCTGTTCCGTTTCAAGTGCGGTGGGCGGTTGCCGGGGAGAGTTCTAGCGTGTAGAAAGGTAGCGGCGGGTGGGGCATATACGTCATCCGCCTCTTTCAGGAACCCCAACTTTTCTCTCACCTCGACCGTTCTCACTCTCTCACCCTCTGGGGTAAGAACCTTCCTTCTTCTGGTCACCCCAAGTAGTCGAGGCGCACCCACAGTGGCCGGCAGGGGCGGTAGGTAGGACCGCAATATTTCCTCGAGGATCTTTTTCACTTCGCTCTCGAGGACGGAGACCCTCACTCTTCTTCCGCTCACCCTCCGGAGGTAAGAAGACCCTCGCTTTTCGACCACCCTAGATAGGTTTCTGGGTGTGTAGATAGTGAGTGGTATCAGTGAGGCAGGTGCGTTATACCTCTGTCCTTCTCTCTGGCCTATAGCAGTGTTTTCGTCCTAGCGGTTCGATCTCTTTCCAGGGACCCTCACTTTACAATAGCCCACCGTTTTCTGACCACATTTAGCCATATTTTGATCCCCGGGCCCCCCCTTTACCCTAGTAGCTCCCTCTCGATTTCCCTATAAAAGGGCAGTAATTCCTTCCCACTAGGATTTCTCCCAACTAGTGCGTTCGTAATATTATTTGTTACCTACGAAACGGCGTCCTCTTGTTTACCAAATTCACATCACTAGCCACTAACCCTTATTCCTTCGTTATCACGCTATATATTTTCGTGGGCTAGCCCTACTAGCATGGTCATCCTCACGGTCGGCCTCTAGGTAAGTCAGTCTTTTCTAAGCAAGTTACAGGCACTTATCCTAGTTAAAGGATTTTTATCTAAAGTATAGACCAGAGTAGGACTAAGATACGTATTCTAAGATAAGTTTTATTTCGCTTAATACCTTTTTATGAATAATACTAATTCTAGCATAGCTAGTCAACCGGATTAGTAAAAAATTAGAACTAATTAGGCGAATAGATAGAGTTCAGATAACAGATGTTTTAATATAAGCATAAGGGGGCGGGTTTATCCGATAGCACGAACTAGCTATACCCTAAGAGTACCTTATTTCCTTAATATATCGGAATCTTAATTAGGATATTTTCTCTGTTATTATCCATTTCCAGGTAAGTTACTCTTTCTAGGTACCAATAATATCTAATAGTAAGTTTATCAGGAACATAACTCGGTAATAAATCTTTTTCCCTCTAGTATAGATAACCTTGGACTAGTAAGTCGATAACTATACGTTTAGTTCTAGGTCCTTACTCTCTATAGTTTATTCGAGCTTTCGGGGACGACCTAGAATAGCTCTAGAAGCTCACGCCGACTTAAGTAAATTAAGTTAGATATAGACTTTTTAGTACTGGATTTGTGAAAGACTTTAGGGTACCAGAACTAATCCAGGATAATCCCGCAGTATCGCCAGGTAAACAGTACTTAAATTCCGATCTTCTTAATCTTATCCTATCTAACTATTCGCTACTTTTAAAGAGAACTATTATACGGATACCTTATAGCCTACTCCGTCCACTCTACCGCCTCTAGAAAATAATAGCCTACCTACTAATAATATACGATCTACCTAGGACGGGTTTAAGTTATGGATAGATAGTTAGGCCGGTTCTGGTAATAACAAATGTAACCAGACGGACTAGCTTTTATATACCTCTAAGAACCCTAAGAAACTAGGTACTACCTAGTCATACTTTAGAATAACTTTACCTAGAAATATATCTATACCTAGACTCGAGGCAGGTACTTCTTATTACCCGATACCGCTTACTATATATCAGTCTCCTAACGATATCGTACTCCTATTATCAGACCCTAGTTAGGTTATACCCTCTTAACTATACTCGGGAAGAGCGTCGTCCCTTCCTACCTTTATACCTAGCTCTAGTCTAGGATATCCGACCCTGTCTACTATTCGTATTAAAACTCCGCGAATAAGAGAGTAGTACTTACCCTAGGCCTTAGGAGCTACTATAGCTAGCTATATAGGTAATATAAACGGACTGACTAGTAGCTAAAGGATGCTAGTAACTATAGGGGAAGCTATAAATAGCTCACACCTTACCGCCTTCAAAATATTATAATCTTATAAAGTCGTACTCGGGAATAATAAAATCCGGTAGATCCTTAAGGCGGAGGCTTATCTCCTACCGCAGGACCTTAATAGCATACTTAGACCCTTATTCGATTATTAGGATCAAAGTAGCTCACTCGATTTATATATACTCGGGCTTCCTATACAATAGAGAGGTATATAAGTAGCCGTCGATTACCTATAAGTACTAGATACAGACGCGAAAACTCCTTATCTAAACCCTATTACGAAGCGTATTAGGTTTATATTACTCTACTTAAATTATAAGGAGCTTTATAGATACTATACAAAATACTACTCTACTTCGCTATCGAAGCGTCCTACAAGCTACGTTCTAGAGTATATCCTTAGAGCTTACCCAGACAACCTATATATAGCTAAGCCCGAGAAGATTCGCTGTAATAAGATTACTATATACTATATCCGACGAGGCAAATAGTAGTAGATACTTACAGATAACTAGGGAGTTAGCATATTATTAGCAGGCGATAATTCTCCGCACGATATTATATATATATACCAGCTAAATCTTCGCGAGGCTTAGCTAACCTTTCTTAGGTATATTCATACTTTTACCGAGCCCCAGATCCAAGTTTTTATCGCTTTCGTCCAGAAGACTCGGCCAGGCACCATTCGCGTCTTCTAGGCAATAGAGCCTATAGTTAAACTCCTTATATTTAGGCGGGTCACGTGCGATCTGCGTAAGGTCCTTTTCGATAAGAAGAATGGCCTTCTCAGATCGGAGGAAATAGTGTCCATCCTCAAGGATGACGAGAGAGCCCTGGCCTCCCACTAGACCGAAAATTCCTAGAAGCCAGCTAATATCAAGGAGGATACGAGTCAAAAACTAACTAAGCTCCTCAGCTAACGTGCTGGTAACGTAGCACTAACTCAACAGCAACTCTATCATCCCCTCTACACTTCGGTCGTCCGTAAGCTTCTTCGTCTTGTTTCAGCCTTCTTATCTGATTTTTTTGCGTCTATTGATTATTCATCAATGGCCCCTAACTTTCGTAATTACGACACCTAGAATGCAATAATCGAACTTCCGTTGGTCTTGTTTTCCCGTCTCCTTTAGTAGTTGTAGATTGATCTCTTTATTTCGAGACTGCGTATATTACTGATATTGATGATTGAATGCTTACTACGTCCAGCAGCTTTGGCCATTTGCGAGGTGGTAGTAATTTGCTCGATATCATGTCTTGAATCATTTCAAACTTGGCGTGAGGGTCTTGGAGCCAAGTTGTAGAGACACAGGAGGGGACCTGGGCGGTGATGGTGAGGGGTTTTGGCGGGGAAGCGAAGGGAGACCGCAAAGAGTGGCCAAGAAACGAATACGTCGGCTCCCTTTTGGTTCCCCCCTCTGCTTAGTGAGTAGGTGAAATGATTTCGGGGCAAAGGTCTGGGGGTTTCTAGCTGATAGGAAATACACGTGACTTCGCGATCTCGGGGTTCGGAAGTTTCTGTCGAACGCAGATGGGGCACAATACCGCTAGGGTAAAAATTCACCATGGGCAACGTTCTTAGTCTATGCGGTCATTTATTATTCCGACAGTTTCGTGGCCCCGTCAAAGCTGCTGCCTTGGTTGAAAATATTGGCGCATCATGATCTTGATCATAGCGATCAGCAAAGGTAATCTGGTATTTTCATAATGCGCTTGAAACCGCTAGAGAAACAGCATCCTTTTCAAGAGATGAGATTTAACCGCGTGTTCTTCTCTGGAAATATTTGACTGGTTATCGTGGGCCTCGCTGGATCTGACACTTTCTGGATCGGAATTTTACCAAACGATGCAATAGTGGGAAGCCAGCCCTACAACCGTCCGGCTTACCTTCCTGAGAACCCCTCAAAAAGCCTGTCGTATATGGGGCATACTAACCTCGAGCTTGCAGAATTTTCTTAGGAAATTAATTAGTGTTGACCATATGTCACTCATGAATCACGGCACACAACGAGAAGCTTTCGTTGTCAACATAGTAGCCGTTGTTTGTCTTCAGATTGAAACGTCGTCAGGTTCTAATTTGCGTTTAGAAGGCTTCACAAATGCAATAGTCGACAGTAGAACGACCACCGAGGCGAATCATATAACGGAACTTAGATATTTGATTCCCCATCCTGCTTAAATTAATCGCATCCATGGTTATTTACTCCCCTTTTCAGTACGTAAGCAATCACAGCTTGACCTAGCCTTTCGCCTCCGATCTCGGCGTGTATAAGTAGAATGTACGAGCAGATATCAGCGCAAACCATATAAGGCCGATTAGATCGCCTAGACACCATCGGGTTTCTGTTAAGAAGCAATGCTAAAAACCAATGAGCGCAGTTCCAAATCAAACCCACAGGTCGCATACTTTTTTCAGTTCCTCAAACGAGCTAGCCGAGATAGTAGCAGAGACAAACTCAATAGCGGCTGGGCAAATTTCCCAGCGGTCAGGATTAGCAATTCCAACTATCCCTTCTTTAGCATAATTCTGCATCAATTCCATCATAATTATCGAGACAGGAGCAAAATCACTTAGTTAAAGCCTACCTACCTATCGGATAACACAGTAGTTAATACGTGCTATAGATTCTAGTTAGATACAGGTAACCCCCTAAGGTACGTTAACGGACTTACCAATCCTTATATCCCCCTCAAGGCTTATCAGAACGCTAGAATAATTCAGAGATAGGTAATAGAAATTTTGGGTAGCTAGGTACGATAGTCCGTCGAGAAACTAGCATAATTAGCAACCTTAAATCCATTTATAAGAATAACCAAAGAACAAACCTAGGACATAATCGCAGCTAGTTCTACTAGCTCTAGAAAGGCTTTATAGGCGATAATATGATCTAGCGTAAGAGGATTAAACTTACTTAGAGTATATAGGGAATCAGAGGTACGAAAACATTCCCAAATAGAAACCATATTCTTATAAGATAGAGAACGGAGAATCCCTATAATCCTATCAGTATCTTGAATAGGGTATTAATGGATCGCCCGTACGGCGCGACTACCAGAGGACCGAATACAAACAGTAACAGTACCCGCTAGATTATATTCGTAGTATAGCTTAAACGTATCCTAGGGTGATTCATCTCGTACAAATCCACCCGTACCGATACTATCTAAACAGCTAGTCCCCTAGAGAGCCAAATTCCCAGACTAGCCTTAGATAACCTTACTAGGGGGCTCGGCGTAAGATGGCGTTATAGACCTTTTCTTTAGGCGGGAGCTTGGTTAGAGGGGGCCTAGCGTGAGCTTAGGCTTAGTTATTAGCAACCTATCTATATCATTTTTATATATAGGCTACTATAGAAGGGGAACCTAATCAACCTGAATTTTTGTCGCTCGTTTCTCATCGAGTAGGCACATAATAGGGCTAATAGGTCTTGAACTAACTATAGCAAAGTAAGTAGCAGGACATATACATAAGAGGATACTATAGTTTTAAACCGTTCTCCTCTAGCTAATTACTATAGGGCGTACGGGACACTACGGTAGGTCTTAGGCAGAATACCGCAGTAGTACCGTAGCGGGATATAGACTCAGCTATATAAATAGATATAGCTCCTTCCGCCTATTGTTTTCCGACTTTCTGCACTCTTATCATCCCTCCATAAGTCGATCCTTTTTTACCGATTAAGAGGTATAGCTAGCCACGGAGCGGCGTTTAAAATATATTAGAATAGCTAAGGTTAGTATTAGTCAGATTCAATTCGACCCTCCTTTACCCCGTGACTTAGATATAAAGAACTTAGAATAACTCCGTGGTATCTTCCGTAAGAACCGTTATCGCCGCCTAGATATCGATAATTATATCCCTACGATTATATCTTAATATAACCTCACGGATATATTACAGAAGGTAAATATTCTACCGTAATTACTACTAACGAATAATACTTATCAAATTCCCCGTCTCGTATTTCGGGCTAGGTAGCTTTAGGGTTTATATAGCCGTTACCGTATATAGGTAGGAGCCGAGGTACTTCCTCCGGCTGATCGCTAGTAGGCAGTTAACCTCTACTTAGACGGTATATCTACTATCGTTCTTATATTTCCGTACTAACTATTAACGAAGATATCGAGAGGAACTAAGGGCCTCCTTAGTAGAGGAATATACGAATCAGAAGAAGCCGACGGATAGAGAAATCTATCGTAAGATTAGATAGTATAAGGGCGAAGATAACAAGGTATTTCGGGAGCGGTAGTTCGTAAGATTATCGTCTAGTAATTAAGAGAAATTAGATTAGTTAGATAATAAACGAAACCGCCGTCTCCGGTATATATTTAACTAGTTATTAGCTATTCCTAGTCTTTAGGCTAGCGGAATAAGGATAAGTATTCTTTATTAGTTAATAGCCTCGGGCTATCTCGAGATAAGTTTAGTAATTATATTTCTTTTCGCTCTGCTAACTATATACCTATCTATTCTATAGGAGATTATAACCTATTTAGAGTATATCTAGAACTTCTAGTCTTCCTTAGTCGCCTTAAATCGTCCTATAATAAAGAAGATTAATTAGGATACTATTAAAGCTCTCTAGTTACTTATACCTAGTAAGTTATATACTAAGGCTAAAATAGCTTATAGACTTATCCTAGGTAGTCACGTATTCGGGAAATTTAGCGATAACGAGAGATATAGTATATAGACCCGTATAAAAGACTTCGATAGACTTATTCTATCTCTATATACCTTTTTTAAAGATTTTAAATACTTAGAGAGCTACGCTTATTACGTTAAGCGACTTTATAGCCCGTCAACCTCGATTTAGTAAACTATAAGCTTAATATTTATTCCCCTGTCCGATTCGGAAGACGATTATACCGAGGCAGAAGAAGGTATTATTTAAACTTTAGAGTCTACTTTTCGGTATTAACGAGTAACTAATATAGAGCACCTCGAGACTAGCTACTTATAGGTTTAGCTCTATACTATATAGTACTATATACTAATACCCCTAGACCCGAAAAAAGAGGACAATCTCTTAGTAAAACCAGCTCGTACGAAGCCCGATTAGAGAACTATCTATAAGATAGCCGAACTTACTCGCCGCCTCGGTTTTAAGTCTCCGGAGATCGAGGGATTAATTAATAGTTCTCCCGATTATCAGATCGTACGATTAGCTCTCTTATAGGCCCGAAAGCCGGATCGGTACCGATATAACCGCGATCAGTTCGATCTCCTAATTAATTAGATTATTAGTTATTTTATATATATAGTTCCTAACTAGCCCGACCGGTCACAAGAACTTCTCGCGGATAGTACTATAAAGCCCCGGGTCCGTTCCGGGGTACTATAAACGCGTATACAGAAGTAAGATAATACTTTACTATTCCTAGACTATTTATATATAGAAGTTAAGATTACCGACACTATTACTAGTTTCTTTATTCGCCGTAGTATTTATTTTATATTTTTCGGGAAGCCTATACTACACAGACAGATTCCCGATAGAGATCAACCTATAGGGGATATACCTCCGTTACCGCTATTTATCGAAGAGGAAGAGCTATCGGATAGCTATAAGTAAACGGTATATATAGCTCTATTAAGCGGGCCAACTCACGATCGGTAAGAGAAGTCATAAGGGGATAGGGCCGGCCTAAGTAAGGCGCGACTAAGTATAGCACGCTAGTAACTATTAAGAAGGAGAAATACACGGGATTATTTAAAGCGTCAAAGGCGGAAGGTTCGTATATACGGACTTAGTTCACGCCTAGCGACAGAGAGGGAAGAGGAACAAGAAGAACCTATAGAGTAGGAGTTATTAAACATAGAAACTCAGGATCATAAAATATCCGACCAAAGCAGTCCTCACAATAAAGACCTTTCCCTTCTAGAATCGACTATCGAACCTATACCCGTCGATTCCGTACCGTCTACTATATATAATACCCACGGTTCTACTAGTATAGGAGATACAGATACTACCAGTGATTATATAAGGATCTCTATTAAAACAAATAAGCCTACACAAGATCCGGGCGAAGGAGGATCGATCATAGTACCCGACTAAGAAGATGCTCTCTATAATCCGACGAAGGTTAATAACGCACTCCTACCGGCGTCCCCAGAATCCGATCCTACTCATTCATCATATACTAGTAGTACCCCCGGGCAGCAAGCGTTTGATACCTACCTTACCCACTTACAGAGAGCCCAGGAAGAGCAGGAGCGACTAGACAAGGAATTAGAGCGTGACAGGCTTAATAAAGAACTTGGTCTGTCTAACCAGGCACAGCTACATTCAAGGGATCCACCCCGAGTAGAGGACCGACAAAACTCACCACTGGCCTCTAATAATAAGCCAGCGGTACCAGTACAGGCAGAGAGAGAGCTTACAACTCCTACTATAAATATCACCAGTCCCGATCTACCGCCCGTTCCCCTCCATAACGGTCAGCCTGAATCCACAGTAGAGAACAATAATAAGAGAACACCGGTTTCCCGGGATATTATTAGAAAGCCCTCCAGTCACACCTCTTCCGCCGATGATTCTAGGCCTACAGTAGCAGCGCCGCCTCAACCATATCAAGGGCCCGTTAAGATCCATTTCTAGGCATTTAAACGAGAACAGTGGAGGCAGTCAGATCGTCTCCTCGTAAACCCGTCAGATCCATCGCCGCTAGAGCGACTTACGCGAAAGTATTTATAGAAAGGCTATTCACTATACGATTTACGTCTTCAAAGTCTCAGACCGGCTCAATATTTCCGTGCGGCCACCACAGATGGCAGGAATACCATCTTCATGATTTCTAAGCATAAAGAGCAGGAACTTATCGCGGCAGGGCGACTCACCAAGGAGAGGTAACTGCTCGCAATGGCTTCCCGAGCGCTAGATAGGATAGAAGAGGAAACCGGTTCAATCACGCCGGGTCGTTTTAGGAGGCCGAGACAATCATAATAACCATTTCAAGTAGATATAGGTCCTATATAGCCTAGAACAAGAGGCCATTACAGACATGAGCGATGCCTCCCTAGGAGAAAGCTCTTGGAAGATTTAATGAAATAAGCAGTATGTCTTGTATCTATCTTTGAACTATGCAGCGCTTCTTATAGGCCTGGTCGTAGGAAGACATAGATGGAAATATCTTCTTGGGTAGGTTTTCTTGGAAAGACATGGTACTTGGAAACCCCGGAATAAAACCTTTATTCTGAGAGGCTTATCCTCCTAAGGGAATCCTCTTGAGAGGAATTTAGTCCTGTGAGGTCCAGCCAAAGAGCAAATACCAGACAAGAGAGACAACGTCATATGAAGCCCCTCTTCGTACTGTACCCTTCCTATAACGGTCGTCCTAGTCCTAGCCTGGTCATGAAAAGGTACAAGGCTACCAAGCCCAGCATTGACGTAACGCATAGTTGATGACAGGTAGTCCACTGCTGGTGGAGATACTTCTATTTTACGAGGCTTTGTACGAGGTGAATTACCAGTGACGTGCTCCTCTGGTGGAATGGGTCAGTCCATTTGTTTCGTTATCTTCTCATTCTTGATTTGCTGTCTTCCCCGGAGTAAGATAGCATTCACAAAATACTTGGGGCGGCAATATGGAAGAGGGCTCCGTGTCCGCTGGTCTGCTGTGTTCGTTGCCTGCTGCGGAAGTGGGTCACTGCCGCAGTGAGGTGACCCACCGACCGCCGCCGACCGCAGTGGCCTTTGTATTCGACGATGCCTGCCAAGACAGATTACCTGCGGACGAAGACTAGCAGCCTGGCAGTGCATAACCCTTGTTGAGGAGAGTTCACGGGCTTGGTACCCCTCCAAGTGAGGAGACACTCCATTGGCCAATCGAAGCCTTTGCCTGCTAAAGTGGGTCACGAACGAGAGTGATCTGAGTCAGTACCGCAGTGGCCTCCTATTCGTTTGTCCTTGTGTGGCAAGACTCCCCTGCGGACACTGACTGTGGCTGCGCTAGGGGCGGGCCGCAGCGAAGACGTGATTTAAGAGTTGGTCTTTCTCCACCTAATCAAGCTATGAAACATGCAGCCTTCCCACGCGACGTTTGACAACCTTGTTCTACGTTCGCACTAACCACAATGCCTTATTATCTTGTAAGTAGCTGCGTACCTTCATAACCATGTCCTTTCAACTCATTGAATCTGTTCAATTTACCAACAGGTTGAATGCTACGAAGGCGTTCCGCCTGAAAACGTCATTCAGTACGCCTTCCGACCCAGCAGACTAAAATTACGAACTAACTATCTTTTGGCAGGATCAAAGAATTCATCCGAGGCAACGGAGGCAAGATTCTGGAGGACTTGGAGAGTTTCAATGGCTTCTCGGGTGCAAAGATTTCAGAGTCATGCATACAGACAAATCGGAGTGGAATTTATTCAATCAAATACCTTGACTCCAGTAGACAAGCGTTGGATAACCCACATGACTTGAGTTCCATGCTTCGACACTGGCAGAATAACGTGGTAAGTTCGGTCTCGATTACACATTCCGAGAAAAATAACTAAGAGGTTTTTTTTATAAAAGTGGCTTGCCAGTGAGGATGAAGACAACCTGAATGAAGATCAAATGAAAGCAAGGCACACATTAGGAGAGAAGGCAATTCGAGCCCTTAAGCGGTTATCGGGCATTCCAATGCTAAACTTGCAGAGGTCGTTTCTCTGCTAGCCACTTATCCCTCATATTGCGGTCTCTCTGTACAGTGACGACCGTTATTGCCTTCTATGTTGGGACATAGAGACATATTCTTTCAAACCCTAATCACATGATACACTTATCCTAATATGGCTACCTCCGTATTTCAAGTTTTTGTTCCGAATTGAAATAATATTCGAGCAAAACATGTCGAGCTGAGAGGTGGTATTTTACCACTAAAGGTTGGCTGATTCAGCGACTACCCACTCCTCCGTATGTTCTTGTATGGTAAACCGGGTCAGTTCGGAATACTCGCGTTGTAACACGCTATACTAGCCCCTGAGGCTAAGAACGCCTTCAACAGCGTTCTGCTAGATAGCTCTTCAATCAACTGGTTCAATTGGTTCCCTCAGTACTAGCCTGTACGGATATCCCACGATCCGATAAAACATACAGAACGTGAGTAAGCAGTATTGTCTCGTATTGGTACAGTCCCAAAAATAACAATGTCCACTGATGCTTTCCTAACCCATTTTCGTCCCAACTCAAGCACCAGCAAACACCCCAACCCCTTACAAAATGGCACAATATATTGATCCTTGGCAGCGTAAGACGATCGCCTATATGATACTCAGCAAGAACAGATTCACCACGTCACAAATGGCCAAGGTCGCGAAGTGTAGTGAGCGTTCCGTCACTAATATACGCAAGAACATGCGGTTGTTCGGTGATGCCAGGTCTCCCCTAGTCCCGGTCGGTCGACAACCAAGCATCGCCCCTGTCATGCTGGACGCCCTCTGTGATCATCTCACCGAAAAGCCCGGCCTATATGTCGAAGTGATGGCTATCTTCTTGTGGGATGAGTTCAACATATTACCATCATCATCCAGCATCAAGCGTGCTCTTTCCCAGGCTGGCTGGACTAAGAAAGCCCAACAGAAAGCAAAAGAAAAGAACCCTCAACTACGAGATTTCTACCAGCATAAACTATCTGAGTTTCGGTCGTGTCATCTGGTGTTTGTTGATGAATCCGGATGCGATAAAAGGGTAGGATATAGGCGGACTGGCTGGTCACCACTCGGCGTGACACCGGTCCAGGTGTCGAAATTTCATCGAGGCCAACGCTACCAGATACTGCTGGCGTATACGCAAGATGGTATCATTCTGTCCCGTATTTTCAAAGGTTCAACTGATGCTACGTTCTTCGAATCGTTTATTGAGCAGCTTCTTCAGCACTGCGGAAGGTGGCTGGAGCCATAATCCGTTCTTGTTATGGATAACGCATCTTCCATCATTCGGTCCGAATCAAGCAGTTATGCGCTGACGCGGGAGTTAAACTACTGTACCTACCCCCTTACTCTCCGGATTTCAACCCCATCGAAGAGTTCTTCGCCGAGCTGAAGGCTCATATCAAGAAAGCTTGTCAACATACGAAGAGAATCCAGGCCAAGGGTTTCATGCCTTCCTCCGGCGGTGTGTTCATGATGTTGGAGCAAAACAGGAGAGCGCGAAAGGCCATTTCCGACATGCAGATATAACTATAGAGATGGCATAAGTGGCTAGCATAGTCAATTTCTATGTATTGGAAACGTACAGAATAAGCCAGGCTTCGTGCAAGTATCCTAAATCGTGCCAATTCGTTCGCTGAGGCCCTCAAATCTATTTAGGTCTGTCACGCAGGTGCCAGCGATGCTAGTGTTGTCATATGCATGACCTATTTCGGCCGGCAGTTGTGACAGATACCACCATAGCCAGACGGGTACCTACGACATGGGCAGTGCCAACTTGCAACTCGTCAACGGTTCAGTGCAATGTTATATTGCTGATTTCATCTAAGATTTCGAATAATACGTCATTCTGTACTCGGCAGCAACCAAGATCACTCTCATCAACTCCTGGGCATATTCTGCGGCGAAGATAATCCATATGTATCCCTTGAGCATTATTTTGATCAAGAAGCTCCTCAGCGGCGACACATAGGGTTGTATTGAGCGTATTTGGCTGATAAGGTTGAGGGTCTAAAGCGTGCTGCTCTGTCGTGCTCTTCCTGCATGAGGGTGAGATAGGACACTTTTGATCCTCCTCCATATATTGCTGTGTTGGAATTGTGTTCGTTGATTGCGCATAGTCATTTATCAAGGGCTGTCCAACCAAGTATTTTCCCTCAACAGGGACGCTAGATGTCACCTGCGACGATGTTGAGCACGGAGATTGGCAGGAGGTCACCGAGGGCGCCTCGACTAGCCACCCCTTTGCTGCCGGAATGGCCGAAGTACACATTGGTTGCTCCTCTATAGGTTGCTGTGTTGGGATCGTGCTCATTGAATGCGGATTGTCATACAACAAGGGCTGTTTAACCGAGTCTTTTCCCTCAACAGGGACGCTAGGTGTCACTTGCGACGATGATGTTGAGCAAGGAGATCGGTTGGAGGCTACCGCGGGCGCCCTAAGTGGGCGCCCCATCGCGGCCGGAATGGCCACCTTACGATCCGCAACTGTATTTTGGTCGGCCAACTGCAGGTAACGCTTAACTGAGTCGGCGGAAAAGCCGAGCGAAATGATGAGGCTCTTGATGAGGTGGTTTTCTGTTTCCATTTTTTGCAAGGCGATTCGATTGATGATGTCCATCTGCCGGTTTTCCCGCTGAAACGCAGCCACTCGTTGCTCTAGCTCCCGGACGTAATCTTGTTTGCGAGCACGGCTTTTGCGCTGGTTCTCACGCACGCGAGCAAGTCGATCGGCATTCTTGGAGAATGGTCAGACTACGAAGAATCGCAGTAAAACTCCACTGAAAGCTGCATACCTTCTGCGCCTTCGCTTCTTGATCCAGTGTGTCCCGGCCGAGGTATGAGGAGGCCCCATAGGGTGAATTCTAATCCCGCGGCTATCCTGTGGGAATCCTTATAGTCGTGGTTGATTAGGGCCGAAACGCATGCTTACTGGCAGAGTCCGGTGAGCAACAGCAGCTGTTCAAGTACAGTGAGGTTCGAAGAGTCCACGGAACCGAACTAAGTTCCCCTCGCCACGTGATGAGATTACTAATAATATTGGTCATCTTTGTCCAAATATTTTGATGCCCGAAAATCTAGGCGAAAAAAACATGTGAGGCTACTGGTGCGCAGAGTAGACAAGTATTATTACGATGAACATACAAAACTTGTAATTTACGCTTAATCTATATTAGGCGTAGTGTATCATGTGATTAGGGTTTGATAGAAGAGCTCTATGTTTCCGGACATGGAAGGCAATAACGGTCGCCACTGTACCCAATTTACCCGTTCGGAGAATTCAATAGGACTGAGATATAATTAGATTTCCCTATACTTTATGTGAATGCAAAGGCGTTGTTGCAGAGGATGAGGATTATTTGAACTGAAACAGCATAGTGGTTTCCTGCTTGCAGAATATCAAACCATTCACTAGTTTATTGAAGATGGGCTCGGCCTGATCTCAGGGCTCAGCTTGCAGCGGTGTAGAAAGAGAACGTCGAATAATTTCGGCTCTTAGATGAAGGGCTCGAAGAAAACTTCACATGCAGTAAAACGTAGGGCTTAACCAAGATGGAGCGCCCTTGTATACGCTACGATACTATTACATATCAAAGTCGCTTCTAGTTATTTTAACTTTTTCAGCCCAACCCCAAGCGTATATTGGCGACATTACGGCAAATTTCGAGTCCATGCTCTAGAGGGATATCAAGAAATGTATACCAGGTCGATTGTTTATGCCCACATAGAGCGGAATAGAACCATTTCCAAGTATGGGACTTCATCAAGAAGGTCAAAAAAGCCGGCATCTTGCGTCATGACTTCTGCATTCCACAAAACGTAATCTCGCAACATGGTTTTCATGTCCTCCATAACTTCGTCACTTCCTCTGAAAACAAATTGGAGCAACTTGACAATGTCACCAGTACGTCTAGGCACAAGGGTGAAGTTTGCGAGCAATCGTATCAGCCGGTAGAGCGACAAATGACATAGAGAAGTCCAGTTCATACTGTATGCGAAAGAATAGATTTCTGCATGACAAAGAAAAACCCCTGAGTAGTCATCCTTCGGGTTGGTGGCCACTTCCTCATAGCTAGCATGGTTCCTAGCTGAGCGGATGTGTGCGTGCAGATCCTCACAAACACGAGGAAGTGTTGTTGGATGGAAAGTATTCCGTGTAAGGAATGAAGGATCCCATCTTCCCACATATCCGTTCAAGCAGTTTTCAAGTCTGCTCGCTAATGGATCAAAAAGGGGTGGCGGGACAGAATAACTTCCAGAGTATAAGAAATCGCAGCAGCGACCAAATACAACCTCGTCGACTTTCTCGATTACTGGAGCGTTACGAATCTCATGTGGCAAGGAGTTCGTCAATAATGCATGAACTGAAAAGCGCTTCTGTTGTTTTCCAATAACGAACTCAACGATATCGGATTGCATCAATCTAAGTAAACGTAAGCAGACTGTATCTTTTTGAAAAAGAAATAGTTGTACCTGTGGTATTCCGGGGTCATCCTCGAGATGATTATCGTGTTGGGAGGGCCGTTATATTGGGGACAGACGGAGAGAGAACAATGCTCTTAGATAAAGGCAGGAACAAAAATTTTCCATATAGTAAAAAGTAGGGATCAGCCATGGCGGAGTGCCTATTTATAAGATGGCGAAGCTGCCTACAGTCTAGGATAGGACAGCTTTCGTGCTCAGTCACTAACTCACTGCAGTGCTGTGACTGAGCTACACTGCGGCGCTAGACTTGGCATGGTTTAGCTTAAGTGGGATCTATAGGTGCACGCAGTATCCATCTGCCAATAGGGGTGAATTCATTTCCTCGTCCTTTGTACCCTTGGTTCTGTGGTGGGTGGCAGGTGAATTCTAGGCCTGCCTTCGTCACGAGACACATAAATAGCCAGAACATGACCGCAGCGGAGGCGTACTCAATGGTGCACAATCTCGCTGCTGTCACATTGGCCTACTGTCTTAAGAGTGGATCATATTTGATGATCCACTGACGCAGTGGCCTCTTACTGGGTGATTCTGTGTAAACCTGTAGGCTGTGGACCCCGAGGCCGTGGCTGGATTTGTACAGAGGTTGTCCGGTCAATTGCTACCTTAATTGCCCAATCAGCTGAGCAAGAACATACTTCTCCGTTGCCAGACAGGTAGAACTCTTGGTCTGAGGCTGGAATTCTTGATCAGGAGAATATTCTTTATTCTCCTCTCTCCACGACGCCGCGGGACGTGGTAGAACTGCGCTAAGATTCAAAAATAAATATATGTGGCTAGCCATCCCTCAGACCTTCTTTTGCTGCTGCTGCTGCTTCATTACATTTGAACCCGGTCGTACGGAGGCTTATCATATCCAGATATTTGAATTCAAAGCTCTAACAAATTTTATGCACAAAAACCAACAAAGACAAGTCCACGCTAGGACACTGTGCTCCATAGTAGTCCCGTCACAGTCGAGTGAGAATCACTAGCATGTCGCTGAAAGTTCATGACTTCAGCAAATGTTTTATCGCAAACATTGCATGCAATTGCAGAGCTTGATACGAGGTTCCGTAGATGCTTTCGCTTGATATGCTTCGAAACATCACCATGCGATGAGAATCGTTGTACACGCTTCTTGAGGGCTAGGTTTTCCTGTCCCACGCAAATAAAGCAGAACAAGGGTCGATGGTCCTTTCTGACTAATTAAATAGCATTTTCGAGTGGGCTCGCTAGTCTACTCTAGACCTTAGCTACTTTACTTTCCGGCTTCTGATCTTCGAAATAACCGCGCTCGACTATATAGCTTTCAACCTGTTTATTCTATAGTAAACGATACGTAATACCTTCCTCGAATTAATAGTAAGCGGCGATAGTATCAATAGCTTCGGTACGCTAGTATATTTCTTAGTCTAATATCGGGGATAGTAGAGTTAGAAGACGCTTAATTAACCGTTTCTAAGGCTTAGGTAGCTCCTCCGTCTACCGAAGCTTTATCGTTACTGATTCGACTAGTTTAGTCTCCGATAGCTACCGCTATACTTCCAATATAGGCTACTCTTTATTATATTTCTGCTAAAGCTACGATAGTAACGTATTTCTAGCCCGTTCTCTTACGCTACTAAGCTCTTGATTTAGCTTTTAATAGCTTTAGTATTCCGCGCTTCCCCGGTACTATAAAAGCGGACAGCTAAGCTATTAGCCAAGTTCATCGCGACGCTAGATAAGGACGGAAATTTTAGGCTATTTATTAACTAAGATAGATTAGGTAGTTGTTAATTCTTAGGGGCGGTCGGGGTTAATAGTCCGGCTTATTCGATAAGCTATATATATAATATTATTATCTAGATTCAGACCTCGGATAATAGCGGGAAGGTTCTTATTAATCTGTTAGTCGAGGTAGTACTTTAGAAAGGTACGAGTATCGGCGTAGTATATAATTAGGTTACGAAGTAAGTCGCTTACGGCTCCTAAGGTATAGGTAGTTAGTTACTAGAAATTACTCGATAATAATTATATAGGAAGATGATTACTGCTATTATCTAACGCCTTCCTAGCCCCGTATCGAAGGCTATAAGGACGAGTAACTTATCGGAAGCTAGTAATAGTACTAATACTTTTAACCTAGAGAAGAAGAGTCGAGTAAGGTAAATATTTATCGACCGAAATCCCGATTCCTTATAATATTCGCTCGGTCTACCGGAAAACTAGTATATTATCTAGGGCTAGATTAAGTAGTAATAGAAGCTTATTATAACTATCCCGGATATATAAGCGAGGAAGCTATTCTACGGATATTAGGACCTCCTCTCCTTTAACTCTCTTAAAGGCACGGTCTGCAAAAAGCAGCCCTAGTAAGAAGATATAGGGACTAAGAATAAGCGATAGATTAAATATAATCTCCGGTAGGATATATATATTTCTATCTAATAGTTAGCGAGCGATAGTAAGAATAATTAAAACCTATCTAGATCTTACTCGTCCTTCGCGCTAAGAAATCCCTTTATATATTTAAATTTAAATTCGATTAAGATTCTGTAAGGGCTACCCTATAGATCTCGGAGTAGACTAACTCGGATATAGTAATAAAGTAAGCTTAGTACTACTTAAGGGCGATTAGTAGTAAGACTAGCTAATTATAAGAAAAGGTATAACTCGATACGATACCGACCATATCCGAATTTTTTCTTCGTTATACTTATAACCGTTTCTACGACTATAGTTAAGTCTTCTATAAATATAGTAGACTTTTCGCGGCCTTTCTAAGACAAATTATACTTTTAAGCTAACTTACGGATTACCTATAATATTAATTAGAACTATCTATAATATAGAGTAAGAGAAGCCCTAGGGCTAAGAGGTAACTTCGTTTCTTACCTAGCGTATCTATCGATTTATCTATTTTCCGATCTTTTCTGAGGTTACTCTTTCGAAGACTAGCCGAAAAACCTTCTAAAACGTCTCTAGTAAGCTTTTACGTTTAATTCTAGGTAACCGCCTTCTATTTTTACCCCGTCGTAAATTCAAGGCCTAGTCGAGAAATATATATAAGATAGTAATAGATAGCTTCCGGAATTCTAGTTTAGGATCTTTACGGAGATATATATAAAATCTAATAAGGCTTAGATAAATAATAAAAAGAGGGAAGAGCTCTAAGGAGGAATAAGATATACTATTTCTAATAAGCCTCGACCTAGTTAAGAAGGGTAGTAGTACCTTTACTATAATCCTCCTATATATACACAGACTCGTCAAACTCTACGAGTTACTATAGGTAATACTCGGGAGAGTGCTTATTGTCTGCAAAAAGTTGCGTAATATCACTAGGATCTTTGAGCTAATCCTCATCGAAATCAGGCTCTAGCGGGTCGGTATCGTACTACTCGTTGCTGCTGTTATTGGAGCTATCTTCTCCAGTCTCTGAATCATTGTCAGACGACTCGGACCTAGCCTATCGTCGAGAGCGGGCCATATTGCAGTAGAATGGAGAGAATTATTTGAGGAGGTGCGAGTAGAAGAGAAAAACCTAGGTTGGGAGCCAGCGTGGTTTAATAACGGAGGCCGGGGAATCAACATCCATTTAAATCATTCTTCCGGAAAGCATATCTCCGAGCCAGAATGGAAATGCTCGCCAGAGAGTAGGCGTGGGAATCAGGATTAACCATGTCGCACGCTCCCTGAGGCCGCAGCCTGCGGGCTGGCTGCGGTGGGTGGAGACGAGGATGCACGGGCGGCAGACTCAGCGGGCACTGGGGCCTTCGGAAAGGATCGCAGGCGACAGCCCCAGGGGGGCAAATGGGTGGGCGTGGGCGGATGGCGAGGTGCGTGGCGGGAATTTTGGCAGATTGACAGCTTAAAACGGCCTCACTTGCGGCCGTTTCGGGCAGTCCTTTTGCCGTCTGCTAGTTTATTGTAGTATTAATCTTATTATTAGATCCTCTTATAATTATATTATAGGAATAATATAGTCTTCTATCTTAGCTACCTTTTTATAAAGCCCCTACGTCGGTTACTAATATAGAGGGGAATACTTAAGGTAGTCTAATCTCACTAGATAGGTCGAGTTATAGAGGAACTAAACCATAACTACTAGCACGTATATCCAGAGATCTCCTAGCCCGACCGTACAACACCTATCCGTAGGATATCCGAATGTAAAGAGGAAGATCAAAAAGAGTGTGTTATTGTAATACAAAAGAATCCGACTATAAAGACTATACTAAACTCTCTTAAAGCCGTTCAATCCGATGGTTACATCATGTCCTTCGCATCCGCATGGTTGTCCGCATGGTTGTCCGCCGCATCATGGTTGTCAAGTTGATTGACTCCCTCTCCTTATGTCCAAACAGCCTCTCCCGACCGTAAGGCCACCATCAGGCACATGCATCTCAACAGACTATCTGCTCTATGTACATGCAACCGGATTCCCTACTACAATATCTATTTCCGTATATACACTTTCCAAACTAGACTCAGTCAGTCTAACGATACTTAGGCAGAACAAAGTACAGAGAGTTATTTAAAATTTCGAAAGTCTGGGCTGGAGGATTCATTGAGCGGACGAAGCATCTCAAAGAGCATCAAGGTTACAGAAGATCAGGAGTCAATCAATGGAGACTCGAAAATGAGCGATGCCGAGAGGATCTCGGAACAACGCGATTCAACGGACCAGACAAGATAATTTAAAAACCAGAGGCAACATCCAAGTATATCGTGAGACCATGCTTCGCTCACTATAAAAACGACATGGACGGGATGATGACTGCATAAGAATCACAGCGAATAAGGAAGTGCCAGATAGAGTGAACGGCCAAACGCCGATTTAAGGGAGCGCTTAAGTAGTGTCCACTGTCCACTGTCGGGCAGTGCATGGTTAACGTAGGCCGAAGCGGACAGGGATCGAGATTCGACAATGACGGGGAAAGGAGTCGAATAAAGTGCTATTGTACAAAAAGAAATTGCATTGAAAAGCAGGAAGAAAACATCACAGCATGAGTTGCTATCAACACTAAGTAAAGAAGGGAAGTATAAAATAAGAGGGACCGTGAGAGCGCCGAGATTGAAAGGAACATTAGGGTATCACAAAATCGTCTTTCAATCCGACACTTCGATCGCCAGGGTTGATGAGGATCCATCAGGTCGTGAGTCCTTCTCCGGAACAGCGTCGTCATTCTGGTCAGAGACAACAATCTCCGGCGTACCGGAGAGCTTGAATTCTTCTTGCTGGGGACTCAGCAAGGAGTGCTCCTCCGCGCCGCCGGTGTGATCCGTCAAAGTGGGCGACGCTGGCTCCTTGACAGTTGCAAGACCAGGCGCCGCACCGTCTGCGCTGTCCTTGCTAACGCTTGTACCGCCATTCCTTCTCCTTAACCGACGTTGCCGACGCTCCTCCTCGGCACTTTCCCTCCTGCGACGTGGACGCTCGCCATTTGCGTCAGAGTTACTTCTCAAGCCAAGGAGCATGCTGGCTGCACGATCAGCGACATCCTCGCCTTCTGAGACTTGCGTTTCTTTGCTGCTATCGGTGGGTTCATCAGGCAAGGGTGGGCTCAGTAGACCATTCTCGTCTGTTTGGGCAGATGAGTCGGCAGGTGCTTCTGACCCCTCGCCTCTGGCATCGATGCTAGCGAAATCGGGCACTTTCTGACCAGAGGCGACACGAATTTGATGACGCTCCTTCAGACGGGCGCGGCGACGACGGTCTCGCACGTCCTTAGTCTGGGGCGCGGCGGCTCGCAGCTTCTCGAGCAATGAATCCATTGCTCCACTCGTGGCAGGCGAATTGGGTGACTCGGTGCCAGCGCCGTTGGCAAGGTTGACATTGATCCGCTTACGAGCCAAAGAAGCCTCGGTGCGTTTCCTTGACTCTTCCAAGCCGATATTCTTCTCCCGAGATTTCTAAACAGAAACAAGTCAGCACAAATCCGTGCATCAATGAGATCCGAGTGCTGTTTACTTACCTTCCATTCCATCAAGAATGAAGCCAGCTTCGCGAAAAAGTCACGTCTTGCGTTCTCGTCGGCGCTGTCCTCTCCGTAGAACACCATAATGTCATCGTAGGATTTATTCATCGCATCCAGGTACAGCTGCAGCTGCTCAGCCTTGCGACGAGCGTCTTTCATGCTGCGCTGGACAACCTGGCTGACCCGGTCTTGAGGATGGAATTTCTTCGGATCGCTCAGATTGCCGGCATCCAGGCTTGCCTGCACGTTTTTGATGTTGCTGATGTATTTGATTGAATCTGAGCGCAGCTGATCGACACTGACTTTCTGCAGTCCGACCACACCGCTGATCTCCTCACTAAAGCCCTCCCATTCAGGGTACTGGTTGCGAACGATTCGTTCGACTAGATCAGCAAAGGTTGTCTCGTTTTTGTCGTCCTTGACCATGCCGAGACGTGCAAGCGAACTGAGCTTGAAACCCTGCGCTTGCTTATTCGCGTCGTTCATAAAGTTACCAATATCCAGGATCAACCCGAGGACATTCATCAAAGACACCGAATCGCGGAGAGTCTCGCTCACTCGGACCACTTCTTGCAACTTGGTCGAGATATCCTCGTATTCGTGCTCGTACGACCGGGTCAGCGAGAGGGCTCTCATACGCGCCTTCCAGTAATGGTTTAGTTCGAATGCAGTTGCGAGGTAAATTTGATCTTCACGTGTGAGTTCAGTCGGATCTTGCTCCCGCTCAGAGCTGGCGGCACCGGGAACCGTCCAATCCCGACTATATGGGGCCAAAAGCTTGCCCACATTCTCAGGGATAGAGCACATCTCGTCGCGCTGTAAGAAATCCATTACAACCATGTTGTCTAGAATGTCTTTGTCACAGTGAATAATCATGCGGGTAACATCGTCAACCGGTAGCTGGGAAAACTTAGACAAGGCGATCTGGAAGTTTTTGGATAGATCGTTAGAAATGATCTGTTTCTTGTCCTTGCGCGTCTTCGAGGTGGCGCCCGCTCCGAAAATCTTCGTTTCCTTGGCCATGAAGAGACGCTCGACTTCATCCAGGACGCCCTTCTTGGCGAGGTCCGTGTATTTTTGCTCTTTTTCTTGTTGAGTGGGAGCGTGAGCAGCCCAGACCGTGACCTGTGGTGTGTCCACCTTATCCCAATGCAAAGCCTTGAGCTTCTTCTTAGGCCGAATGGATGGCATACCGGTGATCGTAGGTGACATGCCATCTTGGACCATATATGTAGGCCGCCAGCCAGCACCCAATGGAGCACTGGGAGGTGGTGGAGGTGGGGGGAAGCCACCAGCTCCAGGAGGTGGTGGGGGAGGCAGTCCAACACCACCACCGGGGGGAGGAGGTGGTGGAAGAGTTCCAATGCCACCACCAGGAGGCGGCGGCGGAGGTGGAATACCAACCTTTCCACCGGGAGGTGGTGGTGGTGGAGGAGGAAGACCAGCAACCTTGGCACCGCCGGGAGGGGGAGGCGGAGGTGGAACTGCAAGGTTGCCGCCTGGGGGAGGGGGTGGAGGTGGTGGAAGGGGAGGAGTTGACTGCGCTCCGCCTGGAGGAGGAGGGGGAGGAGGGGGAGGAACAACAAGCTTTGCGCCGCCTGGAGCAGGTGGTGGTGGTGGTGGCGGAGGGGGAGGTAGTGGCAGGGCCTTCGACGCAGCTTCGATACCTGGAGCACCAGTGGATTCGGCCGCGGCACCTTCGACGAGAGTCGGAACTGCAGCGACACCAGCATCCGAAGCCACATCCTCTTCGTCACCATCAAATTTGGGCACCTTGGACGTAATCTCGCCTAAAAGGCCATTCGCCTGGGCTGGATTCAACCGTGGGCGCTGGTACTGAATCAAGCGGGGTTTTTCGAACACGGCCTCTTCCTCCTCGTCCAGCGGAGACATGGGGAGGTCCCCAGGGCCATTCTCCACGTCAGGGACATGGCTGCGCTTCCGATAAACAGACCCGAGGGAGCTAGGGTCCAGATTGCGACGAGTCGACTCGACAAAGTCCTCGCTCTCGTCGCCATCGCCCTCCATCCTCTCGCGTAGCTCGCGCAGACGATCAGAAGGTCCATGCTGACCCCAGACCTTGCCCTCGAGTTTGAATTGCGTCTTGGTTCGCTCCAGTTGACGTTCGAGACGTTCCATGAGACGCTCGCGATCCATGATTCCAGGTAATTGCGATGGGTCGGCAGGCCCAGGTTCGGACGCATTGGCTTGCTTTCGAGCATTCGAGGCAGCAATATCCTGAGCATCTCGAAGCATCAGGTAGAGCTCGCGGGTCTCGAGCTCGTTACGCTGCAGTTCCTGGGCGCGCAGACGTTGTACTTCAGCGACCTCGGCTTTGAGGGATTCCATCTGGCGACTTTGGAGGTCAATGATCCCAGCTTGTTCGTCGATTTGTTTCTGAAGTTTCCTGACAAGGCCCTCTGCGCCCATCTCCACCTGGGATTTCATCTCATCGCGCTCCGCGATAGCGGCTTCGGCGATCTGGCGTGCCTCCAGTGCTTCATCGTAGACTTGCCTGGCCTCGGCATCTGTATGGAGCCGGTCGAGCAGACTCTGCACGGTGAAGTTCAACCCCTGGCGGAGATCCATGTCGGGCAACCTGCGATCCATTGCAACGTAGCTCATCATCGCATCCACGAGCTGGAACATCCGTAACCCCTCTTCCCCAGAATTCTCCCGGATTAGCAGCATGTGCTGCATCGCCGAAAGGAAGTAGTCATGAGAACGAGTCCCATTGATCTTGGTGGAAATGGCGTCGGCGATTTGAAGCGGATCGCTCATATCTTTGACTTCGCCCTCGACACTGTCTTTCATGCTACTTCCCTCCCGCTGGAGCAGATCCTCGTAGTCAATAGCCTCATTCTCCCGGAAGCGCTCAATCTGTTTGTCAATGACTTCATATTGGAAGCCCTCCATCTTGGTAAGCAGCCGCTTGACACCGCATGAGATAAACTGAGCACGGATGTGGCATCGCAATTCCAGGTCGTTTTCAGCGCCGTCGACCAGCATATTGATGAGGATCATCGTTGAGACCGCATACTCCATGAGAGCATTCTCCATGCCAATACCTCCACTACGATACTCTTCACTCGCACCAACCAGACTGCCCATCTTGCCACGGCCATCGATGGTGACTTCGGTGATGCGCATCCACGCATCAAAGCGACCAGTCTCGTTATGATCATGCTTGACTTTGTCCATAGCCTGGAGGACCTTTTGGTGGCCTCTGCCTTCGGCCCAGTGACACAGGAAGGTGAGGACTTCGCTCACCAGTTTCCGAGTATTGAGCCGTGGGGAGGAGAGCGAATTGACCAGGGCGACAAGAACACCTTGGTGCTCAAGCGCATCATCGGCACCGTACTTGTTGTTCATCAGACCCTTCAAACATTTTGCAATGTCATACTCCCGGTCAAGGTCCTTGTCGCCCGTGGGCGGAGCTGGCATGGGACCCGAGGCCTTGCGACGATTGATCTTCTGAAGAACATTGGTAAGAGCCACCTGACCCTGCGCCTCTACGAAGGCTTTCACCCAGCTAAATATGATATGAGTATATCATCTTCGGAAGGGGGGGGGGGGGGGGGGGTCTCAGAAGACTCCAGGAGGAAACGTTTTGCACATACCTGATTGGTTGCGTCCGAAGACTAACGCTGAGACTTGCCAGCTGTTTGGAGGTGATTGTATCATCCATGACCTTTTTGACATACCACTCCGGACTACCTTCCTCATCGGCACGCTCCAGTAAACCCGAGAGTCCATCATGGCCATGGGTTTGGCGGGCATTTTGGCGGCGCTTCTGCTCGCCCTGCAACTCCGTCAAACGATCCTGGTGCACCAAGGTCCACTTTTTCGAAGCTGGGTATGATAGCATCTGTCGTTTGGCCTGTTCAGGTAGATTTTGCCAACCGCGCTTCTGCATGAGTTCTAGAAACAGCTGGTCGACCACCCGATCATCTCGGGGTCGAGTCAAGAAATTGTCAGGGCGGGGCACCGCCGCGGGGATACTGGAATGAATTGAGGCAGCGCTGGACAGCCTCCCGGAGCTGTTGCTACCGGGGAACATGGTGACACGGTCACCCGAGTGGGACGGGGTGAGGGTGCGGGAGGAGCCGTCGGAGGAGGATAAATATGTCGAGCTCCGAGTATTGGATGACTGTGAGGAGTACAGACTGGTCTGGTCGAGGGAAGTGCGCGAGTTGGATGAAGAATCGATGGAGTGATTGGCGGCGGAGCTACCAGGCCGGCCCCATTGTTGGTATCGTGTGCCGCGGTCTCCAGATGAACTGCTGGTCATGGTCATGCCCGAGGAATGAGGAGGGGGGCGGGGCCCTGAAGGGGGATGTGAAGGGTTGTAGCCGTTAGGGGGCGCGTTGGGCGCAGAGGAAGATGAGGTCCACGTCGGGTGATGGTAGTGAAAGTCACCGCCGGGCTTGCCATAACTGCCGGAGGAGGGTTCAAGTCGGGAGCTGGACGACTCGGGACGGGGATAGTTGTCGATTGGAATCGGCGTTCTCGTGTCGGAGGGCATACTGTCGTAGGGCATCGAGGTGATTCCGCCAGCGAACATGGACGGGAACGAAGACGAGTCTGGATCGCCATGCGTGTCCACCGATTGTATTGAGGAGCGCTTTGAGTATCGGGATGATCGGGACCCCGGCGCACTGCCCGGCGGCGCCAGACTATCATAGGAGCCTCCATACCCCTCCGAGGCGCGATCATCCGTCGGTCTCTCCTTGTACAATTTCCTGCCGAAAAAGGACTTTCCAGCGGACGTTTGCCTGGACTTGTCGGCGGGTGGCCCCGTGGGCATCTTGGCGAGGAGTTGACCTTCTTCTCCCTTGTGTGTGCTTGTGGTTTCTCCCTATGTGCTTTTGTACCTCACATGCACATGCACACGCCGTCTTTGGTTGTTTGTCCCGACTTTCTCTCACACGTGGATGTGTGTATGGGCTCTCCTCTTCAGATCCCCACCAAATGCAGCATCAGAGAAGCCACCGTCCTGTTGGTTGTCGCGCTTGGGGAGGAGATCGAAACTCCTGCATATAGCGTAGTCTGTGTCACCGGGGATTGTCTGTGATCGCGGGCCGTCTAGGACTCTGAATCTAACGGGATGTTCCAAAAGGGTGTGGATCGAGAGTGGAGAGAGTGTGTGATATTGACGAGGTAATTTCGTATGGGAGCCTGTCGAGTAACGTGGAATGTGTATATGCTTTTCCCCCCTACCTGGCTCCAAGTCAAATTAGCATACCCGCTTTTTTGCTGACTCCATCGGAGCTCGGATAAGCGCGTGATAAGAGGGGGTATGGGAAGCGGGCTACAAGGCGAAAGCCTTCTTGCCCGGCTGGGGCAACATGCGCAGTCACGCAACTCACAACGCAGATAATCACAAAAGGAGCGACGGGCCGTCGCTCGTCAGCCAGACATGTTCTTCATCTACACCACTGCTGTAGACTTCGACGAAGCATCGTCCTGGGCATCCAGCTCGGAATCGGGATTAATTCATTTTCCAGGCTCCGAGTCAGGGGCTTCTGCAACCTTTTGCGGGCGCATTTCCACATCGAGGATGGATGGTGGGGCGGCGCGGCGATTCCGGCCCTTGACGCGTTGCGCTGCTGATCTCAGCGGCGAGTCATTGTCATCGTCATCCTCCTCGTCGTCGTCCTCTCCAGGCGGAGTCGAAAGGTCAGCCGATTCCAGCGGCGAGTCATCGTCATTCAGAAGAGGCTTAGGATTATGCCCTATTTCTTCGACGAAAGCCAGAAGCATGTTCTCGGTAACGTACTTCCCGGGTGTACCCCAGTAAGGTTTGCCGTACTCTTTCTCGAGAACTTCGGCGGCTTCGGCTGGGCTCCGGGTCTCATTGTGTGGCCAGGCGGACCGCAGTACCTGCTCGCAAAAGTGATAATACACATACCGCGCTGCTGGGCGGAAGGGTGTTCGGAACTGCAACTGGCGGCCATCAAGGTCCCCGAAGGTAAGAGTACTTCCATCGATGACTGACTTCTTGAGAGAAGTCCATTTTGGGTCGAGAATCTTGACTTGGTATTCACGCGGTTCGCTTGAAAGCCACTCGTGAATCGCCTCGGAGGTCCAGTCAGGTTTGCCAGGGATATGAGGTATAAGGGCAAGCTTGCCGATATCGAAGACAGCCTCAATATTCTCGTGAAGGAGAATCCCATTGCGTGCCGAGAACATATCGAGACTGGCGTCCTTGCCAAATATGCCATCCATGTTCGCTTTACTGTGCCCATATGGGAAGAGATGACCAGCAACGATTTCGTCGTGAGGAAAAAACTGCCCGAGGATTGGGCACCAGAGCTCTTTGCCGACCTTGGCACCGTGGGCCTTGATCAAATCTGCGCGGAATTGCCTCTGCTCTGCCGAATTTCTCGGTCCAGCACCTGTTGTCATTATCCCGAGGCCCATCTTCGACGTGGTGTGGAGCTTCATGAAGGACTTGCGCATATGGGGCTTCGGAGAATTGGGGTCATCTGCGGGCAGCTTCGCGCGCTCCGCGCAATGCTGCCTTCTCTCTCTCGCCGCCAGTTCTTCAGCGAAAATCTTCTTTCCTGGTGGTGTCTGCAGAAATTGTTGTTCAGACAACTGGGAAGATGTGCATGCAGCCTCACGCTTCTCAGCGCTTTCCCTCTCCTTTGTGGCTTCGACCACCTCGCGATTCAACCACCACTCTGTGTCGAAAGACCCGTGGGCTCTTGCTTTCTTCTTCTCTTGTTCTTCGATCCCGCCCTGACTTGGCTTGCGCTTGCGCGCTTTGGGAGTCGCCTTACGGTCTTCGACCTTGGCCGACCGCCGGAGAGTCTTCTTCGTCATTGTGAGGGCAGGCATATCAAGGTGAGGTTGCAGTTTTCCGAACTTCAGTTTGTCGTCCGTGAAAAGCAATCGGTCAATGAAGAAGGGAAACAACACCTTCTTCACCGGGGGCCGGGAAGTCGAGAACTTATTACAATCGGCAGGAGCTAATTTGGAAAGAGCCAGGCGGAACACAATGTTTACGCGCAATTCAGGTCCCCGAAAGATTATTTGGTTCCTACTTCAAAGGAAGAAAATATGTCCTCACTAGCCCATTGGCTCATTCCAGTAGAGCTCGAGGAGACGCACTTTCCTGCCGGACCCCTGATGCAGCCTTCAGCGCTCCCGTTCCTACCTGGTTCAAGGTCATCATCTTCGTGTCTGACAAGACCAAAATCTGGGCTTCTCAATTTACTGTGCTATCTTCCAGTCCCGAAGCTCATCTCCACTTTCAACCATCCGGCCCAACGCGGGCGGTGGTGTGGATCACTACAAGATCAAGCATGGCTTGAAGATCGGGCTCACGTGTGAGTCGACCTTGTACGTTGCAACTCTCACCACACCAGGCACAGAGAAAAATGACTGGGGGGACGATACGGATTTTTGTTCATGAATTGTATTAGCAATGTCTGGCAATGTCTAGCAATGATCATCGTTTGAAAAATCCCTCCACTTCAAGACACGCTATCACTCTACTCATCCTCCGAGTCGGTTGTAAACTCGTCGATATTTTCCAAGGTTGGAACTCTTCTACGAAGGGTTAACCATGCGTCTTCGAGAGGCCGGGGGTCCAAGACATGCAGGGTGATAACTTGTACCGCTGCAAGTTCCAGCAGCAGGTCGGAGTTTCCAGTCGAAGGGCAGGCTCTATCCAAAAGAGACTTATACTCATGGCCAATCTCTTGAATGACCGATTGAAGCATGTTCTTTGGAAGATATTTCCCAGATGTACCCCAGTAGGACTGGCCATGCTCGTTCCGGAGCATCTCGGCGGCCTCGGCTGGACCATTTACCTCATTGTGTTGCCAGGCGTACCGCACTACCTGTATACAGTAGTGGAAGTACATATACCGCGCTGCTGGACGGAAAGAATTTCGGAATTGCAACTTGCGGCCATCAAGGTCTCGGAAAGTGAGAGAAGGGTGACCTTCGAGTTCTTCGTCAAGACCATCCCACTTCTGGTCCAGAATTTTAACCTGGTATTCATCGGGTCCGCGCGAAAGCCAGTTTCGAATCCCTTGGATAGTAGTCCAGCCGGTCTCTTTTAGGTCACAAGGAACAATAGCAAGTTTTCCGATGTCAAAAGCAGCCTTGACCGCATAGGACATGAGAATTCCATTGTGCGGCGAGAAGAGTTCGGATTTGGCCGCCTCGCCAAAGATAGCGTCCATTGTCTCTTGACCATACCTCCAACTAAAGAGATAACTGGCGATAACCTTTTTATCCTGGAGATATTTCCCAAGCACTGGACACCATAGTTCCGGCCACAAACCGTCAGTGCAGGTGAAACTATCGTAGGCATCTATCACAGCTTTGCGGAATTTTATCTGTGATGGTTTACCAAAAGACGGGTAAAGATAGGATTCCCACTGCTCGTCATCCTGCTTGGCGGTGATACGCTCAAACGCCTCGGTGGCTTTTGTTACTTCGAAGGTTTCTTGGGCCTCGGGAGTCTGAACCCAGTCCTCTTTCGGAATATTTGAAGAAGCGGTTGGTGTATGCCGATCGCTGCTTCGTTTCATCAGTTGGAGTTCTTCGGTCTCTGCAGATTCGTGCCACAAGAAGTGGTCGAAGGTTGCATACCCTTGATCCTCATCCCCAGAATACTCCGCGGAGCATCTTTGCACCGTCAAAGCCGTGATGTCTCCTCCCCTCGGAGACTCCTGCGAGTCCCCCACGACCAAAGAAGGGTTGCGCCGAGAATCCATCCTGAAATGGAGATATGCTTGACTTGTTTCTCTTGGAAAAGTTGTCGTCTAGTGAAGATCAGGGCCGTAGCCGATCAGTGAATATAGGAGAATAGAAATTTGAAGGTTAGAAGTTGGTAGGTTTTTCACAATCAGCTGGACATGTTTAAAAGGATTGGATATAGAGCGGCACTTCCACGTACCAAGCCTAAACAAGCCTAGCTCACTGCCGAAACCAGACGTTTGTGACTCAATTCCCTTAATCAGCGGCGGTGTCAAGATGGGGGAGAAAACATATAACGCATGTGTGACGTCCGATGGTAAAGCTCAAAAATGCTTAGTACGTTACCGTGACTGGAGACTTGTGACTAGACCCCTGCCAACGAGCCGAGTGGGCCGGACTTTTAGGCTCCCGCTCCCGAGTAGTTTTGGGCTCTCGGGCCGGGCGTTCTTAGCTCGCGGGCTTTAGCAAGGTCTAGGCATGCCATTCCAGGTCCAGATTATCCTCCTGATCATCGCACCGGCTGTCAACAGTACGGCGATATAAATCATCCAGAAACATCTTGTCAATCAGTTCGCTTCCGGATTTTCCACGCTAGTGCCGGATTACTATACAAACACTCTTTATCACTGGAGACGTGGTCTATCTGGTTTTGCAGGGAACTAGAGGTGGTCAGCTTGAGATAAGAAATGATTCCATGATGGCTGGAATTACCTTCCAAGTTGTTGTGCTATATCTTTTCGCAGTTCTGGTAAGCTTGTACTTACCTAGTGGGGGTTTGGCGCGCAGTATCAGTCCGGCCTCTTGGGGACGCCGTGACTACACTGGAAACATGACGGAGTGAGGTATTTTAATGCATTCGCCTTTGCTTTTATCATAGCTTCTAGGTGTACATTCATCAGATTTGTCTACCGAATCCTGGAGATAAATGGTGGATAGGCCAATCCATCTATGCGTGACGAGAAATGTTTACTGTATTGAGACATGGTGAGTCACGATTACGATTCATTCATCTTAAATAGGGATTTGCTAACCGGAAGTCTGTACTTTGACAGCATGAGGTTCGTTGCGACAAATCTGCCAAGCAATCTTTCATCCCGGGTATTGCTTTCCAAAACTTGCGAATGCGAGGGCAAGGCCTGACGATCAATCACCTAAGATCACATAGTGATCTGGACTGGTACAATGCAAGGCTAACTTGAGCCGCGATATTTTTTTTTTCGCAAAACCCAGGACCACATACGATCATAGGGTGTGGAAAACAGGGCTTCTCGTCCGCTCAGCCGTACTTAAACCACACGCCGGCCAGTTAGTAGTATGGTGGGTGACCACATGCGAATCCTGGTCGTTGTATCTTCTTCATGTTTTGGTATGACATCTAGTCTTTTGGACGACTTTCTTCTAATTTGGTCTTTGAGTCTAGGATCTCAACGTTTACCTTATCTGTTGAGTATGATTTCTCGAGGTAATGAATCTGATCATGACAATGGGCCCCGGGGGTGTGATTGAAATGGGTCAAAACGTACTTCCACTCGTGGCAATGAAATGTCACCTCAATATAATCAATACCACCACCTTGGCACCTACAGGGTAGGCTATCAAACCTATTCTCAAAAATTCATTGACCCTCGTGAATCAAATCAAGTTTTTCCTTCAATTCCTTGGCCGTTTCCTCCAAATCCTGCCACTCAGCCGGAAGCAAAGAAATCTCCACCGTCTTGACGATTCCCGTCCTCCCCAACGCCGCGGGCGAACTGAAACAGCAGTCCCATTTGGGCTGGTACTGGCTGATAAGACAGACCTGGCCTTGGTCCGATAGAATGGACTCGCATATCCTGGCGGCCAAAGATCCAATGCCAAGTGGGATTTTGCCCTTTCCGTGGAGCATTCTGTCTTTTCTGTAGTTGCACTCTTTATCGGTTGCTTCTCGGTCAGTAGGGTTCGGCGTGACTGGTGGTGGGGTTGATGACGGTGATGATGAAGGTGATGGCGATGGCGATGGCTGTGTTCGTGCTTCGAGCCCGTCGGTGCTGGCGGGCATGTTTCCCACTGAGGTTGTTGACCATGCTACTAGTTGCGATTTCCCGCTCACCCCCAATATAGGGAGACTGATGGAGTTGGGCTCGGTCTGTCACACGGAAGGACATGTCAGAGAGAATCAAGATTGATCGGCGAGATCGTACCGGTCAAGGCTTGTTCCACAGCATGAGACTTACTCACCTTTGTCTTTTCAGCCAAAACGTTAGACATTCGAATCGAGTCAAGCCAGGTCCCAGACCCCATCACCCGTGTTGCTGGGAGACCCGACAATTTGTACACGAAGGAGGTGAAGATGTCGACGGGATTGGCCACGACGACCAGGATTGTTTCCTTTCCAAACGGCTTCATAGAACCGATGACGCTGCGGATAGTCGACAGCTTCCGAAAGGTATGCTGCATATTTGTCTCTCCTTTCCCAGCAGAAACAAGTACGTCGGAAAATGCATCGTCAGTCTGTGGGATCTCTACTTCTTCAGCCCACCCGATCAAATTATCTCACCTCGAAAATGTCTCGAACCAATGGTGATGACCACAATATCAGCCTGTCCGGCCTCGCGGTGTGTCGCAGCTTGCACACGAGTCCGGCTTCCACAGACATAACTCACATCAGAGAGATCGCAGATCTGAGCTTCTCGCAGCATCGAATCTGTGTCGTTGATGAGGAGTTCGTCTGCGACTGAGCGGAGGATGAGTGCATTGGCCACTGCGGCGCCCACATCCCCGACACCTATGATTGCGATGCGATGGGGCTTTGAGCTTCCATTGTGGATTGGCTCTGGATGGGGAGGTTTCAGGATGATGACTTTGGATTGCTGCGACATGACGAGTTTGGAAGGAATGCGACTGTAGAGACGTGATGGATTGGTGGGAGTGATTCTTGCTTTTATCCGTCTAGGTATTGAGGTGCAGAATGAAAAGACAGGATCGACAACGTCAGAGAATGGTACGCTCCTCAAGTTGGTGCTGGAGCTCAACATTTTGAGATGAATTACTCCTCGTGATTCAACGACCAACGCGGCACAGAATTGGAACCTAGGGATGAATTCCCGAGTGCATCCAACGTTACAACGTAATTACAGCGATGCCCTAATGTTGACGTGATTCTGGAAGTTACAGACAATGTTCTACGCTGGAATCCTTGAGCGACACTTTTGGATTTCTCAACTGCCGGGACGGTACCAGAAGGGATCGTTGTCCTTTGGCAATGGAAGGTTTAATGTAGTCGACTGTAGTGAGCATGACAAGAAGCTGGTCTTGAATGAAGACGAGGCGGTGACTTTCGTAGCGGAGGTACATCTCGCCTCCAAACACAGCCTGGATTTCATTCTAGATACATCATGTAGTGGACAGGACGAGCAATACCACCTAATCGATAGACCACTAGGCTGTGACGGCCGCATTAAGAGAGACACAGTTGCACCCAGGGCCATTTGTGGGCATTCTCACTATCGACGCTCCTCTTCTTCAAAGAGCGGTGATGATATAGGGACCCATCATTTCCATTCAGCACGAAATGACCGAGAATCGCCAGTCTCAGACAGGCAAGGTGTCCGCTTTCCAATTGTACGACTCACTCAGTGAAAGGCTCGAACGAGTCACCCACCTGTCGCTGTAGATCATCGCGTGCCCAACTGGAGTGGAGGAGGTCTCTCTTGAATCGCAGCAAGAACAGATGGTCTTCCAGTACTGCATGTACTGTAGTAGTGCACTGCTTGTGGGGAACAATGTTTACGCGCGAGCAAGAGATGCAATTAAATCATCATCCCCTGAGCTTGAGGGATAGTCTCGAGCTATCGGTTAAGTCGTTCCCCTCACATGCGATTGGGAATGGGGAGTAGATCGTCTGGCATAAAGTCCGAGATGACTGATTGCCGGACTCATGCTTACCTTGTGATTAAAGTGCTGACAACGTACAATGCTTCTGTACCAAGTTACTGACAGTAGTGAACTACTATCCCCTCATCACTATGATGTTGTTCATGCATCATATTGATTCGTCTGAGCAACCGGCAGAAGCCGAGCTATGTGGACCGCTTGAGGGGGCGTTGCGCAGTCACATCCATCATGAGGAGAAAGAAGAGTCCTCCGAACGAATGCCGGGATAACGCCGAGTGCGAGGCTGGTTCTCCAAAAGGTACCTCGCCTGGCTGCAGGGACGGGAGTGAAGAAGGCGGCAGGCTTAACAATAGGAGGTGGCCCTCCCCCTCACTCGAACTTCACGATGAGAAGGTCTTGAAGAGACTCGTCGGCTATTCAGTACCACCACGGACGAGACCCCAGAGCCATCGACTGTATGGCACTCGTGCAAAGTCATCTCGAGAATGAACAATGGCGGTGTTAGTGGCTTTGCGGTCATGCCGGAACTGAGTCCCCCCTTGATGCCTGTTTCTTTTTTTTGATGCCTTTCTGCCTTGCTGCCTGACAAGCTTATCACTTGGATAGCTGGCGGGCGCCTGGAATCCATTTTGGACTGCCAATCAAAACCTCCCGTTGGTGCGACCGCGTTGCCGGTTAGGGTTGGGCCCCACATCGAAAATTCTTTCGCCTAACTTCTGCTGCTCCCTTTATCTTCAGCTTGCGTTTCTTTCTCTCCTGCTCTTGACCACAGCTCCATCACTGGTCTTTGTCTCCAGTGTGGCGACTTGATGCTGTCGTCGCAACCGTGACATGACCTTTGTGGTGTTCTGGGCCAGTCTGATGCAACTTTCTCATCCTCCGATCGCGATCGCATAGAATGGTCTTGTGCTGGACATGGGGCCGTGACAACTTTCGCTTGGGGTTGTGGATGGGAGACGCAGACTGAGGCTTGGAGCTGGCATCTGTCCGTCGCCGGCTCAACTCGTCGCACGGCCGTCTGGCAAGTCCAATGTCGAGATCGCCAATCTGACAGGATCGCGTCGAGCTGACGCGATCCAACCTCGGATCACATCATGTGGTAAGTTGTCTTCTGCCTCGTTCTTGTGCTCTTGCCCTGGACCTCAAGAATTCTTTGCAACCCCCCTCCTCTTCGGCCCTCTTTATCACAATGCTGCATTCGCCCCGTCGCGAATTTGCCAATTGATCAGATGATGAAATATTTCGGATGTAAACTCACAGACCTGTTCGGAATGCGCAAAACCGTGTCGAGATTTTCCGTTGCCTTCCTTCTGACTGATCAACTGCCCATTTTTACACTTGCATGTTTGCAATCCATCTCGTTGTCTGATCTTCGTTTTGGACAGCTTCACTGACTCTGTCCAAATAGAAGTTTTCCCGTTGCTCCAATGCTCCTCGTTTCGCTGGTCTGACGGAGGGCGACCGTGTTCGTGGTCAGGTTCACAGTTGGGATCGTCCGCTCGGAAGGCTCCTCGTCTGTGACTCGACTTTGTGGGCGCGTCTTGCTCAAGCTCACTGCCGGCTTGCAATAGTATCAGGGTTCAATCGAAGATTTAGCGTTGTGTGACCATAGCAGCAATTTAATCAATTTGTTCGAACCAACGTTTACCATCAAGTCCTCTTGTCACTGGCAGTAGTCGTAGCATATTGAGAAATTAGAATCCGTACTCCCGCGTCCAATTCGAAGCACGCATGACAAGCGACATCCCCAAATCGTAGGTACAGTATGTACCTAGGCGCGGAGCACCTCAGCACTTAGGCATTGCGGTCTTACCCAATGTTTCTTTCCATCGCATCCCAACCTTTATGGTTTCGCGTCGCTCGACTCGCTACCGTATGTAAATCTGCGTTGATGCTGTTCCAGGATTCCACTCAGCCAGTCATTGCTGATTGACGCTGTTCAGTAACTGCAATTCAATCTAGCCAGCCACTGCTCGCAGCGCCTACCCCCCGGTCATCCAGACGATCGTAGCTCGGTCAAGACTCGGAAGTAAGTCGTCCTTATCATCCACGCCCGGCACCGCGAACCCGGACCTCGAACAGCGATCTGCAACGAGTGACGGTTGTGGAGCGTTGTATCCTGGTCTGAACCGTCACGACGGGCGCCAGAGGAACCCATTGGGGGCTTCCGGCGGCGATCATGAATACATAATTACCTACTTTGTTAGTATAGGTAGTTTAGCACTACGATCCTGTAGTAACTGTAGTAGTGTACACTGTACAGTTGCACTAACAGACGAACAGAAATTACCTACCAAGGAGGTAGTACTTCTACTACTATATCAGTGTATGACTGTATCCAGCGCAGTCGCAGGGTGGTAGAGTTTCGAACTGACCTTTCCCCTCATTACGTCAAACCCCCTTCCCCGCTGCGGAGAGCTATACCGGAACAGTAAACGGATGGCCCCTGATTACTCCAATCATAATAGGGAATCGATGGCCGGGACTGGTCCACGTCACCCTGGAAGAGGGTCGGGGATGAACTCAGTCCATAGTAGGGACTAGGTAGTCCATAGTCCATAGTATGGACTATGGACTATGGACTATGGACTATGGACTATGGATTATGGGGTGTTGGTGAGGCTGGGTTTTGGAGAGGTGGGCTGAGGGGATTGGGAGAGGTACCTGCGGGTCTGAGTATGGTGGATTGTGTCCTTGTGTATAGTTGGAAATAGTTCCAACTATCTACAATCCTTGACTCTGACCCTAGCGCTGTAGTACAGTACTCGTAAGAGACGAAGAGTCACTTCTGGCATGGAACCTCAACCTGGAATACCAGAACGCATACAGTACATTGCCGTCCACCTTTTGTCAGTCATAGTCAGTGGAGGGGCAGCATGCTACATGCGGCTTGCGAGGTCCGGTGCCAAGGTACTCAAACACAGTAGGCCGTGGGCATACAGTGAGCATGTACCTTCTTCCCCGCACGAGCTACCGACGTTTCCTCCATGGAGTCCGCCTGCCAGAGCATCTCACGATTGCATGAGCACCCAAGTGAACAATCCTCCGCAACGCCCATCTCACCTTCCATCGGTCCGGTCAACTGTGACCCGACTTGGGGCCGTGACCCGAACTGGCCACGTCCATGGGAATTTGGCCCCTCCTCTTGGGACACGAACCATGGAGGTAGCACGAGGGTGACTTTGTCGGGCTCACTGCAGGTCGGTCCCTTTGGCCCCTCCTCTTGGAGATGTCGTGCGGAGACCATCGAGTAGGAGCAGTAGTGGTTCTGGGTCGCAGTGTCCGCCCCGAGTCTCCCGGCCCTGGTGGACCTCATCTCTCTGATCTCCTCGAGCGAGTTTCCCGTCGAGTCCCCTGAGGGGGTGGACTCGTATCCGTCACAACCGCCCCAATCTGGATGAGGATGTACTCTTCCCCCTCTCCCCCTTCCCCTGCAGGCTGGAAGTTGACCCGAGACCTTTTCCAACCCGATGAGGGGAGGAAAGGCGGGCTGCCACTGGGATGGTCGCCCCATGCAAAAGTGAGTCGCGGATCAGGCAATGGCATATATAGACCCATCGTGTCGCCGTTCCCAGCGAAATCTGCTTGGACTTCATTGTGATCTTCTCATCATCAACTCTCTATTCCACCCAGACTCACTTTCCTCCGTGTGTCTCGATAAGGTACGATACAGACCCTCCTCCACTCTTCTTCAAGACCTCCCCGCCCAGGCCATGCTTGCGTCGTTGCCTGCAGAATGGGGTCTCCACTCGGACCTCCGGCGAGCCCTGTAGTTCCCAGTTTTGGGAGATGGCCGCTTCGGGAGAAGTCCTCGAGATTGACTTGAGGTCATCAACCGATGCTTCCGATCCAAGACATGCCAGAGCTTGTCACCTCGCGGGGGCCAGCTCTGACGTATAACGAAAGCGAACATGCACCGCTAACTAGACCTGGTGTTCTTGCTAAATAGCTTCCTGCTCGCCATTTGTTCGACTTGATTTTTTCATTCACCACACCCATCTTCTCATATCTCTTGTCTATCACAATTACCGTCAAAATGGTATTTATTCGTTCCCTTTCTCGTCAATTGCGACGCCCTGCCTCTCAAGTGCTCTCCGGCAGCGCCTTTGCGCGCAAACCTGTGTTGGGCGCTTTCTCCCAAGCCCGTACGCTAACCGCGACCGCCAACAATCAGGGCAAAGTTCTTATGGTCTTGTACGATGTAAGTGTCCAACATTTTGAGACGTGATCAATTCCCCATCAGCATCTTGATTTCCTCATGATATGTCCTTGGGGAGTCGCACTTACAAATACTCATCCGTCATCTAGGGTGGTGAGCATGCTGCCCAGCAGCCCCGCATGCTCGGTGCTACCGAGAACGAGCTCGGCATTCGCAAGTGGCTCGAGGACAATGGCCACACCCTGGTCACCACCTCTGACAAGGAAGGGGAGAACTCTACCTTTGACAAGGAGCTTGTGGACGCTGAAGTCATCATCACTACTCCGTAAGTGTCACATCCCCACTTACGCAAACTTAATTGCCGGGAACTAGGGATTGTGCCGGATCGCTTTGCCCCCCCTCCCCCGCACTTGTGTGAACCGCCTGGGCTCATTCGCATTCCTCGCAAATAGCTTCCACCCCGGTTACCTCACCGCTGAGCGCTTGGCCAAGGCCAAGAAGCTGAAGCTCGCCGTCACTGCCGGTATTGGCTCTGATCACGTCGACCTGAATGCCGCCAACCAGACCAACGGTGGTATCACCGTTGCCGAAGTGACTGGCTCCAACGTTGTCTCCGTTGCCGAGCACGTGGTCATGACCATCCTCCTGCTGGTCCGCAACTTCGTCCCCGCTCACGACCAGGTCCGTAACGGTGACTGGAACGTCGCCGCTGTCGCCAAGAATGAGTTCGATCTCGAGGGCAAGGTTGTCGGTACCGTTGCCGTCGGCCGCATTGGCGAGCGGGTGCTGCGCCGTCTGAAGCCCTTCGACTGCAAGGAGCTCCTCTACTACGACTACCAGCCTCTGTCCCCCGAGGTCGAGAAGGAGATTGGCTGCCGTCGTGTCGACAACCTCGAGGACATGCTCGCCCAGTGCGACGTCGTCACCATCAACTGCCCCTTGCACGAGAAGACCCGCGGTCTCTTCAACAAGGACCTCATTTCCAAGATGAAGCCCGGCTCATGGCTCGTCAACACCGCCCGTGGTGCCATCGTCGTCAAGGAGGATGTTGCCGAGGCTCTCAAGTCTGGCCACCTCCGCGGATACGGTGGTGATGTTTGGTTCCCCCAGCCCGCTCCCAAGGATCACCCTCTCCGTACCGCCGAGCATCCCTGGGGCGGTGGTAACGCCATGGTCCCCCACATGTCGGGTACCTCCATCGACGCTCAGATCCGTTACGCCGAAGGTACCAAGCAGATTCTGGACTCTTACTTCTCCGGACGTGAGGACTACCGCCCTCAGGACTTGATTGTTCACAAGGGTGAGTATGCCACCAAGGCTTATGGCCAGCGCAAGTAAAAAGCACGCCAAGTCGATGAACAGAAAAAAAAAGCAACCACAGCCGCTTTGCCTGATCGGTTGTATTTTTTTCGGATGGCGATGGGCTATGTTTTTACGGTAGATTGGATTGCTCACTAGCGTTGTCGTTTGTTTTACCGTTGTATTTCTTTGATTGTCTATATTTCAACATCTCAGGACTGTTTTCATGTTGTGAACTACTGGGACGGCTATGTTTGAAAGAATGTAGCAGTTACGATACCAATGAAATTGACTTGATCCAAATAACTTGCTCCATTTTATACATCACACTGCGGCCCTCTATGTCCAGCCGGAGGCGAGCACCTGCATCGAGTCGGAACTCCAGGACTCCCACCATTGCCTACACGGTTTCAATGCTGTGATAATGAAAGCTTGACATCCATTGCTGATCATATTCCCCCATTCCCATTCCCCATCTCTCATGGAATAAAAAAGTATGCTCACCTACTAAACTTACAGCCCCGGTCAAGCGCAGACTCAAGCTCAAGCTCCGAGTGGGGCCGCCGCCATCCGGATAACGGGGGGGGGGAAAAAACGGTCATCATTCGGGCGGCTGAGACCCGGAGATAACGCATGATGTAGTGTTGATCATACGGATATTTTCACAATTGAACGGTTCGACTGTGTATCTTGATTACGTTGAAAGCCACCTTCCTTCGGAGAGAATGCGATCAACGTTTCTGTCATGTTACGTGCGTGGTACCCAGTACCCAGATGCGGATGAACAGTGTAGTCATAGGGTTGTTTGTAGGGGGGTCAGAGGGTCTAGAGTGGGTGATTGGGGCCTCGGTGGGTTTTTTTTAACCCATGGATTTGGAGGTCTTTGCAGATCTGCGATGTGTTGGAGGTATTCATGGTCTATGAGTGTGATGGGATTGGGGTCGACTCGGCATGTCAAACCCTGGATGAATATGCATGGGTTGATCGGGGACCAGCATGCAGCCTTAGCTTCTGGTTGTGTGTGCACCTCCAGCTACTACTAGTAGGACTAGGGCTGGGTTGGTGCATCCTTCGAGTACGTTGTACATCGTACACGATGATGATAATGTGAATGGTTATGGTCATGGTCACCTGCGACTCCACGTCCCCATGACCCCTCTAACAACAGTCTCCTCCCCCTGCTGCCGCTCACGTCCACCTGCCGGTCCATTCCCATTCCCATCCTCGCCCTCATCCTCACTATCATCCATGAACCCCTCCTCCAAATCCCTACTCAACCGATCCTGCCGATCTGGATCCGCATCCTCACCAAACTGAAACCTCCCCGCCGCCATCCTCCTCCGCGATCTCTCCAGCGCTTCTCTCCGTCTCGCTGCGGTCGCCGCGCGATCACCCTCGCCCATGCCAACCATCATCTCACCCTGTTCCTCGTCGATGCTGACGTTGTCGTGCTCGTGCTCGTGCTCGTGCTCGTGCTCGTTGCCGTACCCGGCGTGCGTGGTGGGACTGCGCCGCCACGTCGAGCGCAGAAAGAGGTGCATGATGGAGTCGGCGAGGCGGTCGCGCAGGGAGACCGTGTGCGCGGACAGGGTGTTCAGGGGCAGATATTGCGAGTAGCGTTGGTGGTAGCGGCGGAAGAAGGGGATGATGAGGCAGGAGAAGAGGATGTAGATTGTGAGGGCGATGCAGGCGGGGATGAGGATTGTCTGTGGGAGAGAGCGAGAGAGGAGATGTTAGTTTGGTGGATTTCGTGGATACGGAGATGGAGGGCTGATGGATAAGGGTTGATGGGTTGGTGGTCGACGGTGCGTACCTTGGCAAACTTCGTTGAGGATCCCATCTTCTGGGATCGCCAGCCCTGTCTGGATGCTAAGCCGTGTGTTCTACCAGACGCGGCGGAGTTTGAATAGTCGGGTAGGTTGGTAGATAGTATTGCAGGTCCAGGTCGAGGTCGAGGTCCAGGTCGAGGTCGAGATCGCCTGCCTGAGCACTTGCGGGCGGAGAAGAGTATCTGCTTGAATTTCGGTGCCTACCGACCGGGTTTCCTATGGTCTTGGCTTTCTCCTTCCGGATCGGTGCTCAGACGCTCGCCGCTTTTGCTCACTGTATAGATCTGAGCACGTCTCTGAGCGACTTGATCTGATTAGAGTGCATCACGTAAGCGCCCTGATCAGCTCACTGAGCAGGTCTGATCCACTTACTGAGCACGTGGTCTGAATTGCACCTCAATAAAACGTGAACACGCTAGTCGTATCTACAAAGTCAGGAAAGCGCCAGCATCAACAAGTCCCCTGGACGCTTGCTGCTATTCATTGTATCACAATGAAGCCTATTGGCTAATCACGCTATTAGTTATTCTATATACTCCTGGGAACCCTTCGTCTGCTAGCTCTACCGTACGCCTCTTATTAATAGTATTTGTCTTGAATCTTGGAGCTTATTCTGAAGCCGTCTAAGGGGTTTGTCACGACCCCTGTAGCATGGGACAGCATCGTATAATCATTTCGTTGATTGAACCGCAGCTGATCAAGATTCCCAAGCTCAACTTCAGACCCGGGGCAGTGCCGTTTTTGCCACTCCAGGTAATGTTGACGAAGGGGAAATATCAAGGTCAGAAGAAATCTGTACGGCCCACGGGAGGCGCTGACAAGATTTCCCGTCAAAGCCCTGTACAACCTGGGGAGGTCCCTGCAAGTACTCCAAGTAATGACAAAAACATTTCTTATCCCACGCCTAAACAAAGTCTGCGAAACGCGTCAGTACCAGCAAACAATCATGCGTGGCCCACCAAGAATCCCTTCGGGGCAAAGTCCCCAGCCAGTGGTTCGGATTCCGAACGCTCATACTGATGGTAAGCATACAGTCCTGCTGGACCATATTATTCATAACAAAAGATGCCGATACCGAACAATCAATCAGCCACTACCAAGGGGTATTTTGACCCAAAAAGCTTAATGGCTGAAGATGACAGCTTTGATGATATGGAAATGGGCTCGATCCGAGATATGATGTCTTGAAACTCCAGGATTGCAGCGATGTCAACTGGGCCAGCACCTCGCCACATCAACGGCCACCCCGCGGACAGCACTCTGACCGGCGAATAACGACACCGACCCTCTGTGTCATCCGGCTCAATCGACCTGGCTAACAATTTGTCAATGTCATCGAACGAGGAGTTTTTTGATGATGTCCATGACAACACTCGGAAGCGAAAGCGAAGCTCTGTTGGCCTCGAACATGACCATCGGTCACCGAGTAGGACGCGTCATTCTTCGGAGTCTCTCCCAGATGCTCGCGCAGAACATTCAGTCTTCGATATCTCGCGTGATGAAGAGGATGCTAGTCATTTGGATAACCAAAGCCAGCTGTCGTAGTATAGCTCTAGGCGTACGACCCCTACATCGTCTTTGACGGACCCCGATGAAGTAACGTCCGAGAATGAAAAGGTTAGCAATCTTCAAAAGATGGATTCTGCGCTGATATTTCAACTGACGGTGTCGATATTAGCATCACTTCGCTGGGCAGGAAGTCTTGTTTTCTTGCTCCTATCAATCAACGCTAGAAACTTTGAAAGGCTGAGCGAGGAACCGCTCATTGCCAGTCAAGCTGTAATAGACTGTCTCGCCTTCCTGAGGTCAATCGCTTCCATTCTGCTAGCATTTTGGAAAGCACAGCCAAACCGGAAGGACGGCAGGTCACTTATTTCGCTAGTCTCGATTTCCTTGCTAACCATATCTCAGATACGTCCCAGAAGATACTGCAACCGGAAGTGAGCAGTGTTCTTATTTTGCTTATTTTGAATGAGGTAAGAGTTGTGAGAGAAAAGAAGAACACCCACTGATCTCTGTCAGTATCTATGTATTTCTACTTTGCAATCATGGTTAACGCATACGGTATTAGCCTTGTTTTTTATGGGAACAGTTGCCATTTTATCACTTTCTATGTGTTTCTCGGTGCGCTCCAATTAGTCACCCAACCTTACTGTGTGCACTCCTCTGAGCAAAAAAAAAAAGGAGCACCGTATCGCATTATTTTCTTCCTTCATGGTTATCGCCATGTCTGGTCTCTGCTTCGTTCACACTCAAATGATAAGAGCTTGGGTCAAGTGCATGAGTCCGCGGAATATCCAACCCAATACGTTCATATCATTCTTACGCTGTCCATGCGTCACAGATGTTAGGCACCAACGAGCCTTGTGCGCGGCATCCATTTGCTCAATAGGTTTATTTGTTGTTTTATCAGGCTTGATAATACTTGCCTTTATACAGTCCAACCTACAGACTCCAACTGTGACGGTACCTGCCTTGACTGCTCCATCATCGTACACCACTTACATTCTGTATAGCTCCAGATTGCTATAATAAACTTAAGAAAGGTAGTTGTTTCGTTATTTCTTTTTAGAGCGCGAGAAGACAACATGAATGTTCTATTTTTGATCAGTAAGTGACCCCTTAGGGGGAAGAAGGGGTTGTAAGCATTTATAAAGGACATGGAAGGTGTGACTTAGAAGGATGGGCTGATACAGTTAAGCTGAGCACTGACGTTGTTGAATCTCTGACTTGGAGAGGAATCAAACTAACAAGCTAACATTACAAGATTCAAATTTGCAGTGGAATTCTGACCCCAATAAGAATGAGGCAGTGCATAAGAGCTAGGATAGCCACTACACCAAGAACGAACACTAATCCATGGTGTCACTATTTACACAGCCTTCACGTCAAACCACGTCTTTAACCTTGTTGAAATGCTAGAGTAGGGGTGCAAAGTGTGAGATATATTGAGTCTACTTTGTTCATTTACTTTAATTGAGAAGATTTTCCCCGGGGCTTTATGGCTTGATTGAATTCTGCATTGTACACAGTAATTAGCAACAAGCTTGATGTCAAAAAAGCTGAAGCAACTCGAAGGCTTCGTTGGGTCGCAATGTCAAGCCGCTAAATTGCCGTGCCCATTCAGCCCTCCGGAGAACTCCACAACTTGCCCACTCACGGCCTGGGCGCAACATCAAGAATGAATTAAGCCTCGGAAGACTCAGTTTCGGTACACATCAAGATTTGTTCCGACTTCTCCTAGATCAGCTCTAACTCCTCCAAAACTCGATCATATGTACCCAATTTTCCAACACTAGTATACGCCCCGTACAAATAGGATATAGCCTGGCTCCTCTTGCTACTGAGGTAGGATGAGAGCAGATTATCCTCAAGCTCGGCCGATTTTGCCATTTCGATATACTCCTCTCGCTCGCGCCAGGTTTCTTGTAATTCCTCATCCAACGGTTGACCGTCTTGGCCGTAATTCTGAGGCAGGTCAAAGGAGATGGGCATAGCTCTAAGGAAATCGGGAAACGCGATGAGCTCCCAGGGAACCGTACATGCTCCTTCCCAGTCGATGATTCCAGTTACATCAAAGCTTTTCTCATCTACTATGATGTTACTATGAAGGAAGTCATCATGGTTCAGAGGGAATGGCCCTTCGTTGCACAAGGACAGCTGGCTAGCCATCGCTTTGATCTGTGACGGGAAGTTGTCGATAATGGCGATCATCCTTTCTGCCAGGATCGGACCTCCCTGCATCATGCGTGTAATTGTTTCTTTATCCCACTTGAACTTGACGTTATTGGCCCACGCCTCGAAGAATGCAGCTGCTGTATCAAACGGACCCCCAATTCCTGGTAAGGGACCACACTCATATCCGCCCTTATTGTTTTTCACAATCGTTCCAATTTTCGGGAGTCGTAGGGAAGTCAACTGGACCTATACATTAAGGAGCAAGGTAAATATCTTTGTATGAGACCTATAGGCCAGGAGAGGAGACGAACATGGGACTTTGCGACGGAGCGGTAGAAGTTTTGTCGGCGGTCCCTAGGTATAACACCTCGATGGACCTTGTAGCCGCCGAGGGCATCCATAGCGACAATACCGGGGAGTAGCTCTATTAGCATGAACGCGGCATTTACCGAATGGTTCTCGTCAGCTTTATATGCAAAAACCCGAGGCACTGGTATGTCGGAGTTTTCCTTGATGAACTGCATTGTTGAAATCTCGGTATTGAGCTTGGTCCAATCGGTAAGGGGGGAGTTGCTCCTTCTAATATGAACCCGAGCAACCCAGCGAGTCTGGTCGGAAAATTCAAGCATCCTGACAATATTGTTGAGCCCGCTCGTAACCTGGTCTAAGGCTATGCAGTCCAAATGGCCAGCAAGACCTGAAGCAATTCGACACAGCTCATCCCATCGAGTTTGACGGAAACAATGAGCGGTTTGGCTGTCACTATCGCGTAGGAAATCCTGGACGGTAGTCCAAGAGCTTGACTCGGTAGACATGATGACGGACTGGGGGTTGATATCAAAGTAGACTTGGCCTTTCAGTGAGAATTGAATTCTTGAGAGGTAGCTTTTCTCTAGAATTCTACGCAAAGGGAGGGAGACAGGAAGGGGGCTTAAATCCAACCAAACCTGAGAACTAGCGGTGTGGTTCATCGGCAGGAACCTATTGGGTATATACATACTGTATGACCGGGGTTCTAGGTCCAAGGGACAGTCTCACTGTACTCAAGCAGTGAAACCCTACCGGAGTATCACCAAGCTTAAGTGGTATTACTACAAAGACATGCATGTGCGGTACCCGCCTCAAGTCCTTCAAGATGCAAATATATGTGTCTACACTTTACAGTCTACGGGCCTCCCCGAGGATTTCGATAAGATAGGTATCGATGAACAGAGATAATCTAGAGCTATATTTCGCTTAGGAGAGGCCAACCTCTACTATATAGCTGCGATAGGTGTATATAATAATAAATATATAAATATGTTGAAAACTCCTTATTTCGGAATATACTAGTATCTCCTTCGCTAGATAGGGTATCCCTGGGATACAGACGTAATTGACCTACGTACTGCGTTGGTAGGTATTACGATACTATCGGTATCGAGAAAAATTTCCTCGGTAGTTTGTCCGGTTGTGTTTAGCGATGAAGAAAGAGAGGCTGCTATAGCGGAATCGCAGGAATGGAATGAGTCTGAACAACTCTTGGCAATCGATCCGGAGTCATTTTTGCGCCAATGCGTATTCAATTGTTCGTTATCTCCACTGGGTATTGGAAACTTAATATACTTCCTCCGTGTGTAATTCAACTCTCCTTGTGTAATTCATCAATGACCACTTTTGCTAGGATATTGCTCCCAGTTGAGCGGAATTGGGAGTCTCATCTCGAGGATTCTCAATTTCAAGCTAACTTTTGATCTTTGGGTTGATGACATACAGTAGATGAACCCAGAGTCTAACAACTACGTTAGTCTCAAGAGCCAGCATCTCGTACCTCACCTTTGCATCCTAAGGAGACTGCCTACAGTGCCTAGTGCCTACGGCTGCCGACAACCATGTATCCCAGGGAGCAAACTTAACAATACAATTCTGCATACCACTAATCAAACTAATAGTCATCCAGCAAGAAAAGGAAAGAAGAGAAAGCCAAGAAAAACTGAGTGCAGGAGAAGGATGAGAAAAACTTAAAGTCCCTGAGCTTTCCAGACATTCCTCGCAATGCCCTCCAAGGCCGCAATCGGGATCGCCATATCTGCTTCGGGTGGAATTGGCGAACGGCGCATGATCTCCTCGAAGGTGATAGTGAAGGGCAACGTGCTTGGCACTGTGGTGACGGGTTGACTGGCACCGCCTGGTGGCCGAGTGACCGTGATTGACTGCCTGGTTTGAAGCCGGTACTGTCGACGACCCCCGCGTAGGTAAATGGGTGGCTGCTCGAGGACAACGGACTCGAATGTTATCTCCGCCACAGCACAGTTGATAGAGATGAGGATGACCACATTGACTTGACCTGCGGATTTGGCTAGCCACCAAGCAGCGTCGGCACGGAGTTTTCTTGTCGATTCTGATAAGCCCACTTCGAGGATGACCGATGGCCAAGTAGTGTTTCGATCGACAGGAGTATCTTCTGGGTACCATGAGCAGTCTGGCTCTTTACAGCTTTGTCCTTCATATACCCTTGCCGATGAAGTTGGGATGACAAGCTCTATTCCAGCTCTTTGGCAACACGTAGTAAAGAACCAGGTGAATTTTCCAACAGCAGTGTCGTGAGCGAGCCCCGGTACAGTAACAATAAGGAGCTGGGTTACGGCGTCGTATAATTGTCGGCACCCCTTTCTGAACTTTTGCTTGGCGATGTCCGGTGGGACATTGGTGAACTTCACGTAGGCAGTCACCAGACCAGGCTTGGCCCGAATCGTGTCGAGTATCGCTCGTATTGCTTTGATCGATGATCCGGTCGCTTCCCTCTCACATTCAACGTCGAAACAGTCGAATTCGGGTTCTTCCATGGCGGGATCGACTTTTGTTACATGCACGAGGCGGAGGGGGTCAAAAAATGCAAGCCCCCAGGTGTTGCTTGCGGCCATTTTGATCTGGTCTCGGGCTATCACGTCAGTCTTTGTCGGACCAATGAAATTTCGTCAGTCATCCTTGGTCAAAGAGTCATACTTACCTCAAACGTCGTAAATCTGTCGTTGTCCATCAGAATAAAAATAAACAGCTTGGTGAAGTCTGACAAACTGCAGAAGAGATCATGCAGGGTCGAAAGCACATTGCAGCAGAATGGGAAGTAAACATAAAGGAAAACAGAGGACGAGGACACGGGAAGGAAGCAGCGACTTGCCCGACTTGGCGGGCTTTCAAGGCACACCTACCTCACTTGCCTCAATTACAATCTAGATGGTATCGACCTCGATTGGAAGTATCCATCAGCGTCAGACCGTGGCGGGCCATCGCAAGACGCCGCGAACTACGTGACATTGCTCGTAGAGCTGTGTGAGGTCTTTGACAGTCACAATCCCGGTTGAGAAAGTCCTGCCACCCTACCAACCAGCTATTGACATCTGCGAGAATTCGATGTTGAACGCATGCAAAGGTATGTCGACTACTGTAATCTGATGAGTTGCGACCTCCACAGCATTTGTGTGTAATCGGGATAGCAAAAGGACTGGTCCCGACCTGCAGGGTCATACCGATATCACGCAGGTCGACCTCGGTCTGGATTTCTCGAGGCGTAACAACATTGCTCCTGCCAACGTGGTCTTCGGTCTTACCTTTTGCGGTTGCTCATTTACTATGCGTGACCTCAATTGCCACCAGCCCAACGGCCAGTGCGAATTCAGTGACGGGGGCAAGCCGGGTTCCTGCTCTGAGACAACATTGATCCTCACGTATGCGGAGATTAACCCGAGAAGCGACTCATGTAACGTGTATAAGCTCTGTGACTCAGAAACCGCGATCATATACAACATCTATGGGGGGACTCAGTGGATCTCGTATGACGGAGAAAAGTCCTTCTTGTCAAGGATAATATGGGCAACAGACCAAGGTACTGGTAAATTTGACGCTTTTGCGGGTCTGCTTGGTGAGAACCTCTTGCCTCGGCAAATGAAGTGTGGTATCGATGTGGATGCAGCAAATGTCCTCGCCGATGTGTTTGCTGCATTTACAGAGTGCGAAACTGTTTCGAAACATCTCACCGCTCGGATGGATCTTTTAAACACCCGGATCAAGTGTGTCCTGCAGCCTATCTGTCTATCCAGGTAGCGCACAACGCCCTCCAGGGAGGAAACAAGCCATCAAATGGAGACGGTGGAGAGGGATGGTACCGCCATATCTGTTGTTCCGAGGATGCCATGCCCCAAAATTGCAAGTGGACGGGAGCTCCAGAGCGCAGCGCCTTTGGTTGCGAGGGTAAATGTGGAGGTACCCAACTCAAGCTCAATCAAGTGACAGCTATCGACGCCAAGGGTGGAGGGCAATGCTTCACAGAAGCTCGCTGCCGCGTTTCTGATTCGGCGGCTTTGTTCTCGGACTGCCTCTGGACTGGATGCCGAGGAGCTCTTTTTCCATAAACTCACGGCGAATGTCCGGCAAACACTGACTATCAAGCCTTCAGCTGGGACAAATTGCATTGGAAGCCTTGGTGTTCAGACGCGTATGCCTCGCCCGTGGATTGGGACCGCGAGAAGCCCTCTCCATAATAGATTCGAAAGCGCCCTCTGCTGTCCGTCTGGCCGGAGCTTTAGCACTTGTGCATGGACAAACAGCCTACAGCAGGCCGACCTACCTGAAGAGTACGAACCACACCTTCACGAGCTCCTCTGCAAGCCAAGACCGTGTTCAACCGGGAAGGTCAAGGATACCGGTACGCTTGATCTACCACCTGCCTCCAATGCTGGGAGCAAAAGCGAGCTAGGGACACCTCCCGACTTTGAAAGGCGCTATTCCAGTTCTTTTCTTCCATGCACTACCCGTGAGCACGGATCAGCTGTCTTGTTTCGATGCTCATAGCCCAGAACGATGATCCAAAGGAAAAACCATCGGCCCTGACGAGTGAGAATCCTGGAAAACGCTAAGACCTGCCACGCTCAAAGAGGCACACTCTGCACTCCACTCAAAGCTCGCAGACTCAAAGGACGTGCCAGAGGAACGCTGGTGCGACTGACTTAGCATTCACAAGGCGTATCAAATACTAGCCTTCATTGGTCACGAAGCGGGGGGAATAGCAGGGGGCATTCTTGCCGATGAACCGGGAGTTGCAGAAGTAGTGTCTGTCTGGGTGGCACCGTCCACACGATGTCGCGCAGTCGGGGATGCATTGATCATTACTGTGGAGGAATGGGCTGTGGAGGCTGATGTAACCCAGCTCAAGCTAGATGTGGCTTTGGATAATGTCCAGGATGTCAAACTTCACCTGCGTCATGGATTTTTTGTTGTTCCAGATCAGAATGAGCATGAGGGCAGGAGAAAGGCCAGGATTTAATAATGTGCAAGCAGTTGCGATGACCAAGTCAGGTCATTGAGGGTTTTTTTATGATTCTGTGTTATCATTGACGATCTGGGTTCCGGATCATTAGTTGCCAACGTCAACGCGTTGGCAACCCATGAATTGGTATAGTGACATTCCGGTCCCGAGTGTAAAACAGAATCGCGCATCACGATCGATCGAAACGTTCTATCCTCTCCACCTCCTCGTAAACTCAAGTCCGCCGACAGATCGCCCAATGGCCATCGAAAGAACGGGTCTCCTGTGTATTGCAGTGAGGGTATTCTATTTCAAAAATAAAAAAACCTGGATCCAGTTCCCGATAACCTCCATTCTTATACGCCCGTTGAGCATACTGGTTCGCAGCATGATCTGGGGAACCTTCACCCCGATTATACAGTCCAGGATCGTTTCGTCGTCATCAAGGACTTTCCACCAGGCGCATTGAAAACGTACCAGAACTATCTGTCAAGACGCTGTGACTATTCGCCAGCCCTTCGAATTCTCTTCCTCACGATGCCTAGTCTCGCACGCGGGGCAGCCGCCTCTATATTCGAAATCATGGTAATGATAGCCGCGCGAGATATGAAAGTTCAAAGAGTCCTCTTCGTTTTATTCATTATTGCTATTTCCTTGATTGAACACCTGCCATGGCATTTCTCACTGGAACATAACTATCTGGACTCACGGATATCGAGTCAATACCGGAATTGACCAGGAAAGCGGCAAACTCAGGATGGTCACTTGGGGCCTGGCCACAGATTCCAACCTTGCAATCGTTTTCATGGGCCACGCGAATCACTCGATCGATCATCCATTTCACAGCTTCGTCCTGCTCATCGAACAGATCTCCAAGCTCGGCTGAATCACGGTCCACCCCAAGAGTCAATTGCGTCAGGTCGTTGGAACCGATTGAAAAGCCATCAAAGTAACGGGCAAACTGAGCAGCCAAAATCACGTTGGAAGGGATTTCGCACATAACGTACACCTGCAGACCTTTCTCGCCACGGACGAGTCCGTTTTCTGCCATCACTTTGAGCACTTCCTTTGCTTCGTGCACCGTGCGGCAGAACGGCACCATGACGATTGCGTTGGTGAAGCCCATCTTTTCTCGAAGCCGTTTGATCGCTCGACACTCCAAGGCAAATCCGTCCCTGTAATGGGACGAGTAATACCGGGAGGCACCGCGGAAACCTAACATGGGATTCTCCTCTTTTGGCTCAAATTCAGATCCTCCGATAAGATCTGAATATTCATTGGTTTTGAAATCACTGAGGCGGAGAATAGCTGGCTTGGGATAGACAGTGGAACATAGCGCCGCAAAGCCACGTGAGAGCTGTTCGACGAAATAGTCGGGCTTGTGGCCATATCCCGAGGTCAACTTGGCGATCTGATTCTTGGCCTTGTCATCTTTCAATCGCTCATAGTGGACAAGAGCCATCGGGTGGATACGAATCGCGTTACTGATCACAAATTCCATTCGCGCAAGACCGATCCCATCCACGGGAAGTCGCCACCAGCGGCTTGCCGCTCCTGGATTCGCGAGATTGATCATGATTTTTGTGTTCACTGGAGGCAAGCTGCTTATATCTAGTGTTCGGGTCACGATCTCAGATTTGCCCTCGTAGACAAAGCCATGCTCGCCCTCGGCACAAGACACCGTCACATTCTGATCAGAATGGAGAGTATAAGTGGCATCTCCTGTTCCGACAATTGCTGGAAGTCCGAGCTCGCGACTGACAATGGCTGCGTGTGAAGTCCGTCCACCCTGATCCGTGACAATAGCAACAGCCCGTTTCATGAGGGGGACCCAGTCTGGGTCAGTCACTTTCGCTACAAGAACTGACCCGGTCACAAACTTGTCGAGATCGTGTTTCCCTTCGATAAGGCAGAGTTGACCAGATACGGCTGCATCTCCAATAGACAACCCGGACGTCAAGACTCGACCTTTGTTGGTGACTTCATAGGTTTTGAACTCTCCGCACATGTCTCGGGTTGATTGGACTGTCTCTGGACGTGCCTGAACAATGAACAATTCATTCGTCAGGCCGTCTTTGGCCCACTCGATATCCATAGGACAGCCGTAGTGCTTCTCAATCGTGCACGCCCATCGGCTCAATTGGAGGATCTCTCGATCCGACAAGGTGAAAGCCGCTTGCTCCGCCTTAGAGGTCGGTACATTGCGAGTCGCAGAATCCCCATTGCCATATATGAGTTTGGTCGACTTATCCCCTCGCTTCTTCTCAATGATCGGCTCGAACGAGTCATCGTGCAGAAGCGGCTTGAAGACGCGATACTCGTCTGGATTGACAATTCCTTGCACAATATTCTCTCCAAGGCCCCAAGATGCATTGATGAGCACAATTTTATCAAAGCCACTCTCTGTATCAATGGAGAACATGATACCAGAGCCACTGGTATCAGAGCGAACCATCCGCTGCACACCAATGGAGAGTGCAATACGCAGATGATCAAACCCTTTAGCCTGACGATATCCCAGTGCACGATCGGTGAAAAGTGAAGCGTAGCAGCTCTTGCAAGCATGAAGCAATTTGTCCACTCCAGAGATGTTCAAGTAAGATTCTTGTTGCCCTGCGAAACTAGCATCGGGCAAATCCTCCGCCGTGGCACTTGACCGAACCGCGACGCTCAAGCCCTCAACTCCAAGTTGGGCCTGCATGTCGCTATACCCTCTCTTGATCTCATCCGCGATACCACTCGGCCAATGACCTCGCAGAAATAAGTCTCGAATTGAGTGCCCCGTGTAGTCCAAACGAGCTCGGCCGGATTGCCATTCCGCAATCAATGAAGCAATTTTGTCCTGAATGCCATTGTACTTGACAAACTGCCAGTACGCTTGTGAAGTTGTCGCAAATCCTGGAGGGACGGAGATCCCTTCAGCTGCAAGAGTTCCAATCATTTCGCCGAGTGAGGCATTCTTGCCGCCTACTAGTGCGACATCTTTTCGTCTCAGATGCTCGAATGGGATTGTGAGACGGTCGACGTGGCCGTCAATATCATTTTTGGTTGTCTTTGCCATTGCCATGTTCTGAAGCTTCAAGTGACCCAGGAAGATGAGTTACTGGGCAATTTCAGGTACGTAGCTGGACAGTCTTGATGATATTGAACCTGTTGTCGCGTTCTTGGAAAATTACACCTCTTCAAGGATGAAGTAACTTAAAGAAATCTTTTCGTTGCTCCAATAACCTAGACAGGTGTTCCGTTTAGTGGCAATCAATACAACTTATGGGCATTCATCCAGCCCGGATCTTGAGCCCGATGGTAGAGTATTCGATAGAAGAACCCGAACCAATGAAAAGTGACAATATCATGACGACGATCGGGTGAGTTCCATGCAATAGCAACTATGACCCAAGCTCTTTCACATTTTCCCTTGCACACAAACAGGGTGCGGAAGTGAGTCGCGGAGTGTACATCGGTTACTGTGATTAGAGATAGCGAGGATCTCCGTAACTAGTCAAGAACGTTGGCCTCGCGGCCCAGACGAGGGAGACTTTCCATGACTGGGATGTGTAAGGCTCAAAGGGGTGTGCAAGAGGACGTATGGCAAGCTATTGGCTAATACTTCAAACCACGACGTCAAAATCCCCAAAGAGCTGGTTTATGTCAACGTTTGCAACTGTGTAACGAGCCATCTTATTGAATTGGTACCCATCTTACATGTTCCCCGTTGCTCGGATATGCTTATTCGATCTCGCCTGCAAAGGTACGGTATTTGAGATCGAGTTTACAGCACAGAAGGTGAGGCGACTCTGGGCCTAGGCGTAGTCATTGGCTTCTTTCTTGACTTCATCTGATAGCAGGTGCATTACAACCCCAGGGCTTCATGTTGACTTTTGAACTGAAACGAAGGCCATCCGAGGTGATGAGAGGCTTTGGAAAGCTCAAGTCAAGCTGAGGAAACACATACGAGGGTTTTGAGTTTCTGTGCTTTTTCGGGTGAGACTTACCCTTTGCCGTCTAATGTATCAATTTGTCGAGGACTCTCACTAATACATGGATCATCGACAAGTTGCTATGCTTTATTGACTATTTAGTCAGTGCAAGGTGCAGATGGAGCCTTACCGCCTGTCCCGGTGGTTGATCTTCACACCGAAAATAGCAACCCCAGTTCCAGCCGGTGCAAACAAGCTAAACTTCTCCTTCGCGGCGCCCGCCTCGGTAGCTTCGATGACGGATTATCGAGGCTCTCACCATTCAATTGTTGGTCGCACCAAGTTATCACCCCCGGTAGACAGTGTCTACCAGACAGAACCACGCATTGTGGCCGCCAGCGGTTTCCTCTGTCCCAGAATCCTTCACATCCCTCTACTGATGCCATCATGGCAAACCAGGCGGCCCCAATGGAGGAGATCATCTGGAGGTCACCACAACATGTGCAGATGATGGGGGGTTACCTCCATTCCAACAACAGTACGTCCGTGACCGAAAAGCTTGCGATAATCATCGTACTTATTGCTTTGCAACTCTCACAGTTCTCTTCTACTTCGCCGAGTCTGCTTTCTTTGATCCCCAATCCAACAACGGTATTCTTGCGACACAGGCAACCTACAATGAGTCCCTTCGGCACGTGGTCGAGACGCGCGCGACATTCGAGGGCAAATTGAAGCAAATGCAGGGACTCGAATTCATCGTATCCTATGACCCCCTCGAAGCTGCAGCGCGAACAAATCCGAATCGCTTCGAGACCGAGCCCAACAATATCTGGGTGATTCGCAAGCAGGAACGGCGGAAGCGAAATGGAATGGAGGACGATGTTACTCTACTTGCGACATATTTCGTGGTTGGGGACACGATCTATATGGCTCCTTCTGTGGCTAGCATTGTTGGAAATCGCATTGTGGGTTACCATTTTCTTTCTCCAAACTTTCGCCGGGGAGCTTTAAGAGACTCTACTTAGATCTTGACCGCTGATTTCACACATTGCTTCCAGCTCACTGCGGTCACATCCATCTCTCGACTCATGAAGACAGCCTCGACCCTACCGATCTTCACTCCCACCACCGGCCATACATATCTCCCACCAACAGCGCGCGCCAATGAACCTGGTCAGCAGCCCGCTCAACAAAGCAAGGAAAATACGCCAATGCCTGACGCCACACAACCGTCCGGGGCCGAGACACAAACATCGACCAAGGCCAATCTTGGGGTCTCGGCAGGTAGCTCCAGCTACCAGGACACGCGGAACTTGGCCGAGGCCTTTAACTTGTTCAAGCGATATGGGGATGAGTTCATGGACGAACATCCCTTGACTGGCGAACCCGGCTCGTTCATTCTATCGCGTGCGGGTGAGACAGATCGTCCAGTCGGTGCTGCGGCAAAAGTCGCTTCTAAAGCTACCCTTGGTACGGGGGCGAACACTCCCGCTGGATTGCGAGCCCGATCGACCACTCCTCAAGTCCGAGTTGATACACCCGGAAAAGCCCAGGACAAGGGAAACACCCCTCCCAGTTCTGGCGAAAACAAATTGAAGAGGAAAAAAGGTCGTGTAGTGAGTTAAATTGCCTCGATTGAAGTGATACCCGTGCTATAGGGGGCGTAGCACAAGCAAATACAAATACTTTGGATTGTCTGAGAGATCATCATCTCAAGAGCAGGTTGTCCAGAGATTCTCTAGACGAATGCGATCCGCGTAATGTTGCGCAAGTCATCTTCTCTTTCTCATCCTTTCTTTCCCCCTCTTTAAGCTCTGCTAGCTGCGATGCTCCTCTTTGAACGAGCTTCTTCCCACTGAGCTGCAACGGTCCGAGGTAAATAAGCTTTGGCAGTGTCAATGCCCCTGACCAACAAAAAAGATGCAGTGGTCCGCGATCGCATCGCTTCTGGCAAATCAGATCAACCGGGTTCTGAAATGAGGGCTCCGAGGAGCAAAAGTAAAGCCACAGTCAGAAAACTTTCGTTCCAGGTACAAATTCTATGATCGCCCGCGCAATTAAAGTGACAATCTCTGGACCGTGCTCAAGTCAGCCTCCAATCTTGGATGATATTCTCGCAGAAGCCTAATAAGGCCCTCAGTCCTGCAATCCTGGCTTTTCGGAGACCAGTAGCTACACGACTACCTAGCTCTACTCACTAGCACTTTTGGAATCTATTGCCTTCGACGTTACGAGTCACTGCTTATCCAACTTCCTGCAGTCTACAGGTCTATCGAGATCAACTGATGTCAGTTGAACTTCTACCACATCTAAGCACTCGACAAGTGTAGAATGGAAGTTCGCTCTCTAGACCCCATTATCCACTATCGCGTATATGTTCATTTCGCCGTGAGTCAGATAGCTCGTGACCGCTCACTACGGGCTTGGTTCTCCTGACCATCATAGTAGCCCTTTGACCAGGCTTCCGCGGGGTGAGTCATGGATCCATCCTTTCCTGATCCGAGAACAAATCACAGGATGCAGCAAGCTGCATGGGCAAAAGACGGGCAAGAAGTGGCCTTTCCACGCTGGGCTGGCCTGGCTTTTATCTTATCGTAGTGGATCCTGGCCTGGCCTCTGATGGCTCTCCACAGATCTGATGTTGTGTCTTGGTTTCTTTGTCCCTTGCCACGTTGATATTTATTTCCTGCTCTTTCTCCTTCTCGTCGGTATATGACTTGGAGCAGATACGCTGTCAAATACTCAAGACCATACACGATACGGAAAGTCCGCCTGCAAAGTAGAGGCACATATACAACATGGCTGAGAATAAGCCTGCGGTCGTCTGCGTCTTGTGAGTCATTGTTCGAACTTCACTCTCTCTGATTTTTTGCAAAGCTGTCCTCGGTCGATAAAAAGCCATGAAAGCTGGGGACCCTGGAGATGTGGAAGCAAAAATTCGCCACATGACTGAGGATGAACTGGCTGATTCCTTTGCGACTCGAACAGCTGTGGCGCAACGTCAGGCAAGGACCCCGTTCACATGGGAGCAGCTCGCGCGCTTGCCTACGAGTTTCACAAACACAACATCCGTCTAGTATATGGCGGCGGTACCACCGGCTTGATGGGCGAAGTCGCCAAAACACTCGTCTCTCTGAGTGGCCCCAAGGCCGTTCACGGCGTAATTCCTCGCGCATTGGTCAAAGTCGCCGTCAAGGGTGTTGGGAATCCCGCAGACCACAGCAAAGCCAATGGCAATGGTGTGTCTCCCACAGGAGGAAAGGCGGCGGAACGGGAGGTCTCCGAAGCTCTGGAGGGTGAGGAGATTCCAGAGTCTGAATACGGAGTCACGACTATTGTTCGGGATATGCATACGCGCAAACGGATGATGGCCGAGCTGGTCTTGCAAGGTGGACCTGGTTCTGGATTTGTGTCGCTGGCGGGTGGATTTGGTACGATCGAGGAAGTCATGGAAATGACTACTTGGAACCAGTTGGGCATTCACCGGGTTGGCGTGGTATTATTGAACATCAATGCGTATTGGGATGGTTTGCTGGCGTGGGTGCGTAATGCCGTGGAGAATGGGTTCATCTCGGCAGAGAATGGAGCCATCCTGGCAGAGGCGCGGACGGTCGAGGAAGTGGTGCCCAAGTTGTTGCAGTATCAGTGCAGTGCTGATCGCTTTGCCTTGAACTGGGGCGAGGAATAGGCGCTTCGAAGTGCCAAGGTCACAACACAGTCTCACCTCGAGTCTTACAGGTCGATGGACTCTGACCGAATGTAACTTAGACACACATATCCACGTACTACAGACGCATAGACACCGTTCCCAGAGTCTCTCCAAGAGAACAAGTTCCGAAGTCACCCGCAGACTACGCAGTCGCCAAAGCTTGCAATATCTATTCAATACCGAAGTAGTTCATAAAGCGTTTACGGGAATCAATATCTGCATGGCACAAGCAGCGATTCATTTCTATGTGGAGTCGTTAAGTGGGAGAGCAACTTATGAATCAACTTCCATGGACTCTTCCTCCATCGTGCCAGATGATTCGGACCGCTCCAAAGCCTCCAAGAGCGGCAGAGTCTCCTGACCCTCGTACAGCTTAAAGCTCTCAATGCGAGCCTTGGAGCCCTCAGGTGCCAATCCAACAACGCCGACAGATGTATTATCCACTGTCAGCTCCTTATCCTGCGACAATGTCTCCTTCAATGCTCGCAGACCATGGTTGATCAACTGGTCCCGGCTGCAGTCGGCAAACTGGTCGAGGTTTCGCTCCAAGTATGTGCGCGCCATCTGCGAGCGAGCGCCAATGGCACAAGCCACCATCTCCTGGATCATACCGGAAGGCTGGAACTCGAACAGATGAGGGCCAGCATCATCGACACCGGCCACGAGCAGACCCACACCGTATGGCCGCTTGCCGTAGTGTTGGGTGTTGGTCTGCGCTCGATCTGCGATTTGGTTGACGACACGTTCCACAGGGATCGGACGACCGTAGGTCATCTTTGAGCCGAGCGATTGCTGCTTCATGAAATTGGACAGAACGCGGGCGTCTGAGGCCAACCCGGCAATGGCGATCGCCATGTGCGAGTCAATCTCGATGAGTTTCTTCTGGTAGGAGGATAGTTCTTCGGCATTTCGCTAGATTTGGTTTGCAAGGATACTGTTAGCTTCGGATGTCCGGCGCGATGTAGTAGCTAGGTGTATCTTGGGGCCTAGCGAACCTTGAGGCCGACAAGGACGGCATGTGTCTTGTTCACCAATCCTACAACCACAGATCCTTGCTTCACAGCTTCCTGTGCGTATTCCACCTGGAATATCCGACCCTGTGGAGAGCTGGCCACCAGACGATTGATTAGTATTGTTTGTCCGCTTCTAGCATTGAGGACCTGCCACTGCCGGAGGGCCACTCTTACAAGGTGACTGCATCGTTATCGTAGTTGTTTCGGAACATGATGGCGGACAAGGACCACAGATGACTCGGATGATTTTGACGAGCTCGATTCCTCAGCCCAAAATGCGGCAATTAATGCAAAGAAGGACAATAGACGGAGCGAGCAGAGCTTGGGGGTGGAGTCGGAGACGTTGATGGCAGGCAGTTAGGGTGACGCGGTGTGAAGCATGAGCTCTTCGGGCCTGAGGCAGAAACTACCACTGACTCTCCAGGCGCCAACGTCACTTGGCCATTCCTCATATCCCAAGCGGTTGACGAAGCTCACTGAATCCCTGTCACGCTGTCAATGGGGCTGCAATTCTCAAGTACTCATTGATCGCCTCATGTGAATTGCGCTATAATTTATCCTTGACCACGACTCTCTAATCAACGTCAAACGGAGGCATCACACGAAACTCCGCAATCATGGCAGCCGGACTCAAGACCATCATCGCGCTCTCGTTTGTAAGTACTTTGACTGCTCGGGGAATAGCTTGGCTGGACCCAGACAGGTTGCTGATTACAATGACAGGTGCTCGCGATCGGTTTCCTCCTCGTGATTCTCTCGTCCGCCCTATGGCATAAGTACTGGCCCTTGCTGGTTGTCGCTATCTATGTGGTCGCACCACTCCCCAATTGGATCTGCGCTCGGTGCGCAAACCCGGATGACTTTATGGACAGCTCGAGCAGCTCTGCGATGGATTTTGGGCGGTTCATGACTGGCTTCTTGGTCCTTACTGGAATTGGTAGGTGGTCAGCTCCCGGAGTCGCTTGCTGCGTGTTTTAGGTGATGGTTCTCCTCAGCACTCTTGAGGAGAAGGGAGATTCTCCCTGGAAATCCATCAGCCGCGCTGCCAGAGCCAGAAGTTTGTTTAGTCGAGAACCAACTGACATCGCGCCATTTCTACAGCCCTCCCCGTAGTCCTTGCACACAGCGGAGCGATCGAGATCCCGGCGATGATCATGTCAATTATTGGTGGCTTGTTGATTTACGGCACCATCATCAGCTTCTCGATGTTTTTCCAGGAGCAGGAGGAGTTCTGATGTGACAATGTGAAGGCCATGCAAGCAGGCTGCTCAGGGCCGTTACAATTGGGAGCGATAGCCAGCATCTGGGCTTATGTTTTCCTAATTCTTTGTGTCGCTCGCGCGACGAGCGCACCTTTCTTCTGTCTCATTACGGGGCCAAGGCTCTGCGCTCGCGGCGTCTTTGAATTGCGAATTTTTGCTCGCGTGCGCAGCCTTGAGCCGTTTCTCTTGGCGATTTGGACGTGTTATCGCGTCGCATGTATATAGAGATTCTGTCATGAAATTTGCTTTTTTGGTTCCAGTCTGGCTTCCTGACGACGAGCGCGTGCTCTCAAATTGTGCTACGTGTCTCGGAGCAAATTGTCGTCTGAAGACGGACAGCTCGGGCAATCGGCTCCGGATTGTCTCATGATCACATACTTCTCGAGTGGTTCACATATAGCAGTCATTGAGCCGGTGTCATTTTGTAATTGATTGTTCATCGAGGGTAAACATTGGGTGACGAACATCCTTTGAGAAGGCAGACTATAGGCTTCAAAATTAAATTGATTTCCGATGCATGCTTCTTCACGTGATGTCGCGCGTCATAGCGCGTTCTGCAGGGCATACCATTACCAAGTCCTAGGGTGTATCAAGACAGGAGGACAACCGGTTTCCCCACTCAGTCAAGACCACGAAAACTGCCATGGGGACGTTCAGCAAGTGAACCAAACACAAAATGAACGTCTGGTCAGGGTCAATCATCCTGGGAGCAGACCGTCAGCTTGAAGGTGAGCACTACCCGAGACTCGAATGCCTCGTCTTTCTGCACGTCCTTGGCTAACACTAGCTTTCAGGGATCCGCCTCATTGATCCGACCTCCCACTGGCAATGCGACATATCGAAAACCGCGCAGCTCGGTCTCCGCAGCTTTGTCAATCCGTCTTTAATTCCTCTACATGCTCGATCTGGCCCTAGTCTCGAGCTACACACCACGACAGCGGAGACCTCGCAATGGCTGCAGAAGAAGATCGCGGGCGCCCTTTGTCTCAACCCCGAGCTGGAAGAACCAAATCAATGCATACAGTGCCCTGTCGGCCTGCTGGTCAGCGTGACTGGGGCCCCAGCGCGTGTTTCTAGCGTGACGACCACAGATCTCTTGATCTACGGTGTGCTATCAGTGTCGCGATCATGCTCGCGTCCGCCCACCCCGCCGCATTCGTCTCCGTCTGACGTTCCCGAGCAACATTGTCCGGCAGCAGTCAAATCGTACGAACTACGAATATACGCTGCTCCTCTGTCCAAGGCCCTCATCGCGCAAGCGCAGGCGTTATCCTCGCCACCACCCAGCATAGACGAAGAACGCGGCTCCACGCCGGCCGAGTTTCTGCCCGATCTCCACTCGCCCAGCCCCAAGCGCAAACGAGTCGCGACTCTGTTCGAAGTTGCGGCTCAGCATCACCGCCGTGTGCGACAGCGCGGGGGCGAGGCAGTGTCTCAGTTGATGGCATCGTCTCGGCCATCTTCCTCCTCGCAAAATCTTCAAACCCTGCGAGTCAAGCGTGAGCCCGAGGATGACCATCCAGGTCTACCGACCTTGGACCGCTTGGTCGCGCATAGATCTCGATCAGTTTCTATTGGGCCTGGCGCTCAAAGACCCTCCTCCAGCAGATTTGGTATGCGCGGATCAGCAACACCTTTTTCCACCTCAAACTTAGCGGCAGTCAATACGGTTGACCCTAAGAAACGCACAAGCACACCCAATCCGTTCCTTGACTCTGCGTCACGTCGGCCCTCGATCCAAAGCCAAGCGTCTTTGTTTCAAACCGCAGGTACGGCGTCTGACAATCATCTTGAACCGCCCCCATCCCCACCCAAAACTACAGAAGGCATCATTGCCGAGAACAAAAGCCTCATCACGCGGACAATCCTCACCTGCATGCGACTATATGGATTCCACCGATCGAATCCCCGCCCATCCTCTTCATCTGTCATGCAGAAGGATCTCTGCGCTGAACCCACCGGACCCAATCAGTCCAACGCCACGCCCGCGGGATCAGAAATCCTTCGCGCAGAAACACCCGCCTCTGGTCCTGGAGTCAACGCGGATGACGATAACTTTAAATCCATGTATCATGCCACGTACAAAGCGTCAGCATTTGCACTGCGAAAATATTTGAAAGATGTAGAGAATGGCGCAACGCCTCTCTTGTTGGAGAAAAGCAAAGCAATGACGTGCATCGATGAGCTGTTGCGCATTTTCTGCGAGGATCATTAGGCTTGGCCGTGCTCTTGTTTGGGACATTTTTCTACTTTTGACATTGGAGTTCAGCGCATCGCGTTCTCACGAAGATTATGACATGCATTATTTGGGGTACGAGTTGGGCTTAGGCGTTTATTAACTGGAAGTTATGGGATATCAGGCTTCAATTCACATTCATCATACAGTATGTGCAGATCTTTGTCATTTCTTATAAGGAGTAAGACGACGACGTGGGGTGCATGGAACCTAACAATTTGGAAAGCTTACGAGTGTAGAACTGTAGACAGGTTCGATGGAATCAGACAGACACCACAAGTGGTATGAACACGAGTAGAGCTTGCATATGAACAGCACGAGCCAGGCCTATTCAGATCCTCCTCATTCCGATGTCTATCTCATGTCTCGATTGCAATGAGCCTACATGGATATAGGTACCTATGAAGGAGATGAATCTTTCATCCGGCTTCTATCGGCCGGACCCGGACCTACAGCTAGTGGGAACCAATGCCTCGAATCTGGAGCATCCCGTCATTCTGTTCAGATTTCACGAATAAAATACAAAGGGTCCAACTGACAAGATACAATTGGAAGAAAAGCCATATCAAACAACGCAAGCACAGCTCGATTCATAATCATCCCATCTAGAATTGGAAGGTCCAGTCAATCATTTGATCAGTGGACCAGGCAGATGACACTGAATTCTATCTCACATAGACTCGGAGCGAAAGCTCCTTGTCACGTCCATCATTTGGAACTCCTTAAAGAGCCAGATTATAGGTGTAGTCGTCCTCCATGTTTTGCGAGACCCAGAGGACGACGGAGCTGTCCAGATCAAAAGTCAGCAAACTTATTCTGGAACCGCTCGGGAACCAGACCCGGAGTCCATTGAGCTTGGTCTTTTGTCGGGGGAAATTAGAGACCATACCTCAGCATAACAAGACCGTTGGCAACCACGTTCGCAATTCCAAAGTAAAGCGTTTGAATCGGATACTCCTTGACAAGATACTTGAGCACCATGACCGTCTGTAGCCGCCCGGGGGCAGGCAATGTCAGCCGGATCCTCCCTTTATACAAACGATGATTCCAAGGCAAAAAAGGACACAAGACTCACCACACTCCCCGCCAAACCACCCGCCAACAGCGCAAAGCCCAAGAACAGCACGAACCGCGCCTTCCAAGCAACTCCGCCTCCGCTATAACTGAAGCTATCGGCCTGCAGCCGGGACTTCTCAATCGAGTTGATCACCAGCATGCCGAGCGCCGAACAGATACCGGGGATCCAGTCGACGAATTTGATGTGCACGTCTGAGCCATTGCGGGCGCTGTGCGAAAATGATGCGACGTCGATGAGGAAGAAGAAGCCGGCGGCGAACTGGATTCTCGGGAAGATACCTTGTTAGCATGGAGTTGGAGAGCATTTGCAGTGAGGGTAACCGATTATCTCTAGAGGTAGGGTAGTTGGAACTCGTGGAGATGAGGCAGGTGGATGGATTGGAGGGTGAGGGTGGATAGTTCGTGCATGGTAGCTCTGCGCATCTCCTCTCATGGAATTGTAGAGAATATCCAGCAGTCCATGTAGAACAGCGCTCTATTCCGTCGCGCCTTGAGACAAGCTCAAAATTGAGATAGACATAGTCCTCTCGGAGTTATCAACATACCAATGCGCCAGACGCATAAACACCCGCGTTTCGCACGGCGGAATTATTCAGCCATTCAGGCTTGGAAAACCGGAAGAGACGGTTACTAGAGACGTCCATTTTGAAAGATTCGGTCGTCAAGTGCGGTGTACGGTGCCGTGGGAAGCGTATTGGAAGCGGAGGACAAGAGACAGTGAGAGCGCGATAAGCTTGAGCTCCGCTGGGGGTACGTGATACGTGATCGGCTCCGGTTTGGATGCCTGAATTGGGATGACGACTTGCCGTGCCCCAGTGCTGTCCGTGCCCGAGAAATGGCGGAGAAATGTCGGGCCGCTGGATGTGCTAGTGATGCATTACTGACTTACGGACTCACCTCCTACACAAGAGATACATATCGAGGCAACAGCGAATTTATCGAACCCTGCTATTTGCAAGTGTCACTTCAATTCAAGATTCGAGATACAGACCAGGCTCTGTGGATACGTTAGCCTTGATCGAAGGCTTGTCAAATACAAGAGTGGATCCAATAGTGCCCGTTGTATATAGTTGTATCTTTCTCGGGTTCTGAACTGTAGGCTTCACCATGGATACAGTGGAGACGTCGCCGAGAAATCATTGACCAAAACAGGCCAAACGGGCATCCACCAGGTACATGGATGGATTTGCCAACCTCGAGGCATGGTAAACCAGTGGTAAGATTGCTCCAATAACTCCGCCCGTGAATGTTGAATTCGGCGAGCAGCTAGGTACCGTCCCACCAGCCTAGGGTAGGTTCCCGGTAGTCAACCTTAGGTTATCTCAGCCGGGCATCATCCATGGTTGGATGCAGGACGGGTCAATTGGAAGGTCGGGTCGGGAGTGCAATGGTATGAATACCAAGAATACCTAAATGGATTTAGTCTGTTTCTCGTGGGACAAAATCCATGCTCTGGGCTTCTTCCAATCTCGAATGCGCACCTAGCGACGCAAGTGATACATTGAGTCAAGCCTTAGTACATCTACCTGTAAGGAGCAACCTTGTCCCCCGTGAATACAAAGTATCGCTGTACACGAGTCGCTGCTAGTTGTTTGCCATTACCTTGTTGAATCCGAAGAGGATTAATGTGAAGTGACCGCCCGCATGTATTTCCAAGTACCCTCGTGGAGTTCGGAGAGCAGGTGTCATCTATGTCGTGTACTATCTGTCCGCTTTAGGTGTAGGTCTCCAATGAAAGTCATCAATTTGGGACATCCTCTAGGGTATGTAGGTGGCCCGGGTATATACATCACAAGTTCGTCACAAAAATGAGACAGGAAAAAAGGGGGGCGAGATGAGACAAACAACAGAACACTTTTGTGTCGGTGCCGATATCTTGCCGAAGCAGGTGACATACAACCAGACCTCGAAGGAACGAGGTTGGCGATCCGCGGCTGTGGACACGACCACCTGCAAGTGTCTCGTCGGCTCGGAACAGACGCTGATCAAGCATCGACGCCAAGCATGGCCAGCTGGTTGTGTACTCAGTATTGCACTTTTGGTGCAATTGATATCCGGGGTTGCCGCGCAATCGTTCACCGAGAACGAGCGGCTCTGCATACGTTACCCCCGCCAGAGACAGTAGTCTGACGTCGTTGGAGGTAATTTGAGAGCGCAAGATTAATGGACTCCCGACAAATTGCGCAGCTCAAGCAGACTCGACAGGGTGAGATCGAAGCTTGTCCATGATGGTATCGACAGCTTCCATGTCACCAGCATCGGTCTTCTCTGTAGGGTAGCCCTCCGGCAGAGACTTGACGAGTTCGTTCATGGCGGGCTGGTAATTGCGCACAGCAGATGAAAGCGCGTAAACAGACTTCTTCCGAGCCGCGGCGTTGGGGTCCGCGGTGGCCATGGAGACCAGATCTGGGATCGCATTCAATACGACGAGCTGGTGAAGAAAATACGTCAAAGGTCAGTGGCGGTCGGATGGAATCAACGAGATGCATAACGGAGATTCACTTGTGATAGACACATACCTTGTCCTGAGCCTTTTCATTATTTTGCACCGCGGTCCCAATACACCACGCGGCCATACGGCGCATCTCAGCCTCTTCATGCTTGAGCAACCGAACCAGGGGAGTCCACAGGCCCAAAGGCTCGAGGTTGTTGGCATTATCGATGCCCTCGATGAGTTGTTCAAAGTTGTCAAAAGCAATAAGCTTGTTCTCCAGGTCAGACTCGTCCGAGTGCAGCACTTCCATGGCGGCTTTCATCAGGTCAGCATCCGAGGGCCCGCCCATCAGCGCATTGATCATGTCCGGGGTGAGATTGCGCGAGGCTTCGGCGGCGCTGGGAGGGGCCGTGACGCTGCCGTCGGCATTTTGCTGTTGAGAGTTTTGGACGCTCCATTTGAGGAGCTTGTTCATTGTGGGATCCATGGCGTGAGGGTGTCAGGTGAGAAAGGCTGCTTCACTCCTTACTCCTTGGGCAAGTCTTGACGCGCTGTGTTTGAGACTCGTTTTTTCTGAAAGATGGGTCACCGTCGTGATTTTTGCAGATGCGCTGTCGGTCTTGCAAGATCGTCGGTTTTGACCATATGAAGCTCCCAGCCAGCGCTTATCTAATCTGCGATGGTGGGGCTTTCGGAATGCACCAGATGCTTCGTGGGTGACCCAGCGTATTCGACAGGCGACATGGGACTGTCATGTGACCTTTTGCGCGTATTCGTAAAGTTTCGTATGGTGAGGGCATCACGTGTGTCACGTGCATCTCTCTCTCCCCACGTGACCTGACCAGCCTCCTCCGGGCTTACGGGGAAATGGCGGTAAACTGGTTGGGGCCACGCTGGGGCCACACCCGAACCATGTTTCTTTGGTGATGGTCTGGAGGGGGATGGCTTGCGTGGATGCTGTGTCGTTTCGCCTCTGTGGACCATGGACTCTGGACTCGGGACACTAGACGTCTTCTCTTGCCTCTTTGGAGCCTGGCCCTGTCGACTGCCAAGTCACCTTGTCACTTAGGTGAAGCGGTACACCACTAACTTGATGGCTTCACGGCATGGTGGCGGGAACGTGGGAGGCCTTTACGCAGTCCTCGGATCATCCTGTGGACACTCGTACAAGCCTGCAAGCCTGCAAGGGCCATGAGGCTGTCGCCTATGACGCCAGTCTTGAGCCTGGGTCCTCACCAAGGTCCAGGACCCAGGATCGTCTGTACCATTCAAGTACCTTGCTAGGGTCGGAGGGGGCTCTTGAGGCAGTGCTCGACTCTGCCAGTAACTACCACGCAGTGTGCCATCCTGCGATCGGGCTCGCGCTTCTATACTTAGCAGTGACCTTCCCCCCCTTTTTTATGGGGGGCTGCCTTCCACGTCAAGGCCACCGGCAGAACTCAATCGTGAGCGACCAGCCCCCCCTTTGGGTACTCGTGCTGGGTTGGTATTTCCCCCCGCCCCTGCCACCCACGCGAGATTCCGAGATTCCAGGTTGAGAACGGGAACGGGATTGTCGGGAGCCTGTTCTCAGTTCACCACTATCTCTCTGGAGGAGAACTTGGACCAAAGAGGAATAGAGTCTGGAGTTCTGGACCAGTTGGGCTCGGATCCCGGCTTGATGGTCGCTTACGTAGGGACACAGCCCATCCATCATCATGGCTGATGGATGACCTTGGGTGGTTGACCTTTGAGAGAGGCAGAGGGGGAGAGTGTGAGAAAGTGGCAGAGGCAAAAATGTCATGGAGCAGAGCCGCACCCTGACATGAACCATATTTGATGATATTTGATCTGCCTGGTAGGCAGTATCATTCTTGCCAGAGGCTCGTGTCCACGATGGCAGTAGTTGTCCCCTTGCGCCGTGTCACTCTCCGAGTGTATACGCAACGAGGAGCGTCAGAACGTGATCTGAATCAGCCTCTGCCTCGAGAGTAGACCAATCAGTGATCGATCGACTACTTGATGTGTCTGCCTTGGAAGTGACGAACCCTCTTGACGATAGCATCTGTAGCTCCGTGATGCACGCACCATTGCCGACATGGAAGGGGATAGGCGTTCATGGTGAATAGACAAATTCGATCTGGAGTAAGTGATGAGCATGAATCGACTATAAATGCCGAGGAGCAACGCTGCCTGTGAAAGTCTGGAATCTGGAATCCAGCAAGAGTCTGAACGAGAGAGACCGAAACAACAAACAAATACCCACCGCAGCCAGACCGACTGGACTGGACCATCCTCTACAGTACTTGTTTATTCGTGCAAACAGTGTATACTGTATAGCCTATACTATTGAGTATTGACTATTCACTTATAGTACGTTCCAAGCAATGTGCTCCAGCACTGTGATCGTAGTCACTTCCCCCAAGTGGACGCAGAGACCCAGTCACTGCTAAGTCTGTTATTGCCAGTCACCACCGGACCCAATCGAGCGATTCCCACGCCTGGCAACCCAGTCACGCCCAAACGGGGACCAGCACAAAGTCACAAACCAACCAAACCAGAAAAAAAACCCGCCCCTCTCCACTCTTCGCTCTGCTTCCTTTCTCTCCCTCTCTCTCTCTCCCGGACCCCCCCCCCCCCCCTTACCCAAACTCCAAACCCGGACCCTCTCTTCCTCTCTCCCATATACCCTTCTTCCCATCTTTCCCCCCTCTTCCCCCCTCGCCCTTGAGCTCATCCATCCACCCTTTCTACTCTAGTCCTACATCTCATTCACAATGGAAGGTACGTTATCGCCATCCAGCTTCTCATGCTGTTATCCATCAGTGGCAATTCCTCCTCCGCCTCAGCCTCCATTGTGGCCACCTCACCGTTCCCCCGAGCCGCCCCTCCAGAGCTCTCGGGGGGCCACCGGCTGGACAAAGCTGACGTGACGTCCAATGCCCTGCACCAAACCCCCCTCCAGCCGACCAAGATGGTGAAATACAAAGGTCAAATGCTAATACATAGTGGTCTCATACAGAGGAAGTTGCTGCTCTCGTCATTGACAATGGGTATGTGATGAACGTCGATGGCGTGGGATGGTCGCCTGCCAGAGCTGGTCGGGACGGGTGTTTGGCTCGCTCTCTCTCTCTTTCGTCAAGCCGCCCCGGTCGCGGTCCCGACCTCATCCACCCACACCACCATGACTGAATTGGTCACCGATGGTCCATGAGTACTTCAATGGTAGCCCATGACCATGCTCTGGCAGTCTCATCTCACGCTCCCTCCAATTGCCTGCTCGTCGCAATGCAATGGGTTCAGTTACTGATGTCTCGATAGCTCGGGTATGTGTAAGGCCGGTTTCGCCGGTGATGACGCCCCTCGAGCTGTTTTCCGTAAGTGATTTCCCCCTTCAGTGCCTTTCTCTGGTTGTCTTCCCTCGATGTCTTCAATCTGGGATCCCCCACGAGGTCCTTGATTATAATGACCGTGTTCCCCTCGTGGATCGACCATCCCACTATCACCCTTGCGTCGGCTCGTGTCGGCAAGTGTGGGATGGTCCAAACACGGTTCGCCAGTTGGGCAGGGTCCTCGAGTCTCGAGGGCCACCCAAATGATATGCAGACATCGGGGAGAGACAAACCATCAAACACTGAATCCATTTCGATTCCTCATCATATTTCACATATTGACTCATAATCTGCAGCCTCCATTGTCGGTCGTCCCCGTCACCATGGGTAAATTTCCCCCTCACCGTTTGCTTGGTTTTTTTGGGGGGGTTGGGTGTGATTTGATCACCCCCACCCTCCGTCTCTGCCTCTCTCTCTCTCTCTCTCTCTCTTTTCAATGCTCCTGGGTCCAAGGTCGTCTGCAATTACAGTGCATTCGATCGCAAGTGCTACGTATTCATGATTGACCAGGACTTTGCGGAGTGAAAAAATGCCACCCTCTTTGTTTCTGACTGTTTGAGGGGGGACTTCTGGCTAATCTCGTCTTTCATTTCTCAGTATCATGATTGGTATGGGTCAGAAGGACTCCTATGTCGGTGATGAGGCACAGTCCAAGCGTGGTATCCTGACCCTCCGCTACCCCATTGAGCACGGTGTTGTCACCAACTGGGACGACATGGAGAAGATCTGGCACCACACTTTCTACAACGAGCTCCGCGTGGCTCCCGAGGAGCACCCCATCCTCTTGACTGAGGCTCCCATCAACCCCAAGTCCAACCGTGAGAAGATGACCCAGATCGTCTTCGAGACCTTCAACGCCCCCGCCTTCTACGTCTCCATCCAGGCTGTTCTGTCCCTGTATGCTTCCGGTCGTACCACCGGTATCGTTCTGGACTCTGGTGATGGTGTCACTCACGTTGTCCCCATCTACGAGGGTTTCTCTCTGCCCCACGCTATCTCCCGTATCGATATGGCTGGTCGTGACTTGACCGACTACCTCATGAAGATCCTCGCTGAGCGCGGTTACACTTTCTCCACCACCGCCGAGCGTGAAATCGTCCGTGACATCAAGGAGAAGCTTTGCTACGTCGCCCTCGACTTTGAGCAGGAGATTCAGACCGCTTCCCAGTCCTCCAGCCTGGAGAAGTCCTACGAACTGCCCGACGGACAGGTCATCACCATCGGTAACGAGCGCTTCCGTGCTCCCGAGGCCCTCTTCCAGCCCAACGTTCTGGGTCTGGAGTCTGGCGGTATCCATGTCACCACCTTCAACTCTATCATGAAGTGTGATGTTGATGTCCGTAAGGATCTGTATGGCAACATTGTCATGGTAAGCCTCTCTCTCTCTCTCTCTCTCGCATTATATCACGTTTCCTCAGTCATTGCGCTCTTTTTTTTTCATTTGATTTTTTTGGGCGGGCTGGGTAAAGACTAACCTAAATGCTTTCCCTCTCTTCTAGTCTGGTGGTACCACTATGTACCCCGGTATCTCCGACCGTATGCAGAAGGAGATCACTGCTCTTGCTCCTTCTTCCATGAAGGTCAAGATCATTGCTCCCCCCGAGCGCAAGTACTCCGTCTGGATCGGTGGTTCCATTCTCGCCTCCCTCTCCACCTTCCAGCAGATGTGGATCTCCAAGCAGGAGTACGACGAGAGCGGTCCTTCGATCGTTCACCGCAAGTGCTTCTAAGCTGCTTCACTGTTTTTTCCTCTTCGAAGCTTTGATTGTGGTCGCTCATACTTTCCTGGTGTATCAAAAGGCAGGATGGAGATATTGGTGGATCGCAAGCGTTGTTGGACTCGCATTATCAAGCGGATAGCCTGAAAATGGAAACTATTTTTTTCAATTTTTTTTTATCACAGTTTTCACCTTCTTTGAAGTTTGATCCCAGTGTAGTGATTGGAAGCCTTTAATCATTGTGCATGACTCGATTTCCTCCCTCAGTGAAGTGACGTTTGGCATCCAGGTTCCTTTTGATCGACGGTCCTGTCCTTGACTCTTTGTTCTCTCTTGGACTCGGCCGGTTCCTAACTTCCTCCCCATCCTCTACTAGCATCCCCCACTACCTAGAAATCACCTTTAATCACTCAACTACCTAGCCATTCCAACCACCTAACTCACCGAACTGCCACCTACGTAGCTACTCCCAACCTTACCAACGCAAACCCCTCATCTCTGACTTCAAAACCACCAAGTCTTTATTCCTATAGAACGAGTTCTGTCTCGCGGTCTTGACGATCCTTGACATGTACACATTCTTGAACCCTGCTCAGAATGCACCATCCCAAGTATCCCGTCGTCTGGTGAGTCATTTGACATGGTACTTACTAAGTACTGAGTAGTGAGTACTAGGTTCATGCTCTCCTTAATCTTTACTAGCTTCGAAGCTCAAGACTCGAGATTCGCCACGAAGCATGTATGTCGCTAAATTGGCAGATATGTAGGTCCTAGGTACATACTACCTTCCTCACGCTTACGTGCGTACTGCGTAGTACGTACTCCTCCATGTCTCCAAGCCACCGATAGGTCTCTCGGCGTGTATCTCGCTCTTAAAAGGCTGGAGGTCAGTGGTCCTTGCTTTGTCGGATAGACGGTAAGTGTAGCTTAGATATGAGTGTAATGTATTTGTGAAGTGATTCGCGGCTCTTGGCTGCAGCTGAAAGGTGCGAGTTCTAGCTGGAGGTGCTGGCTCGGACCTGGGTAAGGGCCGAGTTCATGGAGGAATCAGACCCACGCGAGGTGTGTTTTTGATATGGGCTGGTATACCTTGGGCGCGCACTTGGGTAACTACCAAGGTATGTAGGATCCGATTGATCTTCGGATACAGTAGTCAGGTCCATATATGGATGGGGACCAGGTGGAACTTGGTATCCATTTTCAGGTGGTATCTCCAACTGCGTGGTCAGTGGTGTATGTCTCACACGTGAGCCCTAGGTTGCTCGAGATGGGCGCAGCAGGACGAGTCAACAATACCTGCAGGTGACGGTCGGCAGTTGGCAGTTGAATCAGGAACGCTGTAAGGTGAGTAGATTTGGTTGTAAGAGGATGATGCACTTATTTTTGCCTACTTTGATATCGGGCTCAGTTTCTTAGGGAAAAATCCTAGTATCATTCATCTCGAGGCCATCACAAGCCTTTCAGTTTTCACGGTCACCATGACCGGCATCAAACGTAACAACAACCAACCTTCCAGTATGTAAGAACCAAAAAAAAACATCTCGTAAACACCGACTCAGAATGAGTATCGCAACACGGAATATACAACAGAAAGTACCATTTTCTCAGATCAAAACGTTATAATTGAGAAGAGGAAAGAAAGAACAACAGCTCTGAGAATGCCTTTCAAGGCGATGTTCATGCGCTCCACGACTCCAGGCCGCTGAGAACGCAGCCCTCCTCACCCTCGACACGAGCACGGAGCTCACCAACACGGTAAACCGTCTCACCAGCAGCCTCAAAGTTCTGACGAACGGCAGCCTCGGAGGCGGGATCAACGGCAATCACCATGCCGACACCGCAGTTGAACGCGCGGGCCATCTCCGCCGGGGAGACGTTACCGGAACGCTGCAACCACTGGAAGACGGGGGGTTGCGGCCACATGCTGACATCAACGGCCGCGGTGAGAGTGGAAGGCAACATACGGGGAATGTTCTCGACCAGACCGCCGCCGGTGATGTGAGCCAGACCCTTGATGGCGGTGGAGTGGGCCTTGAGGGCAGCCAGGATGGGCTTGACGTAGATCCGGGTAGGGGTGAGAAGGGCACGACCCAAAGAGAGCTCTTCAGTCTGTCCGGGCATGGTGAAGGGGGCGGGAGCCGCGAAGTCCAGACCGGTACGCTCGACGATCTTGCGCACGAGCGAGTAGCCGTTGGAGTGAGGGCCAGATGAAGCCAGGGCCAAAAGCACATCACCGGAGCGCATGGCGTTGGTATCGGGCAGGATGGTACGAGCATAGGGACCGCTGGTGTTGATGGCACCAACAGCCGCACCAACCGCATCGTAAGTGTCGTCGATGAACAGACCAGGCATCTCGGCAGTTTCACCACCGATCAAAGCGCAACCAGCTTGCACACAGCCATTGGCCACACCAGTGACGAATGCGGTGGCAGTGGGAACATCCAGGTGGCCACATGAGTAGCAATCGAGGAAGAATAGGGGCTCAGCACCCTGCACAACCAAGTCGTTGACGTTCATGGCAACCAAATCAATACCGACAGTATCATGAATACCCACAGTGTGAGCGATCTTCAGCTTAGTACCAACACCATCGATAGCACCAATCAGTGTCGGTGAGTCGGCGTGGTACTCTGGGTTGGCCGCAGCCAGAGAGAAGAGACCGCCAAAGCCACCGATGACGGCGTCGGTACCGGGTCGCTTGGTACGGCCAACACAGGACTTGATCTGGTTGACAAGGTCATTGCCGGCATCGATGGAGACACCGGCGGCCGCGTAGGTCAAAGAAGTATCGGCAGATTGACGGAAGGCACGGTGAGCAATGTCCTTGCGGAAGAACATGCCATCAAAGTGAATAGTGGCAATACCCTCGTAACTCTTGGCGACAGCTTCCTCCAGAGTAGCCGCAGTAGCGGTGGCAGCAATGACACGACCGCCAGAGGTCTGCAGCTCGTTACCAGCCAGAGCCGTGCCGGCATGGAAGATCAACGATCCAGCGGGCGTAGGGTCCAAGGTGATGGGGGTTCCCTTGGCGTAAGAACCGGGGTAGCCACCGGCGACAGCAACAACGGTGGTAGAGTAGTTAGGCTCGACCTTGATGGTGACACCGTCCAGCCAGTGCTCGGTACAGGCAATCATGATTTGAGCCAAGTCGGTGTCCGCGCTGAGAAGAGGTAGGAGAGTCTGAGTCTCAGGGTCTCCTCCACGAACGTTATACTCCAGCACCTTGGGACCGTTCTTGGTCATCATCAGTCCGGTGAAGAGGATTCCGACAAAGGGGAACCCTGCCATGTATCAGAATGATGTACTTCGTTTTTAATTTGGGAGACTATTCGAGAACATACCGTCTCGTCGCATGCCATCAATTGAAGGCTGGATGATTGTGCGATCGATCTCATCACGCACCTCCTTGGGAGCAATGCGGGTAGGAGCGTAGCAGCCCATACCACCAGTGTTGGGGCCCTGATCCCCGTCAAAGATGCGCTTGTGATCCTGAGCAGGGGGAAGAGAGTAGATCGTGTAACCGTCACTGAAAGTGAGGATGCTCAATTCATCGCCCTCCAAGCACTCCTCGATGACGACCTCATCACCAGCACTGCCGAACTGGTGATCAACCATCATCTCCTTCAAGGCCTTGTGTGCCTCGTCCTTGGTTGCCGGAATGATCACACCCTTGCCAGCAGCCAGACCACTGGCCTTGATCACAACATTGTGGGAAACAGAGTCGAGGTAGCGGCGGGCGGACTCATAGTCGGAGAAGTTACCAAAGGCGGCAGTCGGGATGTTGTGGCGCTGCATGAAGTCCTTGGAAAAGGTCTTGGAGCCTTCCATGCGGGCAGCAGCCTTGGATGGACCAAAGCAGCGAATGCCAACTATGAAGCGAACAGGAGCGAAACAATGTCAGTCAATGAGTTCTGTACGAGTCATGTGGGTGACAAGCTGGGTAGAATCTTACCGGCCTGGAAGTATCCTTGGATACCATCGACAAGAGGCGCCTCGGGACCGGGAACGACGAGGTTCACGCCATTCTTCTGCGCGAAAGCCACGAGGCCAGGGTAGTCATCTCCCTTGACATTGGCGTTGGCGATCTTGCTGGAAGCGCCCAGACCAGTGCCTCCGTTGCCGGGAGCGACATAGACCTGGTCGACGAGAGGCGACTGGCTGAGCTTCCAGGCCAACGCATGCTCACGGCCACCGTTGCCAACAATGAGAACGCGCACTTGTTCCTGGGCCATTATGAGGTGCAGTGTCTCGAACGACTGGGGAGTTGTGAGGTTAGCGATTGAGATATGTTTCAATGTTGGAGTCCACCGCGGGGTATCAATGCCCCTCAAAGGTTGACGGATAAGACCAAGATCATTGCAATTGATTGGGGATTCTCAATGCAGAGACGTCCACGTCAACAGGAAAATGCTAAATTTCAAGAAGTGCTTACCTCGCCGAAACAAATCTGAGGAACAACTGCGGAAAAAAGTAGAAAGTGGGTTGTGAGTTTGAAGCTTAATCGCTCACACTTTTTTTTCTGCCGGCGGGCGGGATTTTCTCCGGCGTCGGGTACCCGTTATGACTCCTCCTCCTCCATTCCTCCAGTTCCGCGAGGAAAGGCGGGCGAAGATGGAGACGGTTCTCTCTGCTTGGACGTTCGGGTGACTGTGCGCCCGGAGGGACGGTGGGTCAGCCATCAGGGTGGGCAATCTGGAGGCCGACGAGCAAAATGTTGGTGCACTGGCATCCACTGGTTTGATTGCTGGTGAAGCAACGGCGTCGTGGACGGCGTAACGTGAGATCCCTACGAGTATGGAATTCGGTTATGAGAGATTTTTGGTACTCGATACTTCATCTCCACCAGCTACTAGCTACCTACTAGCTAGTAACTACCTAGTGACTAGCGTTGAAAGGTAACTTTTTTTGGCTTGCTTGGTCGTCAAATTGCAAAAGGTTTCTACCGTTCTCAGTGACAACAATCCGAACAAGAAACTGGATTGTTAACATCAATAGAAAGCGTCACTGGCTATGGCCAAACATCTGGCTAGTCCGACACTCTGCAAATCCTGTCATTCTTCATGGCAAGAAGCAAAAGCATATCCAACTTATGCTTCACATTTGGAACTTGGAGAGATGGAAAACTTCCCAATGGGGAAGATTATGCCTGAGGCGGTCAGACAGTATCCGGGCGGTGACGCGAAGCAGAAAAAACATCTGGTCGGCGCGCGAATCTAACAGCCTTGAGGCCGGTCACAGGTCAAAGTCCCGTCGAATCTTATTACTTCCGGGCATTGTTCAAATTACTCCCCTGCATTCCGTGGGCCATTTCTTGTTCCGTATGTTTCGGGCATCTCTTCGGTCTGTATCAGACCCTCTTCGTGATAATGTCTGTTGGTCTTGTTTAGCGCGGCGGCGTTTTGCCGCGCCGACAGGTCTGCGCCGATTCCAACCTGTTCCTCTGCACCGAGCCCAGTTTGGCACTAGGCATGGCAAGCTTCTCTCCGCAAATGCCCAGGAGGCATCGACGGCGACAGCACCGGAGCCGGAAGATCTTCCAAAGGTGAGTTGACATCCTTGTTCAGCATTGTGTCCCCGCTACAGCTTGTGCAGTGATGCTAAGGTATCTCGTCATTAGCACATCTCTCAACAAGGCGAAGCTTCAGGAGACGCTGCAAATAACAAGGACCGATCCAGAAAACCCTCAGCCGAAAATGGGTCATCCCCACACCCTCAAGCGGTGGCGAGGAGAGCGAGGCGAGCAGCTAGACAGCGGGACCAGCAACGAACGAAAGAGAATGACGAGGCCGGTGATAAAGATGCCAAACAGGGACCGAGTCCCGCAAGTAAACGCAAAGCGGCCATCGAGAAAGTCAACCAAATATTGGACGAGAAGGCCGCACCCAAGAAGGGACCTCGAGGGCCCAAAGGCAAGCTCTCTCATGTGGCCAACTTCATCAGCGAAAAGCACACTGGAGTGATTGACGCGGAAAAGGACAAATTAAAAGGTGAGATATGAGTCGAAATGAGCAAAATAGTCTGGGGATGGTAACTAAGTTCAACAAGCTTTGGATGTCCCCATGGCTCCTGTGCCAGGTCTATCCTTTGGCCTCGACCGAGTTCTTTTCAAGTGAGAAACCCCGATGCACCCCCATCTGCATGGCCTTTTGATCTGACAGCCCATCTATAGCCCGGGTGTCTATCAGCTGCGAGACCCTCGATCGCGAGTCTACAACTTTGACCCATACCTGGGCCAGATTATGCCCGTCACCGAGTTCGACTTCAACGCATTGAAGGAATACATCACATCGTCCAAAGATGATACTCTACGGAGCCATGCGATCAAAGAGAAGAAGAAATACAGCGGCTCATCTTCCAGCATGACATCTGTTCTCTCCCAGTTCCACTATCTTCTTTCTGCGTGGCGGGGCATTGACACTCGCACCTTGTCTCAGGGATTCCCAGACAAACTCCGTTCATTCACTCGTCTTCTCCGATCCCCAGCGGCGATGTTCCTACATTACCAAGACGGTGTGTACGCCATTGATGCAGACAAGGAGTTTGACTCGGCCAACATCCTCATGAACCTGGGCAAGTCGATGGAAAAGCTTCTGACTATGCCAAAGGAGGATTTTGAGCGGTACCGACGGTCAAGCGATAACAAAATCTCACCTGAGGAGGAGCAAGCAATCCCGGAGTCGTACCACTATTCGACCTACAAAGACTTCATAATGCGCTCACAGTTGGACGCGTATGACCCCCGTCTCCCGGGTACTGGCATGTTTGACCTGAAGACTCGCGCTGTCGTTTCCATCCGCATGGATGCCAAGAATTTCGAGCATGGTCTGGGTTATGAGATTAAGACACGCTTCGGAGACTTTGAATCCTACGAGCGTGAGTTCTACGATATGATCCGTGCCGCTTTCTTGAAGTATTCTCTTCAAGTTCGCATCGGACGTATGGATGGTATCTTCGTGGCCTTCCACAATGTTGAGCGTATCTTTGGATTCCAATACATCAGTCTCCCTGAGATGGACCAGACTCTGCACGGAACATCAAACACTGCTCTCGGAGACAAGGAGTTCGAGCTGAGTCTGGGCTTGTGGAATGAGATTTTGAACAAAGCAACGGCGAAATACCCCGAGCAATCACTTCGATTCCACTTTGAGACTCGGGACGCGGCAACCCCTTTCATGTATATCTTTTGTGAGCCTGTCACGAGCGAGGAGATTCAAGCCATCCAAACCTCCAAGAAGGCTGAAATCGATGCTTATCAGCAGCGTCTTCTCAACCTCAAACCCAGTGAAGACGACAGCGACCTCGACGTTGCCCCGGTCGAAGAGACACCCGTGACGCCGGCGCCGGAGACAGAGACCGAAGACTCTGCCCCGAAGGGCGAGCTTCTTGCCATGGCCCTGACCATCCGTAACAAGGTCAATGGAGAGGTCGTTGATCGACCCACTGAAAGCTTCAGTGCCAGCGACAAGTGGGAAGTTGAGTACGAGATCAGTGACCTTTCGCCCGCCCAAGGGCACTCCCTTTACAAGATGTGCAAGACTCGTCGGATGAGAGGTCTCGAAGGTCGAGGCGAGGACGAACTCGAAGTCGCTAGCAATGTGTATATTCGCCGGCTTCGTCAGATCAGCAAGGAGGGACGCAAACATCGCGAGCGTGAGAATCAGCTCGATAAGGAGCTTGGCGTGGTCGTGTTGGATGAGGGTGTGAAGGACAAGAGCTCCAAGTGAGACTCCTGTGCGCAGAAAACTCCCCGAGTTCCCGAAAATCAATTGGATCGTGGATGGCGTAGCATGACTTCTCTTAGAACGTCTTGCTTGCCACTTCTTGTCTTCCATCGAAGGTTTCCGCTTTTACATGTATATTACTAGATATGATTCCCCGTTCTGTATCTTCTTTCAAGGGCCACTGGCGGCACGGGTTTGTTCGCAACATCTACATGGCAATGTCCGGCGTTTTGGAGAAGAAGTTGTTTTGCTTTGGATTGGGTCGAAGAAGGGAGCACTCACTGCTCTGGAGTTTGTAAAGATTCGACGAGAGCTTCCTCCATAGCGTCTATATTCAGCTCGGTGGATTGATCATCTCCGTATCACCGAGCCCCTGTTTGACGTGTTCTGCCCCAGTCCTGAGTCTACTACTCTACAGACAGGGCTGTCTATGAACATCCTCAGGCGGTCAGGCCTAGTATGCCGCGGAGGTGGTCACCAACCCGCAGGTATTGAGGTGTTTGTACACATACAGCATCGAATGAATGCCTTGCTTATTTAAAGACCCAGGTGGTGGTTCCCGCCTAACACGGCCAGGTAGTTTCAGCTCTCGATCAGATCTCGACACTGCGAGACTCCTTCACCTGCGTGGCATCTTCATGAAAGGTAGCGCCAAACTCTATCATTACCTGGATTCTTTCATCCAGAGTCATCGCCGAACTTATTCTCCCATAATCCCTGGGCAATCCTTCACAGTCTCGTACCTCAATACCTTATATGTCACAAAAGTCTGTCTTGGAAACATATGAGGCCTTTGGATCTATGCAAAGATTTTGTTCGGAGATAGAATGCCGCCTCGAGCTGACGGAGCTAGACAGGAAGCTTGGCATGGTGGTCAATCTTTTGGCCTAGTCGATTATCAAGCGGGCTCGGCGCATGTCCCAATATCGGGATATTCGTGAGGGGATTCGTCGAGCCTATTACTCAGTTAAGACATGGAGATGTGATATCGTAGCTTTGCTCTGTACGACTACGGTGAAGCATCAGGTGGCGGCGCAAACTGAGAAATTGGAAAAACATGCAGAAACAGCCAACTATTTTGCTGGGGGGCAAGTGCCAAGAAGTTCCACCACGGAAGCCCGCTGAATGAGATCTTTCCTTCCGCCGGGCCGCAGCGAAGACTGGGTACAACTGGATCCATTTGCAAGTGGCTTTCTTCTGGCCAAGTGTGTTCACGCAGTGCCTTGATCAACAATTCAGCTTCAAACAGATGGGTCAAGCGCTGTCGGTTGGGGTCTGCGTCGTTACGGCACCAAAGAGGGTCATAAGTCATGGAGCCCCGGACAGAGCAGCTTGTTCAAAACTCAGGGAATTCGGAAGATACCCACGGTACTTTCTCCTTCCCGGGCAACCCACCCATATATGGATGTTCAAGTAGAGTTGTGAGTCGTTTTCAACGAGATTCGCGATTCTATCATTCCGTCGATCGAAAGTCACATAGGCCGTACCTAACAACTCAGTCCACACGCATACGACAATCTACCGCCCAGTTTCGACGATCTTCCAGAGAAGCTACCTTCTATACAGCGAGCAAAGAGCGTTCGTCTTCATATCTAGGAAACACACGTCGAGATTTCCTCGGAAATACCGAGAAATAGGTTGACAGTGGGCCCAAGAAACGAAGTTACTGGCTCGAGGGAAAAGCTGGCATCAGAAAAATCACCGTTGCTCGGACCCGAGCCTGCAAGTATGACAAACTCGGGCACCTTGGAGCGAGTGGTTTCTTTTCTCGAAATGGAGATGATCTCAGATCTGCTAAGAAAATTGCTACCTCGGTCGCCTCTCAACTTGCTGACGCTTTCCCGGATGTCCGAACACTCGTGAATGATGCGATCGCTGCCAACAGGCGAGTCCACAATCGAGCATTGTACGAACAGTGGCATGAGCTGATCATTGAGCCACTGAGACGACTGAAAATGAGTGGAAATCCACCTGGAGTTCACATCTTGGTTGACGCGATAGATGAATGCGACAAGGATGAGAATGTCTCCTTGCTCATTCAAGGCCTGGTTGTGGACACTGCCATTTGAATCCATTGTTGGATGTGCCCGCTGATACCCGGCCCATTCGCATGCTCCATCCATCCGTTCGAGACTTTTCTTTAGACCCAGACATCTTTCATCTTCTAAGACTAGCCTCGTCTTAGATCGTGGTGTCTTGGAACATGCCGGGGTAAATGATCCCTCACAACAAAATATTTACGCTTCTTGCAACCAGGTCCGAGAAGGTGGTGAAGATATTGTGTTTCTTCATTCTGACTATAGAAAAGATCTATTTTTCGTTTCTGGGGATACGATGATTTTCTGTATTAACTCGTGCCATAGATTCTGTTCGACAACTCGATCTTTTTTCCAGATCGATGACTGAGGAATGAAAGCGGATCCATCTTTGGGTGGTATACTTTGTCGGGAAGCCCGGCTCAAACACCGATGGTCTTGAAGGGAGTAAGTCAATCGAATGTAAGCCGTAGGAAGAATGAAACGCGCCCTACAGGGTGATGTATTGACACATTGCCAGAATCGAGATTGGGCTAAGAATGATAATTCAGAGTGTATAGAAAATGATAGAGCAGTGGAATTCGGGTGACAGACTGGACTAGGTCTATCTAAGACTAAGTAAACTTTGAGAGCTTGAATTAGTCTGCCGGCTAGAACTGGTAGATGGACATAAGTATCTGGGCTAGAGCCCGCATGGGCTTCTTGCGTTCTGCAGGCCTTCCCCTTTCCAGTTCTCATTAGGTCTTCCTGGACCGCTTCAACAAGTCTACATCCCGTCGTCTGAGCTGTTTATGTCTGCGCAAAACCCTATAGTTCGCTTGATACCCAATCAACAGAAAAGTCACATTCGAGGACCATGTACTGGGCCCCAAGTCTTCATTTCTGGACGCATCGCCCCAGTTCATAAAAGAATGAGACTACCCCTTGACCCTAAGCATTTGGCATAGCTTTCTTGTCCTTCTTGATCGTCTTCCATTCCATCGTTAGACAGGGCAAGACCATGCAGCAAGATACAGCTACAGTCACGATGAAAGAACGTCGCAGCGCCTCATTATAGACCAGCAAAATATCATGGAGCTTCCCCATAGGAACGACCTTTGACAAGCTAGTCGCACCGGCAGCCAGAACTTTCGCCGCATCGATACCATCGATGAGAGGTATTTTAGCGCTGAGATAATTTTGGAAGAGTGCCTGGGCGACAGCGATGAAGATTGCACCACCTAGAGACTGCGCGAAGAACATGAGCGAGATGCCAACGGGGACTTGATCTTGTTTCAAGACAGTTTGCGCTGCAAGTGATGATTGTTGCATTCCGAAGCCGATTCCCAACCCGAATAAAACTTGGTATCCGATCCAGGCAGCATGGTCGGTGTCGAGTTGGAAAGTTGTCATTAGGCCCGCCCCGGTGGACATGAAGATGGCGGCCACGAACATCCACGGGACATAGTATCCTGTCGCGGTGATGATTCCTCCGGAAAGGATTGCCCCGATTACGAGTGAGAGGACGAGGGGAATTGTATCGACGCCGGATTTGACGGCCGATGTGCTTCGTACGGCTTGGAACCAGAGTGGAAGTGTGTAGAGGATCGAGATGAGTCCGCCTCCGACGCACGCCACAAAGACAACTCCACTAAGAATACTGCGCTGTTTGAGGATTGCCGAAGGAACGGTAGCGGTGTCTTTTAGTTGGATTTGGACGAGCACGAACAGAATCATCAAAAGACCGGACAGCACAAGGAGTGCGATGATGCGCCCGTTGTCCCAGGCGTAAGTTGAGCCACCCCACTGCAAAGCAAGCAAGAAGCAGATGATTGAGGGTAGAAACAATACAGTGCCGAGTGGATCGAGACCCAGAAGTTGTTGCTTCCACCCACTCGATTGAAGGACGCGAGGTGCTGGAACTCTCAGCAAGAAGAACAGCACGATCATAGTGAATCCCCCAATGGGAAGATTGATATAAAAACACCATCGCCAGGTGACCTTATCCGTGAAAGCACCACCCATCAATGGCCCAACAATCGACGAGATGCCAAATGTTGATCCCATCAAGCCAACGTACATGGGCCGTTTGGCCAGTGGGACAATCTGTGCAACAATGATCGACGATCCTGAGAATATACCTGCAGAGCCCATTCCGGCAATCGCTCGTCCAACTATGAAGGCTTTGGAAGATGGTGCACCGCCGCATAGAGCGGATCCGACTTCGAAGATGAGGATCGCGATTAAGAATATCGTTTTTGTCGAGTAGAGCGTGTAGATTTTGCCCCAGAGCAATTGGGTTGCACAGCTTGTGAGCAGATATGCGCTGGCATACCAGCTGATGTCTGAGAGAGCGTTGAACTGATTGGCGATCTGGGGGACGGCTGTCGCGATGATTGTCCGATCCTATGTTGATGCACGGGGATGTCAGTTGACTAATTCAATCCTGGTGGTCAAATATTCCCAAAACATTGGAAGAGGGTTCGCACCAAAGCAACCAGGAACATGGCCATGATAATGGAAGTGAAAATGACTTTCAGCTTCATTCCTGTTGGGTACTGCGCATCATCTTCTGGAGAATCCGTAGCCGCCTCTTTGCTCTCTATAGATGGGCGAGATTGCTCGTTGAGGAGGTAGGCTTCTTGAGGCTTTGAGTTTGACATTTAGGATGATCTTGCGACTTGAAACAAGAATGAAAGGGCTGTGTGATCCGGTCTAAAGGCATTCTTGTAACAAGTTGCCCTTATACCGAGAGAGCGTAGTGTTTATATAACATCTTCACCATTGATGGTTGATGTGATGCTTGTCGCCCGCTAGCAGCATCCTCCGAGGGTCTCGGCGCCGAATACGAGATGCGTTTTTCATTTGTTACAGATGTAATACAGCCGCAGGGAAGCAAGCCAATCAGGACTACGGATTATCCGCAAACCCCCCACATATCAGGTGTATGCTTCGGCGCCGAAGCATCATTTCCGTACTATTACGTCTCTCCTTCGAGTCCGCTGTAAATCAACGAGTATGTGATTGAGATTTACAAACGCAGTATGTTTTGATTGACATGTGAACGGGGAATTGACAGCCTGCTCATGGTCTAGCTGAGAGTCCAGCCCGGAACCTTCAATCTATGCCTCGCTTGTCAGGAGAAAGCTCCGTCAATAGAAGGTTGGTTGAATGTTTACCCATGGAGCTCGAGCATCGTCCAAGCATGCCACATGTGTGTCTGTGGTTGGCTTTGGCTAAGATCCTCCCACCCTTTCGAGTTATAACTGGCAAAGGAATGGGAAAGATCTATTTCGAATCTTCGTGGTACCACCGCATACAAGCATTATTAACATTCGAATTCCTGCGCGAAATTGACTGATTTACAGGTCGACCACCTGCAGTGGTAGCAGATTTCCGCTATCACCATCCATTAAGTAGTTGAATCATTTAGGCTCCCGTCAGCCTCAGGTCTCGCCGAATACTTGATCATACTGCCTGGCCTCCTCCATTTTCTTCATTGACAAGCGCCCAGTCTTTGATCTCAAAACACCCGAGCGAGCATCTACCAGCGGTCGAATGAAAGCCTGCGCGCCACTTCCCTTCTCCTCTTTCTTCACCCTCTCCTTTGCCGTAGTTTCATGGTCACTTTGCTCTGTCTGATTCACCAAGAACCACGTATCTCCCAACCCCGTCGGCTCAATATTGATATAAATGGCCTCCCAATGTCCCTTGGGCACCACAAATGTCTCATGAAAGATCCCAATATGCGGACACTTCTTGGTGATATCGGCAAAGTACCGCACCCCCTTCATATGCGACTTCCCATACGCAAACCGGTGCAAAGACTCGTAATCGCGCAGGTAGAAGATCGTCAGGATCTCATTCCCGGCAACACTCTCCTGCTTCAAGAACTGGGACATTCCCAAAAGGCCCACTTTCTCCGGGTCCGCCTGCATCTCGCTCACCATGGCCGTGAACTCGTCGGCGATTCCCTTCATGCCTGGGGCGAGAAAGCCGAGCGGGTGGTGGCTGCGGACGCCGAGGTGGAAGACTACGATCTTGTCGCGGGACGGCTCGGTGCCGAATGTGCCGTTTGGGGGGGGGATTTGAGGACTTGCTTTGGCAAAGAGGACATGGTCGAGGTAGCGGTTGCGGGTGATGTTGAGGGTCATGAGGAGATGGTCGGTGACTCGGTAGATGAGGATGAGAAGGGCGGGAATGGTTGCGCGAGAGCCGAAGAGTAGACATGCCAGGCCTTGAATTACGGCGCCTAGGAGGAGCCAGCTGGTCAGGGACATGGCGTCCCGGATGACGGGGGTAAAAGATCCATTCTTGCGAGGAAACGGGATCGGAGTCCCTCGCTGATCTGGCTCGCTGGGAGGAACAATATGTGGTGGGAGGAGTGGGTTGAACGAGGAAGTCATCGCGATTTACTCCGCTGGAGAACGGAAATGTGGGCACTGGGCTGAGCCTTTGTTTGATCTGTGAGAAGAGCGGGGGTCAAGAGGTCGAGAGATTTCGGACAATTATAGTCCTCTGTGCTTGTAAGACGGTGATCGGATGAACATGATGGAGCCCGATCGGACAGACTGGGAGCCGAGCCTAATGGATGGAGTGTTTTTCCACCGTCGTACACTACACTCTACAGGGCTGGAGCTGACGGGAAGGCTGGAATGACTGGAACGACGCTTCGATGATAAGATCTGGGCGCATCACATGGCGAAACGCTTTCCGCCCGCCAACCGAGAAACTCAGCCGTTCAGGCGACAGCGTACAGCAGAAGGAGGAGAGAGTAAGCGAACAAAAATAGGACCAGGCAGAGAAAAAAACCGGACATCATGTTGAGAAACAGAGAAAGGCTTGGCTACAGACGAGGCTATGCATTGAATCGCTAACTCTATTCCAGACCCCGTATTCGGGGGTGAGGTACTTACCAGGGTACCTGTACGTATTAGTAGATACTAAGGTACCTACTAGGTACTAGTACTCACTACTCGGTAGTGATGTGGAGAGGATCTAGCGGTCTATGCTCTTTGTCATGACTACTTCCCAAAGTCCCCCCAAAGAGTGCAAAGAGCTTCACTCAATGGTAAGGGAGGATGCCAGCATCATTTTGACGGTGATGCAGTTGATGCAGTCAGAACAGAACAGATCTGGAAGAGAGACAAGATGTAACGAGAAGAGGGGCACTTTGAAGTGAATGGAAGAATATCATTCACTATCAATCATGGAACAGACTTGATCTGACCTCAACTGGACTCTTCGAAATGAGTCGTTCAGATCGTAGTTGACGTGGATATAGGTGGATGCGAGAGTGATGTGACGAGATTGACAGAGGAATTAGAACTGAAAGAAGGTGTCGCGAAAAGCCATCGATACAGACATCTATTTCACATCTCAGGCACCTGATTCAACCACATTCCAGAAAAGTTCCCGTCCATGGTGGATGGAGACATTCATCGAGAGTAGTAAGGTTAGACCAGATCGTCAACAAAGCCTTATGTCATCCTACTCATCAGCTGACGCGAGGGTACCCAGGAGTTACATACTCCAAGCTGATGTCTACGCTGGAGGAATTGCTCAGTATAAAACAGCTTCAAGGATTCAACAGAGTTGATTGACACGGTGTATCACTAAATATGTGCACAGAAAGACAAACATTAATTGGACTGGGCCGGGCAACACTATCCGTACATGAGATGGACCCATTTACCTACCCGAGACAATTGAACACTTGTATAGTGGTACATCAAACAGGGAAGTATCCATACGTGAAACCCACCGCCCAAGGTAAACAACCATAATAGTACATGAGGTTTCCCCCCCCCCCCCCCCCCCCAACTCCCACGGTCCCCAAACCAAGTACGCCGTGGTCAATGCCCAGAAATTAGAAAAGATGCATATCAAAAAGAAGCAAACGAAAACGCCAATGCAGGGGGTATCAAGTCGGGCCAGTTTGCTGGGTATCATTTGTTTTTCGATCTGCAAAGTGAGGGATCGAACGGTCGAGTTTGCGTGGGAAGTGAGGCGAGACAAAGGTAAGGATGAAACAAAATTTTAATCAAAACAGCTGAAGCGAATCAGTCAAATCTGACCTCATCGCGACAGGTCGCCTCTTATGCCGCGATGGCATAAACTGGGCAGGTAGACTTTGCAGGAGGCTACTGCAATTCCTGCAAGTCCAGTTTCGGAGGACTCCAGTCTAGCTGCGGCGGCTTGTCATTTGACACCCGGGCCGGTGTCGACGCAACATACACAGGCCGAACTGCCTCCACTCTCCGTTTGTCCTTCAGAGCATTCCCTGTCAGGAATCCTCTGAGCGCAGACGAGGCCGTCCCATAGGTGCTTCGGCCGCTGTTCGTTCCGGTCGACACAGTGCTGGAACTTCGGGCGCTGCGGACACTGCTAGTCTTTTTGACTACAGCGGGGACCGCAGGGACGGGAAGAGCCAGGCGCGTGGGCTCGGAACCGGACGAAGCAAGCTCTGGATGCATGATCTGAGCGGTCCGTGTCGGCTGCGGGGCTGTCCGAGGAGGCTGCGTGGACATGCCCGAACTCTTATCCACCTTAGCCTGGACGTTGATTTGGACCGGTCGAACGTCTCGAGAGTGTGTTCGACTAAGTTGGAGAGGACAGTGGGCCTCGGGGGGCGAAGCGCGAATCTCGTCTGCGGACACCGCGACGTCTAGCTTGTCCAGCTTGAGATTCTCAAGCATGGTTCCAAGACTGGCCGCTGTGCCCGGACGGCTGTCATCCGTAGTCTCATCGGCCAAGTCGTCCGGGATGCCATTCGCAATGTTATAATTGCGGAGGAGATAGCGCTGCAGTCGTGCTACTTCCATATCCCACTTCTGCTGCAGGGATCGCAGCATCAACTCAACATTTTGGGAGCCGAGGGCAACGGCATCGGGAGACGCATTGTGGGTGGCATTTGGCGGCATTTGCTTGACAAGCCGATGATGAGCTGCAGGACGGACGGTCATTGCAGCATGTAGGGAACGTCGAATGGAGTTGGTCGTCGACGTAGGTGCGTTGCTGGTGTCCCACCGAATGTGGTCAACTTCTCGACGAACCTTGTCAAGCGAGACGATTCGATCACGTTCCATGCATGACAGACTGAGGAGCGTACGGTTGCATTGCAAGCCATTCACCAGAACAGTAAAGGACTGCAAGTTGATATCATTGTTCTCGCAATGAACCTCCCGTAGCGATGCATTCTCCTCAAGAACCGAAGCCAATGTGTTCGCTCCCTGGAGCCCCAATTTCTGGTGTTCGATTCGCAACACCTTGAGGGACTTGTTCTTTTTCAACCCGGTCAAAGCAAGGTTGAGTCCAATTCCAAATCGAGCCACATCGAGATGCGCGTTCTCTCCACTGATATCGAGGGCCTCCAAAGTCTCGTTCTCTTCAAACATCACCTGCAGCGCACGGCAAGTCTCTGGGCTGGCATCGTACGGCAACGAAGCTTTGGAAATGTCGAGATATCGTAGAGTGCGGTTCTTTCGCACGGCATCAACCAGGTGACGGAAGTGGTCCTCTTTCTTGAAATCGATCATTTGCATGGAGAGATGCGAAGGAGTCATGTCCTTGCGAATGGCATCAAACAAAAAGGGGCATCCGATGTCCAGACGATTTTCGTTGACATGCAAGTGCAAACTGCGAGGCGACTCCGAGCCATTCAAAGCCATCGAGTGCATAAACATCGCGACATCTTCTCCGCTCAGGGCGCACTGATCAAGACGAAGCATCCGCAGATTGCGTGAGCGTTCACTAGCCAGGTAGGTTGCAATGGAGTCGACCGTCTCGCGATTCAGGGCAGTACGGCTAAGCACCAGCTCTTCAAGCTCCCAATTGAACAACGTCTCTGCTGGGATAAGCGGCTCGGGCCCCGAGGTGCGCGAGATACGCGACAGATTGATCTTGCGGAGACGGCTGAAGTAGCCAATGTACTGCTGGAACACATCTGGACTCAGCCGACCTTGCACTCCTGAAATGTTGATCACTTCAAGGGTTTTCTCCTGGGCTACAAGGGTGGACAGCAGAACGTTCAAGTCATGTACTGATAGACCGCAATCGCCAACTTCCAGGGCGCGTAGGTGGCTCTTCTTCTGAGACGCGGCATCCACCAGGTAATCCAAATCCGACTCACCAAGCTTGATGCCATTCAGCACGACCCAGTCAACGCTAGTGAGACCGCGGCGACAGACGGGGAAAAGTGCCTCGGGGATCCCGCAGCCAGGATCACGACTACCTTTATCCATGGTCGGAGTGCGAGTGAGACAGTGTGCGAAATCGAGTCGGTGCAACCGCTTACTCTTCAGAGCCAGAGCGCGAACCTCCTGCGACAAGACCGTCAAATTGGCCGATCCCGGGATATTCACGTGAGCGCCCGACTTGTCGAGGTGCACATCCTTATCGGCTTCATGAGAGTCTCGCACGCCTTGCAGGGCGTCCAGGTTGATTCCACGAAACGAGATGGACCGGAAAGACTCGTTGTACCGTAAAGCTCGCATAACCGCGATCAATTCTAGCGCGCTGTATCGTGAATTGGTCTTGGATGCCGGTCGAAGGAGACGGAAGCATGGAGCATCCTCGCATTCCAAATCGATCGTGTACCGGATGTTGGATGTGTCCACGTCATAGCTCGCCGAATAGGCGACGAGAGTGCGGTCAAAGCAGCCATAGTCCTCGTCCAGGGCAGCAGGGGGAAAGTCACCGTGTTGCAATTCGCGTGGCACCACGAAATCGTAAGGTTGTCTCGTCCAAAGCGGGCGCAGGAATCCAGTGTGCTGTCGAATCCAACAGGCCACCTCGACCGAGTGAACCGAAGCCAAGAAGACGTTGAACGATTTGCGGAGAGGCATGCGAAAAGTGAGGTGCAGACTGTCGTCGCCGTACTCCATGGAAAGACCCACCAGATTCATGAGACCAAAAGAGGCGCCCGTCTCCCAGTCAGACAGGGAAACCACGGATGACCGCTGGGTGGTTTTCTGCATAGGGATAAGATGGACCTTGTGCAAACCAATGGCCAGGTAGCAACCCGTGGGTGACAGTTTGGTCAAATCATCCGAGGAAGATCGAGTCGTTGGCGATTTGCTGGAGGCGATTTGAATGACCCGGTACATCTGGAACATGTCCGGGTCGTAGTCTCGCTCATGTTCGAGCATCCTCGTCACATACTCGACGGCGCCACGATCGAAGGGTAGAGGCTCATTGGCGCGAGCCATTTGGGCCGCTTGGCGGATCCCGACCATCCACAGATTCAATTCTTGCGGGTCGGCCGCCTGCATCTGTACCAACGCGGCCTTGTGCGTGCGTTCGTCCAGATACGCCACCTCGACCGTTGGTGAGACTCGTCCATCCTCCAGCATGTACACCGCAATGATGCTGTTCAGTGGAATTCCCGCGGTGGCGTCCGTGGTGATAATCAACTGTGAGTCCTGCAGTGAACTGACCGAGGCGACGGATTGGCGATGTGAGGCTGGGGCGCGAGCGTTGTAGGATGCCGGAATAGACGGGAAGGCATCGGCCGCCTTGGCTTGGCTCTTGAATCGAATCAGGTATGTGTCGGTGAGCACGAGGTATTGGCTCTTCCGTTTCCACATTCCTCCCACCATCTGTACCTCTCCGTGGTGAAGAATTGCGGAAGAGCTGATCCCATGGCGTGGGTGGACCGCGGTCTGCGGATCTTCTCCCCAGAGCGCAGCGGCCGAGTCCCCATCCTCACCGGTCGTCAGAGGTTTCAAAGACCCAAAGACCGAATTGCGTTTCTTCTGAAGTGATTTGCGCCGCGGCCGTGCCGTTGTATCGAGAGGTGGCGTGCCGGTTGAGATGACTGGCGACCGACTTGCCGAGTCCGAGCCCGCCGTTCCCGGCCGCCGAAGGACATTCCCCCCACTCGCCCACCGATTGGGACTTTGTGATCGGCCAAAGAAGCCGGAGTTGCGACGAAGCTTTTTTCCTCGAGGAGGCATCACATCGTCGGAGGGTGAGCGGTCATGCACGCCCTGTCGGTGTAAGGCGGTTGCATTATGGGGAGCGGAGCTAAACACACTCAGGCTTTTCCTTCTTTCCTTTTTGTTGATGATGAGCTCGGCCATGACGACGGAAGAGCTGTTTGAGTGATGACAAGGAGATTAACGAAGAGTGACGAGTGTGTCAACGAAGGAAGATTGACAAATGAGTCCCCAATGGCCGATGGCCGACGGGGGGTTGATGAAACGAGCGTGGGTGGCCGAAGACGATCGGCGGTGCAGTGAGGAAGGTGATTTGCAACAGGCGATAATCTCATGCACAAATCCTAATGTTGTCTCTGCTCGGGAGGAAAGTCAGACAGTCAGTCTTGGGGGGATTAAAACCCACTTCTTGAGCAGACGCGGACCCGACGGCGGCGGACGAGCGAAAGACATGGGGGTGGTGGGAAACGTGATGGTGATGAGAAAAAGCGGGGAAATGGATGGGCCAAATAACCTCTGGTGAGACAATCAATGTAACGAGAGACATACCTTTTCCGACCGCTCTTATGCCGCCATGGAAAGCGACTCAAGATCCGCAGTGAAATGCGATATTGGATGACGAGTGGGAGAAGTTACGTTTTGAGAGGCGGCGGAAATGAGCTCCGACGGGGCTTCAGGGCAAGTTGGAGATAGACGAATGGTGACGGTGAAAAAGGGGAGACGAGAGTGCCACCCAAGCCGATGAATGGAGCTTAGATCCTTCGACTGCGAACGGTCAGGGAGCCTGTCAATGAGGTGTGGTACAATTGCGGGAATCGAGATGGAACAGAGTTGGATGGAAGAGGATATCTGGTTGCGCCGGAATTAGAGGGGGAAGGCGTCCACCAAGTCCAAACGGTCTGGCCGGAATTGGCAGTCTGTGGGTGGTGGGTGAGGGGGCCGAGAAATCGAGGTGAACAAAACGGGGCCGACGACTATGAAATGATATCGACGACGACTGGACAGATGATCAGGGCAACAAGGCTCATATGAACCGCGGACAGTCACGTTTGCACCTCCACGGATGAGAGAGAGAGAGAGAGTTACAACGTGACAAAGATGACGAGGAGGTACGAGGTGTAAAGCACCGTTTGAAGCGTGAACTGTTTTCGGGGGACCGTGAGTTTGGTCCCAAGTGGATCAGTCCAATGCAGCTGTTCCTTGTTGGCCTGCGTCAAGCTGTGATGGTTTTCCAAAGTTAAAAATGGTTGGCGATGGACCTCCACGATGAGGTCAGAACGTCCAGCGTATGTGCAGTTTGCCGATCGCGAACTTGTATCGGATCGAATAGGAAAGTCTTCCGGGAGATGCGAACGCCGTCTAGTACTTTTGTGGAGGAGACTTGGAGGAGGCTTCGTGCTTGGGCTAAGATGTGACGTTGGTATACTAGAATTGGTGCTTTTCCAAACTTCTAGATACGACCCATCGGTCGGCCGAGTCTGGAAAGCCCTTGGAACGGAGGAACGATGGGCTGTATAACTATCGTGTATAGTGTATACGGCGCGCAATGAGGGGAGGCGTGAATCGTCCGCACAATATTTGACGAGCGGCCCGTCGATCGGACCAGGTCGAGGACAGTTATGGTACCGAATGGCCGACCCTGCAAGGTGTATCGCAGCGTCTCGCAAGCAGAGTTTCGAGGAGGAGAGGGGCGGCAGCAGAGTTTCGAGGAGGAGAGGGGCGGCAGCAGCGCTTCCGACCGGTCGGAGGGATACTGTGTGGAAGTCCAATTGAAGGGTCTCAAATCTCGAGTATCGGTCCAGCCAGTACTGTAGAAGCGAAAGGTCAGAAGGAAAGCGTAGACATGCAGTGGAAAAGGAGGTGAAGAAGAATCAACGGATGCAGTGCTTAAACATGCATTGCGCTTCGAGACTTTCACTTCCAATGGACTCGAAGAGCGCTGATTAGAAGGACCCATGATGGCCCTTCTCCATCGTGTTTCAGATTCGATCGCCTTCGGTGCTATTCGCATGAACCAAATCGGTGGCTGACCCACGATAAGGGAGATGGATAAACAGAGTGATGAAAATAGTTCATAGCCTCATGCAACATGTCACGATGGACATGAGTAGATCTATATTGTACACTGAACACTCATATACTGTATGACTGGATAGCCTTATGGGAACTTGATAGGGAGTCGAGAATGTAAGGTTGCTGGATGATTGTATAATGTAAGCCCTAACTGACCATTGTGTCGATCTACCACGACTATTGAACAAGTCCTGGACATCAATTTCAGTTGCTACAACGATACTGTAGCTATGCCAAGTACAGTACATTCATTACTCCATGGCATTGGTCCATTAGGCATTATGGCATGGCACATGCTGACTGGATCTCTGGGGTACTACTGCCCTCACTCAGAGGCACTTGAAGATGGAAATGGAGCGTGGCCGACAACGTGAATCATGCGCAGGCACAGTCGGAACACCATCGGGGCGGCACCAATAATAGCATCACAGGCTCGGCTCTGGTCCGTACTCCATACAGGAGACACTTTACACCGGGTGGGTCCCGACCACCCGCACGACTCCCGCAGACACCTCCGAAGAATCGTCTACTATTCTTAGTCAAATGCTATGGAATAGCAATGGATACATGACGAACTCTTGTCCTGTCAAGTGTCAACTACTTCCAACTTTGATCCTTGGATGCCACGTCAAGATATGCAATCACCATCTAGTGAATAGTGAAGTGATGTGATGTCCTGCCAACCGAAATACAATGATCTAGATCTGTGAGTACTGAGTGCATTTGTTAAGCTCTCGCCAAGTGACCCAGCCCTCCAGAATCGCCAGGTGGATCCCCTAAGGCAGTCCAGCCTGGACCTGAAAGAGACTGGCAAGTGGACATGGACAGACTGCCCGTCTTCTCGCCTCGAGTCCCCCTAATGAGGTCTGCCCGTCTGTTTTGTTCCAGCCCGGGACCCAGCCTTAGGGTGATCCACGTGAAACCTCCCTCCGTCCCGACCGCTAGATCCCAAGACATGCGTTCGCGGCATATCGAATGCGGTCTGCATGTAAGTAATTATGCGTCTTGTTCAGCCAAACACATCTATTGGTGGCGTTGTCCGCCTGGGATCTGTACATTGGAGCTCGGACTGTTCATAGTCTCAGCGGAGATGCTGTACGTGTCTTGTGATCATGTAACTCATAGAAGCTTTTTGTAGGCCTACTCTACATAAAATCACCCTACAAAGGCACATGCACGCGGTGGAAGTTTTGTAACTTACCCATCTCTTATCGATAAAGCTGTGGCATACATCGCGCACTGCTCAGGTTGGTGGTATACGGCCAACTATACGTCTTAGTCAACAAACAGCTCCAACGAATGTAAACATATCGTTTTCAAGGTTAACATCTTGAGTAAAGGCCAACAGGATTCAAACCTTAGTGACTAGCGGTCGGCACAAAGACAAGCATTCCTACTGGTTAGGCTGCAGGACAAGCCTGTCAAACACTTGAACGTGATATAATATAAGATCTAGGTTCTGCTTTTGAACTCCATTTGAATCTTTACATCTGAGCCACTCCGCTTCTGGGGCTACAGTGGCCGCTTACATCAACCGATCAACCAGTCGAACGTGCAGCATGACAGGTACATGTACATATGTCCACCCGCATATCAAACTGTTATGACGGAACGGTGTCGGTGAAGACGAAACAAAGTCAAATAGATTGAATAAGTACATCCTGTCCATGTGTGCCGCAGTCGAGCCTTCATGTTAGGCTGAACTACAGCATTAGGGTACCGTACCGATTCTTGCGTAGATGAACCAGGGTCAAATCCCGATTGTATAGATTACCCTTTTAAATTGCTTGCGACTTCGTATCACCCGAGTAAAGCCGAGGAGGTGCCACTACATCACATAAAAAATTGGAAGATCTCTTGATATTAGTTGAAGTAGGATCTGCCTACCCTTGCCTATCTTGAACGACCACCTGAATGGATGAGAACTACACCACTAGTAGGTTTCTCCAAAATACGGAGGGGCCGTGTCTACCCCTCCTTCAGAAGATCGACAACTAGCGCACCGCAACAGGATGCTCAGATCGTGGAGAAATAACCACATACTGACGTCTGAGGACCCACGACAGAAGATCTTAATAAATCATCGTATATCTTGTCGTATGACAAAAGAACAAATAAAGTAAAATATACAATGAATCACACCTTCTCAGAGAGGAAGACTTTTCCTATGACTGTCGAGCACGTTCATTTGCGGTGAAAAGTACGGTAATTGACGTCACTGCATTGCATTGCTTTTCAAGAGAGAAAGGATGATCAGCGCGCCAACATGTCGGCATCCATGAATGATATGAGGCGGAGGCCATCACTTATTCTCCCGTTGACTCATAACCCCGTAGGACCAGGACCAGGACCAGTGGTGAGAGGACGAAGGCCTCGGGCTAACGTCGGCCCTGTTCCCATTGAGCCTGAAGTCGCTCCGCCCGCTTGATCCTTCTCACCAATTCAATGTACTCATTGACCCGTCTCTCCGCCCAAATGCAGCCTCCCAGCGTCATGGCCGCAATCTGAAGAAACACCTTGAATTGGGGTGTTAAGCCTCGGTACACACGAGAAGCTGGAGAGACCCATTCGGAGAAGCCTTCCAGGGGCCGATGGAAGAGACGTGATCGCATGGCTTTGCGGGAGAATGGTGACGGACGCGGCCGAGCCGGAGCGTCTGCTGTGGTGGTTGGTGTTGTGGATGAGTTGAAGGTGAAGGGATGGGGAAGCTCCATAATTAGGTGGGCGAGGATAGACACTGATCCAAACTGAAGTTGGAAAAGATTAGCAAGAGAGATTTGTAGGATTGATGGCTTGTGAAGACTCACGCGGAACACGCCTGTCATAAAGCCCTTGACAGCTTCGGTGGTGAGCTCCTCCGGAGGCTCAATGTCGGCCCGTTGGCTGGGAGGTGGTGGCATTCTGGGTGTAGGATCAGAATTGAGCTGACAATGAAGTGTGTGCGACTAGAGGCCTTTTGAAGATTGAGCAGGAAACTGTGAACTTGAAGTCGGCCCAAGTGGTTGCTCCTGCGGAGTAGAGAGCCGGCACAGTGCGGAGATGAATGATAAGGCTCGGCAGCTAACGATACTCAATAAAATATCTGAATAAGGTATCTCCAAGCTAGCCAGAGCTTCTTTATTACTGAAATGCCTCGAAAAAGAGCATATAACAAACTCTCTGGACCAGCCAGGCTCGATTCCTCTCAAAATGCGTGGATGGACTAATGTCTGTATCAAATCCCGAGGTCACCGATAGACCACCGGATCAATGATGTTCCCGATACGCAACCCCGATAAAGGGCCGAAGAGGTCGATTTAGGTACACGCCAACGCCGACCGTGACATCGGAGCCATTAGCTTCGTTTTCAATCCACCAAGAAAACAAATCTTGCGCCATCCATTATACACACCATCATGCCACTTTCAGCCCGTACAGCGACCGTCTCCCGGTCCACCAACGAGACCAAGATCCAAGTTTCCTTGTCCTTGGATGGCGGTGTCCTCCCACCTTTCGAGCCGATTTCGCATTTCCCGTCTTCAAGTGACCCCGCCGAGGCCGAGGCCGAGAAGAAGGGTGTTGTGCCTATCAAGGGCGCCGAACATGCTACTCAATTCACTCCTACTCAACAGATCACAATCAGCACGGGCATTGGCTTCTTGGATCACATGCTGCACGCGCTTGCCAAGCATGGCGGTTGGAGTTTGGCGGTGCGGGCAAAGGGCGATTTGTACAGTGAGTTAACATCGATTACAAACCGACGAGAGACATATCAATGGCCCGGAACGAGCTTACCATCATTCTCTGTGCCTACCGGACTGTCTTACCTTACGTTCTACTTACACCGTTCCTCTTGCCAGTTGACGACCACCACACAACGGAAGATACCTTCCTCGCCCTCGGGTCAGCCTTCACAAAAGCCCTCGGCGCTCGCCAGTCCCTCGCCCGATTCGGTCGCGGCGATGCACCCCTCGACGAGGCTCTCTCTTGGGCCGTCATCGATCTGTCCAGCCGACCCTACGCTGTGATCAACCTGGGCTTCAAGCGTGAGAAGATTGGTGCGCTGAGCACCGAGATGATCACCCATGGTCTTCAGAGTTTCGCCCAAGCTGCAGACGTCACACTTCACATGGGCTGCTCCTATGGTGACAATGACCACCACCGGGCAGAAAGTGCGATCAAAGCTTTGGCTGTTGCCATTCGGGCTGCGACTGCACGCCGGGTGGAGGGTGAGGTTGGTGCTGGTGATGTTGTCAGTACCAAGGGTGTGCTATAGACAGGTGGTGTTGGACAATCTGTGAATGTATGCTGATGATAGACTAAAATCCAGCGATTGATCTGATATACCAGGATCTCGCTAATTATTGTTTCGGAGCTTTCACATGGGTGATGGTCCTTGCACAAATAGATTCCTCGTCAAGAGTTGATCCTTGAGTTGTTTTGAATATGGAATATCGGCGAACTGTACCTCTTGGAAGAGGTGAGTCAGGGCTTCAGAAATTCCTGCCCAATAGATTTGAGTTGGCGGATATGATAGATGCGTACTTTTTTAATCAAACATCCGGCATTGGCCATGTCAGGTGACAGGCACAGTGCAGTGTCCGTGACCCCACTTCCACAATGTGGGGATCAAGTCCACTACTGCTCTATGCACCACGATGGATCTATGATACGATCATGTAGCCATGCTACTACTCGAATAGTATCCGACAATGGTGCTAAGCTCCAAACTAGAATGATTGAACAAATCAGGTTTAACATACCTGACTTGTTTTTGATGCACGGAAGAGTATCATAGACCTTCAATTGCTGATCATCAGCCAACAGTTGCACTAGAAAAAGATCATAGAATTGAACTGCCCGAGGATCTGATCCTCGGTTGTGCACACTGCACAGTGTGCACATAGCGCCAACGCCGATTCCAAGCGTAGAGGGCATGGTCTGACCTACCACACACCAGAGTAAGGAAACTTCCTCTACCTGGCACTCACGCACCAGGAATCATGTGATGAGCCATGATTCCCTCATTTCCTCATCCTTCTTTCTCCCAGAACCTCTTCCTCAGCAGCTCCAAATTCCACGTTCCATCAACACAAGGCTCTGATTCAAGAGCTCTTCAACTCTACATCAAGTCATCAACGACCTTGAAATTAGAAAACCCATTCCCAAACCACACTCCCACAACACCCCCCCCCCCCAAGGTGTTCTGAGCAAAAATGCCGGAGAGCACCGACTGTCTACGTACGATCCCTTCCAAGTGCAAACGTGCCAGCCTCGCTCTTATCAACAACTGACATACATCTGCAGAGCCCCCTCTCACCCCTGCCCAGCGCAGCATCGTCAAGTCCTATGGGGGCTGGTCCATGTTCCTCCGCAGTTTCGGACTGAAGCCCTGGAACGACGAGGACGCCGAAGAGGGACTTCGTATCCTGAAGGCGCTTCTGGAGGATGATGATGATGATGGTGATGACGAATGAGTGAGGCGGTTGGAGCTGTGTAGTGGGTCTGGGCATATCGTCTGTCTTTCAAGTCGTTACGATCTTTCCATTGCGAGTGGCTGACATTGCGGATGGTCTCGTGACATGCCTGTGCGCTCTACCCAAGACAGCCCAGTACGGGAGAGGGCTTTGTGGTGTGCTGCGATAGGGGGAAGATTTGCCACTCCACGGTATTTGCAAGAGAGATGCAGGATTACTTTCCAAAGGCAAATGTGCAATGGCGTGCAATAGTGATTATTGATCAATGCACGCATCCCCCCGGGTATCTCCCGACTGTTGAAACCAATTCCTTCCAGTGCCATGAATCATCGACTCTCAAGCTAGACCTGACCTCGATCCTTAGAACGGGCCATGGGCCGTGCCCACGAAAGAGAACCGAACAACACCCAGTAGCCTTCCAACGCTAGAAAAATCATCAAAAGAGCACCCCTCCCCCACGTTAAACCCCAAGTGCATCAACAGCCCTTGACCAATACGCCTTGCGATCATCCGTCACCGTCGTCCCCACACACTCACTAATATACCTCTTCCACCCGGCCTCATCACCCTTCTGCAACGCACTCCGCACATCACTCGTGCACTGCGTCGTGAGGAACCACGCCCCGGACCCAAAGTCGTAGGTCTCGTTGCCACGCAGAAGATCCAGGAGATCGGCGGGGGAATCCGAGACCGAGGGAAGTTGATCAGCGAGCGCGGGGATAGAAGAGGCATACTTCTTATTGAAGGTTGGCGATTGCATGTTGCGAGCTAAAATTCAAATCAGCCCTTCAAATTCTACCAGGCAGGGAGGCAGGTAGAGGTCACGTACTTCCCTGTCCCGCAACACCCGGGAAATGATTCTTATTATACTTGAAATCGCCACTCTCAAACGCCATCAAACTGACGAGAGCAGCCTGCTCCGCCTTGCTCGTCACTTTGTACTGATCGAAGGACTGGGCCGTGTACTTGGCGGCCGTGGCAGCCGTGGCGCATTCGCCTTCGGCAGGGGCATTGTCGCATGTATTTGCTTTGGGGGAGATGGTGAGGATTTGTGCCTCTGTGAGGGAGGATTGGGCGGGGGTTGGATCGGTGACGGGTTTGTGGGTGGGTTGGGCGGTTGTTAGAGATCCGATGCTGAGCATTAGGAGGAGGGTGATTGGGACGGAGAGAGGTCCAGTTGGGATGTGCATGGTGCTGGGCTGTGGAGTTGTTGTAAACAGGGTAGACTTGGTGGTTCGGCGTTGGTCTGTGGTTATCTATATGGATTGTCCTGACGATGTCAAGGTGTCGTGTGTTCAGTGGGTGATCGAAATTATAGAAAGAGTTGGGCGATGGATGTCCAAGTACTTTTTGCAGGGGGTGAGCAGGAAAGGAGGGAGACATGGACAAGGGACACACCTCTTATATAGAGGATTCCAAGAATCCATACCAAGCTCCTTATAACGAATTCTCCAGCATCAGATGGAGGCCGTAGTACATACCCACCCAAGCAGAAAAAGAAAATGCAACGTACGGGGCATACTACGAAACAAAGCCCCTTGTCCCCAATGTCCCATTGTCGATCACACGTCACTCTTTCAACAGAAGACCGTGAACGCATTGCTTGAAACCACAAAGAAACCAGAAGTGACATGCTCGGCAAAGGCGGGCCGAATGTCGAATGAATGAAGGGATGGGAAAGGCAAGGCAAGGGAAGGGTTCTTGGAGGCGGTTGGCGAGATGGTGGACGAAGGCACTCAGTGTCGGAGTGTACAGTATTGTACACTTGCGCAGGATACAATACTAAATTACTGACTTGTCTACCCGCCATCAGGAATGTAACAGCTCAGATCAAACGAGGCCGTGGGCTGTGGTGATGCACAAAGGAGGTCTCTGCTATTTCTCTACGTGATGGAATCCTCGCACATTTCCATAGATACTGGGTCCGAGTACAAAGGCAGGGATCATCATCGCACTGTCAATGGCTGTCAAGGTTGCCTCTTCAATTCTCATGAATTATGCTACGCATCACAGACTTCCTCTCGGCCGTATCTGTTTCCACGTGGCAGATGAGCATAGCACGACCATTCAACCTTGAAGGTTACACCCGACGGAACGTTTCAGTCTTGCCAGGACGTCATCTCATAAGTGGCTTGCTCTGATGAAATGTGTTTTGATATCAGGCTGATGGGTCATGATCCCCCCGAAGACTCCGTCATTCGAGGGTCTAGCCAGGCAAAAGGATGGCTTGTTTCGGCTTCTCGACCTCAAACGAGAACATGCATGTGAGAACCAGTGTCCCTTGACCGGCAATCCCAGTGCAGTCAAGTGAAACGATTCCGGCATAGCGCAGCCATAGATGCCCTAGTCAGCATAGAAATGGTGATCTGCGCAACGAAGTCCTCAGCGTCTAGATTGATCAAGGTGAGAGATTTGGCAGACCGAGCCCAGTGTACGTCTACCAGTGCCCAGAATCTACAGTATACGAAGCTACTGATTTGCAATGTATCGTTTGAAGAAACAATGTTCATTAGAAAGAAGAAGAAAACCATTTGCTCCAGGTGCATGCTTGGTGTTTATCCCGGATCCGGCCGCGGGGAACAAGAGCAATTCAATCCTCCCAAACAGAGAGCAAAAGAGCACCATGCATTCGCTGTAAAACAGAAAGATTTTCCCCCGACATGAGGGAATCGGGTGTCGAGGTTGCAGAAGCAGTACTCGACGACTTTCAACCCCCTAGCCGAGGTCAAAAATCGAGGTCCACGCCAGGCAGACAGGTCGATGAAAAGAGCATCCAGAGGGACGAAGCAAGGTGTACAACGTATTTCCAATGTCGTAATGTTGCGATGCTGATCATAATCAGAGGGGTCGAAAGAGAAGGGCGTCGGGAGGGCGAGAATTATAGAGTTCGGCCGTTAATCAGGGGGAGGCGAGTGGGGCAAGATTGATGGACACGACACGGCCATGATCAATGGCACGCCAGTCGAGAAAAGGGAAAGATGATCCGAGGACGAAGCAGGATGTATGACAAGGCGGCCTTTAATCATCACGACGACCAAGTTCGTAAGATGTTTCGGTGACACCACCCAGTTCCTCATCCTCCTTGAAACTGACACTCCGCAGTATTGTCGGTACGAGGCCGCGGGCGCGCCGCGTGGGTGAGGACGAAAGTCGTGGGCTGAAGATGGTCGGCACCTTGGAATATCGATACCGATACTTGGAGCCAAGAAGCATGATGCGACCATATGTCCACCACAAGCATATGCCCAAAACACCTGCGAGCACAAATCCGCAGAACGTGAGGAACATCCAATGTTGACCCATCTAGTGAAGAATGTCAGTTTCGAGTCATTTGTCGGTCTCTGGTGAAAGATAAAAGACGAAATCAAGAATGCTTACCCAGAAGATCAAGTGCGCGTCCTTGCCGTGCCAACTGTTGCCCTTGTGGTGCGTGAAGAAGCTCCACGAGAATCGATTGTATTCGTCCTGCATCAAGATTCGTACCCGAGCGGATTCACTGGGCTTGTCCTGCATATATTCTTTCCAGATCACCGAGAGGAACAGCGGACCCGTCGAATACATGACTGTGATATATGGCAGAACCCACTTGCGGTCAAACTTTTGCAACAGCTCAATCACGCGCAGGAAGAACGGGTGCTGAGGAACAGACCCCATGGCGTCGTTGGAGATGCCAGTGGGGACGGTGCGACGGACCCAGGCCGGGTAAGCAAGGAGGGGGTCGAGACGGCGATTGCAGCCCTGTAGATTCAATCAGCATCTGTCGAACGTGGGGGAATTTGGCGGGCATGCGACTCACGTCGTCTAGGTCGATGTAGGTACCACCATAATGCGCTAGAACAAAGTATCGTATCGTGTCCGCGCGCTGGATCGGGTACTTGTAGCCGTCAAACGTATCCAGGAACCACGGGTATTCGGCAGCGATAAACTCGCGCGACTTCTCATTTGTCCACAGCTAAGCAAACGTTAGCAATCCTGTGGAATAAATCCTGTGTGGAATTTCGATCCGTTTCTTCTCTCAAGGTCATTCGCCAATCTCTGCGAGGGATCAGAAAGATGGAACGTACAATATACTCATAATCCGGATGTAAATCAATGCAACTCTGCTGCGCTTCTCTCCACACTTCCGGAATCGTTTCGTTTTTGTAGGTCTGGTGAATGATCTTCGGAATGATCTGCGGTCTCGTTTCAATCAGACTCGAGTTGGGGGATGGCAATTCCGCACGGTGGATGGCGTCGGCCGCCGCATCTTCGACCAAGAGCGAAAGCAACGTCGACACGCTGCGGACGAGCAATGTGAGGATGAGCAGATTCACCACAACGAAGATCAAGAGACCGCGTCGCATTGTGGAAGAAGTTTGTAGGTATCTGAGGAATAAAGAACTGCCGTGTTTTGAGAGGGCACAATGCTGGGATTGGGGAAATCGGGGATCGCAGACGGTGCAAATCGAGATGGCGCAGTGGATCTGGGGGAGGATGCGAAGCGTCTTGAAGTCAGGGAGCCGATTTGCGACTGTTGTTTAGCGTCAAAGACTCGAGGGGACCACCAAGGGGCCACTGGATGGAAGGAGTTGCGACTCGGAGGGGATTCTTTTTCCCACTGTAGGAGTGGTTGTGATGCTCCGGACAGGACTTGTGCAGACACGAAGCTGCTTCACAGGGTGACAGCCAGTTCGAGTCGCGCGTCTTGGACCTGCGAGGAAAGGGCGATAGCCGGAGCAAGTCCGTCTGAAATTGAGCGATCTGTCGCACTGGGCAGATCTGGAGCGCGATAGGGCGAAGATAAAACTCGGTATCGTTGACCAGGATGCTCGGCGTTCGAATAAACGATGAAGTCAAGCCACAAGCAACGGGATGAAGAAAGGAGAGACAGGTGGACGAGAAAGGACTGTGAGCAAGTACACCGGCGAGCAGGAGGGCTGGTGAACAATAAGAAGGAGCGACAAGTGGGGACCAAGCTTAGTCCCAAGAAAGGCAAGGAGCGTTGGGGATTGAAGTGTTTAGGTTCGGCGCAGGCGCTGAGGAGCAACCAAAAAGAGGCAGGAGCAGCGAAGCGGGCAAAGCGGGCAAAGCGAAAAAGATACGCCCGGGGAGGCGAGGCGTGAGTGGCCAGAGGCGGGGGAGAGCCACTTTGACCAGACAATCAAATTGAACGGATACACTCAGGGCGATTTACGGCATTTTTACGTTTGGGCGCGGAGAGAATACGAAAGTGGGGTCAACGACTTGCCTGACTTGCCCGACTCGGCTTAGTCTGGTATTGGCTCGGCGCTAGCCATAGAGTACGACTCGCCCGGCTGCAATTTTCAGGCGACATGGATCGGTGTATGCATACATGTAATATCATGATAGATGCGCAAGTTCAACCGTTACACCGTCCAACAGTCAATGATGCTGACAGGTTACTAGTATCTCCGATGTGTCTCAATGGCCATACATCGAGCTCATGTGGACTCGAGCGTAGTTGGACTACATGCAGAAGCGTAGGATCATCACCCGTATCTGTCAGGTTCAAGCCGCAGCCTTACATACGGTACATATGCACTTACGTACCTACGTCCTAATCCTACAGTACTGTACATACTTCCAAGTTCCAACTGTATATACTATGTAGTTTCCTCATATTGAGCCAATTGTAACATTGTGCCTAATGGACTTATAAAAAGGAATGCTCCACCAAGAGTACGTGGAGTCGTGGGGTCGTGGACTAGCCGATAGACTCTCGATGGGAAGTTAGGAAACTTACCTTCGTGAGGCGCCCAACTTCTAACTGTGTCCTAAGGTACAGTATACTTAGATACTTCCACCTTGGTGAGCTCCCCTGATTCCATCGGGTCTGGGGATGACCACCTGGCTCTGACCTGATGGATACATTTACGAATACACTGCTGCGCTTACAAGTACGGATACGGGACACTCTCAGAACGTATCCCGTCGCCAAGGGCCGGTCTCTGGGTGCCAAGGGCTCAAAAGGGTAAACCATGCGCCGTCAACAGACTCAATAGGAAAATTAACGGTGTCCCCTAAGCCGTCGTTGCTCTCGGCTTGGGGGCTATGCCGCTATGGTGAGAGGAGTGAGAGGACCCATACTTTGGCGAGAAGGCTGTGAACTTGTGAAGCCCCCGTAGCGGGGGCCTCACGGAGTGCTTCATCCTTGGCGGCGCTGATTGGGTCTGTGGCCTTATTCTGTGGAGCATACTCCAGTTCGGAGCTCACAGAGGACTGGGTCTGGTCACCGGGTGTATTAGATTTCAGTACAGCTTGGTAATACTGCAAGAAATAAGCAATTCTGTAAGATTGACGTCCTCAAAACGGGTGACTGTGGTGGCACGGTGGCTAAAGAGCTGTCTGGCGGACTCGGCCTATCCTCTAGAGGCACTGCACTTCGACTTTGAAGAGTCATCATTTGAACATAGTCACACGGTTACAATCGCACTCATGACACGGACATGAGCTTATCGAATCGCCGAAGAACTGGGCATAGACAGATACACAATGATCACGTGGTATTTGTCAATGTCAATGACCTATGAGCCCTGAGCAACGCCTCCTGCAATACCAAATGATCTCACACTGTTGGTATGGTATCTTGCCATGCGACATCAATTCGGTCATGGCCTGTTACCTCACGAGTCCTAGTAGACCCAGAGATTCTGAAATTCAGGGAGCTATGACTCTCTACGCCGGCATCAAATTACGTCACCCAGCCACCACCGTGTCATGGCTCGGTCAACTTGTCGAGAGAAGGAGAGAACCTGAAAGGCGACTCTAGCCTGTCTAAGCTCCGTCACCCTGTGAGATGAACTTAGCTACAGTACTTGGGGTTACCTATTAGGTTACTAGGCGACGTAGGCGTGGTCGCGAATCAATGATCGCTCGGCGTTTAAGCCACAGTGCAGGGGGTGCCGCGTCGGGTAGCCCTGTGAAAGCCACGCGGCCCTTGCGGCCCTTGAGACCCTCTTAGTGCGCCTTTACAGTTTTCACTTTACACTGGCCTATGATTCACTTTGTAAATGCTCTGAAGCTGTATACAGGGTGATCAACATAAAATCAGATGATCGTACATATACTGTACTGTAACTTACTGCTATATTCTAGTACATAATTTACGAAGTCACAGCAATCCACGAGAACAACATCTCGATTTGGCAGCTAGTCGAGGTTTGATGGGCTGGAATCTCGGCTTCTTATTTCCGTTTCATCGAGCATCGTGATTTTGAATGGACACCTCAGGCGGTACCTAGATTCTGAGAGTACGCGTTCTGCGAGGGCCCTAGTTATACAAGATTACAATCCATGGGACTAGATACGCCAACGGCGGTCTTGTAGTAAATCCCGGACAAGCCGAGGCATTTTCACAATTGTATCCTCCTCTCGGACAGAAATTGTCCATCGTTGATGGATGTTTGTAAACAGTACGGGTGGCCGGCCGAAACCCATGCATAAGATGACTATATTTGCGACAAACCGTATTTGGAGTACAGGAAGGTTGCACGTCAATACGTCGTATCCACTGGATCAAAGCTTGTCAAGTTATTAGTACATCGACTGGATCATGGACACGGACTTGCAACTTCCGATTCCCTCGTCTTTGTGGATAGTGGATACCACTCGCGCCCGTCAAGGTTTGCGCAATAAGCACCACGTGACCTTAGCACCAACAGCACCAGATACGTTCGGCTATCACGGATTCACCGCTATGCGTGTACCAAAGTCCAGGTGGTTGTGGCTTGGTCTGAAATTTGACGCGCGTTCCCGTATGATTTTTTTTCTCGCGCAAAACTTGGGGGTTAAGATTAGTCGCGGGCGCTGACTCGCGGAGCCTGTCGTGCCGATCGGGTGACATCCATTTGATGGCTGACCACTGACTAGTAACTGCATCCATAGTTCCATACTTATGAGGGTGCGAAGACAACGGTGAAGAGCAGCATCACGAGTACGAGTTGCATAGCCCTCAAATGTAAACCGTATAGATTGAAACCCTTGACATCTAGTATCAACCGTATATTTGACCTACCTAGTACTATGAATAGATCTCAATCATTGTTGACTAAGGTATTAAGATCTATGTTCGGGCCTAGTGGATCTTTTTGTGCGGACTTACACATGCACTACCGACTCCCGAGTCACCGACTGTTACATCGGCACCGAGCGAATCACTTATATCAACACCGAAGGCTAGTATTACGATCCGAATCCCAAACCTGCCGAAAATCGTCAGCCTAGATCAGCTTTGAGCCTCGGCCGAACAGTACAGCATCATTCGGGGATAATCTCCCCATGCGGTACTCTGCTGGACCTGGACCAACTTTGAGGGACTGGAGATTTTGCCCTCGTTGCGATTTATCCCCGAGAGACCCATTCTGCACCTGCATGAAATGGATACATGGACTACGGTAATAATGCTTTCAGTTGTTGAAACTTCGAAAGATACATGCTTTATGCAAGGAGTCAGGTTGATACTAGATAGAGCTATACAAGTTAATAAACAATCCGACAAGTCCGTACCTGCATAATCATCCACTTCCTCCTTGGAAACGATTTTATTCTCGGACGTCGGACTTTGGATTTGGAGACCACACTCTTACAGACACTGACAGTACCTGAGTACTGTATCTGATGTAAAAGTACATAATGTACTGAACAATGGTACAGTGAATACACGATACAGCACCACAAAACACTCAAGATCTCCACCGGCATTTCAAAAACTCAACGGCCCCAATTCCAGTCCGCCCTCATTTCTCAGCTTCAAAACCCCACTGGGGCTGAGCCATGTCCCAACAAACGTGTACGAATCTTCAGACGTACTCGTATCATGGTCAAGATCATTCCAAGCGCATTTTCCCGATTTGAGTGTCAAGACTCAAGAGCGTCAGAAACAGGGCATCGGTCGAGCGTCGCTCCAGAGCGGTTGCTCGCTATGAAATCCGCGCTTGAAATTCGCGACGAGTCGGCGACCGGGCGGGTTGGCCTATCGGCGTCTCCAGTAACCCGCTTGTACCCAGCTACACTATAAGGTTGACTTTGATCAGATAACACTTCGTACTTCGCAGCACTTGATCCATCTGCAAATACATTCGCATTTGGTTCTGCAGTCGCCGAACTGGACTAGCCTAGCTTCGCTTGGGGTTTCCGTTCAGCTGTGGACACTGGACAGTTGGACAGTGGGACAGGAGAATAGACAGTAGACGGTGACACGCATTTTGGCGTTGTGCTCTTCTGTCGTGGACAATTTACAGAATGCATTCACTCCTCCCCTATTTTGCGAGGATCAATCATGATGGACCAAATTGAAAGAACAGTCCCCGCAACCTATGGATGGAGTACAGTAAATATGATCATTGGCCCTTAGAACAGCCGATCTATCAACGTCTGAAAATCTGGATAATTGATTAGGTCTCAATCTTGCATTGCGCCCCAGGGTCCCACCCATTCAACTACCGAGTGAGAATAGAATACCGCGGAGATAATTATGCTATAGTAGTTTCCGCGGAGAGAGATTACGATCTCATCTCTCGGCGTATCATGTAACGAGTGGTCTCGACCCTGATGCGTTTTTCGTGTCTGCTTGTCCGAGTTCGAACTGACGAACTGACGGAGAGTTCGTGCACACGTGTGTAGCGACATACCTGCCACATTGATGGCTGTCGCACGGGTTTGACTCCCTTGATCCACCGTTTCACGCGTTCTTGAACTCTTGTTCATCCCCACACTCTAAAACTCTGATCGCAATCTATCATCGATTATACGTCGGATCAAGAAGAGGTCGATATCCACCTGCGATGTTTCCAGTTTATGGTCTATTTTGGTTCAGAATGTGACTTTTTTTTTTTAATGAGAAAATGGTTCCAAGTTCCAACTTCTGACTACTTTCGTACTGTGTGTGTAAGATGACCTCGGGTCTTCCACAGAAGCGGATACGGTTTAATGGTGCAGAGGTACGAGCACAAGAATCATGGACGAATCCATCAAAGTCGGATCCGAGTGGTGGATATCTTGTACCGACGGGAACGAATATCCCACCACCACAACAGTTTTGTGCCTTTTGGACACGCATGGAATTGTGGTCTTGAATCGCTCGCAATTTGGAATGGGGTTGGAGATAGCCAACTTTGCATGACTTTATTCTAGTGGCCTGTAAAAAAGGCCAAATGACCACTCAAAGCAACAAGCAAAGTACTACATGTGGAGCTGAGTGACCTCCAGACACACTTGTAAGTTGAAATGGATGGTCTCTGCAAAAGTGTAAAGACGGTGACTGGAGAACATGGCTCAGGGCTGTACCCATTTCGAGGCGGGACTCTTAAACTCTCAATACCTAGAGTGATCTCAATTTGAAGCACTCCCAAATAACGGTCAAACTATACGTCATGATCCCACCTCCAAACGTATGAGGATCCGTCTACAGTAATCAGACTCTACCCTACGATACAGATACTGCATATTTATCCGCGCCATTCTCCAGCTCCTAGCAAAGTTCCTGCCTCGATAATCGGTGGCAAAGCTGTACCGTTTCACCAGCACAAGCACGATAGGTTCTTAGGTAGTGACCACTGACCACTACTAAGGTAGTAAGCAGTTAAGCTCTAAGCAAACTACCGGTCACCGTGGAGTGTGCCAGTGGACTGTGGAGTGTGGATATTTCGACTTGACCTCATTTTTGCGCATTTCAGCGATGCGCCTCGCTTACACACAGTACCAAATACCAACTCGAGTGTATATGGCTACGTGCAACGTAGGTGCATGCATCAATGCACCGATCTCCCATGCTCCTCGACGAGTGACATGCCAGTCTTCTCCCCGCTTTCATGGACCTCTCCCCGGTTCCCAGCGCCCCCTCTCCTAGATCTTTGTCCTGGCACGAGATCGGCGCAGGCATAAACCGCCCCTGACGTGTGGGTGTTGACCCGCGGGGACAAAGCTTAGGTGGCTTAAGCTTGAGCCGGGCGGCAGCGGGCAGGGCAGACGCGGCCATGCATCAAACTGCATATTGAAACATCAGTGCCCAGGTTAATCTGCTGGAGAACGGTCCCGTGTGCTGTCGGTCATTTGGACTGCTTCGATGGTCGATGTGCTTGGTGCACGTGGCTTTGGCGCCCTTTTTCCTTCTTTCTTTCTCCAAACTGGGTCTGATCTCTATGTCGAGACAAGATGAGCTCATTGGGTGGGGGTCTTGAATAATAGTAAAAGTAAGGACAGTACCTTACTATTGTTGTTTTGTATGGTGGCAAAAGGTCCACGAGCGCTTGTGTGGTAAGATACTTCACAACCAGAGGACCTGCTGCCCGAATGATATCGATACGGACAATCAGTAAGATGCTCCGGCAGGTTTCTGGCCTTTCTTGGCTACATTGATACCATTCTACCAGTGCTGACTGCTGAGTAGTACTAGGTAGTAGGCAGAGTCCGAGCCTTGGCCAAATCACATATTCTTGATTATACCATAGGTGGTCCGGCTCGATCCCCCTCTACCATGGATACTGAAGGGGTTTGCGACATCATCTGGCTACGATCATGGCGGGAGCATGAACCTTAAATGAGAACTTGCTCAGCACGCATGTGATTCAAAAGGGTCATTGTCGTCGTCCAAGTCTGAGGAGCGACTCGGACTTGCCGATCTCGCTCCAATAGACCATGTAAACAGCGTACGCAGGTTCACTCAAGTGTACATGAAACGGCCTGCCCATGTCAAAAAGTCTTTGCTATTCTGGGGCTAAGAACGAATAATATCAATGATGTGATCTGCAAATCTCACAGGGTATCTTCGATATGATTTGGAACTAAACGTGCGTGCCATTGTCTGGGATGTTTTGTGTTGGTGGGGTGCATTTGGAGCGTTTGCTTGGCCGAGTCGTGTGTCCACAGACGCTTGTGAAGAGGGTTAAGCTTTCTGATGGAGAGTAATGCACCCGCCAGATGCCAAGCCACACCGGGCCCGCCTCAACAACAAGACCATTGCTGACAGACATATCAAGCCGATCCATCTGGGTATTCATACATCACGCCGATAACTCGAGAACAGAGTCTCCTCGTCCCAACACGTCAAGGTCTGGACGCAGCTTGTCGCAATAAGGATCGCTTCAATACCAAACAAAATAAAAATTCAAGTTCGATCGCAATCAATTCGATCATTGTGCAATTGCAGCAGGAACATCATGTCCTTCCCGATGATTGTCAACAGGACGGCCCTGTGCCCTAGTTGACTGGGTCTCGAAAAGCCGACGCCACCACGAAGGAGGATCCAAAGGCCGATGTCCGCCGTGTAAGGGGGGGTACACGTCATTGAAGAAGTACCAGACATGACCGACCGCCACCCCGAGCATCTCATCCTTGGGCACGATCTTGTGAAGAAGGAGGCTGAACGCCATCAACACCCAGGGCAAGTAGGGTGCTGGAAACACCATCAGTCCCAGAAAACTCAAGCGAGTGTCGGGGTTACGTCGCGCCCAGATATAAACCAGGCATGAGCTCAATGCGGAACCCAGGTAGGGCAGGGAGAGGAAAGGCGAGATGATCAGTAGAAGACTGGTCGCGTAGAAGATCAGCCAGGCGAATCGTGCTGGCGACCGGCCGGAGGATTCCTCCACGAGGCGTGAGTATCGTTGGAGAAAGAACACGTGGAAGATGAGGTCGAGGTCTAGTCGGCCAAAGTAGAGGAAGGTTGTGAAGAGGCGCCAGTATTGTGATTTGGCGTAGACTGCGCGGAAACTGTAGAAGAGCTGAAGCTCATTGACGATATTGCAATGCACAAGCACGGAGGTCGCCACGGTGGCTACCGTCCACCATCGAGTCACTGGCGGCATTTCATAGAACCATTGCTCCAAAGGGAACTGGCCTAGCTGGCCCATCTGGCCATTGTTTCCCCAAGCATCAGCCATCGCACAGAACGAGGGAGAAGCTGAAGTCTACAATCAATGACTCCGGGCCGAGCTGAAACGTCACAAGTGAAACAGAGAGAAAAGAGAGAGAGAGAGAGGAAGTGTTGGCCGATGTCAATGGTAGATGCCTTCGTTGGAGAGACCAGATAGACCGATTAGCCCGATAGAGCTGGCTGGCACCGATAAGAGCGATAAGAGCAATAACAGGCAACTGAAGTTAAAAGTAGGGCCAACGTAAGTTCGTGGAGTAAGCTAGGCCGTTTCTGCAAATGCCACGTTATCGATAACGCATGTCACGTGCCTCGGACGCGTCGAAGTCCTCGTCGCGGGAGTCACGCGCACCCGAAAGTTAGTAGGAGTGAGTCGTGTGTGGTGAGTGACTGAGTGGAACGGTCGCGCGGGCGCTAAGGACGAAAGAGCTCATAATTGACCTTTTCCCAGCCCCTTCCATTTTACCCTTTTGGGCTGTTTCGCCTGACAACTCGCTTGGATTGATCCAGCTGTCAGATGTTGGCAAGCTCGTTGTCGTTCCCCGCATCCTTTCTTTGAAAAGTCTTCGTTAGGAGTATTACTCGTGTCTACAACGACCTTGCCAGCTGTCGCGCAAGCACCTTTTCGACACACCTTCGCAGATAGCTTCCGAAGAGACGGGCAGCAAAGCAAAAGCAAAACACAAACCTCATCCTCACACAACCACGAAAGTCAACGAAGGCGACCTCGCATACTGATCGCGAACGAATCTCACCGATAATCTCCGGTCATACATACACAGCACATAATGGCACCATCTCCGAAAGCCAAGAAAACTGGAGGCGCCAAAGCTTCAACGTTAGCGGGCGGCGCAGCTGCCGGCCCTTCGGCGCGCAAATCAACAGCTGCAGGAAAGAGGCCGGCAGGGAAAAAAGCTGCAAATGTACAACGTATGTCTCGGGAAATTTTACTCGGATTCGAAGTCCTTGTAGACAAATCTTCAGCCAATTGAGAATCAATCTAACGAGTCTTTCTCTCCCAATAGCCGGCGACCCAACACCAACGGGGAAGAGACGTCGTTACAAACCCGGCACTGTCGCCTTGAAAGAAATTCGTCGTTACCAACGATCATATGACCTTCTGATTGCAAAACTCCCCTTCGCTCGTCTCGTCCGTGAAGTCGCACTGGATTTACTCCCCGCCGATGTGGGCGCAGAGCTGCGTTGGCAATCACATGCCATCCAGGCCTTGCAAGAAGCTGCAGAGGCTTTTATGGTGCACTTATTCGAGGATACCAATCTATGTGCCATCCACGCCAAACGTGTGACCATCATGCAGAAAGATATCCAACTAGCGAGGAGAATTCGTGGTGTTTGGGGCGGTCTGGGCTGAGATCATAGGAGATGAATTTGAATGCTCAAAGCGGTTCATTAATCCAAGCCCCCCCCCTTCCCCCCCCCCCCCGGCAAGTCTTTTCAAACTTTGTGCATTTCTGCGTGTCGAGATCGGACAGCGATTACAGTCGTACGTTCAACCGCAGAGGGAGTCATTCAAGGGAGGTTTTCTTCGCCATCGTCCTGCTGTCTCTCTTAATCAGAACGAGGGATTCTCAACCAGCCAATCTAGGAGCCATGGGCGTTTATGTGCGTTTCGGTGTTACGAGGGTTCTGCTTTGCTTAGTGAAGTCTTGCCGCCTTCATATTTTTGGATTTCTACTTCTATTCTTTCCCTGATTTTTGTCGTTCTGAACCTGAGAATTTGGAGCCAGGGTCTGATTTATACCATGGTGGTTATATGTACAATAGCATGGCTATGGAGTGGGTTCGACGTACATTTCTTATATTGAGATTGTGCAGCAAACGATCTGATCGACGCTCAAACCTTGATCTTTTCAAAGGATAACGGAGAGTGATCAGACGGAAATTGATATGGATCTTTAATTGTACCAAGGGTCTTCATGTTCATTTCGTATCGGGCATGTCTTGTCATTGTACGTTAGCTAGATCCACATGTTTGAGCCATGAATCCTTTGCGGACTGTAAATCGCTTTCATATGAGTTTTGAAAGGACGGGATGCAGATATTGCTACCTTATTCAGCGGGGAATAAGATGTTTGGAACATACCCACCGCGTGCAGAGACAAATTTTGAACAGGACCGGAGATATGAGGAAAATGATTCAACTTGGAAACTCCAACTCAATGTAAGCTATAGATGGTATCTTAAACAGGGCGCTGAATCCGACGGCCTTCGCGGGCATTATTCGCGAAGGGCTTTAGACATGACATAATATGTGGGTTTAGGGGATCAATTGAAGGCCCAGCTTCACTCTGGGGGAAGGGAGAAAACTATGAAGCTGGTCGTTTCAGGCTAGGGGGAAGACCTGTGATCAAACGCTGGCCTTCCTCTCTCACGCCACGAGCCTCTTCCCCTTTTCCGTGTCGCTCAAGTGTTTCCGCTAGCATTTCATCCGTAACGCTGGCCCACAGCCGGTCGTTGGCTCTTTTAGCCATGGCCCGACCGGCTCGGACACTTTTCTCGGCTTGTTCACCGACAACACCGCGGAAATACTTCCAGCTCATGAAGGTCAGCGTCATGCATGTGATTTGAGAGTTGCTGATCGCGGTAGCGGACTGAAGAGCATGTTGCAGGAAAGTCTTGGTTTGGATGGTCGACTCCGTCTGTACAGTGGCACAGACGAGATAGTATGCTGCTTGGATGTACTTGTTCGGCCCGTTCTGACAAAAGGGTTCGATAGTTGCTTGCACTGCAGGGAGGTGGGGATGAGCGGGATGAGAAGGGTCACGAATGATGAGGATGGTATTCAGAGCGGCAAGAATGCAAGTGTCTCGACAAGGATCGTTTCGGGCCGTTTTACTAGCAGACTGCGAGAGCGACAGCAACGGAGATTGGAAGATGCTCAGCGCCTGAGCGAGGTCACCAGTTGCTTGCGCAATGGTGCCAGCGGCATACTCCATCAAACACTGGATGGACGTGGGCAAATTTGGCCCACACTCTTGTGCGAACTGTCGAAGCTCCTGCAAGGACTGCGCGGCAAATTCCCAATCAGTCCGAGCGCAAGCGAGGAATACACGTTGTAGAAGGAAGTTGCAGCAAAGAGAGCGGCGCCATTCAACACGTTTCGTGGCGTTCACCATCGACTCGGAAATCTCTTGGGGCGCGGTGAAGCTTCCTAGAGTTCCGGGTAATCAGTAATTGTCCTAGCAGCATGAGTGTGAATGTGGAGCAGTGGACGAACCTTGAATCATACGGAGCCCTTCATCCAAAAATTGCTCCGCCTTGCGACCATCGTAGGAATTTTTGGCACTGAGCGTAATTGAGCTGAGGAAGTACGAAAGCGCGTAAAGATCATGTTGCGGCAGCCAGTTGAAGCTGAGGAGCAAGGTCCCATTTTGCACCTGAAGTATATCGCCCGTATCAATTGATGAAGGACCAGCCGATTTGCCACTCAGGGGAACAGAGAATGAGCCGTCAGCTCGCCAATTGGGGTCGTTCAAGGTCTCATCTGCTAGAGTTTGTAATGCCTTGAGCTTCTGCGATGCCTGTGGAACATCGTATTCCAACAGACTGCAGCAGATGTCAACCATCTGAGTCAGGGTCACGAGCTGTGGGATGTGCTTGAATTCTTCATTCAGTTGATGGCTGCGAGCGGCGGCCAGCGCGCGCTGAGCTTGTTCAATGGCATCTGAACCGGTTCCTTGCTGCAAATGTGCCAATGCTTCAATGACAGCCGCCATTGCAGCCACTGCTTTGTCGCCGTTGCGACTAGCCATGGTAGAGATCTTGGTAAGATGCTGAAGAGCCTGGACAGAGTCTGGATGAGATGAAGACGAAAGTGAAAGTGTGACCCGAAGGAATCGAAAAGTATATTCCCAGGCAGTATGACGATAACTGAGGCCAGGTTAGCATTGGAAATTTGATCAAGATCGCGGGATATAGCACATACGCCTCTACATCTTGAATCATTCCGTCGACAGCCTTCAAAGATGCCTTGGGATTGGACTTGTGAAGCATTCGCGCAAGAAGATGCTGCATGCTGTACTTCAAGTCGAGCATGCGGTTCTGCTTTTCTAGTCAGTCTCCGCATTGGAACATATTTAAAGGAAGAATGCTGACCCGTTCACAAAGATCAATCTGGCGAGTCAAGTCAGTACACAGGGACATCGAAATGAAGCAACAAGATGAGTACGTACACCCTTGCTAAGCGCTGTTTCAGCTTCCAGATCATTTTCCGTCTCCTCATAAAGGGTACGCGCGTAACGCAATCGTACGAGAGCTTCTTTCCGAGGCTGCAAGCGCCAATTCTGGAAATTGATAGTTGCGGTTAGGATATGCGAGTCATGGGTACTGGTAAGCAATTCTTACCTTCAAGACAGCCTCTAAGCACCCCAGACCAGTCGAGACAAGCTTGTAATATTCCTCGACATCGGCCTGGCTTGTTCCCAGAGCAGTTCTAGTGCCGTGGCGATGAGCAGCATTCAGATACTCATCTGCGAGTGACAGCAACAAAACTTGATAGTCCACGGGCGGCTTGGTGACCTTCGTGACTCTGTCCGGGCTCGCTTGTGTCGACAGCTTTCTAGGAACAGGGACATTTTGCGTCTGCGACAAACCACCGACAGGCAGGTCCGAAGGTGCTGGAATCATGACCTGCGGAACAACTTGCTTTGGAGGCGATGGAGTGGGCTGAACTTGACTTGAGATATCCACCTTTGGTGCGACTGCCTCTGGCGGCGACGGGTTGAGAGGTTGCACGGATGGCACCGATGGCACCGATGGCACCGATGGCACCGACGGCACTGATGGCACTGATGGCACTGATGGCAGTGATGGGGGTGGTGCTTTGGGCGGGGAAGCTTTTGATGGGCCCACTTTTGGAGGCGTTGGCTTTGATGCAGCTTTCGACTTTGGCTTCGACACTTTAGTGTCTGCTTTAGGCTTCTTGGACTCCTTCCTTGGCTCCTTTCTTGGTGTCGACGCCGGCTGCTTCGGTTCTTTCTTGACCGCACTCTTTGCAATGGACGGCTCTGCTTCAGCAGCCGGCTTGGGCGGAGGCGGGGTCGTCTCCTGAGCTATGGGCTGCTCTATGGGCTGCACTTCAGGAGCAGACGCAGGTTCTTCCGGCTGGGATAGAACACTTGACAAAGGAATTTTTTGCGTTTCAGCCTCTTTGCTCTGGGGTTCTGGGACATGGAAGTCATTTGCCTGGGACGATGGGGCCGTTGGAGGGACAGAGGTAGGTATAGGCGGGAGTTCGAGGGAACTTGACAGTTCACTCTTATCAAGCAAATGGCTTAGAGAGCCATACCGTGAGCGCGGGGCAGTGGGGAGCGGAGATTGAACAAAAAGCTCGGCAGGATTGATAAATTGATGTTGTGGTTGCTCGATAGGTAAAGAGGGAAGGGGAACAGGAGGGACAGGAGGGACAGGCGGAGGTTGTAGTTGTTGAGTGTGAATGGGCTCCGGCTTCGGAGCAGAGGGTGAATTAGACGGTTGCAAACCTTCTTGCCGGATCGGCTGGAAAGAAGGTTCTTGATATCGAGGCTGCTGAGCTTGCTGTGTTTCAGGTGGGGGTTGTGGAGGGCTTTTCGGCTGATGTTCTGCATGCTGATTCAAAGGTTCAGATAGTTGGTGCACAGGCTGTTGAGAAGGTGCTGTCTGCAGATTTGGCGGTTGGAGAAGTGGTTGTCGAGGATGTGATGGTTGTGACTGGGGCGGCTTTAATTGCGGCTGCTGGCGTTGAGGCTGCTTATACTGATTCTCTATCAAATAAGTCTGCGACTGCTGATGTGGCGGCTGTCTGTTCTGCAACGTCTGGGTCTGAAGCGTGGGCTGAGGACTTGGCTGGGACCTGGGTGAAGGTTGTAAGACCTGCAGCCTGGGGGATTGCTGTTGGGACGGAACTATGGCAGACAGGTGCTGCAATTGTTGTAATTGGACTTGAGGGGACTGCTGGAACTGCGATCTTGGGGAAGAATGCTGCTGGTATTGTACTCTGGGAGATTGTTGTTGAGCATTCAAACGGGGTGATTGCTGTTGGAACTGGGGTCTTGGTGACTGCTGGTGTTGCAGCTGGGGTCGAGGAGATTGTTGCAGTTGGAGATGTGGAGACTGCTGCTGCTGTTGGTGAATATTGATCTGAGGTTGCTGTTGTAGGACAGGAGATTGCCGGGCTTGTGAGATAGGTGCATGTTGCCGTTGCGATATTGACATCGGCGATGGTTGGGAGAAGGCAGGGTATTGAGGTTGCACCAGCTGTTGAGCGTGAATCAAAGGCGCCGGTTGAAGAGCCGGTGGTTGTTGTTGTTGCTGCTGCTGCTGCTGCTGTGATGGCAATGATTGAGCCTGTGATGGCATAGTCTGAGAGAATTGCTGGCCATATTGATTCCAGGACTGTTGTTGCATCATCCCCATTGGATATCCGATTGCTTTGCCGTAGCCGTACGGTGACTGCGCAGGGGGCGCGACATGATTGAATGGATACTGCGGCTGAGGGGCAACCTGTCCAGTCTGATATTGTGTCTGTTGAACATACTGCGGATATTGACCGGAGTTTGGCGGTGGGTAGCTCATCGCCCCGACGTATACCACTCAGTAGATATGTTCACAAATGGTCCTCGGCGACTCGTTGACTTTCCATCCCGAGCGCATCTGATGGCTTCCGCGTCGGGGCGGAGAAACTCGCGGAGTCAGCTGATTACACGATAAGGACGGCAATAGCAATCCGATAAGCGTCAAGCTTGGTCCAGAATGCGGAGTGACGGAATGTTTCTCACGGAGTTAAATCACTAGCGTCCTGACTCCTGAGAGCTTCCAAACGGATGAGCGATATCGCTTTTACACAAGGTCAACGTGTGAAAGCCGTCGAACATTTGATTACAGGTTCTAATTCGTGTCATGGTTTCTTTTTTTAACTATCACAAGCTTGTAATGTTCGATCCGTTGTCAAAAAATTGGACATTATTACCAACCGGAGTACCTACCTTCAGGTAAGTGACTACCGGAGTATGAAATATACAAGGTGAGTCGGGAGTCTTTGGGCATCTCAAACTACGTGCTCACTTGCAGATTCTTTCTATTAAAATGGATAAGTGGCCACTTCGTACCAATGTGTAGGGTACATTGAGCACGAGAGCGAAGTATCAACTCAAGATATGATCACCGTCTGACATGCGAAAACAAGAAATATAATGGAATGCAGTGTAATATTCTTAGCCTAGCCTCAAACCCCTATTCCAGCGGACTCAGGCATCATGTCTCCCATGAAAACGCCATTCGATGAATGCCCATCCAAACGCCTTTCAAACCTCCCAGAACTGAAACAATCGAACTCCTGTTCACTCCAATCGCTCCAGGGGTGTGTGTCGCAAGAAGATAGGGAGGAAAGTAGACGTGACGAGTTCCTAACCTATTTCCAACGCCTTCAGAGCATGCGAATCGATGAATAAAGAGTGCTCAGCGGTTGAGGATTGACCGCCGGGTCAATGATCTCCTCTTCGATGGCGGGAGAAAAAGTCAATGGGGGATGTTCCCGAACCGTCCAGGGACACAGCTCGTTGCAGTTCTCCACGCCAATTATAGGCTCGGCTGGATGAATACGCTGTGATGCCCACTTGTCATCCGGGATGAGCTTAGAACCACCAAGGTTGCGCTGTGTCATAAAGTAGAAGGTGTCTCGACCGATCTCGCCAGAGTTATATGGTTGTTTTCGCGGGCACTTGAGGGTTGTGTTGCAGGCACCGCAGACAGAGATCCGGCGACAAGATGTGCAGTAAGCGTCGAAAAGGCGACAGACGCTGGTCTGATGGACGCTCGAAAGCCAGAGATCGACTGATCGATGTGCGCACCCAAATCGAGGTGTCATATACTCCTCTTTACCCACTTGACCTGCCTCGGTGGTCATTTCGTACTCAATTCGCACCCGCAACTGATCGGTCTCATCCAGCTCTGGGTAAATCGAGATTTTCAACTGTGTTGGTCCGTAGGTCTCGGTACAGGAGTGCCAGCAGTATCGATCTCCAACTTTGTCCCCAAAGTGTGTTCGCAAAGCTTCCACGGAAACCCTCCGAACACGAAGATGGTCTACCAGGTCCAATTTGTCCCTGAAAGTAAGCTTCTTACAGGGACAAAGGTCGACAATCCCCGCAAGGTCGCCCAGGTTGCATGACCGATGGTCTGATTTCCGTCGTAGTTCGCGACTGCTGAACGCTGCACGAGGATGTAATTTCAAGCATTTCGAGCACGCAAACCATCGCCCATCCTCCAGAAGGTTGATGAATTGCCATCGGGACGAGACAAAGTTGTGACCGTTGCGATAGTGGTGGAAAAGCGGCGCAAAGTCCCGGCTAAACCGGAGCGATTGTGACGTGAGAATCCCACTCGAAATCGCGAGCATGCGCTTGCAGGTCAGCGCAAGCGCTGCCTCTGGAACCAAAGTCAAGTGGGAGATGATTTCCAGCAACAGCTCCGCTGGAAGCTCCAGGAGATAGCAGCGGCCCGCTCCATCCTTGTGCTGTTTACGGTAGCGGGACGGTGACCATGATTTCATTCTCATGGTGAAGCGAAATTTCTTACCCGCTCGACGAAGGCGTTCGGAAATGCCGGAAGTGGACGTCTTTAAGGTCATAGAACAGAGGGGCGGGTTTGTGTTTTTAAATGACAAATAAAGGACTTTCAACGGTTGTTTGATGACCAGCCCGCATGCGCGAGGATCGGCGATATCTGATAGGATGGGAGATCTCACGAGATCACAGAAGTTGGTGCGATAATAGCTAGTTAGTACTGAGCGACCATTATTGTCATACTGTTGCTGCACGAGGAATGAGACCGTGGACAATGGTCAATGAAGTGGTGTTTGTGAATCTCATGAAAGATCAAGAAGAAGCGACCACTTTTATCCAAGCCGGGGGGGGGGGATCTGTTGGCCTTGAAGTAATGCTTGGGCTTTTGCAAGAGTTGCACGAAAACGGACCATGGGATCAAGTCACGGTCGAGCTGTCAATGCTATCAGCATTACACATGGTTGGTGATCTACGAGCTGTCACCAACCTAGTATGGGCTGTATAGTTCTAGCTCGGTCCTCGCCGCGAAAACGGACGTCTAAAGAGGCTTTGTGCGCCCGCGTTATTCATCCCTTCTTTGATCTCAAAGCAGTCTTGCATGAGGCATCTCGCAGCCAAATTTACGTCTAATCGGAATCCGATCAGATAGAAGTCAGGTGTAGAACAAGATTGGGCGCCGGATGCTACCAAGGGCTGTTCCGCATGCGGCAATCTGCTTGGCCGCATCGAGTCGCATGATTGCATCATCACTCCCACGATCCGTCAGATTCACCTTTCCCATCAAGGCCACGTTGGGCCCCATCTGCCAAGATTTAAGCATGCAGGAGAAAACCCAGCCACATGTCCATGTGGATGACTTGATCAACTGACATCCACTTGTCGTCTGGTGAGGAAGGATCGTGAGTTTGTGGCAGTCCTATGACTCTATGCTTCCGTGAGAGCAGAGTGGGAGCCTTAGGCCTCCCATCTGATCTGCCGACCGTCCAGTTCCACGGCGGAGTAGGTAGGCGGCCTGACGGTACAGATGACTACGACCTGGAATAAGGCCCCGGCCTAGACAGTCTGCTGCCTCGTGCATCCAAGAACCCACTGTGTGTGACTGCACTGCAGTCACTGCAGTGAAGTTCAAGTCACTGTCAGTGTACTGACTGTAGTACTAGTCAGTGGTCACTGCAGCATAGAATGAGGTATGGTCTGAAATTCTAGCAGTTTTCCAGTGTGCTGCCCCACACTTTGGGTGCTGCGGAGGCGAGTTCCTGACTTGAGGCTGACAGTCCCTCCTTGCAGAAGGGGTCTCCTCGGTAGGCTGTTCCGAACACTGCCTAAGTCGATACTCGGGAGTCGGGCGCAGAGTTAAAAGGCTGCTGCACGATAGCAGGCTGTCCTTATCAGAACACCTCGCTAATCACCTCGTGATACAAATTGAAACCTGGAGATCTTTTATTGCAACTGACACCAATGAGCACGTGAATATTCGACTGCCTGTTGTCACTGTGCCACCCCAAGCATCGGTGAGTTCCTTCGAATGCGTCCTCGGTTCCATACTTTATTGATCACAATATGATTAGCAAGAATGCCTTCGACTTCAGACACAATGACTTCCGCAGCGGTGATCTCATAGACTGTGTATACTGTATAGTCATTCTATCTGGCTCAAATCGCCAGAAGTTCCGCAGAGCGTGGTTCACTGCCGATCGTGGCTTCCGTTACTTCCTCGGACAAAGTTACCTACTAGTAGTAGTCTAATCACTCATGTCACTCATGTAGAGGCGCGTTATGTTGTAGCCGCTAGCTTCCTAGTAACCTACCTACCTACTACCTAAGTTGAATAACTGATGTTAGTACATCCTCGCTTACATAACTTGGTGGATAATGACTCATGGACTCATGGATCAGTCGGCAGAGGGGTAGCAGTCTCAGGCCCTTTTCTTATGAATGTGTATCCGAGTTCACGGACATGCTTGGTGCGGCTCAGTAACTCAGGTCTCGATAGATTGATAACATGTACCTGGCCCGACTTTTGCACGTGACGATAGCCCATCGGCATCTCGACGACCGTGAAAGCCTACTAAAAGTTGAAAAGTTCGAACCCGTGTCATCGGAAATCGGGGCTTAGTCAAGCCGGTCCGATCGGGAAGGACCGAGGCTGACCTGTTATCGAGGCCCTTTTTGGTTGATTGAAGAACTTGGCAAACAAAAATTCGATTGATCTTGCCTCCGAAGGGCGCCATTCTTTTCGTGACATTTCTTTTTTCCACTCATTAGATTCATAGATTGCTTTGCTTGTGTATTTTTTCTGCCGTCTCAACTCATGTCGGAGTTCGTGTCAGCGCTGATCAAATCATTCCCCCTATCGCTTCTCTTATCAGCTCTCGTCGCCATGGGTCTTCTTTCCTGGGTGCGTCCCAGCGGACGAATCTCATTTTTCCACGCCAAAGACAACAAGCTTGTCTTGACGAAGAAAGAAAGCAAGACTGGTACCAAACAGCAGACGACCTTGGTCGATATATGTCGTGATGCGACTCCCGACTCATGCCATTTGAACCCGATGTTGTTCAATGGTCATTTGCAAACGATGTATACGGTTCTCAAGCACGACAATGTCCCCGTATACTACAAGCGCAAGATGTTCGAAGCCGATAGTCCCATGTTCACGGGCACTTATGCAATTGACTTCGTTGTCAAGCCGTATGACATGCCACCTGAGGGGGAATTGACTGATCAAGCGAGGAAGTATACTCAACCGTCGGGGCTGCCACCGCGCACATCCTTCTATTCCGAGGAAGAATTTGCGGGAATTACTTCAGATGACACGAAACCCATGCTGGTCGTCCTTCATGGTCTGAGTGGTGGTTCTCATGAAGTCTATCTGCGACACGTGCTGTTCCCGCTCATCGCGGATGGCACCTGGGAGGCATGTGTGGTCAACTCGCGAGGCTGCTCCCAAACCAAGATCAGCACCGGGGTTTTGTATAATGCCCGAGCCACTTGGGATGTGCGACAATCTGTGAAGTGGCTAAGAAAGACTTTCCCAAACCGACCTCTTTTTGGTATCGGATTCTCACTCGGAGCCAATATTCTTGCAAATGTAAGTTGATGGAAATGGACTGAAGTTCGAAGACCGGTGACTTGAACTAATGTCACGGAACAGTATCTTGGAGAAGAAGGCGACCACTGTCAGCTCAAAGCAGCAGTACTTTGTGCTAGTCCTTGGAACTTGGATGTCAGCTCCGTAAACTTGGTGAGCTCATGGCTCGGCAAGGAGGTTTACAGCAAGACCATGGGGTCTAGCATGAAACGACTATTCGAAGCGTGAGTCTACCATGTCTTGTTTTGAGTCCCCAGACTAAGACTGATTGCACGATAGACATGTCGATCAAGTATCGAAGAACCCACGGATCGACGTCGAAGCGATCAGAAGCATCACCTACTTGCACGAATTCGATCGGTAGGTCTCTTTCTTCAAATCCCCTGATCATACGGCCTTGATTTGATCTTAACAACGTCTTTCTCAAGGGCTTTGCAATGTCCAACATGGGGTTACCCTACAGAAGGTGCATATTACCGCGACGCTGCCTCCACAGACGCCATGCTTCAGATCCGCATTCCATTTTTTACCGTTCAGGCTGAGGATGATCCTGTATGTTATTCTTTGCTCGGTCTCTTTGTCGTTTTGCCTCTTTGCTAACAAGTCGGCCTAGATTGCCTCGCGTAATGCATTGCCCTTCCAAGAGATGACTCAAACTCCCTATGGTGTCATGATGACTACCTCCTGGGGAGGGCATCTGGGCTGGTTCGAACTTGGCGGAGAGCGTTGGTTCGTTAAGCCGGTAAGCAAACGAATTGCGGAAACACCTCAGGTTGTCGGCGAGATAACCGGACTAATCTCTCTTTACAGGTGACAAATTTCCTGAATAAAATGGCCAAAGAGATCGACACCGATATTCCTGGAGTCGTTGAAAATCCTGACAGACTCCCAGGACGGATCATCAGCCATTTTGGACCCGAGAAGGACGATGACGTCTCACCAAAGCCCGAGTTTCTTCCGGTGAATCGTAAACTGGATATGAAGCTTCCGATGTAAAACTTTTTTCGCATCCATGTCATCGCATGGCCGTTCTGTTGCTCAGATACCTGCAATTGTAACTTAGACGTTTTTTTTTTGCCTGTTATTTCGAGCGAGTGAATTCTTACACAGGATCTGAATATATCAAAAAACCGTCATTAGTCAATAGCACAATCACATCTGACTCTCACTCACCATTCAATTCCTTGCAAGCGGTTTATTGCCCAACTTCAATGGAGCTCTGACCTAGGCTCACGGTATTCCAAACAATGTCTAGTGAGCACACCCAAAGCCTAGCGGCAGACACATCAGGGGCCTGGGAAATGATTTATGACTATTGTAGAGGCAAGACGCTATTCACAAAACTTTGAATCCGAGGGAATCACAAACCCCACACGAACGCCAAACCCCGGATCTAAGTACATGATATGGTATAGATAATGGCCGCTCTCCTGCGGCTTTCACCTTTTGTTTTTTCTTCCATTTGCCGAGCTCAAATCACTTGTCTAAGCGAAAGAGACACTCTTGCGCTTGCTCTTCACGGGCTTGCTGTCGCTTGTTGATCTTGAAGCCGAGGAGCTCTCTGACGCCTTGTCCTTGCCACCCTTGTTCTTCTTCTTATTGCGAATGGAATCCTTCACGGCATCCAGCTTGGACTTCTTTTCGTTCATACGTGCCTCGGCCTCAGCCCTCTTCGCTTCGCGGATCTCCTCGAGTTGGCGGGCTTTCATCATCTTAGACTCGATTTGTCCCTCTTTCTCGGCGTTCACCATTGCCAGAATGGTCATCATACCCTCCTATTGACATCACGAAGGAACAATGGTTAGTCTCAAAAACCCGATATGTCAATCCAGTTTTTTTATTTTCTCCGTCGCAAAGCGAAAACTAACCTGATCGTCAACGAAAACCTTGCCCTTCTTCTTTCCCTTGGGCTTCACAACTCCGACGGGTGTGATCTGGTTGAGTTTGGGCAGATCGAGCTCCGCCTCTGTGTAGACTCGCTTCTTCTTCTTTGCCAGCATCTCGGGAGCCGTGCGGGCCTTGGACTTGACTTCTTGAGGAGGGGGTCGCTTCGCACCCTTTTTGCCGCTGGGTTTGCTCACGCGGGACGAGGAAGACATGCCGGCTGGCTTGGAGCCCTTGGGGCTCTTGGCTCCCTTGGAAGCACCCCCGGAGGAGGGGCCCTTGGACGACCCTTTGGTGGGCGCCATTTTGAATATTTGGCGAAAGTTGTGGTTTTGGGGCGAACTGCGAAGAGTTGGAAGTAATTCACCAGGATGGTCTCGTTGGTGGAGCAAAAATCCGAGAAGAGGACGATCAAGAGTCCCAGGTGTCCTGAAAATTCACGTAACTGCAATATTTAAAGAAATAATTACAGAAATTCAAAAGCATGCGACTCAAAGCCGGCCATCAAAACTGCAAGAGAAATTTTTGAAACAGGAAGGCGGTGACACTCCCCGATTCCACCCACCGAACCTCGATGAAACCTCCACCATCCGAGAGCTCATCAGCATCCCGATCCTTCCCCGCGCGCTGCTTCTGTGAGATCGATTCGGACTGGGCTGAGCGGATACAATCCCACTCGACACAATGACTATCAACCCTACCTACCTCGCGCAACGGACGCGTTCCTGTACGTTCCTCAATCCTCCGCCATCTGAGTCCCGAAACCTTCGGACTACCCGCCATGCGAGCTCCTCAATTGAGACGACAATCGAGCTTTGGGGAGTGATTGACTGACTCCCACATGTTGTTTAGCTGTCAACCTTGCCGATGCCAAAGCCCGTGTTCTCAAGTCCTACCGAGAGTGGCTCCGCGCGGTCAGTTCCTCCCATATCCCATAGGAGCGCCGCCCTTGCTCCGGCGCCAACCTCTCATTCTTCAAACTTGTCTCTACGAAGCTGCGCTGTCCACGAATATCAAGAGCCACCATTCAATTACGGAACTTGCGCGATGTATAAGGATCGAGCTCAGCTAACATCTCAATACCCGTACAGTCCCCCGAGATCCAAACAATGTACTCCCTGGGCATGCCCGTATCCGCCATCCGCACAAAGATCCGCCAGGAATTCGAAAAGCACCGCTACGTGAGCCAACTCAGCGTCATTGACGTCCTTCTCTTCCAGAGCCACGCCGAGTTCCAGGAAACCCTCAACTACTGGAAGCAATTGTCGCACGTCATGAAGTACTTCCGTCCCGAGGAGGACCCCGGCGCGCGTCTGCCCCGCAACTTTGTTTCTGGCTTCTTGGAGGGTCGCAATTGAAAAAGCTTCATTCTCGATATCCTCATCTACTACCACTTGTGCTTCATTGTCTCTTCCTCCTTGTCTTCTTTTTTTCTTTTGTTTTGCGAACATGTGGGATGAACCGGCGAAGGAGCTGTGTCATCGACCACGACATGACGTGTGTATATATTGTCTGACTAGACCGCCAAATCGTTCTGATATCATTCTTTGCTTTCATTGGAGTATTTGATAGATCTGAAAGTTGTCCCATTTACGAAACAGGGGGCCATTCATGTGGCTTATGCTCCTACTCAAACGAAGCCTGTATAAGGCCCATGATCGGGCCAATGAGTGAGCATACCGGTACGCCGCGATGTGCGCAAAGTCTGACTTGGATCGATCATTACATGGAACGGTTAAGCGGGATATTTGTTATGTACAACGTCTGCGTTCTCCTTTCCCTCTCGGCTCAGCTCACCATTCATCCCTCCCATTTTTTTTCCCGAGAGACAGCCTCGAGTACTGCGAGTGTGTTTGCTCAGACCGACGAGGCAGAGCCTCAAAGTCAACATGATCGCGCTCGAGGCTCAGTCCTCCAAATAGATCTTTCAGACCATGATTGAAGTTGTATACGCATACCGCGGCGCAGAACAGTGTGCCAATCATCAGGACCAAGGAGACGTAGGCGAACAGCAGCATCATGGCCTTGTCTGCGGTATTCGCGAGTTCTCCGTTACCATTCAAAACGACAATGCGGCTGACAAAGTAGGCTGCGAGGGCACCGTGGGAGAGCTGCGCGGTTGACGAGTTAGTTTCTATGTTTGTGTGTTACGAACCGCGGGGATTGACGACCGCGCTTAGACTTACAATTGCAAAGATCATGGCCAAGGTCCACTCCTTGCGGACGGCCCAGATAGCAAGGGCCATCATGATGAACGAAGCGGGTAGAATGGCCAGTGTGAGTGCAAACTCGGGTTGCTGGAAGTGCACGTCAATCAGGTCGTACTGGATGATGAAGACGGTGATGAAATAAAACTTGGATTTGATGAGGACCAGATAGACCTGCCAGACTCGGTCAGTTTGTGCATCTCAGATCTGGGGTTTGGGGTTGAGTCTTACCTCATATGCGATGTAACGAATTTTGATACTGGTGTTCCCATGAATTGTCCGATAAATGGCCCAGGCATAATCCTTATGGAGTCGATAGGCAAACGGCCAGACCAAGGCCGTGCAAATGCCAAACACGACCGGACAGGCAACCAGAGCGGGATACACCCGGCCTATAAAGTCGAAGTGCACATTCACCAATGGCTGCAGGTTCGCATCACGCGCTTCTGGCAAAGTTGCGATCGCTTCCTTCATCGATCGGGGCTGGAGGCCCGAAAAGACCGTGATGCAGACATTGCTCGCGCAAATGGCGAAGAGGAGCAGATTGTTCTTGTGGTGTACGGCATCAAACGCCAGAACCACAAGATAGAGACATGTAAAGACGAAGATGACCAGATTGATGGGGACAACGTATCCAACTGACACTTGCGTGATGTTGGGATTCACCCATTCTTGCCATTCCACCAGCGTGTAACTCGAGTGGTGTTAGCGTGACTCTGCCCTGATAGGTCCGATAATATAGCCTTCAATCGGGTGCAATCCGCCGGGATTGTTAGCTTACATCTGTAGAGCCGGAACGATCAAGGCCTGGAGGAGTAAGGGCCCACAGAACAGCCATTCATTCCTCGTGGACGGGCCGAACATTTTATGAGACAGGGAAGAAGTCCACAGGAGCGAGGATCGCGCGCGCACCGAGAGACTGCCGGGGATGCAAGTCCAGGACGCCAATCAGCCTGACACCGGGCCGAGTCTTGGACCAGGAGGAGGCACTGAAGCAGAGTAGTCAAAATCGAATTTCGCAGTCGGTCAGTCACGAGCGCAGCCGACCCCCTATGAAGTTTCAATAAGAGAGGGGAGCCGTGCCTGCTCACGAACGGGTATGGACCAGACTTTGTCTATTTCCCATGGACCAGAACCACCGATTTTTCCGGATCAAAGTTCTCCTTCACATAGGCAAACCAGTCCACCACCCATTGTCTTTCTCTTGCATCTCCATCCAGGTTGGACATCCACTGCCACTCCCTCTCTTCTCTCTCTCTCTCTTCCCAACGGGAGCGAGTCCACCTTTAGCAAGTATCGGCGCTCATCCGGCTGAGAAGTGAGACCTGATAGTGGAGCCTTCGGCCATGGCGCATCAATCATCGTCCGCGCCAGCCTTAAATAGAAGCGGAGCATCGTAATGAACCCAATAATCGCGGTTGTTCATCATTCTTGCGGCGATTCCTGGAGGTCGATCGTGTCGAATCACGTGGCTTGCTCAGATTTGTGCTCGACGAACACGCAGGTGGCGTCGCGAGCTGAAGCATAACGACAAGAGATAAACTAGTACGTTCGTATGAGCGATGAGCTAACTACATCACTACAGTACATCACCTCACATAGAGCAATGACAATAAAGGCTGTCGATTTCGATGGAGCTCGATCGGGATTGTCTTTCCCTTTCTACTCATCCTCGGCTCTCGACTGGTGCACAATTGCACATATCACATTGTCCCATTCTGGAGAGACGGAAACAGGGGGAACGCAACCTCAAAAGATGAAAAGTGTAGGAGACATGAAATGAGCTACCAAGGCTACCACTATCGTCGCGCTGTCACTTAATTGCCACAGCCGGCGGTGCCCCCCCCCCCCCCCCCCCCCCCCAACACTACCAGTGCTGTCACTCGTAGAACTTATCTGTTCCATGTTCCAAATGATCATCAGGGACATGCCGACTTTGCCAAGACCTTCCGAAGGCGATCTCCGAACTTCTGCTGCAACGAACTCACCTCCGGCTTCGCAGGGTCCACATCGATCATCATCCACGCTGGGGTGAATGTTTCGTGGCGTTGACGATCTTCTCGGCGGCGAGCTCAAAGTCCGGCTCGACGATCACATTGTCTAGCGCGGATTTTGCAATCTGGCGTCCGGAGATCAGTATCACCGTCTCAATATTCCATCTCATGACGCTTGAATAGATGGTCAGTGGGGAAAAGAGGTGTGGTACCAGCTCGAGACCCTGGTCGCTGTTGGTGCCCTGCAGTCGAATCACCACCGGAACTTTGAACCCTTTTAATTGTTTCGCGGCGGCCACGATGGATTCGGCAATCATATCACATCGCACAATGCCTACAGCCCCCGTCAGCGACCATCACAACCTGGACCCCAATGGACGTCATGGACAGTCACTCCGAGGGAAAGGGAAATGGTACCGCCGTAGATGTTGATCAATATGCCACGAATCCTCGTGTCGCGATTCAAAATCTCAAACGCCTTCAGTAAGGTCTGCCGGGTCGCACCACCGCCGACATCGAGGAAGTTCGCACACTTTCCTCCGTACAAGCTCACCAAGTCATTTGTCGCCATCGCCAGGCCAGCCCCGTTGACAAGGTTCCCAATGTCTCCGTTGAGTCGAACGTAGGAGAGGCCCGCCTGGGACGCCTCGTATTCATCCTCTTCGTCTGGCAGGTGCTCTTCAAGGCCGAAGATCTCTGCTTGTCGGAATCGAGCAGAATTGTCGAAGGTGAACTTGGCATCCAGGCAGACAAACTGTCCTTCACAGGTTCGCACCAGTGGGTTCAACTCGAGCAGAGTCGCATCCTTTTCGCGGAAAAGTTTCACCATCTGACGGAGAATGTGGCTAATCACGCCCATCTCTTGATCCGAAAAGCCAAGCTGCGCTTGGATATACGCGACAATTTCATCCGTGATACCGTGAGTCATGTCGAACCAATAGTGCTCCAATTTATCCGCGTTGGATTCGATGTCGACTCCTCCCACGTTGGAGATCAACAGAACTGGCATGGACCGGTCGCGGTCAAACGTCAAAGCGACGTAGTACTCCTGTGCGACATCGACCGCTTTGTAAATGTACAGTTTCTTGACGAGGAGACCGCCTGGCGGAGTCTGTTTCGTTTCGAGGTAGTACCCGATCATTCTGGATGCGTTCTCAAACGCCTCGATCCCTCTGAGATGTCGCATTAGAGAAAGATTGTGACCATGCTGGGTCGGCCATCGAGGGACGTACGAGCTCATGATGCGCACTCCCCCTTTCCCATCGCTTTCATACTTGCCTTTTCCGCGGCCCCCAGCCAGGACCTGAGCTTTTACCACAGAGGGCGCATCTTTCAGAAAGCCAACCGAGTCAGTTCAGACCTTCCTGTCCACATATCATCAGGAAACATGATCGAGGTGTGCCCACTGATCTTGGCGACCACTTCCCTGGCTTCCTCGGGTGTCTCGACCACGAAGCCGCGAGGTACCGGAATATCAAACTGGCAGCATTCAGCACAGGAGGTAGTACTTTATTACGACCGAACAACAGCAATCCACTGACATCTTTGAGTAATTTGTGCGAATGATATTCAAGAAGACTCAGCCGTCGCACTTGAGCTTTGAATAGACGGCCACGCTAATCGATGATCAGCTTGAAAGGTACATTCATCGTGAAAATGTCGAGCTCTAGCGAAACTCACCACTTGTGACACTTTGAAGATACTGCGTAGAGCCCCGGGCATTTTGAGTTCAAACGCTTCAGGCCTCGATATAGAACTATCACTGCACTTGTTGGTCCGCAATAGTCGTGGAAAACAGTTTCAAGAGAGAGTTAAAAGGCCGCGGGATGTTTTTTAATCCCCGACTCCAGACACACAGAGAGATGCGGATTTCTTTATGAGCGACCGAGTCCATGAAATGACATCAACACTAAGCTCATCCATACGTTACACCATTTCTCATTGACCACTCCTGAATCATTTGACGTGAAACGCTATTGCTGGGTTGAACGCGGGGAAATCTAAGTTTAAATGACAACCATAACCAGCGGACCTGTTGCGGAGGGATTGAACCCAGGTGGAAGCCAATGACAGTGAGCCGTGAAATGGGGTATCTCGAAGCTTAGCATTAAAAGCTATCGTTCTATGTGGCTCTGTGATTGGAAACGCGTAAGGTTATTGTGAAGCTATCGCCGCAATCTTCCGGAGACTGATGCAGTTCATTCAGTGCGTGGCCAATGTGCTCGAAGAAAGTGTAGCACTGATACCTGCACAGAATACAGTAGCTCAGGTCACAAGAGGCCATCTGCTACATGATCATGGATGCATGGGCTTTTGATCCCATCTCTTACTTATTTAAGATTGCAGTGCAGTGCAGTGCCTATTAACGACTAACGGTAAGGCAAAATAGGGAAGAAAGCTTCACCTTCTGCGTACTCCTAGAACGAAAATCCATTCTTCACACTGTCCCCCAGAATCGTGAAAGGAACTGCCTAAGCGAAATTCAAATTGGTATAAATTCTTGCAAGCTAATCACGTTTCATGCTCTCTCCAAATGCTCAGTTTTCATCCCTAAATCGCCGCTGAACTAATAGCAGGGATGTCAATTCGAAAGAAAATCCCATGTGAGTGCGCTCTCCCTCTGTCATCGTCCCTCTCCCACGGGCGACACACTCAACCTTCCCCCCCAGAACTCATGGTCGATGTTCCATGCTCCGCCCTCCGTGCCATCCATACTATGGGGCACCCGCTTCTCCCAGTCCTCACTCCCTGTGGTCTCACCATTCCTGGGCATCTTCAAGGTCATCGATGATTTCGATGGGATGGTGCGCCGATCCTCCTTGCTCAAACAAGGCTCCCGAAAGCATTCGGTGCAACAGGTCTTGTTGCTTGTCACACCACCACGCGAACCGATAAGGCGGCTGGTAGGGCGTCCAACTGATGGGGTGATATTCAACACCGAGCTGGAGGGCGAACTGCCGATTGCGATGGCCCCGGATGGCACGCTGAAGTACCCTGCCAAAGCGAGGGACCTGCCGCACCAACTTCTGGACCGCCGCATCATTAATGATCTCAGGGCTGAAGATGCAGAGAAAATCCGAGAGCAGGATCGATTGCTCTAGATCCAACTCGGAGATTTTCTGGGCGCGCTGGTCCTGGCTGACCAGCATCATGGCCCAGAGCTGGTAGTGCGCCTTGATGAAGCGGGTTTGTTCAGTCGGGGACAGCTGCTGGGAAATTCGGGGGTCGTTGTGGCTGTTATTGACCCAGAAAGTGTGGTAGTAGGTGATCAGCTTATCCATGTTGTGGGACATCGAAGCAAAGTGAGCGATCAGACTCATTTCAGTGATTGGGTGATCAGTGGCAAGTAAGCCCTGTTCAGCTACGACGGCACGCATCTCATTGTAGCAGGGAAGTGTTCGAGCCGCAACGGTTTCACAGATCAACGGAATATGGGCATTGAGAACCCCATGCAGCTGCTTGCAAGTACCACTCAGACAAGCAATATCCTCAAGAGAGTCGAGGCTTTGAAAGACCGCGATCTGCAGCTCTGGAGGCAGAGACATAAGCCCGACGGTAGGGTTGGAGTCTTGGGTGAAGGACTGCTCGGTTTCTCCGGAACGCTCTGAGATGGACATCTTGGATGCTTATGGAACAAGAGCTAAGCCAAATGAAGGTTGTCGAGCTGACAGTTGAAAAGGCAGGACGTAAAGGGCTGTCAAGTCGAATGAAATGAGAATCGACCAGGGAGGACGTGAATCCTCAAGACGATAATTGTACTTCTGACCTTGATAACCACGGAGCCTGTCTTTGGTAAAGAAGGAGCGTTGACTGCTGTTTTCAAAGCAAGAAGATGCTCAAGCCGGACCGATACATCGAATGATGAAATTTGCTTAGAAGACCAAAGGGAGTTGTAGCAACCAGAATGAGGGAGGAATGAATGTTGGAAGATCTTCCGATCAGAGAAAGTTGACGGTGGGATTTCCCTCTGATTTATATCGCGATCTACCTGGTAGAAACCAGGGCTCCGCAAGGTAGCGGACATGTTATCGCAACGTTCGCATGGAACAAAGTGTCCCAGAATGCCACAGACAATACCTCATCATCGCAAAGGCGATGTCGTTTTGATAGTATCCTCCGACACTCTAACAACTGCTTTTCGGAAGTTTCCTGACAGAACCGTTGAACTTCTCGTTACCATCTACCTTACGACGCAAGCCAAATTCATGTCTGAAACTTGAGCCTGTTGAGCAGCTTCGTGGAAAATTCTCCAAAGCGACGATGCAAGGCTTACCGGTGGCGGTGGAGAAAGACACGGTGTTGATGCCTTTGTCTATATCCGCCGTGGTAAGTGGGTGCAGAGTGGTCATTTTAGTGGCGCTGACAAGCCAGCTTGGTGTTGACGGGGTCCGTTGATACGCCTGATCAATGAGAGTAACAAATTGTATTTGCACAATATTGCTCGGGCAGCCATTTTGATATCATGTATAGAAGTTGAGGGCCAGATGTTGTGGTCTCGTCGGAAATGCTTGATCAAATCGAGGTGGCTACAACATAATCTACATTATGATACTTGCTCATTGAGAGAGTATGTGATAAGACATTGAAACCGTTTCATTTACGCAAGAAGGTTCACACAGAACTGGACAGTGCTGATAGATGGGGGTTATACGGGGCACTGGAAGCAGATACGAGGCTAGATGGAATAGGGCAGGAGAGGAGGTACATCCTCATGAGGGGGTGTTATAGAGGAGTGAGCCAGCAGAGAGAAAACACCTACTGATAATCATGTGATTTGATCGAGCTGGCCGGGCAAGAAACGTGGAAGAGTGGCACCCAAACCACGATATACAAGGTCTTAATTCTACATATCTTATACTTTTATATGTTTTACACGTAAATTTTACGTCGCATCATATCATGGAGGAGTTCTCCTGCACAACTTATTGGCTACACCTTCATCAGGTGATAATCAAGAATCATTAGCTCAAGATATTTTTTACGCTGAGTCACGTATGGAACATCTCAGCTTATGAAGACCTGGTAAGTATGTGTTGCCAGAACCACAACATTTGTGACCGCGGCGGGATAGCCATCAGAAATTATTGCGGAGCGAAGTGACGCTATAATAATGGGGCCCAGTCCTCACTTCTGGTAGAATCTTTACTGTCCGATTAGTCCACTGGGCGGTCTCCCTGTCCAAAACACGTGAGCTCCAATGTTGAAGTACAGTTTGCTTTTGCTTTCATCAAAGTATTACGGTCGGTGTAGAACATGAAGAATTGCGCCGGTGGCAAAAGGATTAATTATAGCAATTGCTTCACTCCGCACCTCCTTCCGAGAGGGACGAAGTGTCGCCCTAGGAACACTCGTAATTAATAGTATAGTGAATGTAGATACATCTTCGTCCGCCCGTTGATTCTTCCATCTGTTGCTACTATTTCAACCTCCTCTCGCTTAGAGCAGGTGGTTCAAGCTGCATTGCAGATTGAGGTCCAAGTTGATAAGGCCGACCTATTGATCCCGAGCGTTAGAAGAAATTTGATGCCTGTAGGTGGTGCAGCAGGAAAGCTCACCTGGTTCACTGCCTCCTCGGAGCAACAGTAGACGTCGCCTCCAGAGCAGTTCTCGCCGAGAAGACCGGTGAGGATGTTACCGAGGGAGAGCAGGCCGCCGTTGCCGTTGCCACTGCAAACGACAGTCTGTTGGCTGCCACAAGCAGGCTGCTCATTGCTGGGCTTCTTGCCTTGAGACATCTTGCCGCCAGCCTCTGTGGGTAGAGCAATGGCCGAGGCAGCCAGGAGAGAAAGGGCCACAAAGTGCTTCATTGTGAATTGATGGAGAACGAGCGGTGGACTAGATACGTTGAAGCTGACGGGTCAGCTTGATACTTTTTTTTGTGTCGTTGCGTGTGATGCTTATCGGCCGTGTTGTCGTGCAAGCGGAGGTCGGGCAATACTCACAGTCTGAGATGCTGGAGGGCTGAAGATAGAAGCAACGTGAGTCGGAATAATCTGCAAAACGAAACCCTAGAGAGGAAATTTCCTTTGACCTATATACCTCCCGTCTCAGTGAACATAACGCGCCACCTAGAAACTCTTCTCTATCCCAAGATATAGATGACACGTTGAATCAGCTCGTCTTGTAGCTCTTGACGTCAACAAACTTCAAATAAAGTTTGTACCTTATCAGACAGTGTTACATGAGCCGTCTCTCATTGTGGAGTCTGAAGATTTTCAGTGACAGCGACGATCCCGTTCGAGAGCTTCCTCTTTCCGAATGCGGCGTCCAGCCGCGCTTCAACCACGTCAGAAAGATCCAAGGCCTTGGATAATGGACCCAGCGAGGCTCAATGTTACAGCTTAAATCATGGGTGGTCTTGAAGGTCCAGGTCTCGTGAATAGCTGGTTCTCTGTGAAGATTAAGGCACAATTCAAGGATTTGAAAGAAGTATTACTCCTCGATTTCGATCTGGACTGCACATGCCGGGCGTCTCCGCTTCACAGTACCTCATCCTTTTCATGGTGGTGGTTCAACATTATTTCGGGCGATGAGCAGCTGGAGCTCAGCCAAGGTTCCCCGATGATGAGAAGTAAGCTAGAGCTAATCGACTACCTCGATATGAAAGGTCAGATATAGTGAGATCATAATTTCCCAGGGTATGATTGTATTCACTTTTTTAGAATGCGCCGTCGCTTTTTGGGACTGGGTTCCACTTTTGGACGGGAGGGGCTCACCGGTTCTGCAAAGCCAGAAATATGTGTTGTAGATGGGATGCGTAGGTATTCTGCAAGGTTCGCTGTTATTGTGATGCTAGATTTTTTAGCAGAAATAATCGGCCGACTTGAATTGAGTGAACAGAGCCAGAACTCGTCGGTTGCATTCAGGAGACAACAGTATGTTCTAAGGCAAACTTGAATCCTGCTATTAGCACTAGGCAGCCTATGACAAAATCGAGTCAACGTATCTATTAAGGCATGATCCAGTTTGAGATTTAGCATCAGCGCGTAAGCGGAATAGACGACACGTCCGCCTTCAGGGTTGATTTACTCGATCGAGTGCTACATTTAAGGAAGACCTAAACGTAAGTGAGATCCAGTATTCCAGTGTAAACTAATCCATACTCATTAGTTGGAGACTAATGCTAAAACACCAAGGTTCCAACGGTCAATCAGCAGACCTTCCAAGAGCACATCAAATCCAAGTCCAAAACTGATCAGTGCCAAGTTCAACCCAGCAGGATCAACTCTCTCGTTCATATTTCAGAGGATAAGAGAAGAAAACGCATTATATTTACAGAAGGTGGTTGAGGGAGCACTGGGCGTTGACGTCGAGGTTGACGAGGCCGACCTAGAATGTGAAGAGTCAGCACAATGCTCTCTGCAGAGTTCTCCAAAGGAACATGCTAGTGGGATGGCCGTACCTGGTTGATAGCGGAAGAGTCGCAGCAGTAGACGTCGCCGCCAGAGCAAGAGTCACCAAGAGCTCCGGGAAGGACGTTGCCAAGAGTAATCAGACCTCCGTTTCCGTTACCAGAGCAGACAATCTGCTGGTTGCTGGCACAGACGGCCTTGGGGGTGGCACCGGCGAGGGCGAGGCCAGCAAGGCTGACGGTAGCGAGGATGGACTTGGCGAACATGTTTGCTGATTCTAGCGGGTACCATTGATTGTTAGCATGTCTTCAGGTCAATCAGGGCGATGAGTTGTCTTTTCGTGGAGGTATGAGTGTAGATATGGGAATTTGAAAAGCGTACAGGTTCTGAAGGGAACTGGGAGAATGATAGACTTGGTTTGATAGCAAATGGATGGACTTGTTGGAGCTTGATGAAGGTAAGTCATAAACACTTTTAGGCCTCGGCCCGAGTCTTTAAATAATCGAGATTTGCTCCATCAATGCGACGGTGTCTTGGATGCGCGTCTTTGTGAAAACGTCAGTGCCATGACCCATAGACATGGTCAACACATGAGTGGTGTGGTGCGTATGGACTAGAGCTGTAGAAAGCCAAAGCTTGCCGCGTGCATTCTTGAAGCTCATGATCTGCAGGAGCCTCCATCGGTCCCAAAGAAGTCAAGATCGACTCGGCAGAACCAAGGCTATCAGCGTTGCAATCGTGATGGCCCTCAGGGACGACATAGTGGATCATGTCCACGAGTGAGGCTTGTCTGCAAATGTCCACCCCTTGCTCAGAAAACGTGAATTCTCCCGGGCCCAGCAGGGCAGACGAACTAGATTCAAGAGAGAAAGTCGCATCGAGTGTCTGCCTTCCACTTCAGTTCAAATGGAACCTCACAAGCTCTTCGAGCACTGGTTTGGGAAGGTTTGCCTTGTTGGTTGAGCAGCAACGTGGCCTGCAGTTTTCGTTTGCGGAGGACGTCCACGGTGATGGAACTCGCGGCTTCAGAGAAGGCAAGTAATGTACAATGGATTCGCCCCACATATGCGCTCTTTCCCAAGAAGGTACCGACCGGATTGCACATGAGGAGATATGTCAAAGTAAGAGACCCACGGCAAAAGTCTCCGGTCCCAAGGGTGCCATGTTCTGTGAAGAAGAATGCGATCGCGGCTAGATCTTGGTAAAATCCTCCGCTTACCCGGGTCGTCATGGTACTATCACGATAGGCCTCAGCAGCATCCCAAGAAAAATTACAGTACATTGATATGCACAATTTCCTGATGAACACCATTGTCGATTAACTTTGACTTTCGACCTCACGCTTTGTGAATGCAAACCTATTAGGGTAGTGTCAATCCCGGGAGCTAAAGCTCCTGGGAAGCTCCACTTTGCGGAGAATGAGTACTTTAGGTTCCATCAAGGGCTTGATGGCACGTCGTACGTTTTCGGAAACTCCTCAGCCTCTGGGCTGGTGCTCCAAAAAGCAGGTTCGTCCTCAGTTGGAATGTGCCACAGAACATGACTCGAAAGAGTGGTAGCAGCGCTCCCGCGCATCTCCTTATTTGGTTCTTCAGGTTGATTGACTCAACGTGAGCGGTCTCCACCTTCGAGGGGGGGGCTTAGACCGAACGACAGTGGTATCGGCATCGTCTTCGTCTTCTGTTTTCATTGACCGCCTACCATCTGAGCTGTAGCTCGCTTCTATGACTGGGCTGTTGAATATTGAGACGGTGAGACTATTATTAGGAAAGGTGAGGAGAAATAAGAAAGGGGATGATCATGGACATGTCATTGGTCGATCTGGAACAGATCATCCATTGAAGTAAGCTTGTGAGTCTCGAAGTACTATTGACTCATGTGGAGTGATGACGGGACTCAGCGGTCTTGGCTATGGAGAGGCTACATACTTTGGGTCTGTGACAGAAAGGCATAGCTGAAAGATCCCAGATCATGGACGAAAGCGCATGGCCCTACTATTTTTGGACAAATGACACGCTACTTTGTGGTCCTCCGAGATATCCTACTCCCAGAGGTACCTTGAACTGACTAGGTACTTACATCCGTGGGGCTTCCTCCTAGTATTATCTCTCCTGATAGGCATTTGACTTTGAACGTATTCCAATCTAGGCATGCTCTGTATTCATCGTAGGGGAGTGCCACGATAAACACTACTCTCGTGCTCTACTAGAAGTAGGAGGGCCAGTTGGCCCCCAATCTACCGATATCGTGGAGCTGCCTACACGTCTCGATTTGATGCTCGTGAGAACGCCGATCTCTTTGCGAGATTCAGGCCTTGACATAACTGTGAAGACAAAAAAAAGCTCTCAATGGGCCTGTGATCGCCACGATTCAGGAAAAATACCTCTCTGCCCTGCCACATGCGATCGATCTACCAAGTCTCATGGTCAGCACCTCAAGCATTCCAACATGAAACAGTGCATGAAGGCAAGATCCACCGGAGCGAACTATAATGGTGGACATGGTCGATCCAGGCCCTTCTATGGATGAGCTCAACGAAAAGGATCGATGTGATCTCGTGATTGAGTTCTTTCGAGTCTCCTCTGTTCGGACATTAAAGTTTAGTATTGTGCATTTCGTCACATGTCATGAAAACTCCGGGGCTTATTGTGGTCGGCAGACGACGTTCATCAAGACTGCCGACTGGAATGATTGTACCGACCCCCTACCTCAATCATTTGGATCTGCCGGAAATGTGCTTTCACTCCTGCAATCGGACCGTAGATCGTCACAGGAGGAATTGTTTCTCCATTGCACTGGAACATGAGCCTCCACGCGTGAAGGAGTCGGGAGCCAAAAGCAACGACTAAGAGATCATAAAAAGAAGTATCGTCATTGCTGCTGTCAAGCTTTTAGCTTTTTTCCCAAAACGCCAGAAATAGCACTAAAAAGAGATCCCCCCTGCAATACTACATGCAAATGCAAAACAGACTGCTGTCAAAAAACACTGCCCCGCTGCGATGGTCTACCCCTCCATAGCGTAGGCAGCGTCATCCTTGTATTGATCACGAGCAACAGTGAACTTCTCCGTGACAACGTCGCAAAGGTCCATCAAATCATCAAATCCCTTCTCGAGGGCTTCGAGGGCGGTGGTTGTATCTTTATGGGGCAATGACAGTCAGTATATCAATGTTCAATGCAAATCCACATTGGTATTCTGTTCTATTGGGATAGCAGCCGCTTGCTGACATACTGTCGGTTTGAATGCGAACGTGCATCTTGGCGTCGGACGGGTGAGGGATGGTGTAACCGCAGAATTCCACCGCGGGGCTGTTCAGACATGGTCAGTAAGACGCTCGGTCAACCGTCACTATTGCTGTCATCGGGATATCACAGCACATGGTACTGTCTGGAAGAACTTACTTCTTCATGATGGTGTATCGCAGCGCATTACCCAGAGTGTGACCTTCGCCTTCGAATTGGAACGAGGCAGCAGTGTCGGTAGAGCCGGGCAGCTAGTTGGCAAGATTCGAGCGTCAGAGACATGTCACAGGTCATGTCCTTGTAGAACTTCAACTGCCAATGGGACACAACTTACAATAATGACACGCTTCTCATCCAGCAAGATGGGGTTGACCGGCTCCTCCATTTCGGCGTCCATCATGGACTGGTCATTCTCGTGCGCCTCTTCGGAGTGAACAGAGGCGGGCATGTTGTCAGAGATAGCGGAGGGTGTTTTTGCGGCGATTACGGCTGCAATTGATGATTTTGCGGTATTGATTGCGAGTATGAGACGATTTAATCAAGTCCAGTCAAGAACTTTAGCTCTGTCTGGAGAATGTTGCGGTCTTGTCTGTGGTTGCAAGGACTTCGTCGACAATACTTGCAACTCCAACAGAAAAAAAAGCGGGTTATCGATAACGGCTGTCTCACCGCCTTCCACTTTTGGGAGAAAGCTCTCCCTCGGCCACTCCCTCGGCCACTTTATTTTAGATATTACAAAAGCCCGTGACGGGCCGCCGATCAAAGCCTGAGCCCGGCCCGCGGGCTGCTAAGAAAGGGCTCCCGCTCGGGCCCGACTTAAAGCCTACAGGCTTTTCATAGGCTTTACTTAATCCAAGGATATATAGATCTTTTAAAATATAAAAGCTGAGACTAGATATTGTAGTAGGGAATCCGGTTACATGTACCTAGAGCAGATGGTTTGCAGAGGTACGTGTGCCTGATGGTGGCCTTATAGTCGGGAGAGGCTATTTGGGCATTACGAGAGGGGGTCAATCAACTTGACCACCAAGGAAATCGAACAAGTTCATGGGATCCGGGAGATCCATCGGAGAAGGGAATCGAGGATTCAGGACGGTCTTTACAGTCGGATTCTTTGCATTGCAATGACACACTCTTTTTGATCTTCACTTGTGCCCCTTGACAACTGTTGTACGGTCGGGCTGGGAGATCTCTGGACGTGCGTGCTGGTGGTTGTGGTTTGGTTCCTCTATGACTCGACCTGTCTGGTGAGATCAGACTGCCTTGAGCATTCCCCTCTACAATATCTATATACTCTGACCACTTGAATGGGCCAGCGGCAAAGGGACTAGCGAATTCAGCGATTTACAGTATCATGCAGCTCCGATTTTCTGCGACCAGTCGTTCCTGACCCATCGATAAGCGCCCGGGGCGTTCTGGCGTTCCTGGGATCGTGTTGGTCGTGCATACCCGAAGTTCTACCCAATTATCCGCACAGGATGTCGTCTATACTCTACGGTCTAATTACAATGTTTTTATTCGAATATGTTAAGTGAGTGCATACTGAATGCTGTATATACCATATAATACCGTCAACCCCTGTCAAACGTCAGAGAAGACTTACTCCACCGTTCATCTGACATGATTGCAAAATTCTATTATCATCGATATAAACTAGACTTATGACCGTGAAGGTTGGCCTGTTCGCAATGCCCGTCCTAATTTTAGTCGGGGGTGCGGCTGGGTCGATTGTGGCTTGAGTCATGTCCACTGTGGCGTTGTGAAGATCATTCAATGGCTCCGGCTGCTTCCTGATCAATCCTTACCTCTGAACCCGAAAACAGATTCTGGGCTAGGTGCTGTATAGGCGAAGACTTGGAAGCCGGGGATTTGCATGAAGTTTGCTTTCCTAAATTTCTGTCTATCTTTTCTTCGGGCTGAACGTACGATCTAGAGATCCATTGCCTCGTTTTGGGTGCCCACTTTATTGGGCAACCCTGCTGATTCGTGGATGCGCTGGGCTTACTTTTGATTTGCTGCAGCTGCCTGATATGCACGGTGGGATCAAAGTGAGCCCTTTAGGTTGTGGACCGGCAGTACACGTCTCGGTCAAAAAGGTACAGTAATGGTACATCCTAGAGATAGTAGGCATGTACTATCTAGAACGTAGTATGTACTTTGTACAATAAAGGGCCATATGAGGAAAGTCTTCCACGGGCCGGCTGTCTTACAAAACCTACTCATCTATGTATAGGCGCATGATTGGACTAGGGCAGTGTACATGATGTCCATATTTGAGACCAGTTCGGGTAGCATGGGGCATAAGATTTCTAGTTGCCTGGAATCAACTTTAAAGAGTAGTCTAGAAATGACGAATTGGATTCATATGCATGGACTAAGTTCCCTTAGAGCGGCCTTGATCTCACCCTTTCTGAAAGGAACATCGCTTCTTGGCCCAGTTTCTTAGGATTTCTTATTACATCTATGGAAATGTCAGATTGATTACAACTATGGAGCTTAATAATTGGTCCATTACCCCCTCAGAGCCGATGGCATTATTGGTAGTGACAATTTCTCGCAGAGGTTAAGGAGCATACCTTGTGTAGCACGGACCACACCCAGAGTACCTGCCTTGTCAAGAAACAATCGTGTATATGTAGAACTTTGTTTACCCTGTACTTTTAGTCCTAAATAGGTGATTGTCCGTGTAGACATCAGCACCATCAATCGGGTCGACACGGTCCATATACAGAAGATCATTCTGTTTCAGTCACCCCCAAAGCTTGACGAAGAACTTGAACAACACTGGTAGCGCAGAGAAGACTTTACCGAGGTAGTGGACACCGCGGTCTACCTAGCTGAATGATTTGTGGAGATTATTGACCGGGCTTTTAATTGTGGCTTCTCCTTTTTCCTTCAATGCGGTCGGGCCATTGGTTCACTCCAGAGTGGCCAGCAAGTGAGTTGATGCGACGAGCCAATCGCCATAGACTCTCTCACCAGTCATCTGTTGGTCATCGTTTTGAAAGTTCCAGTGGCTCTTACAGGCGAGTCGGACAGCACCTTCCAGGAAGTAGAGTCGCCCTAGAGCCGAGACAGGTTAGTCTGGATCGGGTCTCACGAGTCACGACACAATGGCTGGACTCTGACGAGGGATCTTGAGACATTGGAGCTGATCTTCCGAGACAGATTCAGTTGATTCAGTTGATTCAGAGGTCCATTGGAAACAAAGCTTCCCAGTTCAGATGGTCTAAGCTTGGAAGTGGCTACTTCAGACCTGTCATGTGAAAAGATTGGGCCAATTCCATTGAAATTGTCGCGTGGAGAAGGACAGCTGATAGACCAATTGTGCAGTGGTCAGCGACCTACGGGAACGGAAGGCTTGAGAAAGATGAAACTATCGATAACTGGAACGCCGGCGGTCGCAGATCCGCTTGACAAAACCCCCGGCGGATGATTAATTTTCCCGATTCACTCAGTAGAGTCAGTAGACTTTGTATTGTCGATGGGCCGAAAGCACCAATGACTCAATCAAGATCTGAGTGTCATTCATTTGATTATGTATTGCGCAACTTGCAGTCGTGGCCACTTGGACCTTTTACTAGCTTCTTATTCTGACGACCTTTTGACGGGATACGCAGAAGAGCAAGTACAAGAGATCTCTTGACGGAGTGCATAGATTATAGAGTGAATACACGGCTACATGCAACTAAATGTTCCTGATTCATGGATGAGACAGTTTCGGACAGCCGCCGAACCTTGCCGACTTGGGCAAGGGCAGGCTTTCCCGGTACTACTATATGCCTATGGTACTACTGAGTCCACAGTCCCTACTCCTTAGTCTACGGACTACCGAACTATTACAAGAACTGTGTAGGTCATTTGCACCACGGGGGTAGGTACCGTCTAGGTTCCCTCAATGATCATGGTAGTACATCATCTTAATGATCTTATAGTGATAGTACCCTCACGACCTGCTAATTTACCTCCATGGCTCGCTTCTTTGATCTGCTTCAACATCTATCCTACCTTCGAAAAGGAAGCACTTCAGTCGGGTCAGTTGCATTTCCTTCAAATGAGATGATCATTGCACTTTGGCCAGACCGAGCACACTACTTTACTATCATCTCTGTGCCAACTTGCCAAGTGCTGTACTAGTGTACTGCCATCCTTCAACTTGGTCGACCCGACCGAGCACAGGCCCATTCCCCCCTCAAAAACGAGAAAAGAGACCAGAAACACATCGTGTCTCAGCCAGAGAAACCTGATACGCTAGTCACGCCAGTGGGTGCACCAGATGTTTGAGCACTGGCCCACCTGTCTGAGATCCAGGAAGTCACAGTACCTCCACGGAGGGACGGTAGACCACTCTGGGGGGCCCAGTACGGACGGAACGAGGTACTCGGTACCTCTGGCGTATGCGATGCAGCCCCCTGGTTCGGGGCCGTAATTCCTCCACTTCCACGGGGGAGTCTCCATTCTCCCAAAAATCCCCCAAATCGTGCTGCAATCGTTCCCAGATTGTCCCTGAATTCGACCTCGCCTCCATCTGCGCAATCCACTCCCGTCTGAACTCGCTGGTCTCGTGGGTTGGGGAGTTTGGGATTCCGGTCTTGCCTCTCTTCTCGGGCTCTCTGACTTGCTATTGCAGTGCGCACACTACACTTGCCCAGGCGAACGATTGCACCTATTCCACGCTGCGATCAGTGCACGAAATTAATTGACCATGGTTCTTGTATCATCCGCAGTGCTTGCCTCAGCCGTCTAATCTGGAATTTGGCACTCTCGATCAAACCTTCCCCTCTGCTCTCCACTTCTCATCCTCTCCTCCCCTCCAGGGTGAACAGAACACTGCTCGCTAGTCATTATTCTCCCTCATCGGTCGATTGAACAATTCTTGATCATTTCTTCTCCTCTTCTCCTCTTCTCTTGCCCCTTCCTCCCCCCCCCCCTCCCTCTCTCTCTCTTCTCTCTTCCTCTTCTGCAGGGCCCAGACCGTCCTTGTCCTCTCCCTACACTTTCCTCTCTCGCGATTCCTGTCCGTCGTTCCTCGCTCCCCTCATCGCTTTTCCGCTTCTTTTCTCTTCCTCTAGACCACTCAGGGTGCCTTGGACAACTCCCGTTCTCTTCCCCCGGTCTCGTTGTCCGCATTCCAACCGCCTCTTCGCGTGTACCTGTCGCGCGGTCCATTTCTCTCGCTTATAGCTCTGGACTGTCTTTGACGCTGGTCTTCTGCAAGTCGCGTTTGCTTTGCCGCCGATCTGCCGCCTCCTCGGGTCGCTCTGCTCAGGGTTCGTCTTCTTCGTCGTGATCGAGAACAGAAATCACCCGGTCTCGTTCGTCCAAGCCTTGCGACACATCTTCCCTCGCTCTGTTCTGTGTGCGCCTGGGTCGCCTCTAGCCGCCTTCCCTATAACCTTCACAAAGGTGCTTTCCACCTGGACCTCCCACCGTTCAAGATTCAGCCTCATTCAGCCTCCAATACCAGCCTCCAACTCAGCCCCTACGACCGGTCTCAGTGGGCCTCAACTTCCTCGGTCGTGGTTACTTCAGCTAGCAACATTCCGATCGAGGCTACCCCGTGCTAGTGGATTCGCGGCGACCATCTCTCCGCAGCCATCGTTCCGAGTCGCCATTTGACAAGAGTCTTCAATTGTCTCAACCGTCTCCGTCACGTCGGCTAGTGACTGCAATTGGTGCTCTATCTTTTTTGCGATTCATCCATTTCGTGACTTTCCGTCAACTAGTACACTTTCTATTTTCTATCTTTTTTTACTACAACATGTCAACCGCTGTTGCATCGATGACGCCAGCTTCCATGTCCACACCTCATACGACGCGAGATCCCAGTCCCAAAAACACCACCGCAATGGTCGGGTCTACCGCCGCGGCGCCGGCAAACTCTTCGCCTTCACGCATGTCGACTACGTCTCAAGATGCTCCCGCTAAGGGCACGCCGGAGCACCGCAACCCATCTCCACAGTAAGTTGGATGTTTCCTTCCATCCGCGCGACAGGCGTCAACCTCGAAACAGCAATCGCTGTTGGATCGATTACTCACACTCTGTACCTCCCATAGATCTCAGAGCAGCACTGGTCCTCGCATTCTTGTCAAGAAAGAACCACCTTCATCGCCGCGCATCCAGAGCCGCCCGCGGCCCCGAAAGCTAGATCTGTCCACCAGTTTGCCTTCATCCAGTGGCCTCCAAGTGCGCAATCCCGGAGGTCCGATGACCGCTAGAGAAGGTATCACAATGCAGAATGTGGGCCTCGCATGTCTGTCCCCGGGCTTTCAGACTCATGACCCCGTCATGCGAGAGCAATTGCAGCGCAGCATGTCGGTACGAGAGCAGCAGCGATCCATCATCGAGGCGCGGCTACACAAATCTGCCAAGGATGACGGTCCCGAAGGGGTCAAACCCTCCGAGTCCAAGTTCATGGCTGTACCACCCAAGTCAAGCTCCAAACGACGTCCCCCTCCCGGCTTGTCCATCGTGCCGCCTTCCGCTTCTCATTTCGCCAATGAGAGAGTCATCCAATCCGCCCCTCTCAACCAGACATTCACAGGCCGATACCAACCGCAACCCTTGACCCGTCACATTGTCAACCAAAGCCCAACCCTGGGCTCAACATCACACATGCATCACGTCCCTGCCACTCAAACCAACAACCGTCTCCCTCCCCTCGCGGATGTATTTGGATCGGAGACGTTGGGTGGTCGGGACCGAGACCGCGATCACCGCGATCGTGAGCGTCCCACCATGTACGCCCACGCCTCCAGCTCCAACTCCTCTCAATCAAACCTGGCGCCCCTACCGTCCCCTGGGCTGCCGGGAACATCATCTCAAACGCCCGGACGACCAAGAGAATATCGCTCGGCGGAGGAAGCCGTCCAGGAGATGTCTGGCGGACGAGAGGACCTGCTTCCGCGGATCGTACACTACGGCGGTCATCAACCACCTACCCCACCATCTCCTCACCATGGTCAGGGGCCCGTAAAACCTGCGCCCCAGATCAGCGAGCCGCCTGCGCCCAGCGCACCTCATGCGCCCCCGATGTTCATGCCCGAAGGTACTGCGCGCCGCCGTCCGAGGAGTGAATATGAATCCGATAATGGAAGCCCACCTCTCGGCCACGGCCCTGACCCCCACAGTCGGCCCAACCCGGCCGCAACCATGGGGCCAAGCTCCACATTCCCGGGTCCCTTTGGTGCAGGCCGAGATTCTCCAGAGACGCAGAGAAGAAAGAAGGAAGAGTTTCTGGGTCTCTGCGCTCGGGCTTGGGACTTGTTCCACTCCTAAATTGGCTGCTTGATATGATTTTGACCTCATCAGTCTACTCCGCATACCCTACCGCAGGACGGCTCTATATCTCTTCCGCTGGTTGAGTCAGCACGCGTGTCTTTGAGCCTCACTCGCCAATTCCTGACTTATTCGCTCCCTGAGCTGGACTATATCTAAGCTGCCACTCCTCTATACATTTTCCATCGTCAGCAATCTTTGACATGCTCTGATAATGAAGCCTGACCATTCTTCCCTTTTGAATCTCTTATTCCGATTTTCCTGCTTGTATGCGATCTCGATGATTGTCATTTGCACTTCTGAGTTTCCATCTCTCGTTTGTCAATTCTTTTTCTCTGATTGTTCTTCTTCCCCACGATTTTGATGTCTATACCACACTTCACCTCTACCTATGGTACGATAGGGCTTGTGCCGAGCCTCTGCGGAGGCTAATATGGAAAAATGGAAGGATAGGTTTTGTTCATTTTATCACTCAGCGTTGTTGACACCTTTACATCATCCTGTGGTTCAAGTACTACTTTAGGAGGTAGTTTGGGCTGCAACCGAGCGACTCTGCATTGTTCTCGCATTATCCAATGGCGTTTTGAGGATGTCATTTTCCTTCTTGGGGATTCAACCATATACCTAGGACTTGTCTACCTACATCATATAGGCGATGTCTCAGTTTTTTTTTTTCAATTCAAGTATTTGATTTTGATCTATACGGATTTTCTCTCGAGTGATCGTGGTTTCAATCGTGCAACATGAAATTCACATAGGCCGTTGCTGATTGATATGCAGCCCTGAAATATAAGACTGCTCCGGCATTCTACTTTGTCTGGGTTGTGTGAGAAATTGTCCCAGTATAGCGAAAGGAACAGTCGTGAATCGAAGGAATACATTGTCGTGATATATGTGTAGGTATAGACAGAGGATGTAGATATTAAAGATTCACCGCTCAAAATAGATATCCGATATCTACTCCAACCTTCTTCTCTTTCCGCCTCCACCACCCCCGCCACGAGAAGGCGGTCCACCGTCCATACCTTCGAACCCACGTCTCTCCATCGGCATCTCCTTCCTCTCCTTCGATGCCAACTTCTTTCTCCGTCGTTCCAAAGCCTTGGCTCGGTCTCGTGATCCCATTTCCTCGTACTTCTTCTGCATGACCTGCTTCTTCAAATCAGACTTTTTCAAGAAGTATGGTGTACTCTTCTTTCCATCCCGAATCGCTTCTTTCTCCTTCTTCTTGTGCTCTGCAATCACAGCCTCCTCGCGCTTCTTGTTCTCCCGCGCCTTTTGCTGGTCTGTCGCCGAGCGAATCTGTCGCTTCAGCGCTTCCTTCGCTTCCGGGTTCTTGGTCTGGGCCATCTGTCGCTTCAAATCACGGAGCTCAGAGGCGCGGTAATCCTCCAAGAAGGAGTAGGCCTTCTCAGAGGCTTGCGTATTCGTACCCTTTCCGCTGTGGCCCATGACAGCCGCATCGAAGCGGGGATCGCGCGCTTTGGGGGTGGCAGATGGTTCAACAATGACACGTTTGCGGGAGACGGCGTATTTGGACGACTGCACCATGGGTGCGTGTTTGGAAGATCGGGCTTTCTTTTCCCGTGAAGTACTGCTACTTCCGTTGCCAGATGTGGAGGTTCCAAGCGCTTTGGCGGCAGCCTCGCGCTTTTGTTCGCGAGCAGCTCGAATCTTTGCGCGAATGTCGTCGAGGGGGAGGCTGTTGAGGTGTCTTCTGATTCGAGGGAGGTTGAGGTCTTGTCTTTGCGCTTTTTAGGACCCATGGATGCTTGGGCTTTGGCGAGAGCGCCAAATGAAATATTGCTGAGAGATTCTTTGATATCTTCATTGGGGTCTGAGTCCGAGGCTGAGAGGGTCTGATCGGAGCTGTTGTCGCTGTCGTCTGCTTCGGAGCCGGAAGCGGAGGCTGAATTGTCTGTGTTGTCGTCCGACTCATTTTGAGACTGAAGGATGGCAGTATTTTGTGAGTGACTGTGATTCTTCGAGACCTTTGAGCTCTCAAGGGAAATATCGGCTTGGACCTACGTTATCCGAGTCCAGATCTTCGATATTGGAGTCGTCACCTTCCTCATCCTCATCCTGTGGTACTTCTTCACCACCACTAGATTGCTCGGAAAAGGCTTCATCGTCCTCGTCTGGACGCGCCCGCACCCGGCGGTTAAGTATATCAGCAATGGCCATGGCGGTCTGGATCTTCACGAGCTTCGGTACGCAAATCGAGTCCAGGACGATCTCTACAGATAAGAAAAAAATATCCGATATTGCCAAACGGCGGGCGTTTGGGCGGTGAATGCCCCGATAAGATATGACACTTTTTTTCCCCGTCCCGCGGAACCGCCCATCAACATTCGCGCGTGTGCAGTCTGTCCATGTTACGCCTTAGCGGCTTTGTGCGATCGCGAAGCAGCTTTGAAACCTCTTTCATTAGTCGATCATATAATTTGCGCCTCGCTATCCGGTTTGTGAGTCTGGAATTGTTTTTCTCTGAGGACGTTTTCAAACTTCTTCCTCATTACTGACATCGAGTCTCCATCACTTAGCCAACATCCTTCACTACGCAATTATCTCGAAATATTCTTAGCGGTCGTTCGCCAACTATCGCACTTTTCACGAGTAATTGTCCCCAATCAGTCGAAGTGGCGTACCCAGAGGAAGACACGCGCAAGAGGCAGAAGCTCGCGCATGCGCCCTCGGAGCTAAGACCAGACTCCCAGTCCTCGCACAATGCATATGCCCCGGGTTTTATAGCGGGAGGCATGGGCAGTGGCAGGCAAGATCAGGACTCACCGATTTATAGTCAGGCCCAAGCCATAAATGCCCTTCCCTTGCCAGGATTAGGCCAGCTATCGGAGCAAGAAAGGCATCAGAGCTACTCCACAGCCCCGCAGTCGCAGCCGGGGACTGAAATTGAAACCAGTCAGGCAAATCCGATTCCGTCTTCTGCGTCGAATGCGAATTGGCACAATCAATTTACCGCCAACGGTACCTTTACTCAAAATAGTTTGTACAATAATCTCTCCTTTGGCCAGACAGCGCAACTGTCGGGGCGAGTGTCGAATCAGGCCCCACCCGCTCTCCCACCAAACACCATCCATGTCCCATCGTGGAGTACAATGCAAACGACTGGCCAAGGAACACCTACCTGGCCAACGCTAAATCAGCTCTCATTCTTCCCCTCTGGATTTTCGACTCCGTCGACCACAGGACACGTGCCATTCTTGCAAACCATGCCGCCATTCAACCCGATGTTGCCGGTCCAAACGCAGAGTATGAGCACATTCGCAGGTCCATCAGCCCCGGTCTCAAACGATGATCAGATACGAAGAGCTCGGTCATTGACTCCACCCATGAAAGTGCCATCGCCTTCCAAAACATACCTGACTCAGGCGTCAAAGCCCCCAAGGAAAAGTCCCACCAAGCGGCCTTTGCTAGTCATCCTTGATTTGAACGGTACTTTGATCTATCGAAAACATCGCAGACTCCCGCCAGTCTTTGCCCGCCGCCACGGTCTTGATGAGTTCTTGGATATTCTGACAAGCCAATACGCGGTCATGATCTGGACGAGTTCCAAGCCGCCCACTCTACATGCCATTTGTGACCAGCTCTTCACGCCTGAGAAACGCAGGAAACTGGTGGCGCTGTGGGGTCGTGATAAATTCGGCCTAAGCTACAAACAGTACAACTCCAAACTGCAGGTCTACAAGGAGCTTAGAAAGGTTTGGGCGAGTCCTGAGATTCGAGCTACCTTTCCGGACAAGAACGGAACGACCTCTCAACCCAACAAGAATGGAAGGAAGCTGAACAAAAAGCAGAAGAAGACTCTCATGCAGACTCAGGCTCAAGCTCAAGCCAACGCCCCCGTCCCTGGTCATCGATGGGACCAATCGAATACCGTCCTGATCGATGACAGCAGATTGAAAGCGCTCAGCGAGCCATACAACATCCTTGAGATTCCGGAATTCACCAATGATTCCGAAGTCGATGAGACAGATTTGTTCAAAAAGGTTCTCGATAAGCTTGACGCTTTGTCACACTACGACGATGTCAGCAAAGTTCTGCGGTCATGGAACGAGCGTGTGGATGCCGGCGAGGCCGCGATCCTAGATCTTGAGATTGAGGATTCCAACGAAGGTCGAGACTCAAACTCAGATCATGATCACGAGGAAGATGGCGGCACAAGCCTCAAGACCGGCCAGGACCATGGCTCTGCCGCTCAACCTGAGCTGCGGCCTGAGCCCATTCAAGATTCCACCGGGGCCAAACGAGGTCGAACTGATCTTCCCGCAGATGACGAAGCCTCGCGGCGCGAAAGAGCACGCGCTAAGAGACAGCGTGCAAAAATTCGCAAGCAGGAGAGAAAGGCCGCGGAGGCTGCAGAGGCTGCCGGCGCGACTGCGGTTTCCAACGACGGCATGACTACATCAACTCCGAGTAATCAATTTGGTAATAAGGGTTCCAAACGCTCTGCTCGTTCCGCGCAGTACCCTGAACCATCTCGCACGGCAACCCCTCATACAAAGCCGCCTTCTACCGCTGCGGCACCAATCACCGCTCCAAACCAGAAGGTCAAGCTAAACAAAAAGGCCAAGGCCCGTCTGGCCCAGCAAGAAGCTGCTGCTGCTGCTGCTGCTGCAAAGCAGAAACATGACCCGAAGGCGCACGTTGAAGTCCCCAGCAACTCAGCCTCGAAACGCAACAAAAAGCGGAATGCCAGCATACAAGCTCAATCTCAAGACTCACACTCATCCGAGCCCTCCGCTCAGCGGGATAATCAACCGAGCTCAACTGTCCCACCTGCCAACAACAGATCCACGACTCAATCTGACGGGATTGCATCCCCCAAGTGTAGACGAACCCCAGAGGAGACCTCTGCATCCGAACCACACCCCACCACCACCACAGCTACCACTCTGTCAAACACCACTCCCAAGCCCCATGCTCGTCGTCCCGTTTCACCAGTCACAGATGACGAATCCGTCCCCGGCTCTCCAAACGGGTCCACAGTGTCGAGAAACTCGCTCCTGGACCGATTAGAAGAGGGTCTCGGGATCTGGAAAAAGTGATCTCGACAATCACATTCGACGCAAGAATTGATGAAAAGCGCGCTCACTTTTTCGGCTACTGTCTTTTATAATGTACTCAATAAAGTACTCATCACCCCCCCCCCCCCCCCCCCCTGACAATTCCTTGAGGGATATTTGTTATTCATAACTACCCGTTTATTCTGCATGGTCCAAGAGACAATTGAAGCATTCAACCTCCATCATCCATTAGCACTAGCCTACTCGGTAGATAAAGGAATGCGGTAGATAAAGGAATGATCTTATATGCTCCTCGAGCTTAAATCTCTATCGCGCTTTGTTCTCTTCACCTGGCCAAGCTCGCGGTGCCGCGTCTCGTGGAGAAGTCATTCTTCACCTACTGACCTACTTCTATAAGCTCGGTGCGCGGACCTGAGCGTGTTCAAGGATTCATTTTATTTATCGTCAGCAGATTGTATTAGATAGACCGGGAGCTGACAAAGTGCCAAGTGCTAGTCTATTTGCTACGGGAGAATAGGATGGTGATTGGAAGACTCAAGCTGAACCTGTTGCCTGTTGCGTCAATGATAGACAGAATGAGAACGGCTCAAGGCACGTTGCATGCAGGTGGGCGTTTCAAACGTCCAAGATGGCCCAAGGTCATTGCGGCTCTTGGACTGGCGAGTGAGATACACTGCGAGAGGAATTACAGATCTACACGAGCTGTTAAAAGATTTCAACAGAATCAGTCTGGACAGGGTCCAGATAGCTTGAATTGAAGGTCTAGGCGCAGTAACCTAGGAATGGACTAAGATACAATGAGGGCATCAAGCACCTCGAACGTACGAAGTCACTATCTCGTCTCACATCACAACATATCATAACCGTGAACATGTACCACATCGGTAAGAGTAAAAGGGACGATGGGTAAGAGAAATGGGGAGCGGGGGAATAATTTTAGCATCCACGACCAGGCTCAAGTGGACGAGAAAAGGAACAGATGGAAGATACAATGGATGAGCATGATAAGATTGTCAAAAAGATATCAAGTAACGCTCTCCAAGGTAGTGGGGTATTCAAGAGGGTCAAGGGTGGGAAGAGGGGTAGAGGAAAAAAAATAAAAGAAACGTTGCATGTTTTTAAATATGGGAGCGCACACGCTTATTTGAAGACGTGGCCATCAGCCATCTCGAGGGTCTTGCCATCGACGGTGACGGGGGTGTCCCAGGCCCAGATGTCCTCAACGTACTTGCGGTCAGCCTCGGAGGTGGGGTCGAGCTTCTCGAAAGTGTAGGACTCCCAGTCGGGAGCAACATCGAAGGCGGGCATAGCCTCCTGGCCACGGACCATGAAGACACCCTTGATGACACAGGCGTAGTTGGCACCGAAGACGGCCTGGCAACCGAAGAGGTACTTGCGGGAGCCCTCAAGACGGGCGTGGAAACCACCGATCAGGTTGTTGGCCATGAAGGTGAGCTTGAGCTCGTCGTTGTACTTGTAGTCGACCTTCCAGAGAGAGTACTCCTCGGGCTTGTAGTGCTCCCAGAACCAGGGCATGGCGACGGAGCGGGTGTCCTCGTTGGAGTACTGACGCTTCCACTCATCGAGGATGAGGGTGGGCTTGCCAAGGGCCTCAAGAGGGTGCTTGGCCTTGGGGGCAGCGGGGGCCTCCTCAGCAGCGGGAGCAGCGGCGGCGGCAGCGGCGGGGGCAGCCTTGGGCTTCTCCTCCTTCTTGGGGGCAGTGTACTTGACGATCTCCTCGGCGAGGACGGGGGAAGGGACAACGGCCTTGAAGGCGGGCTGGGCAACAATGGTGTTGAACCAGCGAGTGACAGCAGGGTTCTCGGAGCGGAATTTCTTGTCCAAGACGTTCGCGAAGGCGCGGAGAAGGAGGGAGGCAGAGAAGATATCAGCCAGGGTGATACGCTCGCCGACCAGGTAGGTGTTGGCGGTGAGGTGCTTCTCAAGAACGGCGATGGCCTTCAGGGCAACCTTGGAGACCTCATCGACGGTCTTCTTGTTGTAGGCGTCGAGGCCGAGGAGGGGGCGGTACCAGGCACCGAAAGAGGTAAGCAGCTCGCTGTTGGCGAAGGACATCCAGCTGACGATGGAAGCATAGTCTTGCTTGGTCTTGCCGAGAAGGGTGGTCTTCTCGTTCTGGGAGGTGACTGTATTGCAAATAGAATTAGCCGACATCGTCAACCAAAATACTTTGATGTGAATCCGAAGATGGTGATAATGATGCAATGCAATAGGTGTCTTGACTGCAGGGCGATGTGCTCCGAGAGGAACAGGACCATCCAAGGCAGCTTGGGTTCGTGACAACAAGGACACATCACCAAGGTCTGTCACAGAGGCCCTGTCCCTCTCCCATGGTGTGAAGAAATTTTTCCCAATGCTCAAATGGCGGGGTACTGGTTTCTCCCCCAATGGTGCGTGATGGTGTTTTTTTCAGAGTGTGTTTAATCTCAACATTATAGTTATAGTTTCTGACAGGGATAACTAAATGATAACTCATCATGAAAACGAACGGGGGTAGCCCGTGGTAATGACATCGGTCATATGAGGGCAAGAAGAGTCAGGGGCAACAGAGGACAGGTTGCAAAAACGTACCGTAGATGGCAATGGCAATGACCTCGGAGAGGTTGAAGCCGTTGGCACCCTGGAAGGCAGGGATCTTGCCGAGGGGCTGGAGCTTCAGGTACTCAGCAGAGGTGGTGGCCTCGGAACGGGGCACAGTGTTGACCAGCTCGAGGTCGAGGTCATTGTGCTTAGCAGCGACCTGCACCGCAATGGTGCGGGGGTTCTCCTGAAGAGAAATGTCAGCATGAATGTGCAATTAATCGCAGGTTTCCCGATGAGAAATCACATACAGCTTGGCCGTAGAGCTTTCCGAAAGACATTTTGAAAGCAAGGGATGTGTGATGAGGAAAAGAAGAAGAGAAAGGAAGAGAAGAGCGGAACGTGAAGAGGGGCAAGATGAAATTTTGTGCGGATCCCACCCCGTCGGGTTCCGGAGGAATAGTTCTTGCACAAGTCACGTGTCGGGAAAAACAGCTGTGACTTGCGAGCGAGTATGTCGGAGATGCCGTGCGGTGTCGAAAACGAAGGGTCTAATACAAGTCCTGCACAACCCTTGAAAATGGCCCGACCGACGACCAATGGTCTTGCACAGGCCTTGCAGGCCCTACAGATTCGATCAACACTCCCAGCTCGTCCTGTAATTCGATCTCTGGCTCAACAAAGGCGGACCTACGCGATCGAAGTGGAAGCGGCAGCACAGCAATCATCAACACCGACCCCGAGCGAACTGCCACCGACCGAGCTGGCCCCAGCAGCGCCCAAAATCGAGTTTGGAAATTTCCTCAGTCGCCCGGCGCGAATTGTTCCTGCATCACCCTCATACTTCTCCGGCAGCCCTCGCTTCATCGACCACGTCTTGGAATTGGAAAACCTGCAAGCTAAATATGCCTCGCTACCAACCGTCGCAGCCAGTGAGGCTCCCCGGATGGCCTGGTTCAAGCTCGCTCAATTCCGTGACTACGTTGGCGAGCCCGTCCCCATGAAGAAGTACAAGATCTTGGTGAAGATCTTGCAGCGGTTGAACCGTATCCAACCAGACATGGTTCCCGAGGAGGTCAAGACCACGCTCAAGTCGTTCCTGCGTCCCGGAAATCCCTTCGCGGTCGAACACATCTCACGAACGGTTGATGAGAATGGCCGTGCTCGTGCAAAGGGCAAGCGTAAGGAATCGACGGCTGTGGTGCAGCTAGTTGAGGGCGAGGGTGAGGTTATTGTGAATGGCAAATCACTCGTCGAGGTTTTCCAGCGAGTACATGATCGAGAAAGCGCTCTGTGGGCACTTCGATGCACTCAACGTCTGGACAAGTACAACGCGTGGGTCACGGTGCGAGGCGGAGGTATCACCGGCCAAGCCGAGGCGATCACCTTGGCCATTGGCCGAGCTTTGATGATGCATGAGCCAGGTTTGAAACCTGTGCTGCGAAAGGGTATGTACCACGCTCATTGCTACAAGCTTTATAAACCTGCCGCCATCACAGCTAACATTTGCCTCTTTTCCCCGTCTAGCTGGTGTCATCAGTGTGGATGCCCGTCGTGTCGAGAGAAAGAAGCCCGGTCATGTCAAGGCCCGCAAGATGCCTACCTGGGTCAAGCGTTAACAGGCGTGGAGGGAGACATTTTCTTTTATCAAGCGAGACTTTTCTTTTCATTCTGCCCGACCATGTATTATTTCTACCCGCCTGGCTATCTGGGCTCCATCAGTCCCGTTTTATATCCTGTACAATGCAAATGGAGCTTTGATTGAACCTTGACTCGGCTGGAGTGCTGTCCAGGGGATGTGATGTGACAAAGAAGTTATTAGTTCCATTAACGAGACGCATGCTGCTTCAGAACATCACAGGGCGTTGTTATGCCACGAGGATGGTGCAGACGGGAGGCTTGCTCCTCAGGCGAAGTGGACGCGGTAGACTTAAATGTCAGCTACGGGCAAACCAGGGAATCGACAGAGTAGGAAACTTAAATACCAAGTAAGCTAGGTAGCCCTTAGGCACGACACGGTAGATGTCCTCCGAGTGAGCCGATGACGAGGATGCACACGTAGTGACACATCCAAGTTTGCAGGATTCCAACTGAGTGGTACAACTGGCTCACCTGCACGGGTAGAGCTATGGACGACAAGTGCAGTTTCTTGTCCTTCCCATCTTGATTCTGTGTAACAAGGTGGATCCTGGAAAGGTCTAAGAGGTCCATGAGATTTGAAGAAGAGTTAAATTCAGTATGGCTTGGCTTGATTCACGCTATCCAAAGCTCACGCGAACCTCCAAATGGATCATCTAACGAGAAAAATGCCAAGCCACTTAGTCTGTTATCACCATCTTCTGTGTACGAAAAAGTCCGGTCTCCTCCAAAGATAGATCTATTCAGACTTCAGACCTCCAAAAATCTAAATGGCGCGATAGTCGATAAACATGCCTTGGTCTGTTGGCCAGTGTGGTGGCAGTTCTGTCTGCAAGACACAATGATGTATGTCGTATAGACGTACAGCACAATGACGTGGCGTTCAATTTTCGCGGCAAAGTGCCAATGTATGTGGATCTGAATCTGGACATTCAGCTTTAGATCGATCATGCAGGTCCGAATCCGATAGATGCAGGTCCGACATCGAGAATAAGCCGGGCCGGGGAAGGGTACGGGCTTGCAATGAGTGGAGACTGGAGACTGGATATGGGACAGTAATACTGCATGTGGAATACCGACAGATCACAACGCTCGATCGTAAGTAGAGACAAGAGGAAGCGGGTATGGCGGGACAAGGAAAGCGCAAAAGAACTCAGATGCGACTACAGGACTACAAGTACACTGCCCATGAGCACGAGAATACGTCGAGTAACTTGATTTTTTGTGAAGCTGGGCCTCTCGAACATTTCTCGGGGTTCCAAGGGAGGATAGTTCCTGGCATCGTTTTCTGAGACTTGTTATGTTATTGCTTCTTCTGGTGGTCAGGTTCTAATCCACCGTGACCACAAGTTCCGAAGTACAGTTAGACTCGGTCTTGTCGCTTGGACCGCTCGTATAGGTACTTTTGCATCGCGGCCGACTATAAACTGTGTGCGAAACAGGTGTAGAATGAACAATGAACACCGCGCACTTGACTAGAACGTTTAATATTCTGTATGGCAGCATGTGAGCTTGTAATATGACCCGTGTGACTCTCCTCATCGGCAACGAGCCTACCAGGTGTCCACGATTCCCGACCGTCCCGTCGCTTTCTCAAAACTAGCGATTGCGATCCGTTCGACATGCAATGTAATCGAGGGAGATCGCCTATCACGAATCCTCCGATTAGCGCCGCGCTAGTGAGCAATAGCCTCTTCGCGTGGCTGTCATTGCAAAAGTCCGATCGTCGGGTCGGGGGGTCCAAAATCAAAGTGAAGCAAGATTCAGAAGATCTGGCACTCCAATCATGTGAAATCATCGTGGCTTGTGATGATCTTCTCTGTCATGTTTTTGCTCTCGGGAGGATTCCCGCGTGTTCCGACATCTCGGGTGCGCCCCCCCCCCCCCCCCCCCGCATGGATCCATCCCATTGCGCTGGGTTTGTCATGGCTGTATGGTTTTTTGGGGCCTATGAGTTTCCCTCGCAAGTGAGGTATGAGGATTTTGGAGATACTTGATCGAGTACTAGTGAGATCCCCGATAGTGCCCGGTGGTGGATGTAAACCTATCGGCAGCTGATCTGAGCGTGTCAAGCAGGACGAGTAAGATTAATTCAGTTCCATGGCACTTGGGCTTTCTTGGTTCCCGTCGGGAAGGATGAAGCGGAGATAAACCAGGAGATGTAAGTTCTTGGGAACGATCATGAGACGGGTTGCCTTTCTCATTTGAAGAGACACTCAGCCACTTGGCGTCTAGGATTTCAAGTGGTTGTTCTCATGATCGCTGCGTTGCCAAAGCAGGTTCCGGGGTCGCTGGGATGCGGAGCAGCTCAGGCTTATCCACTATTAAATCGAGACACTGGCCGAGGACTATCGAGTCAAGACGTACAATATTAGCATAGTCCCGACCACGGTAAAGCCCCGTAACAAGACGCAGACCCGTAGATCGGAAACCTCGCTTGCTAAGGACATCAATTGCATGGCGCGAAGCTTGGACTGTAAATCAGCCTACATACCGGAAAGAATTTCCTCCTCCCAAATACCCATCTGATAATCAACCAGTCCGTGCTGCTCCAACTGGTCGCAGAAATGAATCAAATCTTTGCCGATCTCTTCCATGCGATCGCGGCTGAGCAGAGTCGTGGAGGATGGCTGGTGACCGGTGGTGATGATGTCTTGAGTAAGATTCTTCTGCTTCTGACAGAGGGCAAGCCAGCAGATGTTGAAGTCATTCCAGAACTGGAGGCGCCGGGAGTGTTGCTTGTGGTTGTCACTCAAAAGTCCTACGTGTCACAAGAACGAGATTAGACTTTTTATTTTCTGTGGATGGTGCTGGGTGCTTGTCCAATGCTTTGGAACCTCCCCGCTTTGATGGTTCCGGAGTAAATGTGGAAAGACCAAAGATCACCAGAGGCGGGAACGAGGGAAGAATGCATGAAAAGGAACGCCATGCAAGGCCCTGGAGAAACATTTAGACTTACCAAGATCCAGTGCATTCGTAACAAGCCATTCGGAAATCTCCAGTATTGATCGACTCGCATGCACTAAACTTCCAGCACGTATCTGATCCAAAGTACTGCACAAAGCTCGTTGATACTCCGGATGCTCGAACTGATCATCTGACGATTTCGCATGGGGATCAATCTGCGCTTGCGACTGCTCCAGTGTTGACGATTGAACAGGCTGCGGGTCCGAGTGCGTCGAAGGTTCACCTTCCATCGGCGTATATTCGGCCAAAACAGTTGGGAAGGATTGCCCGGCACTGGATCGCGCCATGGAATCGGGTTCATTATATGAAATAGCATTCAGGTATGGGGAAAGGCCTGGAATCCCGGTTCCAGCGCTCTCGTCTGAAAAGTACTGTGGGATGGCGATCTGATGTGATAGGGCGTCCATCCTTGTCGACTGCCGTGTCGAGAACTGTGGAACCTCGTCAAAGGATCCGTGAGTTGAACTTTGTTGGTGGCTGAAGCTGTACAGCATGGCTGAATCGTATGGAACCAATGGAATGGATTCAGCAGCGGCGCGTCGTCGATTAAAATGGTGAGTTGAATTTGGGCTCGTTTGATGGAGTTGTGAGGAGACATTTTGCGATTGATGCTGATGCTGATGCTGATGTTGGTGTTGTTGATGGGCTTGCTGGTGGTGGTGGTGGTGATGATGATGTTGATTTTGATGCTGCTGCTGCTGCTGCTGCTGCTGCTGCTGTTGCTGGGCAAATTGAGCTTGTACAGATCGCTGGGAGAGTTGATTCATGAAAGGAGCATGACGTGGTCGCATATATTCCGACGCAAAGGCTTGCATGTCGCTGGGCTGTAATGAGCCCCCGGAAAAGGCATTCCCTGTGTAGCCATAATCGTAAGACATGGTCGTGCGCTCTGGCGCCTGTGAGATTCCCGTGAGATCTCCACGTGTGCGCATGGCCTGTTCGAAGCGATTCAATCCGCGACCTCGATCTGGCGCATTGTTTGATTGGGCCATCAACTGCTGCAGCTGCTTGATGCGGCGATCGCCATCCATCAAGCTGTCCCACACGGGCCTGCGTGGATCAAGATCGGCCCAGAGGTTTGGGGACAGCGGCGGACTTGCGTAGGATGCCAGCTTGAAGAAGGACAGGTAATTTCCTCGATGGGAGTGCTTGTTCTTTTCTCCTGCCTGAATCGACGGTTTGTCGATTTGCCTTTTTCAACCTTCCTTGGTCTCAGAATCTCAACAGAAGGTTTCTGGATGTGTTTTGATGCGGTGGAAACAGTTGATGGATCAATCGAAGCCCTCTCGGTGTCTGTGCCGAGCTGTGCTGATATAGAAGTCAACCGGGTCTGTCGTTCCAAGTCCAGCGGACCCGACATACATATACAAGACCCGCACAAGGTTCCTCTGTCGAGACGAGCGATTCGTCACCGAGTTATCAAAGCATTCTCCACGCGGGTCGATGGGTAGACGGCGGATCCTCGGAATGGGTTCTTTTTGGTCCGCAGATATATGACGAATCTGATTGGAGATCTCGTGTTCGTGATGAGAGGGACGTCCACCCAAGGTTAGGGCCACACTATATGACGCTAGTGAAGAGAAGTTGTAGGGTCTGGATCCTTCCGCGGCGGCTTGGGGGGAGAGTGGGAACGCTTCCGAAGGCGTCAGATCGATCCACTCGAGATGATGAGGGACCAACTAGCCTGAATGAGGAAATGAGACACCAACCCGTGCAAAGGCAGCTTTGGGAAAAGCAGGACAAGAAGCCAGCAGGAAGGAATGTGAGAGATTCGGTCCGAGGACGGCATCGCTCATGGGGGGATGGACGGGGCCGTGAATGGGACAATCAAATCCAAACGTACCGACGAGGTGAGAGAGACCCGCGTAAAAAGCACAATCTCGATCCTTCTGGCTTGCGTTTTCCTTTTTTTTGTAATTTCCTTTTGTCAGGCTCGTGGGAGCCCGGCTACTCGGGTAGACTCCTTGAAGGCAAAGGAGAGGGCAACAAACCAAAAGAAAAGGAACCATCCAAACCTAAGAAGTACGTACGGTAGGTAGTCAAGATTGGTACTCCACAAGGAATTGGTGGTCGATTCGTGCGGGAACCAAATGACCAAATGGTCAACTGGGCTTCCAACTTTTACTGTCAAGCTCAGCGGCGTGCAGCTGTGAAGTGGATGAGGGCACAGAGAGCCCACTAGGCGTGTCGGCTCGTGAAGCTGGGATCGCGGTGATCGACCATCAAATCGACTTTCCGCTCATTAAGGCTCCGTACGTCGATGATCGCCCGGGAACCCAGTGTGGTGGTTCCCTTGGTGGATTCCCGGGACAAGGAACCCAAAAAGAAAAGTCAAATCAGTCCGAAAGGTTGGACGCTAGGGATGATGGAGTGGAATAGAGGATCCACAACACCTGGAGGATCCATGTGTATGATGACAGGAGTCGAGAGCTATCAGGGAACTAAAAAGGAAAAATACCCTTCAACCTGGAAACAGGGTCAAACAAATCCGCAGCTGCAATCTGGGCCGACTACTCTTCTGATCCATGACAAAACCAAACCCCCCAAAAAAAAAAGGAATTCAGGAGCAATATACTCAGCAGTCAAGAACTCACGGACTTGGTAGGTCACGCCTTTCACAGGCGACAGTCCCAACTACGGCATGAAGGTAACAATTGTCATGCACAGTATTCCAAATACCCGCGGCGGGCAGATGAAAAACAAGAACCCGATTGTTTGGGTGAAGAATGGCTGTTTCTGCCAGCGTCGGCTCAGGCGCACGTTCAGGTTGAAGAGCCAGAGTCTCAGCTCGCATCAGCGATTCAGCTATGGCAGCAAGGGTGTTTTGTCAACTGACTCTTCTGTCTACCGTCGACCCCAGAGCTGCAAGCGATCCACGGTATCACCATCCGCACTTGATTGATCGTGGTGATGATCCATTGTCCATTTCCGGGAAGAGTGATCGGGGGATCTCCAGAAGTTCACGTCCCGGCCCTCATCCTCTGCGTCGCGTGTAACCTGGACGTCTGGGGCTGACGATCCACGGACGCCGTGGCGGTGCCCGAAGGATGCTGCCGGGACCCATCCAGAGGCTCGGTGTTCATCATGGAACAAAAGGGGATCAGCCAACCTCATTAATGCCCAATTTCTTTGGGGGGACTTCCCCTGGTTCCTCTCACCCACATTTCTGTCCACGACAAGGAGGTGTGCTGCGCTTGGGCAGACAGGCTAGTGACGGCCAGATGGACCTTCGTCGCTCACTGGCAACCAAGCGGGAATCCCGGAGCAAAAGCAAACCCTAGAGCTTGGACTCGGGCCCTGGCATGCCTCCAATTGACTCGGCAGATGAGGCCGGCCAGGTGAATGACAACCTTTCGGTCGTGGCTTTCTTCAAATGTGGACCTGGGGTGATCTGTGTCAAGAAGAGAGTCTCTCCGTACACTTGGACTGTGAGTCCTATCACTCTACGGTCGATGTTCCGAGTCTCGACTGTATTCCCCCTTTGCCCGTCCCGTCACAACACCAGCCTCGGCAGGGCAGCAAGATCTCCTTACTCGGGCTGGCGTGGGATCGGCACTGGCAAGCAGATGCATGCCAAGGACAATGGAAACACGCAATCAAGACCTTCTCCCTGGATGGAAAACTGCACGTCAAGTCCAGGGAAGGGGGGCGGCGATCGGCCGAAGAGTGTGCTGCATCAATGGGATCTTCACTTGCGTGAGGCTCGCATCTGGTGGTCGCCGTCGCCGTCAGCCTTTCTTTTTTTTTCCTTCTTTTTTTCCTTCTTTTTTTCCTTCTTTTTTTCCTTCTTTTTTTCCTTCTTTTTTTCCTTCTTTTTTTCCTTCTTTTTTTCCTTCTTTTTTTCCTTCTTTTTTTCTCCTTCTTTTTTTCACATTCGTATTGACTCCAGCGTCCCAATGACTTCTTACGCAAACCCTCGACAAAAGCTAGCACCCTTTGGCTTTGATTTGGATTTTCCGTTTCGTAGTCTACCGTCTACACAGTGCAGTGTTCATCCGACTGATTTGTCAGGGTCATTCGGTCCCCCGGCAAACCCCAGGGATAAGAGGACCGACCGGCTCGCGTTTCTCCCCTCGAGGCAAGGCTCTTCTTCATGCATCTGGAAGACTGCGTCCCACAAACTGTCTCAGACACCATGCTGCCCACTCGGTTACTCGGCCAGCTGCTTGCTGGGCGCGTCTTTGGCGGGAACCCCTTTCTGGTCGAGCCGCTTTCTTCAAGCTCGAGCTCAGAGGAAAGGTGAAGCCGATCTGCGGCAAGTGAATTGGAGAGAAAGGGTGATCAGACGAGACAGCTTGCACTCCAATGTCCCGATCGACGCGAGAATTGGTGAGTCTGTTGAATTACGGAGTTGCGGAAATGGATCATCGATCTATCAGCAGCCAAGCAATCCAGTTCAAAGGTACTGACTAGTTGTGCCCCTCGGGCGCAGAAGAAAGGACAGTACCTGAGGACAGAGTAGTCAGTAGTGAAGTACTGTACTAAACTAAAGTAGTCGTTACATTAGTTAACTACTACTACTACACACCAAGTGACTAACTACAGACTAATACAGACGGCGACGATCACTTGACAAGTTAGGTTAACTACCTCTCACGAGGAAAGCTTTCGCATGACAGCCCCATGGGATGGAAGCTGTCATTTTCGATTGATCGGGCCACGATTGGCTCTCATCTGATCCGGTGGTGTGGTTGGCATGGGGCGCTGCCGAGATTGGATTTGATCTGAAAGAAATTGGATGTGTTCATTCGGGGCTTCGGGCGATCAGACGGGGAGTTTTGGACCCGGTCCCGGTGAATAGGAAACACTAAACAGTCTCTCCAGGCCGCTTGATCGGAGAATCCATGATGGATCTACAGTAGAAGTTTCGATGCAGAGTATTTTGCAGACTTGAGCGGGGGCTGTGTGGATGGAAGGACCTACAGTACTAGATTTTACAACACGCTGGATAGGTCGGTGTTCAAATAGATAGCTGTCTATCCCACAAGTTGATGAGAATTTCAGCCACAATTGCAAGACAAGTAGGGCAAACGCTGGACACCAGGTATACTCCGTATGCTTTTATTGGGTAGCGATCATATCGCCGACAGACCCAGCACTACTACTACTACTACTACTACTACGACTACTACGACTACTACTACTACTACTACTACTACTACTACTACTACTACTACTACTACTACTACTACTACTACTACGACTACTACTACGACTACTACTACTACTACTACTACTACTACTACTACCACCACCACCACCACCAAGTCCGATCATTGCATTTGCGCCTGTTTGAGTTCCATTGACCACGCGGACAATTAACATCCCCCCCCCCCCCCCCCCCCCCCCTGTGACATCTGAGACATGCAATCTCAAAGTGAGGCAGGTGGCGACTCTCGGGTTGGCCTGTAGTTTCAAATCATTCAAGGGCGAGAGGAGGATCACCTCAGCACGGCGCCGAGTAACCACGATGGATGGATGTATCAGCCTGAATTGGCCACATGGTACAGAACTCGTTGCCCAAACGCTATATTCTAATGATGGGATTGTCTCTGACTTGCGCTCATCCCTCCTGGCTCCGAGGACAATACGCGTCAGGGAGCTGACAACCTACCTTGCAATGCGGCTGTGACGACCGACTCATGACCTACGTTGGGTTCACCCGTGGGTGAGACAAGTGAATTGCATATTCACATGAAACGAGTCTTGCACGGCTGTTGTCTTGTGTCACAGCATTGAACCATCTCAGCTTCGTCAAACACGGTTACACCCGGGATACGAACTCGGGTTTCGTCTTTGACAATGTAGAAAGAAAAAGGACGTGAGCGATCAGTAAAAGTGAATGCCCCTTCTCTCCACTTGAACTTAGACACTGACTCATCAATAGCCAAAAATTGAAACCTCTACTAGTATGTCTCTGCGATGTTGATGTTGAATTCAGCTCACTGCTACTGCTGCCACGTTTTACCCTACCTCACTCACGTCTATAGTAGTTCGCATCGCTCATCAAACCAAGCAGACTGATAAACGCTATCAACCCCTCTCAGTCCATCGTTCCATTTCTGCCTTCACTTTGATACCTACTCTAAGAATCGCTGTCGGATCCAACTGACAAAAGTAAAAGGCAATCTGCACGACCGACCCCGACAACAGGCCCATGTGTGGCATGTGTCATGCACAGCGGTATACGTAGGATATATAGGTTTCAACTGCAGCCCGAGAACCTGTGAAGCGACGACGAATGGAACTTGGACAACGAGTTGCACCATGCAAGTGAGAGTCAGTCGGAGAATCGGAGAAAGGAAGGTCGAAGAAATTGTCTGCACATGCGCGATATCCCGCAAATCTCACGCTACTCTTTTAGACCAGGAAATGCGAGAGAATTCCAGTTTGTTTCCAATGTTGAGATGTCTCGATTGTAAGCCATCATATTCACATTTTCCTGGAACATTTTGAAGCTGATTCCACCCAGGAGCTTCGTGTCACTGAGCAAAGGTCTCGTACCTAGGATCTATAATGTTCTACGTGCAGTTCATGTTGTGGTCAACCATAAGACTACAGACTCTTCTCATGATGAATCGCTATCTGGTGGTAAACTTCGGCCTGTTCAATGCACAAGGGTATCACTACATGGCATGGCAATGCAGGGCTGTCAGCAAACTTTGAAACACTTGCTTCCATAGACACAGCTTCTACCTTTGCCCTTACTACCAAACTTGCCATGTTTTCTTCCAATTTTCATCAAAATATATTGTGATTTATCCTTGCGATACTACCCTAATTACATTCGAAATCCTGCCAACCCAGGTAGGGCCCCTACGCTCGTCAATGACTCACTCGTCATATAGATATGTCGCAAGCTGATGTCCTCCCCACAGCACACTCAAACTTCGACCCCTTCCAGTTTTAATTTTGACAGCTTCAACTGATGGGTTTTTTGGAGTTGTATATATCAAATTGCAGGGCTCGTGGACAGGTTTTAGCCATCTTGAGCTCATCCCTTTATTATAGTTAGATTAACCTTGTTATGGAGGATGACACCGATCATTCGCGAATAGTGGAGTGCGGGGAAAAGACCATCTATCTACATTGGACAAGTATGCAAATTGTGACTTCATAGCATTAGAAGGCCCCACGGCCAGTTCTATCAACCGGCAAACGAAGTACATATAGCATTCTACTCAGGTGTCTGTGAGTCTCGAAAGGAATGAGGGTCGAGTAAGCTTAATCTCAACGGGCAAAATTTGATACAGGTAGCCTCAAAAAGCTCAGCAATAAGTTTTCATTTCCCAATTTACAGCGACATCAATAAATCAACGTGTTCCATCAAGACCACCCAGATACAAATTTGGCCCACTGCCTGTATCTTTCACTATTACCACTGGCAGTGACCACTCCCGTCCAGTCAGAACTCTTAAGTTTTCGTCCAACGTCAAGCCACGCAAAGCTCAACTCACTGATATGACTCCAACCTTGCAAATTAGACTCACACAGCATGTCCGCCCTTCCGATCTGACACCGCGGGTGCCACAGAGAAGCCTCGAACCCTTTTTATGCATATTTGGCTGCTCGGCCGGCGAGAGGTTAGCCCGAAGCAAAGGGGAGGTTTCAGGGTCGGCGACGGTCGTTGGACGGTTAGAGCGTGCCGAGGATTGACCGTGAAGCACAGATGCTATTTCCATGAACTCGAGTCAGGTCAATTCGGCTTTGTTGTCTATCTCCCCGAGAGAAGATGACAGCTCATGGAATGATTCTGGCGTGCTCTTCCGAGCCGGGCTACGTTAGGGGTCTTCCTTGATTGTGACTAAGGTTGTATCAACAAACGTCCATAACAGCTGTCATGAGATATACAGTGAGAGCTATCAGCATGATGACCCGGCAAGGCCTGATTGTGTCCTCGGTAGAACAAGGTTATTACGGGTCTCCACAGAGTACTCAAATGACCTCATGCCACAAGCTTTTAACTACTGCCCGATCCGATAGTCTGTGAGAGAATCAATCTTCAGTCAGTGGTTCCGCGAGATGCACCTAGTCATGCATCGTAAGAGGCGCTTTCACCGACTTCCAGTAAAATTGAACGATAACCGCAAAAGAATTACATAAGCAGGCATCATATATCATCGAGGGTCATATCATCAAGCAGCCCGAGGTTGGCGAATATTCGCGGGTGTAGCATCCGGGTGCGATTGAAACGTGATAGGCAAAGGAGAAAACAATATGGGTCAAACAAGGCACCACGGAAGATGCGAACCGAGCCTTTCAGCGCCAATGCGCCCAAGCGAAGTTATATTGAGTCTATCGTAGAATGTTAGCATTCAGCCCGCCATGAAAAAAAACCCCCAGGGATTCGTGAAGAGAGTGTGCCAGCCATGATGGATACGTACTCAGGGTCATGCTCAGATTCACGTCCGTGCTCTCCACCATCTGCGTAAACTCCTCGAAGCTGATCTTGCCGTCACCATCCTTGTCGGCTTCCATGATCGTCTTGTCCACGATCTGTTGTAGCTGGATATCCTTCAAGTTGTTGCCGACCATCATCTTCAAGACAATGAAGAGCTCGCCGTTGGAAATGTATCCGTCGCGATCGATATCGTAGACCCGGAACGCAAAGCGCAGCTTTTCCTCTTTGTTGCCCCGGGCGCTGAAAGCCGAAAGCCCAGTGACAAATTCTTGGAAATCGACGTCACCGCCACCATCCTCGTCGAAAATAGCAATCATTCTGTGCACGCAAACATCGCAATATTAACAGACTGGTCATTCACGATCTCATATGCCCCCAGTGAGCGGGGACTGCAGTCGAGTGGTCGACCTGAATAGAACGAACCTGGTGGCTAAAGGATTCGATGAGATCTGCGGAAGGGAAAGGAACTCTTCGCGATCAATTGTGCCTGACGCATCCTGTGTAGAACCCAGAGTCTCAGCTTTGCGTACCAAACAAAGCAGAAGCCGTCTCTGTCCCTTTCATATCCTGCTCACAAATCAACAATGTACCTACCTTGTCGAGCTTCATAAAGCGTTTGCGCAAGCGGTCCACTTCATCACGGTCGACTGTGCCAAGGCGTTAGCACCAAAACATAGGGCTGCGCACTGGCGTATCGGCGTGCCACTGCGATCGGAGACGTACAGTTGGATGTGGATACAATGTTGTCAAAAAGCTGAGTCGTGCCAACAGAGCCTCGGCGGCGCTGCACGCTGTGCATCGCCGCTGTGTTGGGTTGTGCGGGTTGATCCATTTTTGAGTGACGAAAATAAGAGTTGGAGAGGGGGAGATCTGAAGTGGGGGAAGATAAAGAGGCGAGTGCGAAAGGGGAATCTTAAATTGAGCTCAGGGAGGCGAGTCTATTTTAAGCGGGTGGAGCGGAGCATAGGTGTGGGAGAACTCCAGAAGTGGAAAACAGCAAAGCGCTCAGAATGATGAAAAAGACTCCAGTGAGGATCAGATAAGCGGGGAAGATAATGAAGTGAGGTGGTTCACTCGATGGATGCAGAAATAAGATTTGGGGTACCTTACGAGGAGGAAAGCAGAGTGACGACCTCAAACAGATCCAGAAATGGAAGGTGTGAGCGCGCCGGAGAGCGGAGATGGAGCTCCAAGTTTCAAGCCTGAGGCATACAGTCAGGGGCCCGAGATGATATTGTATGCCTGTTGTTTATGGCACAAATATCACCCTAGTCAGGCATCAACATGATTCTGATAATGCCCAGCCCCGCACTAACCCGATTGAGACAGGCAAGCGAGCCCCTGAGGCCGTGCGCGCGGGCAAAACAGGCCGTCGCTGGGTGACATTACAACGTCAACCCATCAGCTGGCCCAAAAACGCCTGATCTTACGTCGTTGATACCACCCCCTCAACCATCAATTTCCATCATAAAAATACGACTACGAGAAAGCGCATGACCAGACCTATCGAGTGATCCCCATTTCACCCACCCCCCGCCCATGGTCGTTGCCTGTTTGCGCGTCCCGTCGCTATGACTCGGTACGGGGGCTTGGGCCGGACGCGCCCGAAGAAACTCACCTCGAAGGCATCCATCCCTATCGTCCGCGAACACGAGATCGATATCATAGAGGATGAGATACAATCTGCTTTACAACAGATCGAAACCGGCGTTGAAAAGGCCGAAGAATCGGTGAGTAACGAGCCACATTATTTTTAGCCCCATCCACATGCATGTGATCACGTGACTGTATCGTCAAATGGACACGAAATTTTCACGATGCTAACCACGAGACGCGCCGCCCACAGGAGTTTCACCTGCAAGTTGCCATCAATGCTGCCGCCCAAGGTAAAGATAAGGACGCACACATTCCCACTCGAGAAGTCATCCTCAGCGATATTCAATATGCCAAATTGTATCCCCCGGTTTTCTCGCAACCGGCGACGTACATCCGCTTCTCCTCCACGGTGGAGGATTGTTGCGGATGTCCGTACAACATGAACGATGAGGATGATGTCTGGCTCAAGAATTACAACTCCAAACGTGATGCCTCCAGCCAGTGCTCAGAGGATGACTTTGAAGCCACAATGAACTTCTTTGAGGAAACTGCGCAGGCAAAGCAGCCATTTGCCGCGGTGGATAGTCCCCCCGTCCTCTCCTTTGCCGACATGGCGGAGTCAATGGACGCAGCCGTAGAACATTGTGTAAAACGTTTTGCCAAGGATGTCTTCGAGCACTGGAAGGCCCGTCGCATAGCGACGGAAAATCGATCCTTGGAACCATCATTGAAGGTAAGCAGTGCCTTCCATCTTGAAAAATTCCTTCCTCGGCGCATTGCATTGTTTCCGCACCCGCAGGTTCTGTGCTGACTCGACTTTTGAAAGTTCGAAACCGGCCAAGAAACGGACGATAGTGATCCATTCGTCTGCTTCCGTCGTCGCGAGGTGCGCCAAATTCGCAAGACCCGTGGACGCGATGCGCAAAGCGCCGAGAAGCTGCGTCGCCTTCGTAAAGAGTTGGAAGATGCTCGTCAATTGGTCGCACTTGTGCGACAGCGTGAAGTCGCACGCAGAGAGATGCTTCTCATGGAGCGCACCCTCTTCATGCAGCGCAATGAGGTCAAGGAGATGAAGCGTAAACTCAACATCAAGGACGATGATGAGGACCTCATCAACCAAAAGGTAAGATTTTGCGAATGCTCCGTCCGTGTTGTGACAACCCATGCTGACAAGTTGCTTCAGCCCAAGAAGAAGGCGGTCGAGATGCCTCCTCGGCAGCCACCCCCCTCAACTACGCTTGCCATCAAAACCTGGTGTGCAAGGCGCAGAGGATTTGCAGCTCCTGGAAGACGTCCAGGCCGAGAAGGAGAACGAGATTCTTCGCGATATCAAGGCAAACATTGCCAAGCATATCAAATGGAACGAAGGCTTCGTGGATCACACTCGGGCGCCTCTTTCTCCATCTCCCGACAGGACCTTCGATGCAACAGCATTCCGTCCTGCGCTCACTGCGCAATTACCCACACCACCCTCGTCAGAATCATCGGGCGATGCGGTAGACTCGTCATTAGATGTGACAAGCCCACTCTTCTCCAAAGAAAGACTCGCTTCACGGGCCTTGGAATTGCACGATGGGTCTCATCGAATGCCGTCGTTCAGACGCCGCGTTGGTCGTGGTGGTCGTCTCTTCATTGATCGACGGAATCTCGTGGCGCGATGTAGAGCCGATCTTGACCCATTGAAGGCAGATCGATACAAGTATGATCAGGAGGACTCTGACGAGGAGCCTTGCTATTCGACAGATGCGTATAGCATCCAGATCATGCAACATCGTGCCATCACCATGGCCAAGGCGCGCGAACAAGCCGCAGTGGCTGCCCAAGCTCATGCGCAGGCGCAGGCACAGGCAGCCCAGCAGCGCCGGTTGCAGGCCGAGCAAGCGGGAAATGCTCAAGTAGCGAATCCCGCCCCAACTGCACCGACTGCACCTTCAGAGACGTGATGCGTGACCCGGCGCTGATCACTCCCTGCATTATGTTTAATTTTGTCGAGGTTTTGTCGACGGTTTGTTCACTTTCTGTTGTTCTCATTAGCATTTGGCGGGCGTTCTTCTCGGTGGTATGATTCCCTTCGTCGCAGGTTGTTTTATTCCTCTCCATGTTCTTTTTACCACACCTGTAGTTTTATTATCACCACCTCTTCATGTTCTGATGACACGTGCGCGCGACGAAGGGATCCCATGGGCCCGGTTTCTGTCTTCTCCTGTTTGAGTGTCACCCACCTATCCTCGCCGCTTATTTTCCCGCTTTTACTTGCCATCCTTCCCTTCACACCTCATGCTCTTCCCGCAAACGGCAGACTTCTGATATGGTGCAGTATGCAGAGATGGACGGGCTCTTTTCCAGTCTTCTGAGGTGTTGCCTGTATCGCAAGATCGTCTGCGCTGTCAGTGTATATAGTACTTGTTCACTTCTTTTCCGTTTCATCTTTTCCTGGGCAAATGAGCGGGAGCCCGCGACATCTGAATTCTTCTTTTCTCAAGATGAATCTTCGAAGATCATGAAGCCAACGATGACGAGGAGCAGTTGAGAAAAGGAAAAATATCAACACATCGACCATTTTAACAGACTTGTGATCATTCATGGAGAGAAAAAAAAAATTGAAACTTTTTGATAGTCCGGTTGATTGTAGATGGTTGGTGTTAATGAGTCGGCTGGGTCGAAATCAGACGTCCGATCCGACATAATCCCAGCAACGCTTTCATGGTGAATTTCAGACTCGCGCAGATTTGAATTGTCTGACATCGGCATCGGCATTGGCGCCGCGTTTGAGGGATCCGTTGGAGAGGAGGGGCTCAAGCATGGCGAGGACAGCTTGGAGAACCTCCTTCTCGCCGATGCGTACCTGCAAGGCCATCATCTTGCGGCGGTCAGATCCTTCCAGGGCGACGTTTGACTGTTGAAGATTGCCCAGGAGCTGCGAGTCATCTGACAGAGAGCTGCCGTACTGAGATTGCTTGGCTTGTAAGATCTTGTAGAGAAGGCTGGCCTGGCTGCTTTCCATGACTGGCTTGGGAGGCTTGTTCTTTGAACGGCGCTGTTCAAAGTCCTCAGGCGTCAGGCACAGTGTGCTGAGAAGTATGACAAGCTCGGCGGGGAGAATGTCCTCAAGAGAAGCATTTGGCGCGGGCCTAGGAATCACATAGCCATCATCGAGCACGTCGTTGGCATCAAGAAGCTCGAGCTGGAAGTTCAGTTAGTAAAATGACACGAATCATCTTATCAGGTGGTGAAAGCAAAAAATACCCTTGGCTGAGATTCCACATCACTATCAGACAGACCAGCCACTTGACAGATATCGCTGAGAGGCAGCTCGATAACGTCATACTGCGAATAGTTCTCGGTCACGTAACCGTACCGACGAAGCAAATCCGCGCGAGGGATCTCTCCATAGTCATTAAAGATTTCTTGACCCTCCTGAATTGGCTTGATTGCTTTCATAACAAGGAACTCTTCTTCTTGGAAAAGACGAGCCTGCAAAAACATGTTAGTAAACACATAATCATTGCAAAAGTAGCAGGTGGAAGCACACACATTGTTTCGGTCTGCGTCGGCGTTCAGCATGTCAGCTAACGGAACCATACCCTTGGGTAATTGCTCATCCTCATCATCAGTCATGTAGCTCTCATCGTTGTCTTCGGCGTCGTCATCCTCGGTCTCAGCTTTCTCGATGTCAAAAGCGTACGCCATAATCAGCGAGCCCATGACGTGGGCCAGTTCAAGAAGAGCCGCAGCACCCTCGTCACTCTCGTAGGAAGAAACGCCATGAATAGGAGGGAACAGAGTGCAGTTGGCTCGAACAATTGGGACAATTGATTCCAAAATTGACTCATCCGCACCTTGCTTCCCAATCTTGTCCACAATGGCGCTCGCTTGCAACTCTCGCAGTTCTTCCGGCGACCAGAACATCAACGTGTCGAACCGCGTGGGCAAAACTCGGAAATAGGCCGCCCATGTGGAATTGGCACCCTTTGAATATTCATGAAGCATGACCAACATCAGTGACAGCCATGGCCCGAGCGCTTCAAGTTCCTGTCCGAGCAAGTTCTTCAACTCCGAGTTTTGCACCGCGAGAATGAGATTTCGTGGGATTGAGAAAAGTTCCTTGCCCTCGGGAATATTGGAGCGAGCCACTATAGAGAGTATATGTATGAGCGACACGGGAAACATTCGCACATAAATAGTGTCGCTCTTCGGCGAAAAATGAGGAGTTTGCGTGGTGGGGGGCGCCGCTGATATTTTGTCATTGTAGGGTACTCACCAACTCCACGGCCGGAACCTGTAGACCTGAGATCTGCCAGATAGATATTTGGGTTGATTTTGACGCCCGGGCATGTTTCAAGCCATCTCACAAAGTCATTAGACTGTTGTTGGAAGCTTGAGGGGTCTGCGAAGTGGGTGGAGGAGGACATTGTACTGAGGCCCGCTTCTTAGGGAGGCACACGAGATTAGGGCAAGGAGTGAAGACCGTCTGCGCAAGAGGTAAGAAAGACCAATATAATACAAACCCTGCTGAAAACAACACAAGGTATGGAAGACAGCAAAAGGACGACCGGACAGGTGTGTAAGGGAGGAGAAAAAAGAAGTCAGAAGGGTAATGGGGTTCAGGTGCAGTACCTCGTGTACTTCCCGACTGGAACGGGCAAGTGACTTTTTGGGTCGGAGAAACGGGAGGACCGCTTTTTTTGAGCGGGCCTGACTCCCGACCGGCTCAATGCCTGACCGCCTGATCGGCTTGATAGCCTGATAAGGTTGATAACGAAGGTGGAAAAAAGCCGAGGAGGGGAGCCTCCTCTCTTCATTTGTAAATTTTTAGTTGCTGGCTGTGAATCCAGGCTAATCAGTCTCTCGACTTTGATTCCGATTTTCTCTTCATTGAGATAACGAGTTTCAAGCGACACCGTCATCATGATTGCTATTGGGATGGAGGGCTCCGCCAACAAGCTTGGTGTTGGCATCATGCTGCATCCCGAGGACGGCAGCCCACCGCGAGTCCTCGCCAACATTCGCCATACATATGTATCACCACCGGGCGAAGGATTCTTGCCCAAGGATACAGCGCGCCATCATCGAGCGTGGGTAGTCAAACTGGTCAAAAAGTCCTTGAAGGAAGCCCAGGTCTCAGTAGCAGATGTGGATTGCATTTGCTTCACCAAGGGTCCCGGAATGGGTGCCCCGCTTCAGAGCGTCGTGGTGGCTGCGCGGATGCTCAGCTTGCTTTGGAATAAACCTTTGGTCGGTGTCAACCATTGCGTTGGACGTAAGTATATGTTCATTCGGAGCTCTTGCTGTCTACACACACGAACTCCGTGACACAGTCTAACTCCCAGTCGTGGTTTGTAACTAATGCGGCGTGCGCCTCACCTCACTAGACATCGAAATGGGCCGACTAATCACCGGCGCCACCAACCCCGTTGTTCTCTACGTCTCAGGTGGAAATACACAAGTCATCGCTTACAGCTCTCAAAGATATCGGATCTTTGGCGAAACCCTGGATATCGCTGTTGGCAATTGTTTGGATCGATTCGCGCGCACCCTGCATATCTCGAATGACCCCGCCCCCGGATACAATATCGAGCAATTGGCCAAGCAAGGCAAACAGCTTGTGGATCTACCGTACGTGGTTAAAGGCATGGATGTCTCCTTCTCGGGACTCTTGGCTGCAATCGATGGTCTCGCGGCGCAATGGGACCTAGGGGGCGAGGATGCGGCGAACGAAGACTTGAGGGCGCAAGATCCTCAGAGTGATGCCGTCCATATCCCGCAGACTGATGGCAAGCCCACGCGGGCAGATCTATGCTTCTCGCTGCAAGAAACAGTGTTCGCCATGCTGGTAGAGATTACCGAGCGCGCAATGGCGCATGTTGGGTCCAAGCAAGTCTTAATCGTGGGCGGTGTAGGCTCGAATGAACGATTGCAAGAGATGATGGGAGTCATGGCGCGCGATCGGGGCGGTAGCGTCTATGCTACTGACGAGCGGTTCTGCATTGATAATGGCATTATGATTGCCCAGGCTGGTATGCTGGCATATCAGACGGGATTCCAGACCCCTCTGAAGGAATCCACCTGCACTCAACGATTCCGAACAGACGAAGTGTTTGTCGAATGGCGGGAAGACTGAGTCGGCTTACGGATCCTATGTATGCTATGAGGATACTAATGACAATGCATGATCACGAGACACGAGTTCTGCTCACCTTAGTTTGAGCATAATTGCTCTAAGCCCTTTTGCAGTCTAGCTTTGTTGGGCATCGAGCTCCTTTGAACATATACTCGAGTACGATTCCAGTTTGAGTCGAAACGTGACGCGGGGCAAGGTAATCGTAATTCATTGCTGAGGTATGCTCCGGTGATCCTCAACTCTGTTAAATTGGGCCGACACTGCACTTGCTCAAGGACAAACGCCCCCATAGAAGTGAGCTTTAATGGGATAAATTCCTCTCCTCCCCTCTCCCAATATCACGGCCAAACACCTCTCGGTAATTATAAGGGGAAACGCCGTAAACTTTGCATGCTGCTGGATATTGATCCAAATACCTTCCTTACTCATAAAAGGAATGAGTTCCTCTATTGTGTGAAGACACTTTGTTTTCGAGTCTTCGACTGCAAGCACCCGGGCTTTTAGTTCACCTTGCCCTCGAGTCCGTTGACTCTGTAGCAACATTTGTTTGAGGGAACAGTGCTTCAACTTGCTCAAAGAGCGCTCTGTGAAAACTCTCATAAGTCTGCGATAGGACCATCATCTTGGTCTTCGACTGGAGTATAATAAGATTGCCCAGGTCCGTCCCTTAACCTGTGATATCTCCCGTCGGTTTATAGAGAATTGATGTGACATACTAGAAAGCCGGTCAGCGAACGAGGTCCTCGGGGAAAGACAGCTTTCAATGGTCACTTACCTTGCGCTTGTATCGAGTCGTCACGCTCGTTGCTAACACTCCGTTCTTGATGCTGCTTGTTGCCAAATGATTCAACACAGTGTGGTTGGGATAGTTGAGCACACTGCTGTCATCTTTGGTGGGCGTATTGCTGTTGAGGATGGACTTGCCCAAAAACAATGGCAGGCTTGGCGGTGTGGGAGTATCGCTGATAACATTCGCCGCCTGAATGTAGGCAGTACTTTCCTCGTCCTTATCGAGATCGGCGAGGAATTGAGGGATGGCTCTACCAAAGTTTCCGGGCGGAACCTCCTCCTCGATCTCCTTGTTTTGCGGCTCATCAGTCGATTCGTCATTATTCCCATCCTTTACATTGTCTGAGACGGTCTGGGACGCTTGGATTCCTGGCGTAATACTATCGAATCTGTCGTCGGCGCTGATCTCAATGTAATTGACGAGATGATTTGTGAAATCGACAGCGGTAGGCAGGGTGTCGGAAGCTCGCATCTCTCCGTCGACAATGAACTTCAGGTGATGTGTACCAGGTCGGAGATTGAGTGTCGTCGACATGGTGGCACCTTCGCCCTCCCTGTTTTAATGTTAGCAATTGAGCTATCCATATAGATCTTTAGCTATCTTCGCATAAGCAAGAAGACTCATACCCTCTGTGTAGCTTGAACTTCTTCTCCCAATTCACAAAGGTACCTGTCACATAAACTTTCTGTCCGGGACCCGACCACTCAATGTAGGCCGGTACGGCTTTTCCCACGCCACTGGAAGCGTATGTCTGAAGCTCATCGACAATCTCTTCCCCATCCAACGTTGCGCTGCTCAGATTGGACACTCCCTGCTCCATCTGCTCCTTCAGTAGCTGATCAGCCGGCATGGATTGGATATGCGAATCCTCGGGCCCACTGATCGGAGAACCAGGCGTGGTCGTCGCATCTCCGATGGGCAAAGGCATGCGCGGCGGTCGTTGCAAGTGTTGTGATGCGCTATAGTACGAGCTCGGCGGCGGGCCCGATGGCGCCACAGGATCACGACCTGCAACCTGGCGTGCGCTGGGCACCTGCATCGGATTCGAATAATCCGCAGGAATCGCACCCTTGCTTGGCGCATCCTCTTGTCGTTTCCCATCTTGTCTCGAAGGCTTGCTCGTGCTTCTGCTAGGCGATTGGGGAGGATTGCGTGAATGCCGACGATGCGACGGGGAGCCTTGGTAATTTGCTGAGTGTCCTGCCGCAGTCTCTCTTGTCGCTGACGGATCGGCTGCGGTCGCTTTCTGGTGTCTTATCGCGTTCAAAGAGGTACGACGCGCTACCTTGCGCTCCGCTGCCCCATGGTGGAAGTGGCCGTCCGGTCCATCGCCGGAGGGGCCTTTGGAAGGATTGTTGCCCATCGAAGGCGGGGTAGCAGCCTGGGTGCAAGTATCAGGGGTTCAGGAAGGCAGTCTTTTCCGAGCGCGGGTCTGCTAGAAGAGGATCAAAAGCCAAACAATGATTTTGGGAGCATAAGCTCTTGGCGCAGAAAATTGTAGATCATGCGAAGACCGCGGTCTGAAGAGGTGAAGGTCAAGAAGATGACGCTCACCGGTCCAATTAGGATAGGGCTTAGGGTCTATAGGCGGTGATAACTCGGTTTCCCCGGATTCTGCCTCCTTGCCAAGTTTGGGGGCTGTTGCCATGTCCGGATAGTCGACGCGAAGTACACATCTTAACCAGTCCCGTCATTGTCCCATCCTAGTCCATGCTTCAATGGACGATTCCAATGTCTTGACAATCCTAGCATCCATATCGGGTTGGACCTTTGGTGTGCTGGTGGTGATAGTCAGATATACCTGGTCCCTCCTGTACTCTCTGCTTTATGTCATCGCTTGGCCCGTGCTCTCCGTCGGCCGTGGTTTACTCTCTGTCGCGCTATTTCCCTTGCGAGTGCTTCTCAAGTTCGAGGTGAGCAAGAAGAATTCAGCACAATTTTATGCCGATCTTGTGGATTTATCATCATTTCACTCATACATCCATAGGCATTCTTGACGTTTGTGCTGGGCGCAGCGATTGTTGGGGCTACCGTCGGCCTCTGCCTCTACCTGGCTGGAGACTTCTTGTCCAGGGTCCTCCTACTACATTCGCCAGAATTAGAAGAGCCATTGATGTCCAGGTCGATGAAGCTTGAAGACTCTTCCACAAGCTTTGACTGGGAGTCGAAGATGTACATGTCATCGACAATTTTGGAGGAAGAAGAGACTAGCCAAGATTCCAGGGACTGACGGCCTCAAACCTCAGTCAAGATGTTTTCATTCAAAAAGATCAGATAATCAAAATCGTGAGGTCTATAGTATATCAAAAACTACTATGATCGGAGCTACCAAGCACCATCCACATATTCAAGTTTAGTAATGATCCCAACGAGAAAACGTGCTATGTGAAGAACATCGCCAGGATGTTGCACAAGCCCATCATTCAGCGCCAGACCGTCGTGAAGGGGCGAGTCGTACATATATGACTTCTGTCCCGTCGCCTAGGTATTGCCTAAGAATAGCAGCTTTTTGAGATGCTCAAGGTCGGGGGACGTACATACTAACACCAGCGGTCGTGCCCTGAAATGGATGTGCTTCACCAGAACAATCAACTTTACCAATCTTTGAATTGAGACTGTAACACATCCAGGTGACACTCATTGATAGTTTGCCATAAATGTCTACAAGCTGGGTAGAATCTAGCTTGGCTTCCATCCATTTTTCTTCATCCTCATACCCAGCTCCATACTATATACCACTGACAGCCCCTTTCACTTCATTATGCACGAGGAACCTACTTACAATCCGGAGTGAGTACCTCCGCCCGCGCTGTCTTCTTTTCCAATGTGTAGTACATTTGAGAACTCACCATATCTAACCGTCCTTTCCAGGTCCCCCTTGGGGAAGCTCACAATCTGCTACAAACACAAGCTAGAGAATTGTGCGGGCATGACTGTTGTGGGCTTGATCATCGAATACCCTCCAAATGGCGCCACACCACCTCATCGCCATGGAGGCGCCGCCGTGTCTGCCTATGTTCTTCGGGGCGCTATTCTGAACAAAATGAACGAAGATCCGATAGAGCTAATCGAGCAAGGCGACTTGTGGCATGAGCCTCCAGGCTGTCACCATCGTATCAGTGCCAATGCTAGTCAGACTGAAGCCGCCTCGTTTTTTGTCACCATAGTGATTGAAACAGACAAGTTGGGGAGGGAGGGTGTGTCTGTGCTGTTGCAGTATGATGAGGAGTACAAAGACATTGTGGCGCGAAAGATGCAGGGTTTGAAGTGAAGGATGTATGCGCTACATCTGCGAGAGACTACCTAGGCACTAATTTGAAACTGAAGACAGCGATACTTACTCTTCACCACTATGACTAGAATCATTCTCATTACCTACCATTATATATAGAGCTCGTAGATTAGCAAGTTACTTTGATTGCGTGGTCCTATAAGGTTAAGGCCGGGTATTGCAATAATGTGATAATGCGAGATGGAAGCTCCAGGCCTTTTGGGCATTTGTGAGATTCTATGATCCTCTCGCCCTGATCACGCAATCCCATACACCTGAGCCTCCGTCGACCCATTCCACTCTCTCGGTTTGTCTCTCCTCCCACTCCCCACCATCCCCGCCATCCACAATGCAAGCCATCCGCCTTCATCCTGCTCCATCTGGAGCTATTTCTTACTCACCATCCAACCCAGCACCATCCTCTGCCCTTCGACTGGATTATGACATTCCTGTTCCATCACTCTCCGCCCCGGGAGAGCTTCTCGTTCGTGTCAAAGCCTCCACAGTCATCCGCGATATGCTCAGCTGGCCCGAAGTCTACTCGCACCAGTACGCCATCCCAGGCTGGGACGTCGCCGGGATCGTGACAGAAGTCTACTCCGAGAAGAGTGAATTCAAGCCCGGAGACGAGGTGTTCGGCATGGCAAATACCGACCGTGCAGCGACTTGGGCTGAATATACTATCATGAAGGAAGATGAAGTGACTCGTAAACCGGCAACTTTGACCTTTGCTCAAGCTGCGGCATTACCTCTCAGTGCACAAACGGCTTATGAGGCGCTTTTTGAGCATGCGCGTATCCCCATTTCCAATCGCAAAGGGCTGGTTGCCGAGTCTGATGCGAAGGTGAAAGAACAGCGCGTGCTCATCACCGGTGCTGCAGGGGCGGTAGGTGTGTATTTGGTTCCATTTGCGTCGGCCGCGAATGTGCATGTTGTCGCCGCGAGTAGTTCGAATGTGCGCAATGAGGAGTTCTTGCGCGGCCTTGGAGCCGACGAGGTTGTCGAGTACAAGATGCTAGACGACTATGCGGGGCGATTCGATGTCATCATTGATGTAGTTGGCGGGGAAGTGCTAGCCAAGTGCTGGGATTACGTCGCAGAGACGGGGAGGCTCATCACAGTGGATTCAGCCAGTTTCAACTTTGTCAAGGAACATGAGAAGCGGGGATTACGCAAGATGGGGGTAGACGCTCGATTTTTCATCGTCAAGGGTAGCCCAGAGGCATTACGTTGCATTGCTGAGATGGTTGATGCGGGGGCTGTTGGGTCTTTCGTCGCAGAGATCCTCCCAATGGCTCGTGTACGCGAGGCCTATGATCATGCGAATTCGAAGATGAGTGCGCGTGGAAGGGTGATTCTTACTTTTTGACGTGGGGATGCAGTTGCCATCCTCTGCAGTCTGTCATCGGACATATGGCAATCCCCTTGCAACAAACTGTATCCGGCCTGCGAACCGCTGGACTCTGCATTCATCGTGGGGGTGTTCTGTAGATGTGTATCACTACCTCTTAGAATCTACAACTCACAGGTGCCACACGTACTTTGTGTACATCCGTCGTGCAGTGTTATTGTATGCTTCGTATGCGCGGCGAGAGTGACGGGTACCTGGCCGGGTACTTTACCAGACAAGCAACCCGTTCACATCAGTTAAACTTGAATGGATCACTTCGTTGGAGCTTCTATCCCACATTATGCGTATTGTGGATCCGCCAGCTAACGGGGAAAGGGGAATAACAAGAAGCCAACGAGAAGCCACCCTTTTCAGAATTTCGATGGAGATGGCTTTGCTTGAGTACAGTGCAATCTTGGGAAACCTTTCTGCTCAGTCAGTTTGATCATAAGTCGTAATTAACTTAGGTAGTGAATCCATCTTGCAATCACCTCACGTTCATTAGATGAAACCTGACCCGAACTGGAAAGAACGCTCCGATGGATCGCTCCGGACCGGATTGTTCACTGGTGTTCTCCGAATCATGTCGTGAGTTCAGTGAGGAACAACACTTGACGCTACTGGTGTAGTACAGTAGTACGCTACTCAAGCTTCACCAGTCAATCTCTGTGATGGCTGGATGACAACTCATGAGTATATCTCGAGGTCTCACTTTGCAGCCACTCAGCCTCCAGTCTTGAGCTTATGTAAACAAGTTACGCCGGCGGGCCCCGTATCACAACGCCCGTGTTATCTGCGACTTGGAAACCCCAGACTAACAGCGGTGCTTGCGAAGGCCATGTGAAATACCAAGAAACCACATCACTCGGGCACGAGATGGTCGATGATTGATCCTCGCCATACCTGATCCTACCAGGTATCTGACAAGGAAAAATTAACATTGTTTGATCAGAAAAAATTATCAGCGAGCCACACAGGTGAGCACTGTGTCTCACCAGTGGTCAATTGTCAAAAGCACCAGGCCCAGTCGGTGCCTCAAGCCGTGGGACCCTCCCCCTTGGATGTCAAGATACGAATCAATCTGGCATAAAAGTTCCGACAGAGGACTGCACCATGCCGCCCATACGAACGTGCGACCAGTGCTATTCCAAGAAAAAGAAATGTCAACGACAAATCGACCTTGCCAAGTGCGTCCGATGTACTCACTTGGCCTTGAGCTGCTCGACCGTTCGGCACTCACGCCCTCCGGGACGGCCAGCCCGAGCAAAGGCCCTGGGACCGGCGGCCGAGGTTCAAGTATGGACATCACAAGATCTGTCGCCGACGTTAGAGTCCTCGTCTTCTCAAACTCCACGGGAACAGACCATCTCCCCAACACTGCAGAGGGTTTCGCCCGAGTCGGCTCGAAGACGAAATGACACCGTCGAGCCGGGTGCATCTGAGTCCCAGCTGGTGAAATTGCCAGATATTCTGCAAGAATTGGGCTCGGCGTATTTTCGAGACAATGTAGCGCCAGAACCCACGGACGAGGAATTTTACCAATTAAATGACATCTTCATGATCGGCCCCAGTTTCACCAGAAGTTTTCGCAAGGCACTCAACTATTCATATCTGACGGCAACTCACATTCTCAAAGACATGTTCTCAGTGATGATTCGATACATGACCACTACCAACAAGCCCAAGATTCCCGTGCCGGCTCACGGTGAAATTGCCCAGGTAGCAGATTTATTGCGCAAATCCCAGGTCACGGAGGTTTCCAGCAGCAACGACGCCCTGGCATTCCTCGTTCTCGGCCAAAGTCTAGCAGCTCTAGATACATTTCTTGTTTCCGCTGGGTCGATGCTCATTCTGCGTCACACGCTCTACCTGGCAAAACCTTGGTATCCAGAGCTGGCTCAAAACGAGTTTCTAGACTCGGTCACCGTGACTCCAATATGCTGGGAAATTCTGGAATGCTTACTCAAGCGAGAAGTTCCAATCATCCGGCCTTTGATCCATCGACCTCAAGTAGTCGATCGACTATTTGGTGCATGCGTCTCCTTGATGCCGATGCTGTACGACTTGTGCGAAGTGAGCCACAATTTGAGATTACGTCCCCAAAATGAGAGTCCTGAGCTTCAAACCGTTGAAAGGCACGTGCTATCTTGGAAACCTGACGAGGCATCCATAAGCGAATCAGGATTCACAGACTCCGAAATGATGCTTCTTCGAGCTCAGGCGAGTATATATCGCTCTGCTGCACTTCTCCTCATCCATCGAATCAAGTATCCACTTGGCAGTCAGGATGGGATTGCTGTCTCTTATGCCAACGACATCATGGAGGAAAAGGATAAGATACTTCTTCACGGCGGACCTGACATCAAGCTACAATTTGGCTGTTTTGCGTTTTTCTTGGCCCTGCTGGAAATTCCGCTGCGACCTGAAGCCCTCTGGAAAAGCCTGACGAAACTTTCCTACTGCCCCGCTTGCGCAGAGCAGTTCTTTGCATTCCACAAATATTATTGGCAGCAAAGATGGGAGGGATATAAGGGGTCCATCTTCGATCTGATTGAGAGCGGGCCACCTTTCATGGCTGTTCCATGATTATCGGTCTTCTTGCAAAGGTCATCCCTGGATCATGTTTCCATGGACGGTCGTGAGAGGGTTCCGTGGAGTGGGACATGCGTATGTGCTCAAGGATCTAGAATCACATTCTTGATTTCTTGATCGCCGGTCGGATGACCAGGTGGATTCGTTGAGGAGAAGTTGAATAGTTGACAAAATTGATTGCCTTGGCGATAAACTTTGCTACTGTGACTCGAAGCTGCCTCGCGAAAGCTACAGACACAGTTACCCACTCAAGATTCACTCACACGAACATGTTGGGTCATCCAGTGGGCATCGCAGTCAAGAATTCGTTCTGACAGGTCGAGCTTAATAGATGCTCCGAAACGAGCTAACCTGTTGCTCGTGCTTAGGGGAGGTCTAACACGCGCACCCTCAATCCTGGAATGCGATGCAGGATGCACTTGCCAATAGACACGGGGACATTTGAAAGTTTCCTTCTTGACTGCGGAACCTCATCGTCTTTCTGTATCAGGCTTGTGGCTTGCTGCATCTTGATACTTCATCCTTCTTTACGCCATAAGAGCTCTGATATTGATGACATCGATATCGCTCAGTTGCTACGATAGATCCGCGGCTCGAAAGTGAAAAGGCAAATTTTCCACACCATAAGCCTCTCGGGCATTTATACCACTGATTACCTCGTGACGCTGGCGTTCAAGTCGCTCGGAAAGATGTATGTGTGAAATGTCTGTGAAATTGAAGGACCTTCAAAATTGACGCTCGGATGAGATCTCTGCTTCATTCAGGAAGTCGGCTCTTAGTTGTAGATCAGGTCATGGTGCTGAAATTATGTCCCTGATGTTGTAGATGGATGGCATGCACGAGGAATTTCCGCCCGGACGTCATAGTACTCTTGACCTCCTAGGTTTGCCAGACACAATGTACCTTCAATCTCCTTTCCCGTGTTCTCAGGAATTTCAACCCAAGCTGTTCTGGAAGTACTTCAGTCCCATGTCTACGAGATTATCCCCATCAGACTCTCACAAGCCTGAATAGGGCACGTATCAAAGAGAGAATACCTGATACCTAGGTACTAACCTTATCATCACCTGATACTGGGCCAGCCAGTGGCTTGAGGAGAGCCTTTCATCCTTGGCAATCTCATCATCTACATCCTCCCTCAGCTCCTCTACCATGTATTCTAGGCTGTTCTTCCCACCTATGACTCACAAAAACTTCTCTGGATGGCTATCACACGTTCGAATTGGGGACATCAACTGCTGATTGTATTTGCAGGACAGCTTAGCATCTACGACAATTGACCCAACGCTGTCCACCTGCAAGTTGACAGAGTTTATTGCCGTGACCTTGCTTCTCGCAAGGATGTTCCACGATATCATCTAGTTCTGATCGAAATGCTTATCGTCTTGACGATAATTCCGATCCCTGTATGCGAGATGAATCTTTTCCAGGGCTGATCGAACGAGGCCGGTAAGAGTCAGCGACATTTTTTGCTCATAATACTTCTTAGATCTTATTTTCTCGGGAGATATTCCCGTGTAGTTCTTCAGTATACAATGTCTGAGGTGTCTTTAAGCGGTCAGCTTCATGCTGACAATTTCAGATTTCAGCTGATCAGGGATGATCGTTGGTTATCCCGGCTTTCCGAGATCTCGATGAGAGTGTGGTACGACAGGCACAAATCTCATTCCACGTTCAGACGCGGATAGCCTCTATAAAGTACTGCCGAATTTGAGAATTGCTATATGTTCGCGTTTATTTGAACAAATTTTGTCCATCCGTCCACACCTGCCACTTGTAAAACAAGATGCGGACAAGTTTACTCTTCCTGCTAATTTACTCAGTAGCTGTTGTCGTTGAAGCCGACAAGTCTTATCCACCTTATTTTGAGGATCTCGAATGGCAAGCTCCCAGAAGTCTGTCAAATTGGGCCAACCTGACAGTCGAGACAAGAACTGGGACATTCGTTGGCATGCTCAATGACACATTTCCCGACGTGCGCCAATTTTTGCGCATTCCGTTTGCAAAGGTATGTCCTTTCGACGATGCAAGAAGCGTGACTAGTTTCGTTCAATGCTACAGCGCGAACTGACCGGATTTTGAATCCTCAAAGCCACCAGTTGGAGATCTCCGCTGGATGCCTCCTCAAAAACTTGATTCTACAAGCCGAAGATATGACTCGACTATCTTCGGTCCCGGTATGTGAAACCCGAATGGTGTGTAGAAACTTTGATGTCAAATCTGACGCCAAATTCCTGTCGAATCCAGCATGCCCGCAGTATGTCGAACGACGAGACTCTTTCTGGAAGGACCATGCACCTTTGAGTTTTGTCTTCAACCTCGGTGAGAACCTCACGCAAGGCTCAGTGGCATGGTCTTCAGCGGAGGATTGCCTGTCAATGGCAATATGGACACCTGCTTCGACCGACAAATCCTCGAAACTTCCAGTCACGCTTTTCCTCACGGGTGGAGCCGGTATAGAAGGTGGTGTTCCCATTCCGGCTCATATACCAGCGCAGTGGGTGTCGCGATCCCAGGAACACATTGCAATTACCATGAACTACCGAGTGAATATCTTCGGAAGTAGGTAGATCTTGAATAAGCATTCCTGACAAACTGAGTCCAGCACTGACTTGAATGTGCCCGGTGCAGATCCCAGATCAAGAGCCCTCAACGAAACCTCTCTCAGCCTGCTGGATGTCAGGGCAGCGGTTGAATGGGTCCACGAAAACATTGAGGCCTTTGGCGGAGATCCGCAGAACATTTTTGTCAGTGAGCACGGAATTCCCTCCAGTCTAATCGTCGAGGGGTTCATGCTTCACATTTTTCATCTGCTGATACTCTACCTTGCAGCTTTGGGGGCAATCGCAAGGTGGCGCGCTGACCCATCTATACACACTCGCTTTTCCAGATGATCCCTTAGTTGCCAGTTACGGAATCATCTCTCAACAACCTGGCACCACTTTGAACACGACAAAAGTGACAGACCCATACTTGGACTTTGATATTGTAGCCAAGTCTTTGGGCTGCAATTACGGGGATGATGCCGTTGCGGAGCTAAATTGCATGCGCACACGTTCATGGGTTCAAATTGAGGAATTCGTCAACCGCTACAAAGGCGAACCCAAAATATCATTTATGCAATACGTTCGTACGTGACACGTCCACCCCCAATTATCTGATTTGAGTTTAGACACTTTAGCTGAGACTGAATTTCATCTCCTGCAGCCGACGAAAGATACATTTTCTCTAACGAGAGTCTTCGCTACCATGCAGGCAAGGTGGCCAAGGGTTCAGCCATACGCTCCTTTGCAGCACGCGAGATGTCAGTAGACAATAACATTACAGATTCACAGGCAGAGGCTCGACAATGGGACTGCCTCGCAGCTCTGGATACCAAAGAGAGATTCTCACTGGGTCTTGATACTTTCCGCTACTTCTGGGGAGGTAAGCTCTAGGCGATTTCTTCCGAACACAAGAGATTCCATTCATCGAGAGGAAGTAGTCTGACTCTTGAATAGGCAATTTCACAAACATCAGCCCAGTGCCGTGGCTAGGAGCATATCACTTTTCAGATCTGCTGATGATATTCGGGACATACGTGAAAGACGTCGGAGAGATTTCGCAACTGGAGATTGAGACATCAGAGACCATGCAAGATTATATGCTCGCATTCATCAAGAATCCCCCCACCGTTCCAGAAACAGTTGGTTGGCCACTTTTCGATCCAAACAGCCCAGACGGCGGTCTTATTGTTGAGTTTGGGAAAGACGTTCCTGCGAAGAATATCACTGGGAGATACTTAGATGGAGCTTGTTACGATACTACTGTGCCTTTCCGTGTGAATGGCTGAACGATGTCAGAATTGACGGCCAACGAGAAATGAACCTCTCCGTCAGTCGATGTATTACGGCGCTGACTTGATAATGAAAATCAGACCACGCGATTGTCAGCGTGTGATGATTGGCGTGAGTACTATAAATGTCGCATTGAAGAGGCAGTCGCATCAATGTTCATGAGCAGTCCGCGAGATTTTGAATAACTGAAAGTTTGTGGCCAATTGATAACTACCATGATATGACCGTGAATTGAATTTTGAGGGGGAAAAAATGCCAGATGACTCTCCAGTCTCCACCATCCCATGCCTATGCGGCCTTGCAAATATTGCTTTGAAAGAAAAAAAAGAAACCTCATGATAGAGAGCACGATTAAACTCCCAAACGCCTCGTGACATGCAAGCAAAGAGGAAAATGAAAATGCACCATTTGACCGATCATTCCTCATACTTCCGCTTCACACCGTTTGTTCCGACAGGAGGTCCTGCACTTCGAGGCTTTCCCTCGGCCTGTCGTTTCTTCCAGGCTGACTTGATAGCGGGTGCAATTCGAATGAGATCCTCCTCGGTGACCCGATCCTCGATACTTTCGAGGACCTTTTCCACGGTGGAAATGTGATTCGCATCTGCCTTGTCATCTCTCAGCCGGTAGAATCGCCAGCGCTGCTCTGGATCCTTATAGCATTCAACAATGGAGTCGTCGAGCGGGACCTGCATTGCTTTTAAATTCTCCCATTCCTCTGGAGTGACATACATCTCGCCGAAATGCCGATACTCGTTGCTGTTGAGCATCGTAAACAGATGGCAAATTGGGATCGCATCGTAGTCAGGGTATGGTGCGGTGATACCGTCGGCTTCATCATCGGTGTCCGGCTCCAAGACTGGGAATTCCAGGCGCATTCGGAAATCAATGGTGTTTTCCGCAGGAGGCTTCCATTTCAAAATATGCTCGTCCGTGCCGATTCGGTAGGGCGTGCTGCGGCATGTGAAAATGAGACCATCGTTTCCATGAATACGCTTCACTTTCGGGATGATATCGCGGAACATCATTTCGATTCCGTAACTGAATTGTGTTGATTTGTCCTCCACGGCAAATGCACGATGTTCCTTCTCTTGTGGAAATTTCCGATACATGGCATTGTATGGTTTCAAGACCTTCTCCTTGAAATATGCGAGGCGCTTGTCGAGTGTGCGATGCATCAAGCTTTGTCCATCGAGGACTAGACAATCGAAAACGAGATACTTCAGTTGTGTGGTGCCGTCCTCGTACGTGTCATTCACCAACTCGCCATCGATCAGTGTGTCTACATGGAACGACTGAAATGTCTCGTCATCTGGGAGAGGAAAATGTAGGCCTGGCACATAGCGGTAGTCGTTCTTGCGATCAATGAGGTAATGGATCTCCGGCACCTCGGGACTCTCTCCACGCGCAAAGTACATTAAGCAACGGATGCCGTCTGTCTTTTCGCAAACGAAGTAATCTTCTTTTTGTAGCTCGACGAGGTGCTTGGCCGAGAAACTGACTGGTTGCGCACCAGGGAAGTTGAGGTTGTTGCGGCCGAGAAGATTGGCAACTTCGCGACGGAATGATTCGGCGAGGTCGGCCTCAGCCTTGACGCCGATAGCATCAAGATCTGGAACAGCGTGGCTCATTGTTATCAGGGTAGGAGGTTATGAAAATATAGATATCGAGCGCGATTGAAGACAGTTAATGACTTGAATTTGGGAGTGGTCGTTAATCGCGAAACTTGTTGATGGGGTAGCCGAATAGGAGTTGTTCGTGCTTGATTGAGGTATTGGGAATTGCGACGCGCAGTCGTTCTAATTTGCGAGCGCACGCCGCTCCACGGAGCTTTTCATGAAGCAGTGGGCTAGGACGTGAAAATGTGTCTTTGAAAGGTGAGGGAGCTTGGAGCATCCAGAAGCTCCCACGGTCATGGTATCGGGTGCTTTGATAGGGTCACATGACGATAAGGTTTGTCTCTCCATGTGGAATGAAGCACGACAGCGGGAGGCGTTCTGGTAAGGGAATATGTTGAGAAATCCGTACATATCAATCTGATCATATGAGTTACGTTCAGCTGATATTTTGCCATCAGCTTTCGTGGATGCGCCTCGCTATGATACAGGAATACAGCATGTTGAAGTGTTGGTTTCCCGAAGAGTCATGCTGTGTGGATCATAGAACCGTACACTCGTAGCGATGATATGAACTAGCTCGCTTAGCTCAGTTGGTAGAGCGCGTGACTAGTAATCACGAGGTCGCTAGTTCAAATCTGGCAGTGAGCAGAGCTTGTTTCTTTTTGGCCTTTATTCATTTGCTCGAGTATACATGAAGCCGACGAAGGTGAATGAATAGATTAGGGGGGGTGTTGCTATATTTTTCTCGAAATATTTTATGTACACCATGCAACAATGTGGATTACGTGGATTTTCCGTTCTGTAGTGCGTATGTGGGCTTCACAAATGCTTAATACTACAAAATTTTCTTACCTTACATATCTTCCAGCTCGCTTAGCTCAGTTGGTAGAGCGCGTGACTAGTAATCACGAGGTCGCTAGTTCAAATCTGGCAGTGAGCAGAGCTGTATGTTTTTGATTTTGTTACTATTTCTATCTACATCTGTCTACAAACCCGACAGGACGAGATTAAGCGAAGACATTCTCGTCATATGTTTTCACGAGTAACTTTCAATTACCCATCTGATGCAGATCCGCCTCGGACAACCGGCACAGTCTACACGGCACGCGATATCAATTCATTCTAAGCATACAGTGTATGGTCTGTAATGGTCCTTTATGCCACCTATCAGGTCGTGTACTTTCTGTTGTGCCTACCGAATTGCGGCTTCCCTCGAAGTAGTCTGCTATGCTCACGCGAAACAAGGATGGAGGCGAGTGAAGGTCCCTCTGTACGCACATGTAGCTGGGTCCAGTCTGCAATACCGCAGTATGTCGCCTTTCGGTGTGTCAATTGCATGGAATTCAGAGGAATTCCGAGTCAAGGTTTCCGCTGCATGTTAAACATCTCATCAATGTCATTGACATTGCGAATTGAACTACTGCAACTTTTGTCCTTGGATGAAGCTCGGCGACATTACTGTGATATCAGATTGTAGTAATGCCTGTGTCCGTTAACCTCCCTTTTCGTCTCCGACTCAATCTGGTGGGATCGACTACTTTTGTTCTATGCGGAGACTAGGAATGCTTTATACTGAAATATAAAGTTCAGTACCTTACTCGCCCACGGACACGATTGATCACTAGAATTGCAATGGATGTACTCCGCCCACTTAGCCATTTCTATAAATATACATGTCAATCAAGCAGAACAATGCATTTGATACAGATTATAAATGGAAGAATGAAAGAAAAAAAACAATCCTACTCGCATCGTGATTCGATAGGGTCCTCGTGTAGGTACGAGCCTCCTCCGGGCAGCTCGTGGCCCAATATCCCCTGCCGCAACAAACAACTTAGCGGCGGTACCCACCACCACCTTCAGGAAGTAGGTAGAATTTGAGGATTAACCCCACAAGTGAACGAATGCGAAAAGCCAAAAAGAAACAAGCTCTGCTCACTGCCAGATTTGAACTAGCGACCTCGTGATTACTAGTCACGCGCTCTACCAACTGAGCTAAGCGAGCTGGAAGATAAAGGTCCCTGATGGATTTGACGTTATCAAGTAAAATACTCAATGCCTGTATAATGAAGGCAACATCGTCACAGTTTGATCCCATGATAATGGTAGGCCCGGTATGGAAACTGGAAGCGAGTCGTGCCTGATCAAAGCGGATCCTTGAACCCGCTATTTCATGCAAGAACACATGGCTCGAGTGAGAGTTGAAGATACCCAGAAGTGTTACCGACTCAGCGAAGAATCATACACCTTGGAATGAACCTACTAATTATGGAAATTCAGCGAGGGAACGATCTAGGCGATAGAAAACAATGTCGTATTGTAGGTGTTCCACGTCAAGGGAAATGCGTCACAAGCGAATGTGAAGCGGTAGTTATGGCTAGGTAGAATAACATTTGTAGTAGGACTGTGGGGTATCTCGTCATGAAAACAAAAAACAATAGAAACAATCACGAGTCGCCGATGCCTGCGACACAGTGGACAAACTTTGGAAAATGGAGTTGACTTGACCTCACCATGCCAGCAAAAAACCGCATAAAGTCAAGAAACAAAGGAAGACCTAGTCCTCAGCCGAGGAAGTGTACCCGCAACGCCAGTGATGCAAAACCTTGTTCCCCAAGTGCGACAGCACAAGTATAGGCGACAAGAGAAAAATATGAATGAATGATGAATGGATGGCAGACAACGCAGAACGCCGATGAATGATCGTGAAAATCGTCGAGACGTGCAGGCTTTGTACCCTATAGCCGAATCGCGAGAGATCACCTGTACAGAGTAAGTGTAACACAAGCACATACACGGTCTCTCTATTACCCCCCCTCCTCTCTCTCATGAGGCCGCTGCCACGGGAGTCTTGCGAGAACTCGGTACAGGCGTGGTCCTAGACCCGTCTGCGTTAGCAACAGCCTCGCCCGATTCACTAACTGGCAAAACGGGCGATGTGGTCTTGTCCACATCCAAGTTCATGGGTTGGAAGAGGTTTCCGCCAAAAAGTGGTTGGCTTTCGCCAGTCGAAAAGAGTCCATTGCCGCTTCGACCGCCCATCGCATGAAGCATCTGCTCCTTGATACGGACGATTCGATATTTTGATTTTGTGCGGATAAGCGTATGTTCGACGAGTGGCTTGGGTGCAGAACGGGCAATAGACGCCATGACCAGATCGCGTTCTTCGTCCGAGTCCACCGGTCCATTGGTTTCGACATCGTCTGGTAGAGGGGCGTTTGCATCGATCGCGGCTCCTGAAAAAGAAAGAAAGAAATAAGCATGCGTCAGACTGCGCGTAGAGCTCGGGTTGAACTCCTGCAAAACAATGACTTACTTTGCTGCTTGGCCTGGTTCTTTTTCTGATACTGCTGCAACAACATATCATATGGCAGCGATCGCCCAGGCACAGCTCGCTTAGCACCCATAGAATGACTCTTACAAGTCAAGGAGCGTGCACATTGAGCCCCATTCGGAAGTGTCACACCACACTGCTTCTCGACATCCACGGGACCCTTAGGCTTGGCGGTCTTCGCCTTGGGCTCGTCCTTTTTCTTCTTCTTCTTGGGTTCCTTGTCATCCTCATCGGCTTTGCGCTTCTTGCCCTTCTTCGTGTCATCCATCATGCCCTTTGCGGCGCTCTTCTTCGCACCTTTCTGGCCCGTGAGCGAATCATCGCCATCAAGTCTGTCTCGAAGATCGTCGTCCTCCCCGTTTTTGGCGCGGTTGGCGGCGTCGCGGGCCTCTTTCTTTCGGCGGGCCTTTTCTTGCTTGGCTTTCAGACAGCCTCGGATATGCTCTGTCGCGGTAGATTTCAAGATCGGACGCTTGCAGTGCTTGCAGATGACCGTTTCGAGAAGATCCTCCTCTCGAGGTTTACCCGTTGGAAACGAGGCGGCGACCTTGCCGTCCAATTTGGGGAGTGGTGAGGAGGTAGGTGAAGAGTCGGCCGGACCGTCTTTAGTATCTAAAGCCCGGACATCCCACTTGTAAGGATCGGATCACGCGTAGGTATCAGGGTGGAGGAAATGTGCATGTCGTACCATCAGCTTTCTTCTTGGTCGAGGCTTTGGCCGTTTTCCTGACTTTCATCTTGCCGGGTTTGGTATCTTTATCGCTGAATTTATAGCCAGACGCATCAACCAGGCTGCCGTATGCTAGATGAAACGAAAAAAAGAACGATCATTAGCATCTTCCTTGTAGAGATAATAGTGATATTAGATTGCCGTTCGGCGACGGTGACCACACGCGCGCGTGGGACCGTCGGTCGCGGATTCCTGGCCCAGTACGAGAATAAGAGCCATGAGCTTACCTCGGCCAGCACTACCGTTGGTCGCCATGGCGGGCGCACAATGTGTTGCTATCCCCTTGAGATAAGTATGCAGTCCCTGCAACGAGTGTAACGAGCAATTTGATCCAAAAGAGAAATATGATGAATGGGGTATTGTAGTCCCGTTGAGTCTCGATATTGGAAGGGACGGGGCTCCGCATCGGGGCGCGAGTCACGTGCGTATATGAATGGGATGGAAAGTACGGACATTCGACCAAGGCACGATAGCCCGTCTCATTCAGAGGCCATGACAGTGATTCTTTGCTGATAATTGTACGTAATTTGCAATGACTCATTTGAATCATCCAAGAGTGAGAATGAAGTCTGAATACGAGCTATATGCAAAGTAAGGAATGTCTGCAACTCAGAGAAAGCACTAGCAGGGTGCCAGGCGGGCAGGCCTTTGTTCTGAATGAGCTTAACCCTTCTGCCGTAGTCACTGGGTGTCCGATGAGACACTACCAAACTACCTTAAGTGTATACTAAACGCACCCGGTAAGGACATCCAGAAGCGATAGGAAGCGTATGCCTTGGCGGCTCATGTGAGTGTGATTCCCTGGGTGTCCACTCTGCAGCATGTTTGAAGTGACGAAAGGGCCGAATGGTAGGGTACATGAGAATTAAACTCAGTTTTATATGCGGGAGAGATCAGTCCTTGAATCTAGCAAAGCAAAGACTACTATTCGTCCCTCCAAATCCAAAGCTGTTGGTCAAGGCAATATCGATATTCCTTGGCTGCGCTTCATTCGGTGCATAATTGCAATCAAAGCCGTCTGCCAGACGGGTCAAGTTGATTGTAGGCGGCATCATATCCTAGCTTCTGAATCAGCATGAAGATTGACGGTATAGAGGGATGAGTGATGAGGACATAAACTTACATCACGAATAGCCATGACGGTGAACAAAGCCTCGACTGCACCAGCACCACCGAGCAAATGTCCAACAGCTCCCTTGGTACTACTGACGTTCACGTCGATGGCGCGGTTCTTGCCCTCCGATCCAAGAAGAAGTGTTTTGATTGCTGCATTTTCTGCCGCATCGCCAACAATAGTGGATGTCGCATGAGCGTTGATATAGTCGACCGCCGCCGGTTGGACTTGGGCTTGCTTCAGGGCCTTTTTCATGGCCATGTAAGCACCCTCCCCGTTCTCTTTTGGCGCGGTGATGTGGTGCGAATCCGCGGAGCATCCGTATCCTTTCAATTCCGCGTAGATGGGAACTCCTCGACCACGGGCGTGATCGAGTTCCTGCAACGGCGTCAGTCTTTGTGTAAGCACGAGGCCAATGACCAAAGAATTGTTCATTGATTCTGCGGGTGTCAGATTTTGTAAACGCACCTCGAGGACTAACATGGCTGCTCCTTCGCCAACCACAAACCCTTTTCGATCTGCGTCAAACGGTCTTGAAGCATGTTCAGGGTCGTCATTAAAATCTGTAGCTAAGCTGCGAGCGCGAGCAAATCCGCCAATTGCGAGAGGATGAATACATGACTCGCCGCCGCCTGCGACCATGACATCGGCATCACCACAGGCAATAAATCGGGCCGCATCGCCGATAGAATGCGCACCTGTTGTACACGCCGTTGTTGCGGCATGGTTCGGACCCTGACGGTAAAAAGAGGAGAATGGTCGTAAGCGTCTACCATTGCGTGGAAGCGTAAAAGGTAAGGTTCATTGGTAAGTTTGACGTACCATGAATCCATATCGCATGGAGATATGCCCAGCACCAAGATTGATCAACAGTTTAGGGACGAACAACGGGCTGACTTTTTTATACCCCTGTCCCACTCGAGTCAGCGTTCCACTTTCTTCCAAAAATAGTAGATCAAATATAGACTCACCCCCTGCTCGTACGCAACGACAGTATCATAAATCTCATCGAAATTGCCAATGCCCGAACCAAGACAAACTCCCTATTCAGGGGTATCAGCCACCCTCACTTGACTCTGAGGAGGGCTTTCCATACCGTAGCGTGCTGTTCCTCTGGCGTCGTGGGCTTCCACCGAGCATCGCTCAGGGCTTCTTCCGCGGCAGCCATTGCGAACTGTGCGAATTTGGCCATAACGCGCTCATCCTGGTATTGTGAGCAGTGTCAGACGAACATGAGATCGACGTTGAAGCAAGACAGATTTCATGAAAAAACAAGTTTGAGTCCGGCGAGGATGATCCAATACTTGCAATGGTCTCTCCCCTGGATTGAATCATAAAACAGCCGTTGACTTACACCTCGATTCATCCATTCTGATACCGTCCAGCCTCCATCTTCCTTTTTTCCCTTCGGCACGACTGCTGCAATCTGTGCTGGAATCTCCCTGAAGCGCTCATCCCGAGAAACCACGTTGACAATGCCACAGTGACCCTCTAATAAACGCTTCCACGTCCGTCGGACTCCTAAACGACAACGGCGAGATATTCAGTCAGTCTGGCTGTCGAACGGGTGGAAATGGCACCTCACAATGACTGTGCCTGAAAGGCAACAGTCAGAACCACCACCCCTATCAGTCATATGCTCTTCCCATCAGAACCAAAATCAGGTCGATATACCCATGTATACTCTCTCCCCACGGGACCAAGCAGCCCCATCGTGAATAGTTCCCGGATGCCGTCATTGGCTGTCACGACTTCCCTCTTCCGGCATCTCTGCAGAGGTGGAGAGTCCCCGCCGATCCCAAAAGTGCCGCCCGTGAAGCCGACGGTCGGTGTGAGTCTGGGCTAAGCCAGGCTGGTTCACGGGGGCAGCATTGACTCCCTTTGGGCATGGTGGTGTTGGGCCGACTTATTTTGCAATGGTGAATGTGTGTGCATAGCGAACATGGACAGACTTACCAACGCCGAGAGGTGTGACCGCGCCGAGACCCGTTACGACAACGCGACGCATGGCATTGCACGACAGACAATAACAATTGCTTGCGTAAGGCTGAACCACGACTGGTCAGCGACTCAAGGTGCCTCGCCTGTCAAAGTCCGACCGACTGATAAGCTCAACGGGCACGGAGAGTAATGGATCTTGAACGTTCCGTGTTCGCGCCGCAAGAATAAGAGAAGGGGTGGAAAACCGACCCCAAAAAACTAAAAGTGGAAAAGGGTGACCAAGAAGGGAAAGTCTGCACGATGCGCAGTGGGCTGGAGAAGTATATCGTCAAGTCAAGATCAGAGTAGGTAGTCCGCCTACTCACTTCGCGTGAACCTACTGGATCCAGTTGATTCCGTATGAAAAGTGAAACAGTCTGATCAGCCAAGACCTTCTTTGTTTTCTTTTCTTTTCTTCTTTTTTTTTTTCTGATCTGTTCGTCTTTCCCTTTACATCGATGCGAGTTACAATAATGTGCAATGATGCATGATACCCAGTCGTGGTCCACCAATGGCAATGGATGTCTCCATCCACATCGACCACATCGAGTCTCCAACTTTTGGTCCCGTTGGAGAAGCTCTCGACGACCGAGGCGAAAGCTATTCGGAGCTCTTGTCCTGTAGACCCGAGTAGAAATCGGTGAAACAGTCGACTAGGGTGCTGTGGAACGTGTATAAATCTATAAAAGGTTGGATCTTCCAGAACCCCCCCCCCCCCCCAGCGCATTCGTCTTTTCTCGATCCAGCACTTGAAAAGTGAATCATATCGGCCATGCCTGCATGGAAGTCTCTTGTAAGCGTGCTGGCGCTGGCCAGCACAGCAGTTTCCTGCGCCCACCACGGAGACAACGAGGTGGTGCCTGAGCATGAGCGCGAAGAGCTGCTGAAGAAATGGGATCAAGAGGTGCGTGAACTGATAGTATGGAATAATCACACACCACCTTATTCCCATGGCTGACCAGAACAACGGGTTCGTCTGCGCTCTAGTGGTCCTTTTCCGGAATCGCCAGCTTCGCGCATCTCCGCACCGTGAAATGTCTCGTTGAACCCAGTGAAAACTACGACATCGCCGTCATTGGCGCTCCCTTCGATACTGCGGTCAGTTACCGACCTGGTGCTCGCTTCGGACCCCGCGCCATTCGCGCCGCCAGCGCTCGTCAAATGAGCGGAACCAGCTACAACACCCGTGCCGGAATCAATCCCTACAATTCATGGGCCAAGATCACCGACTGCGGCGACATTCCCATCACGCCATTTGACAATGGCCTTGCGGAGCGACAGATGTACGAGGCGTTCCTGGAACTGGGATCGCGCAAGATCGTCAATGCCGCGCCGTCCACCAAGTCGAAGAACAAGAAGGATGTCAGCATCGGCGCGCGTCACCCCAAACTCGTGACTTTGGGTGGAGATCACAGCGTCGCTCTGCCCGCCCTCCGAGCACTGTACAAGATCTACCAAAAGCCCATCACGGTGCTGCACTTCGATGCTCATCTGGACACCTGGAACCCCGTGCGGTACTCGGCCTACTGGCAGAGCGAGCAAACCCAATTCAACCACGGAAGTTTCTTCCACAAAGCCAGCCGCGAGGGTCTGATCTGCAATTCGACCTCCGCGCACGCGGGACTTCGCACTCGCTTGACGGGCGTCGATGATGGGGACTACACCACCCCCGGCCCCGAGCAAGGCTTCATCCGCATCCACGCGGACGACATTGACGAGTTGGGTCCCATGGGCGTCGTGGAGAAGATCATGAGCCGCATCGGGCTGGACCCGGAGCAGCCGGTCTACCTGTCCGTTGATATCGATGTGTTGGATCCATCCACAGCACCGGGAACAGGTACCCCCGAGCCTGGTGGCTGGACGACCCGTGAGTTCATTCGCATCCTGCGTGGCTTGGAAAAGTTGAATCTGGTCGGTGCGGATATCGTGGAGGTCTCGCCCGCGTACGACAACAAGGGCGAGACGACTGCCTTGGCTGCGGCGCAGGTCGTCTTTGAGATTATCACCAGTATGGTGAAATCTGGCGTCGATGCGCAGTTGGGTGGATGGTACGGACGTCGTGAGGATGGATCTGGAGGCGTGGGTGTTGTCGAGGAGGCTCCCGCGACTGCTGGCAAGGATGAGCTGTGAGGTCCACAAAAAGAGCGGTTATATTGGAAGGGGTGACGATGAACCCAACAGGAAGATGCATGTATATATGAGCTCACGAGATCAGGAATAGAGAATTGGAAGGATTTCAATATTGAATCCAGACTCACAGAACACCGCAGATGCATGAGGGAATGCTAGCTTGAGCAAAGACTCATTGGGATCGAAAGCCACCTCTGGCCCGCTCAACAATCAAATAAGACAATTGACGTGTTGTCCCCTCATTGAGAGGGAAGACTTTGCAGAAAAAGTATCGTTCGTTAAATTGATCGCTATCACCGAGTAATACCTGCTTGTCACGAGCCTGGCGCGCGTGACCTCGAGACTCTTTTACGGCCATTGACATTGACATTGATCCGAAATCATGGAACGACCTCGACCAAAAGAAGCTGGAATACATTCCCTGCATGATGGAATTAAACTCTCACCATCGATTATCATACAAGAGAGACCTTCTCTGACTATAGCTCCGCGGTAGATTTTCCCGCTCGGAAGGACTTTGCCGGGGCGTAGGTAGCTGTACAAGCTGACGCACAACCCAGATCTTTACAAGGCTGAGATAGCCGGACCTAGCTTCAACCAAGCTGCCGCCACTTCAGTCGAGGGGTGAATATTCCCCATAGTGGCCAAAGTCTGTCCTACGCACCACGATCGCACAGGCGACGCAAACTTGGCAAAGTCTCACACAAAGACTCGACATGAGTGACTCACAGTAGTGAAAAAGCACGCAGCAGAACAGAAAATCGGCAGAGGACTGGATCCCAAGCATATAAGTCAATCAATTCAAAAGAACAAAGATAAATAGTCGATTGATGGTCCAACCAAACAAAACGAAAACTTGTAAATTGTCATCAGCCAATCAGCTCAAAAACACGACGCCCTGACGTCCAACGCCGAGTGAGACGGGAGGGAATGAAGTGAACGAAACTTCGAGGGAGAGGAAAAGATATGAGGTGACTGGAGAGAGTAAAAGCAGAACAACGAGAGGGAATCGAGCTGTGAGCAGGACCGGGGGGGGGGGGGGGGGGGGGGGAAGATGTTTGAAAATCAAGACAGACTGCCACATCAAAGAGGGTCTGAGGAGCGCGAGGGGAGCGAAAAGGGAGGGAGAAAGCATATTGGAGAAGGGTGCGACAAGAGGTCGCGTCTCTTGCAGTCATTCTCGCTCCGAAGGAGTGACTGCACAAACGGTGATAGAGGAGGGATGAAGGGATGAGAGGATGCCGGGAAAAAGAATCTGGCAAAGAATGACCGCGGTGTAGGGATCGAGAATAATAAACCGTGAGAAGGCACGTGGGTGAGTGCTCCCTCACGGTGGAGAGTCTTGTCGAGGGCAGGAGGAAGAAAAGGGGAATCAGTGGCTTAGACGCTAGCTGAGGTCAATTAAACCAGAACATATGCACCGAGGCCAACAGGGAAAATGCGGCTGCTCTGATAAGCAGTGGAAGCTCAGGCGAAAGCAGAATCAGCAGGAAATGAGAAGCGAGCGTAGTGGAACTTGCCGACGAGCACCGGACCGGCCGTCATGGCATCCATGGCAAGCGACCCTTAGTGATAATAGCCGGCCCTCTCCCGATGTGATTCTGCTTGCTCGTCAATTTGACGAGACCATGCCTCCTATCCTTTTGACGTCCTTGCTCCTCTTCCGTCTCTCGAAAATCCCAGGAGATGTAGTCCAGCCAGAGGGGGGGGGGGGGGGGGGGGGGGGGTTGCCACCTCAAATCATGGCAGATATCAAAGAGCAGAAAAAAACAAAACAAATATTCATTCCGTCGTATCTAGAAATGGAGCCAAAATATCCCAAGTCAGTCAAAGTACCATTGTAAGATAGTTAAACCACCAGACCGTTCTCCAGACTAGGACTGCAAAGTGAGCCGAGTCATAGAGAGAGGGAGCGTAATCGGACTGACCTGTGAAAGAAAATTAAAAGAAAGGGAGAAAGAGATGGTAGAAGTGGATTACAGCAGGCGGCAGCCTCTGGACTTCTTCTTGGGCGCCGGCTCGAGGGCAGCAACGATGGCCTGATAGAAAGGGAAACCACAAAGTTAGCTGTGAATCCTGCATTTTGAAGGTGGAGCGGGAGAGGCTTCAGGAAGAAGTTCCGCATTGGCGTCATGCCGGAGAGGCACACGTCGCCATGAGGCGATCGCAAATCATGGGCAAAAATTGAGAACCAGGAGACTGATTCTCAAAAGGACCACCTACCTCGTCGAAGACGTCTTTCAACTTGTACTGCGTCAGAGCAGAGCACTCGACATATTTCACCGCACCCAGTTCCTTCGCCATCCGATCACCGTCCTCCTTCCGAATGGGCTGCATCTTCTGGCGGGCCAGCTTCTCGCGAACACTAGCATCATCCCGCAAATCGGTCTGGGTACCCACGATCAAGCACGGCACACCGGGACAATGGTGATGCACCTCGGGGAACCATTTTTCCCGTACGTTCTCAAATGAGGCGGGTGAGGTGACGGAGAAGCAGACGAGGAAGACGTCGGTCTGAGGGTACGACAAGGGACGGAGACGATCATAATCCTCCTGACCGGCAGTATCGAACAGCCCCAAAGTATAGGGTTCATCGCCGATCCTGTGATTTTTCCCGCGGGGAAGCAAAAGTCAATGAGGTGGACATGGGCCGAAGATGATTGCAGGCAGCTTGCGAGCTATCTCTCCATGGTCGAAACGTCCGTGAGGAGAAAGCTTTTGCAGTCCTGCGCTCGAACTGTGGGGGCGGAAGTGGCAGGGAACTTGAACTCACATGACCGTCACAGCATAGTTGTCAAAGACGGTAGGCACATATTCAGAGGGAAACTTGTTGGTCGTGTAGGAGATGAGCAAGCATGTTTTACCCACGGCACCGTCACCGACCACCACACACCTAGAAAAAGGAGATCTAGGGTCAGCCTCCCGTACCAAATCGATCCGCGCAGGGCGAGTAGTGTTAAAGAAACCAGCCTGTCCAGCCTTGCAAAACTCATCATTCCCGGTCCAGAGAACGAGTCGTCGATGCGATTATAGCCAACAGGGCGCAAAAGAGGGGGGAGGGGGGAGAGGGGAAGGGAGGAAAGTGTGTTGCTCATGGGCATTTTAGATTGCATACTTGATAGTAGCGACGACCATTTTCTTCGCTTGCCGCAATACAGAGCCAGATGGAAGGGTTCAGAGTGACAGAAGCGAATTTCTCAATGTGTGGAATGGGCGAACGAGACAGAGGTCCAGGGAGAGGTGTAAGGGCGAGGTGCGAAAGGACAGAGCAGACTAGGTTGGAGAGAAGGTTGGAGGTGCAGCGGCAGCGGCAGCGGTGGAGGAAAAAGGTGGGCCGAGAACAACAATAATGGAGGGCGTTTACTAGTTTAGTAGTGCTGGACGGCGCAACGGGGGGGGGGGGGGGGGGGGGGATGAATGCATTCTTTTACGGTGAGCAGCCCGCGAAATTCCAATGCGCCTACGACGACGGAAGGGTCAGGATAGGAGACGATAAGAATCTCTCGACAGCAACGGAATGTTTCGAGATGGACAGGGTGATTTACCGGTGTCGACTATGTATCTACAATTCTACAGTATTTCAGCCATTTGGGATCCCCATATCTTTCTTGTATAAGCTTTGGGAAGTCTACTATGCGTGATGGGATCCCACAGCGAGGTACAAAGATCTCTGCGCTTGACTCGTAGTTGGGAAAAGTACTGCAGCCTGCACCGGTCGCATTTGTTGTGGGAGAACGCGACTCAAGCGCCAGTTGAATCAGCCAGTCAACTTTTAGGGGGTGAGTTGAGGTGGGTAATGGGCCTTTGAGGGAAGAAAAAAAGAGACTAGGGCCGGACCTCGGATCCGGGACAGTCTAGAGTCTGGAGTCCGGACAGTTGAAAGGAGCACTGGATGGGGAAGTTGAAATAAACCATCTGCTTCACCCAGAACGGCGTGGATTTTGACTGTAGTAGAAGCACGAGTAGTCGTCTCGTTCGTAGTAACCAAGTCGTACTGTCGTAGTAAGTCAGCGACTCGGCATTCGGCGGGCGAGTGATCATGATACCGATTGAGCTTGTGGACACGTGATGTGTGCCGAAGGATTGGCCACCAAGTGTGCACGAACGAGACGATGATGGATGCCTTGTGAGACGATTCAGCCTCGATGTTTCAACGGTCGGAAGATCGCCGCTCCATGTTCACTCACGATGGGAAGAATCATGGACTGAACAGCTTCTACCCGCCAGCTGGAAGACGATCCCTGCGTGCGCGGGTGCAGTAGATCGACCACCTGCAGGACACGCTTATAAGAGTACCACTACCTTCTTGACCTTGACTTATTAGCACTTTCCAAGTCCCTCCTCCACAGAGAAGGACGAGTTAAAAGCTCACAAGTCGATCCGATGTCCTCACCTACTTCAATTCTCACATCATTGGGGTCTAATCCTCGATGGCTTTTAGGTGATCCACCCGGACCATGTTGCTCACACCTACTACCAACCTATCTACTTTTGAACGTCCAGTCTGGTCCACCTGCACAGAGGAATGTGACTGACCGAGAGCAATCTCTAGCTGGAACATTGAACCAGCGGCTAGGAGATTGAGATATGGCCGAGCTCTGCGGCAAAAGACGTGTCAAAGTCCAGCCCCGGGCTCCTCAAATTGACGTCTCCGTCACCATTCACGTCGACGGTATCTCAAGACAGCCTCCACAGTCCGCGATTTTCCTACGAGCTAACCCCCCTAAGCGCGAGGAGGTTTGTAAACCTACCTTTTTGCGCCGTGGGCTTGAAAGTGAGAAAAAGCTCAAATCTCGAGCGGTTCTGAAACAGCCAATCATCATCTGTTTCGTCACTTGTCTCCAATGGGGCAGATTTGGCTCCGCTCGCGAGTAACAGCACGTTCTCAATCATAATCGGTCCATTATCCTGTAGGCTTAGGCTACTAGGCTATTGTCATGGATGTATGAGACTTCATTGGAGTATGGGACAATAGCAATTCCACAGGTAGGAAACGATGTTATTGTGACAATTGCTGGACGAGACTCAGTGCGCAGCCACTGCATTGAAATTAACCCCCTCAATCACAGACAGAGACACAGTTGCTTCTTCTACCATAGGTAGTAGGTACTAGGAGTAGGTACTGATTAGTGAGTACTGAGTAGTCTGCTTCAAAGGTGAAACGAGCCTCAAACAGTGCCCTAAAGTTCTCGCCCACAGCAAGATCCGCCTTCAATATGCAGTAATTTACAGAGATACCTCCTTAGCGCAAATCGTTTCCCACACGACGTATCAGATCGACTTCTCCCCAAAATTGAAGCACCTTCCGCTTTCAGGCTCGAGCGCCCTCTCACCGTGAACTGGTGAAGTGTGAACCCCCCGGTCCCCGTCCCCTCACAGTCGTCTTTCAGAATGGCCATGGGCATGCAGTAGGGAATGGGGATAGAATGCCCACGAGCGGAAATGGACCTGTTTCAGTTACGCTGACTGATCTGGGTTCGAGCAGTCACACTGACACTCGGGCGCGAACGACACCATGGACCTTGCGCACTTTTTTTTTTCCACCCCAGATGGGACTTACCCCTGGATCTGGAGGGATTGAGTGGATAAGGAAAGACGGAGATGGGGGCCATTCAGGGGAAGGATGCGGAAGGGGTGCGAGGGTCGGATATCAAATCTTGAGATGAACAGTGCGATAATTAGTGTGCCTCGGTAATGAAGAATCTCGAATTTTGCACGCCATCAGTGAGCCTAGGTACCTTGCCTACGAGGCAAGAAGTATACACTATACAAGTACACAGTAATTTTTGTGAATTTGTGTGGCAACTGGAAACCGATTGAATTATACGTGCTGATCATATGTTCGACACATTGGAACCGACATTTGAATGTTGGCTATTAAATCAAGTTGAAGATAACGGTGATCTGTAGGAGTGCCCATTCCTGCAATACCCTGGCTGGGGTACACAGCACGCCAAGACTGGTCAAGTCTTAGAATAGCCTGTGTCACCAGGAATCTTGATAGATCAAAGTGACCCGATGCTGTGTAAGCGGATGCTCACGCAGGTACGCACTTGATTGAGCATAATGTCTCAATGCGACCGCTTACCCCTGGTACGTCTGGTGAGATTTGGAATCGCAGAGGTGTAGTGATCGGTAGCAACCTTGGAAATGTGAAGATTGTGTGATCAAGCAGAAGGAGACTCAGATTGAGAATGTAGCTCAGGTCAAAGACCAAAATTTCACCCGACAGACATAACGAGGAATCAATGAGAACAGTCTATGAGTAGGTATGTCAAATTTAAACAAAAGTACAGTGTCAGAAGGAAGCGAATTGCGCCCCGGGATGCACAACATTCAGTCCATTGAAAGTTCGCATGAGATCATTGTCCAGCAAGAGCAAAAGAAAAGGTGATAAATGACGAGTGTAGCGGGCATTCCCTATGTAGTTCGTGATATCGTGGCAATCATGTGCAGCGGTCGTAAAGTCTAGAAATCTTGAAGGTAGGTGGATATGGGTGTAGGGGGGGGGGGGGGGGGGGTTGTGCATGTACTTCAGGTCTGCTTGTATCGTGGGTCATCAACAACGGGGTCGGTCTCGACGGGAGGTGTATCGTCGCGTTCATTATTTGCGTGAGCTCTCGAAGTCATCTAGGATGACACAAAATTAGTGTACAGGCTTCTTTGATGTTGAAAGATCAAATAGTCCCTCGCGCAAGTATGGCTTACCTTATCAAGTGCGTAGTTCTCCATAAGCAAGCTCAGTGGAATGAGCGGTAGCGTCACCAAAAGAGCCAACTTGAGAAGTCGATGCATGGTTTCCTGATACGCGAGGTTGATCGCGTCGCGAGTGGGCGACCCCGGCGGATAAGAAAGCGCTTTGGTCAGTTTACCAAAGATCTCTCCGGCCTCGGACTTGGTCTCGTCCGGCAGATATTTCATGAGCTTCTTGGGTATGAGAGAAGTCCAGATGGCACCCGAGATAGCAGCTCCCACAGCGCCACCCATCTCCATGGATGTGAGGAACATGGCGGTCGCAGCGGCAACTTCTTGATGACTCGCAGAGGCCTGCACTCCGAGTTGAACAGGGACGTTCAGCAGGCCGCCGCCACAACCTACCATGATCTGAGCGCCGAGAACCTGCGCATGAGAGGCGCCTTCACCCCGACACAGGAGCATGAAAGCGAGTCCCATCATGTATATGACACTGCCGATGGTGACGTAAATTCGATATCGTCCGGAGTACTTGATGAGAAGAGAGACAGAGAATGCCGCAATGGTCGACGTGAAGGCAAAGGTCTGGGTGACGCGGCCGGCAGTGGCCACATCGTAACCTTGAACAACCTGAAGGTAGGAATAAAGGTATGGCTGAACAGAAAAATAGAAAGCCACTGGCACAGAGGGTTAGCCAATAGTTCGACCCGAACCAGCTTGAGCGAGGAACTTACTGAAATACCAAAACGCCAATGCGCAACCGGCGAGGGCGGTTCGTTGCCGAAGAAGGTGCAGCGAGAGCAACGGCTTCGGTGCCAGTTTCTTCGATCCCTCCCAGAATGGTAGTATGCATAGACAGATCACACCAATGACGATCATGCTGATGATACGGCTGCTTCCCCACCCATGTTGTGAATTTGATGCCAGAGTCAAGGGAACCAAAATCAGGGTGACCGCGGCAGACAGGAGTCCTAGTCCACCAACATCCAGATCATACCAGGTTCGTTTCACGACCTGCAGAAGACTTTGCTGGCGTCTGTGCCTCGGCCGTTTGATCAAATTCAACCGACGAGCTTTGCGTTGGTTGAGCAAAAGGGACAAGGCAAGCGGCAGGAATGCAGCCGGCAAGATGATAGCCCACATGCCGTATCCCCATCGCCAGGAAGACGAACGAAGGACCGAGTCGGCGATGGTCGGGCCGAGCCAGACAGTCACCAAGAAGGGGAACTCTGGCAAAAGCGCCAAGAAGGCTCGATTGAGTAAATCACTGCTGTCCGCAATGAAGACTTGCTGGAGAATCTGCAAGCCCGTTGATCCGGCCGAGTAGAAGATCTGAGCGGACGCATAGGTCTGGACGTTGGTCGAACCGGCCATTTGTACGTACCCCAACACATAGATGAGAATGCTGACGCAAAAGGCTTCGAAGCGACCAAAGACGTCGGCGACTTTTGCCATTGGTGGTTTGATCACCGCTTTCATGAGTGAGTCAGTGATATTTCGCTTACAAGGGCAGATCGAGGGTTCCCTTTCGTATGTGGACACCCCGATCCAGCCATTCGTGTTTGCTATGAACGGAACACTCACCATTGACCACATTCTGTATTACTAGGACTGTCGATATCAATGCATGCTTGCTGAAAGCACTCGTTGCGTATGCTGATAGTGACATGACCGTCTGGCCTTCCAAGGAGGTACAGAAAGCCATGAGAAAGATGCTTCGCCAAAAGTCAGAATTGTCGAAACGGGTTGACATGTATGGTACGCTTTGCACAGTGTACACACTTCTTCATTTTGCAGCACTTACCTAATGTATGCGATGGTCAATGAGCGCGTCGTCCACGTCATGTTAATTGCCTCAATCTTCAAGACGCCTTCTTGCGCCTCGCCCATGGGGTCGAGACTGGCGGTCTCATCGTCGGTAGCATCCCCATGTTGGAGGAGCTGATCGCGTTCCTCGTCCATAGCGCCGTACTTGTCGTTGTTCTCAATCGCACCGTACGACGGCCCGGAACGATGGTCGAGAAGGGGCATTTCCGATTCGTGCAGTGCTGCCCATATGCGCAGACGGAGAAGGCCGTCTGAATTCCACACGACTGACAAGGTGACTAGTCAGAGGCAGAGAAGACCAGCTCAGGGAAGTCGGTGTATGCAATAAGGCCCTAGCATGCGCGCCACGCAAGATGGATCGACTGATCGAGGCAGTGTATGTTGAAAGTTGTCCGTCACCTCTATTTCAACTCTATTGGAAGGTGAGGTGTCCAGAAAGTGTGATCTGGCAGTCGAAGTTTCCGGCTGAACTTCATGCGACTACACCCCGGTCGGGAATAGTCCTGATTTCTTATCAGATGGAAGAGCTTCCAGGGTGCTCATCGACAGGCGACACTATTTGGACGGCGTGGAGCAGCCTTTTGCCGAGTGGACAAATCCGTCGGAAGCCGCGTCCAAGCCCGTGACCCGCCGAGGATCGCCACACCAAATCAAAAGTCGGGACGCGGGAATGCAGCAGCTGCACCCTGCACGGAGGAGCTGGATATGACACTGACACTGAGACAGGTCTTCGGGAGAGACAAGACCGAGGTGTGCCGAGAAGATAGTTGACGACAGGAAGTAGTAAGAGGGTCGATTAAGCAGGGGTGTTGTCCGGAGTAATAAGGTAGGACCTTAACCAGGGAACCAGGGCAGACGCGGGAATCAATAAAAAAGGCATGCAGGTTGGCCTGAAATGGACAGGAGCAGCCCGTCTCGGCAGTGGGGTTGGGGGGAAGTGGAGGGGCAACGCTGAGCGGTGAGCCGTGACATGCGATCCTGAAATATGATGATGCGAAGAGGACAGTATCAGTATGACAGTGTTGAGTGTACTGAGTAAGTGAGGAGTGAGTGTAGTCGTAGACTCGTAGAAGATGTATAAGTAGTACTCCTCTCCTCGGACCACGAGGGGGCGGTGGAGTGCGCAGTACCTTACAGGCTCTCACCACTGCGCGGCGGCCTGCCGAGCACGATGGTCTGATTCGGAATGATACGGCCTGATTCGTTCACTCGTGGATTCTGAAGCAAAGCGTCTAGTGAGGAACAGTCACCGCTGCGCAAAACTGGTTACCACAACCTGTTCCAGGTTCCAGGCGCCAGTCACAATTATCTGCAGGGCAACAGATTTGTCACGTAAAAAGAGCGGAGGGATGGAAGAGGAGCACCCTGGAAAGGGTATCAGGCACGGTCCGGTTGGGAGTCTGTACCCGGAATCTCGATCAGCAGTTGCCCCACGATCAGATTAGGTGAGTCAGCCGGCGAGGCTCGGGACGGCAGACGGGTACTTGTGATCGTGCCTAACGGATGACGCAGGGTGTCAAAGAAGTTGTTTGCCGAGGGACCTTTGAGGGATTCGGGAAGTGTCGTGAGCGTCGCAGTCTAGTGTGGTAGCTCATGAGAGATGTCAAGAAGGTGAGAGCATTCGTATGTACATTTGGATCGTGGAACACAACGAGTCAATCGCGCGCTTCCCAAGGCAAAGTCATTCTGACATGAAGGTTGGTCACTGACGTGGAGGCACTGTCGAATGTGGCGACGGACAAGCGTGCGGCCCGAAGGGCACCTGAGTGCAGAGAAGGAAAAATGGGTACCTAATGGCACACTTTGACCGTGAATCACAGGACTCTGGGCCTGGTGCCCGAAGCCATATTCCGAGAGTTACAAATACCAGGCCTCGTTGATCAATGCGCTTACTTTTGGTTCAATCCGATTCGAATCTAAGAAGGCGTTAGAGTACTAGTGGACGACGTGACGCCAAGACCGAATCAGCCTAGTATCAGATTGGATTTGATCGATAAGATGATGGCAACCGCCGTGATTCGTCACTTGGAAGGCGGTGGGTGATTGCGTGCAGATGACCGGTTCATACTCATAGTCGTGGCACACAGGAATCCACCACTGACTTACACAGGGATGAAGTAGAAGCAGGAGGTCGTAAAATGATATAATCACGGTAGGTACCTAGGCAGATACTAGAATAGAAATGTGTAGTGCATCTCACCCCTTCCGTGCACTGACTGCAGCTCTTTGCTAAGGTGGCTGATCGACTGGATTAGCCTTAAAAATAACAACCCCCCACAGCCCTCACCCAAGTGTTTTACTCCGACCGAGCATATACTCCTCCAAGACCACGTAGTTTTTGGAGACCTACATCTTATCATTCATCATGTCTACCGAGTCAAGCTCCGGCATACCCGTTCAGGTGTCCCTGCAAGAAAGTGACAGCCAAACCGCTGATTGATTCCGTCAAATTGCATCAGATCTTGCTGACCAGTTGGAGTGCATATCATAGCCTTAGACTTGGTCACGAGTGGACTCAACAAGGTTACCAGAATCCTCGAATTGCTCCGATTTCGGCGGAAAGAATGATCGCCATTATCGACAATGTCCCATCACTGGTCAAGGCGCTGACCGGCCGACTGTCCCTGTGCAACGAAGCGCCATTCCCTCTAGACCAGGATGACTTCCTCCATAGTAGCAACGTGAGATGATCGCTTTCACCGATTTCCTGACAGCCGTACCCGTCCCATTTGATCTGCCTAACAAGTATGGCCAAGATGGTCAACAATTGGATGAGAAACTACCAGAAGCCTGGCGTGAGCGAGACGAGTACATGAAGCTGGTAAAATCGGTGGAGCGGGAAGGTAACCTGCTTTCATCTGACCTCAGTAGCAAGAGAAGTCAGGCTATAGCCTATGTGTACGGGGCGTATACCAGAACGGGAGAGTGGGGTACGTATGATCGAGTTCTGGAGGAGTTGGAGATAATTCAGAGGAGGAATTCAGAGGCAGTCGGACGATTTAGATGATTCATCCACGCTCCCCAGAGCACTGATTTCAAAGCGCACTGAGTCCACAGTATCCTGACATCAAGCCATTGTCTCGGGCAGGCGATCAGGTGACCGGTTTCGCGCGGTCTTTATGCGTTCACCCTCCACACCGTCCCCGGCATGTTCACCTTCTCTCGCTCATGGTCCTTCACGACCGAGCCCACATCATTGGAGTTTGGACCAGGCAATGACCCTTCGATACTTTTCGATCAAAGAGAACTTGCAGAAGCGTCGATTGGCGATCAAGACGCTTCGTGACTTGATTGTGAGCTATCACAGCAAACACCATAACCGTTGCACCAGAGGAAATCCCTTGGTCGAATAAAACAGAATCTATTGGCTTTTGCCAACATTGTATTCGTATCATGACCGTACGCCTTGCCTTGAACTTATTTACTGATGACCTTACACCGAATCTAAACGGTTTCCACATTCAAATGACCAAACTCAACCGACAGCTCACCTCCTTCCTTTCCAGGTCGCGCAGCATAGGTACCAACCCACAGCTCACTGACGTCCTCCTCCTGGAAGAGCCATGTGACCTCCCGAATCGGAGACTTTTGTACTCCCTCAACGAGATAAATCCACAGACTACCGTCGTCTTCGCGAACCATCTCGATCGTGGCGGCGCCACCTCCAGAAGGCACAGGCAACAAGCTCCAGTCCGCCCAGCGGTCCTTGGCCACAACGCCCAAGTGAGGTCTGCCGTGCGTGATTTCAATGCCGGCCTTCACCCACTTCTGGGTTCCGTCGGACTTGCGCAGGACGAGGATGAGCCCGCCTTGATCGTAGAGCTGCTTCCACTGGGCATTGATGGCAACGCGAACACGCTTGAAGGAGCCCAGTGGCATGGATTGGTAAAGGATCGGTGCCGAGAAGCGGCTGGTTGAGGGAGGCTTTTCCCAAATGTCCGTTGATGGTGGGGTCGTGATGGAGAAGAAGGGTGCAATTGAACCGCCTGCACCGGGGTTCTCGGCGTCCGAGTTGATAAATTTGTACTCAGTCATGATGAGATGTAGGGACTTTGGTTGGATTCGACGATAATCCGGGAATGGTATGTTTTGAGGACCTCTGAACAGATGAAGGGAGGAGAGTTTTATAGGTGGGCAATCGTCAGCGCGGGGATGTATGCAATTGAGGCCACGACAGCAGAGATTTGCGATTTCCAAGCAATCCAGCAAAAGGACAACTGGTCAGAAGCGAAAGTAATAGGTATCGAATGGTCCGACCTTTTTTTTGAATTTTGCCAAGGGTAAGATTTTAGTTTGAATCAATACTGATGAATCTTGTGTCAAAAAGATGACCAGAGGTTCCGTCTCGACTTAATAGTCTTTCTGGACTGGGCTACGTCACTACCATCCCGGAACCCCCACTTATCCATCCTCTGGGGGCGAACAAAGATACACGACCCATCGCGGGGCAGTTCTCGCAAATCATTTCGAAGCTGCTCATTCGAGTGGTGCACATGGTGTCACGATGTTGTATTTCACCATGCTGATGTGTTGAGGCAGCGGGCAGCCGGGCGAGGACAAATCTCGGACACGAAATTACTAAGACCGAAAAGAGAACGGACACGCTCGGATGCTGTCTTCCATAGTAGTGAGTAGATTCTCTCGGCTCCCGCATAATCGCTAATTCTCGGCGTGAATTGCTGTCCCACGGATCTCGGGTCTGCACGCTTGAGAGTGTTTGAAACAACCAGGCCAAGTAGACGTGGCTCTCGGATCCTCCTGTCCATGGTCAATTTTCAACAAGACCAGGCACGATGCTTCTCGTGCGGCCCTTCTGTTAGACTTCCGTCTCACGTGCGCGGTAGCTAAGCAAAGCTCAATGGCTCGATAGAAGACCTACAAGTGGGGAGATGATTCGAAGAAAAACGTCATCGGTGACTGTCTTATCTTGGTATGAACTCGTTCACCGCCATGTTGCGTTGAGGGTGTTCAAATGTAATATTATGGCAGAAACGACAGTGTGTCAATTGTGATGAGATTCGAGCGCAGAGGTTTTGTTCCGAGAAGCACTACTAACTTACTATAGGAACCACGCCTACTCGATAGAAACATCCCTGCTGGAAGGACTCATATCCCTTGATATTGGAAGATACAAGACTTGAAGACACGAATGATGTTCTTCTTGCTTGAAATTACGCAGAAGGGCTTCCTTTCACTTCATCCTGGGGGTTTCAAAGTCTCGAATATCAGTCCGTGCCCTAATTCCCCTAAACAATCTTGCCTTCCCGCAGAGCTGATCGAGTTTATTGAATACATCTGGCTCTCGGATGGCTCTGGGAAATCAGTAAAAAATGAACACTGATGCAAGTCTTGTAAGAGAACCACTGCTTCCAGCCAAGTTGGAAACTTCCGCACACATATTTATTCAGTGAAACCAATAGCAGTTGGCACATTACCTCGTAGTCTTTTGGAGTAAGCCCCGTGATTATAAATCCAAATTGATTCCGCACAAGCTTCAATACTGTGATCAAAGAAAACAAGAACCGTGAAGGACTCTCCACCATCTTAGAAGAAACCATGCGCTTCTGAGACTACTTTCTTCTCGGCAGACATGTTTGCCCAAAGCGAATTTTACCCACGGTATAACATCACGAGAAATGTTGTGTAAAAATATTTGACATCTACGGAACTCAGTTGGACCTAGCGCATTCCATGTCAGTCATGCACCTCTACGCACACCATTTGAAGCTTGCTATCCTTGGGGCTTTTAGCTCTCTATGGAAGCCTTTGAGTTTAGATGGTGCTCACCTGTGAATTGGGTCATTTCTGCCGCTCTTCTCTCTCCTCTTGCTTTTCTCTCTCCTTCAAAACACACTGTCCTAAATCCAAGCGTCCAATCCAGTCCGTCAACATCCCTTCTCCTACTTCGAGCTTCAAGGCCTTTTATTTCCTTTCACACCGCTCTTGTCATTGTACTGAGAGACTTTCGTTCTTTCTTGATGACATGTCTGGCATCAATTGAACAGGCCTCGAGCAAAGAAGCCAACCCAAAAACCTTCCCCGAAACGGGGCCAAGTCAGCATGGCGACTCTTTAAGAGAGGAGGATGAATCCGCAAAGAGCATCTCATCAAGCTAGCCCTATTGCTGCAATTCCCACTGCAGTTCTCAACGTCGAGCTATCATTATCGTTTTGTTCGGCATCGTCTGCTTCTTTTCTAAGCATAATCACCTGCTTTGAAATGGGCAGAACGAAGGGCTAGTCGATTGGTCCGGATCATGACCCGCTGTGAGAGCTATCTATCCTCCTCTCGTTGTATACCCGTTGGTGCCACATACAGAAATATCTGCAATCGCCTAAAATCAGTGTTCGAAATACGTTAACTGACATGAGAGTATCTAGGTTGACGCTGATAAGTCGTAAGACCTTATCTATTGAGCGGTCAGGTTTTCTCATTAGTCTCATTTTTCCCGCTTCTTCTTGCTGTCGTGCAGCTCTCTCAGCAATATCTGCTAATCTGGCGTGTTACTGTGTGTTACGCCATGCGGAATTTTATAAAACATCAGGAGTTATCACTTCCAAGGTGCGACTATCGGTCCCAGTGTCTCTGCGCCACGAGAGAGGTCATCGGGCTCTCTTTACGCGCACAAACACGCAGAACACCAGATTTTTGCTACGCGGAATTCAGCCTTCAAGCTATCTCGTGGAGCCTTCGAATTCAGATGAAGCTCACCCATGAATTTGATCATTCTGCCGCTCCACATTTCTCTTCTTTCATTTCTCTCTCCTTCAGAATACACTCACAACTTCAAGTCTCCCATCATATTCTTTTCGAGTCCTGACTGCGACCTAGTCATTATTGATCGCCACATACACAATCAGCACAAGTCTACAAAACTGCAATGGCGCCCAAGTGGTCCGGGCCACGGCCTATCCCCGATTTTACGGAGGAAGAACAAGAATACATCTCAAAAAATTAAAAAGCTTTTATGGAAGAGGTCAATCAGATGCTGGCCCGGCAGTCCAAGTCCCGGGCCCTGAAAGACAGTATCTTGACCCGAAAAGTACCCGCGCCGGACAATATATCGATATGCGCTCTTATACAAAGGCTGCTGAAGAGCGTGCCAAATCAACCTTCCCCGGCCATCTCAAGGTTATCGAGTCGCAGCCGACTGCAGAGGAGGATCAAGTAACTAAGCTAGTCAATCAAAAGCTGGACGCCTTGGTTCGCGGCACCGATCAACATCCACTGCTCATTCAAATTGTCTACCATTGCCCTCACCTGTTCATTGACTTCAGCTGCTCAACCCATGGAAAACGAAAGTAATCTCGAAACACGCGTGCAAGAGGCAATTTTCAAGAGAACAAAGCGAGTACAGACAGAAGCTAGGATTTCATGATAGGAGAACCTCACGTCGTGAATCTCGCGGCAAATCAAGACAACTTAACTCGCAATAAAGACTCTCCACCTGCGATGGCAGGTACTTGCTAAGAGCCTCGGTGAAGCTTCTCTACACATCTCCATCAACATCCAGTGGATTGCGGATATATGTGTCAGGACCGTCGCCGATCTTACTACCGTACATTGCATCAATTCTTCGGCGGTCAGCTGCTCTCCCTTTTTCCATAAAATGAGATTCATCTGACGTAGACAGTGACAAGACTATCATCCGAGGTTCTCAAGTACATCCTAAAAGGAACTGTGCTTCAGTGGTTGTCCTCAGCTCTTAAGCTTGTTCACGACTCATTATTACCAACAAGGACCAGCTTGGCAAGGATCTGGCACATCCACGATATTATGACAAAGTGAGATGGCGTTCCCTACGCTTTCCAAAAAAAATCATGGGCTCGATGAGCTCGATTTTCCTCTCGCGTGGCGAGTGGCTTGAAATCAGTAATCTTTTTTTGATATATGCACTGGCATCTTGAGATAACGGTGATACACCTCAATCGTTAACTGGCAGGAACGCTCATTCCACACATTCATCAAAATCCAAAACCTCTGCCATGATCCGTCACTAGTCGATGGGCCCGCAAGAATGGCCAGTGATTTTCAAACTGTGATGATCCGTTGACGATCTCCGAGCTGTCGTCATCGGGCCGTTCGGCATCGTCTGGTTCATTTCCAAGCAACCTCATCTGCTTTGAAAAGAGCCCAAATGGAAGGTTAGTCCGCCATGCGAGCTACCCTCGTCACGCTGATCATCCGTCCTTGCCACGTTTGACAAGTCATCTTCCCACCTAGACAGCAAAGTCGACGGAAGTATCCCAGATATCCCATCAGGGCTTTGGCTGATACCTGAGTCATCAAGATAGTGCAGTACAAACCAACTCATCTGTCTTAGAGCTCTCCTGAGACTCACCCTCAGTTACTTCCGATGGAGCACAAGAGAAGGGGGGGGCCTTAATGTGAAGCAGGCTTATTTGGGTCAACACTATTTGCCCGGATATTCTTCCGGGACGCCCGTGAAGTCTTGGCACCGGGTAAAACAAGCCAGCTGTACTGGCGCATGATATTTCACGGATTACGCCATTAAACCAATTACAGTTTACCATTCACAGTTGACAGCAATACCTGTACTTTACAAGCGCGAGCAGTACAGTACTACAGTGAAACTTGAACTACTGCCAGTCTGGAGCAGTAGTGTGTAACTAAACTCCCTGAAGCACTAAAATGGCGATGAACGCCGTCGCGTTTATCAAAAGTGGATGCTTTTCACGGAGGTACTGGTATGGGGCGGTGGCTGGAGACTCGAGAGCGGAGAACAGGTCAAGGGTCTCGCTCGCTAGGCGGTAGACGACCAGTCATTGATGACTTTGGTGCACTACTAAGTGAGTTTCTCTTGAATTCGCTTTTCTTTCCCTTGTGCATCTCGATGGGGCACGACTCTTCAACCCTGATTCAAGGCTCGGCGCGATCAGATTATAGACCTGCGGAACTTGCCCAGATGCTCGAATGCTCGCCGTGGCCGGTTGTCGAGTTCGGAACAATCGAGACGTGTGGCGCCCTCGGGGCTTCTTTTGCGTGGGTGCTTGGCGGAAGTCTGTGAGCCTGGTCGATCGATTCATGTTATTAGCTAGAGACTAGAGATCATTCGATGACTGGATGAATTTATCGACGCGGGCTATTTTGATTGCGGTACTTTACTCCGAGGCCGGGCTCTGGACACGGACATGGACCTTTTAGTTATTCTGGATTTTCCAAGGGTGTCCTTAAACTGTCCACCTCGCTAACTAGTAAGGTTAATAATGATTTTTCAGTAGTAGCACTTTGGGCTGTGCACTACGAGAATCTGCAACGGAGCTTCATCCAGATTGCGCGTTGCGGAACAAGAGAGAAGGAACTAGACTCGGGTCAAAAGATCCGCAGCAATAATTACCGATTAGTAAATCCTTAAATAATTGATGTCCAATACAGAACAGTGTACAATTGTACACTGTGACTGTAGTACTGTATAGTCTACCGAGTCATCTCTATTCTCTAGTCTCTACCACCTTAAAAGTGGATGTCAGTTCGGCCTCATCAGGAGCTCGGAGATTGTTCAGACCCATGCGCTTGCACATTTGAGGATGCTCCGAGATCGAAATGCAATGACAGGGATCTCACGGACCAGGAGCTTCAGCTGTTATCTCCAAGGGGTGCTCCCGTCGCCCGTGGGTTGACTTAGCGCATGTCTGTGTTACACCACGCTCATCAAATATTCTTCCTCGTCTGGACGCCTAGTGCGAGGGACTACTGCACGTATGGGTAAGATGTGAATCATTAGATTAATCGTGCATGGTCCAGGCTGGTCCAGGCTGTCCGTTGCGTCTCGGCCGCGTCTGTTTTACTTGTCTTTCTGAGAAGCTTGCGAGCCGAGCGACCGCAGCTTTCTTGTTTTTTTTTTTTTTTTTTTTTTTTTTTTGTTCATGTGAATGCCGAGCGACGTCTGTTTTGTTAGCTGTCGTTGCTTTGATCAATGCTCTGACAATCACAATATGGATGGTTTCGGGTTGAGGCTGCGATGGCCTGACAGAGCTGCTCTCAGCGTACGCCACAAGCAAGCTTCACGTTGGCGGTCGGACAGATGCTTAGGGTATGTACCTGTAATCAGCATTTATGACTGTGCACCCCCAATCGACTGCCGACAATCCCCCGGTCATGAGCATTGACTGAATAAGGCATAGAGCAATGGAAAAATGAACCACCTCGTGAGCCTACCTTATTGGGAGGGAAGGCCCTGTCATTGTTAAATCCCATACAGACGTGGGAAGCTGAGAGCTTGTTCAGCCGACATTGTGTCGGCCAAATGATTGACCAGTCTCCTCGATCACTCTGCACATTCTTCATAACCACTGACTCGTAAGTGTGCTACGATAGACCAATGGCTTGTCACGCTTGTCCTAACTCCAAACAGACACTTTGTCGAACCTGGGCCTGGTAGATGATGTCCGCAAATTGTTCTCCACGGCACGAATTCGCAGTAATGGCCCCCACCACGGATTCGTCAGTCGCTTCTCACTCGACGAACACCCGACAGAGGACAAGCACACTGGAAGGATTCGTTCGAGGATTGTATTCCGTAGACCATGTCCTCCACAGCTACTGCAGGATCTTCCATCCCAGCACTTTTGCAACACGGGAACCCTCTGGCCTAGAATAGCCCATCTCCGTAGGGGCAGAAGCACCTGCACCGAGCTGAACCTAGGACTGTCGGAAATGCGGGTTTGACGCCGACCTAGTACATAAGGGGGCCTTGATGGTCGCAGTCGATGCGATGCGATGCACGTGCACGTGCACACTTGTACTGTGCATTCAGGATTCTCCGCAGGCCAGGACATTATCGCCGGTCATCATGGATCGTAGAAGTAATGAAGCAGGAATTCCAACTCAAACACCCTCAGTGGGGGTTGAAAACCCGTGATGGATACTCGGGCGGGTGACATTGTGGTCCGGAGCAGGATTTTGAAGAGTAGCTTTATGACTGTATTGGATATGAAGTTGGGAATTTCTTGTGGATGTTTCAACAGTACCAAAGAGCACTTCTTGGGATGATGCACCACGGGCTTTGTGCGATTCAGTCACCTCCTCATCGATCTCCTGACCGTAATGCGATGTGATTATCTCCACAAGACTCTGAGCGCACATTGAAAGCATGCCTTTGGGGGAGAAGGTCATCTCGCTTAGATTGTAGCTTACTTGAAGAACATTCGGCTATTGCGCTACGGCTCTTGGGTATGGGGCGGACTTGTGAATAGCCCGTCACGCGATAGGGTCGTTCGGATGTTCTAGTGAACTCTTTTCCCCATGAGGCTCTCTTGATCATGCTTGTGGGACTGTCAGAGCAAGTAAACACGAAGCAGGAAAGTCTCGCACTGGATCAACTTTTACGTTCGGTTGACCAGTTGATCATCCGTCGAGTTTCGGGTTTGCGGACACTGTTCGCTTGGCTGGTCCATGGTGTTTTGGGGGAAAAGACGTGACCTTTCGAGGCGACCATGCTTGGCCCATCTCACGACATTGACTGTCTTCATCACAAATGAATGGAAGCTCATCGTGAAGCTCATCGTGAAGATTCCACCAAATGTGGGAATACGCAATCTGGTTGCTGATGTGGTGAAGACTGTGTGGGCTGGGCGCAGCCTCGAGTGCCCGGCCTCCAGAAACTACCCCCATTCGGAAGGCTCGTCGATCAAACATCCCCACAGTTCAGTAGTGAGTGCACTGCACCGCCATTCTCGTCATGCCGGTTTCGACAACCGTTTCTGATTGTGAGCAAGCCGGAGACTCATACGGGGGACAGCAATCAAGTCTCCGGATCTTTGATTCGGATATGAATGACTCACCGCCAGTGGGATTGGAAGGACAGTAACGTTCGTCATCAGTGTCGCTCTGTGTATGACTGTGTGGTCATTCGCGCAGATGTTGCAATGCACTTTAAACTCATTCATTATTGTTCAGGTTGGTCGCTGATACCGAGTCAAACCACGCCTTTATGTGTCGAATCGGGCATGGCCATTGGACTTTTTCCCAGCGTCAGCTAGCCCCGAGCCTGAGTCCAAGCCCGAAGCGTTCCGCCCCCTGCACCCGCAATCAAACTCGTGCCAGACAGGCCTCGGCCCGGAGAGGTACGGGCGGAAGCTTCCATTGTCAGTGCCACAAACTCAAGAGTCCAGTTGTCTGCGCAGAGCACGGACGGTAAGGTCTTGCACAGCAATCTTCACGGTCGACGTCTGACTGTGTCGAAGATTCCTGTTGTCTCTTTGCTTCCAAATCTCGCTGAAGGAATCCTCGCGCCATAAGTCTAGGAAACAAAATCCTCCAACGGGAGAAGGTGGCCCCATCCACCGAGCTCAGGCAGGACCGTGAACATGTGCCGCTGATTTGCCGGGTCATTTGAAGGAGTCGAACACAGTCAGACTGTTGAAAAAGATCTTGGAGAAATCTGGAGTAACCAGGGGCTTGGCCTTTTTTCTTCCCCTTAAAGAGGAGGCCATGGATCTACTGGATGAGGGGGCCTTATGTTTCAACCATTCGCTCATCAAACAGATTTCCGTCTCTGGGTGCGGGGAAGCCTGGTTTTCTCACACGATATGCTGAGATCTGGACGTAAGTCTATTGTCAAAGGTGAGATCGAGGCTACTCACCTCTCCTTAACATCGACGGATAGATAGATTGTTGATGGCCATGCAGCATGCATGCTTGTCCAGTCCATAGGATGGAGAAGGGAGGTGGTCAATGCGCCTCTACTGTAGTGCTCGACTGCTCGTAGGGCAGTTGACAGCCACCAAAGGCCCGGGCGGCGGGATGCAAGCATCCTAATTGGCGAGTTCCGGCACTATGTATGCAACTCCGGCCAAATAGGCAAGACGAATCGTGTAAATAAATCCCGGTGCTGCATTACTGCTAAGGTCACCCAGTGATCGGTCGTCGATAAGCTTGTACGTGCGCAGGCTCCTGGTTGGTGAGATTTCTTCCGTGTTCGTCTGTCTTTCTGGATTCGGCTGGCGGGTTTGAGCTGACGATAGGAAATCAAGAAGAGAAAAATAAAGCATGGACGCAGCGATGCGAAACACCACCTGAAGATAATACGTTGCAAGGGTAGCAAGTCATGCTGTCTCCATCGCAGACAGCACATGAGCAAGTCCCGTCACGTGTCAAAACAAGCAGTGATGAGGATCGTCAGTCTCGGGAGAACAAGTCCCACAACTGAGACGGTTACGCATGAATAGAGAGTTTTCTTGTTTCAAAATTCCAACTTTGTAGTGTTGTGTGCTCACACCGCGCTTGAGACGATAGTAGGTCTTGTCAAGTGTCAACATAGTAGCAAAATTAAATCAGACAACCTTCCCAGGGTAAGTATTGCAAGGCAGCGAAACAACGCGAATGACAGGATCCACCCATAGTAAGAAACAATTGCCAAGTGAAGCTGCACAAAAGCAATAGAATGAAAGACTCCCGCCAGGTATCATGGGCGCGCAAAAATGGGGTCGAAATGATAAAAACTTGAAATAGCCTCCTGGTATCCCAGCATGATCTTGCGTTAGTAGAAAACAGAACGGAGCGAAAGGTCAAATATAAATGACCGAGAGCCAAAACGAATGAAAAAGATATTAATCAAAGAAGAGAAGAAATGAAAACAAGGGAAAAGAAGAAGGGTTTCACGGGATACATGCTGTGGTAGATAATCTCCCAAGGTTCCCTTCATTGTGAGTTGTAAAGAGTCTTGACTAATGATCATCATGTCGACATGCGTGACTGACTCGGTTTCACTTCGGCGTCCTCTCGCATCCACGGGTACCACACATTGGCCCATTCACGGACCCCAAATTTGGGTGCGCCAGACTCAACACCCATCGAGGCACCATCGCGCAGGAACTCGCCGTCACGCATGCGTCTTTGTTCCCGTAGGGTGGGACATTTCTTCTCCTTGATGAAGCGGTAGAACTTGCACTGGATTCCTTGGAACCCCCGTCGTTGCCGGCTGGGGAACTGACGGTTGAAACTTTCGCGCACTTCTTTCCATTCCTGGCACAAATCGACACGGTGGTACCAGATGAAGTACATCTCCTCTTCTTCGTACTTGGGTCGAGGCGGACGTCGCCGGTCACCGTTGTTGCTGGAGCTCGAGGAGACAGAGTCGCACCGCTCACGTGGGTGATACGGGTCCGGTGACGAGTGCGTGGATTCATTCGAGGGACGGTAGGACAGGAACATGTGGTGGTGGTGGTGTTGACCCATCCCCGAGTGCTGGTTGTGTTGTTGGTGGTGGTGGTGATGATGATGATGGTGGTGGTGGTGGGAACTGCTGCTACTGATGCTGCTGCCACCGCTGGTGCGGGTGGTAGCCGATGATGCGCCGCCCGGGCTGGTGTCGTGGTAATCGTGATATCGTCCGTACCAATACTGATTCGGAGATGGTGGGTAGCTCGGTGAATGTATGTAGCCGCCGCTGTGTGACGAAGATGACATTGCCGCGTGCTGGCTGTAAGGGGACCCTGCCCTGCTACTCCGTTCATCACGGCTGTCATTGCCCGAGGGGTTCAGTAGAGAGTCGATTTTCATCCTGCCTTGACGTGCTGGAGGCACATCTGAGGAACGACGTTTGTAGGTTTCCGTGAGAGAATCCATGATGGCCGGTGAGGGTAGTACCCGTTGGATTGGATTGTGGGTGGGAGCTCCGGTCTTCCACAAGTCACTTGGTCGACGGAATGGAAGCCACAGTAGTAAAGGGATCCGTACTAGGAAATTAAGTCTCCTTTTGTCGTCGGACTCGGCTAGTATGGTGCCTTCATAAAATGCCCTTGGGTGAGATAGATAGAGCAAGCACTTCTTGTATGCTTGCTAGATGATCGAAAGGCTCTTCAGATTTGGCGTCCTGCGGGGCCTTATTCGTGTTGTGGGTGAGGGTGTATTCAAAAAGGCCGAAAGAGATATTCCAAATTGACGTGCAGGTGATGTATTAGTTATTTTATCGCCTGTGCGAGAGCGGTGGATGTCTTTCGTTCTTTTTTTTTCTTGACAGTGACGATCCCAAGCTAGTCACGGGAAGCCGTTGTGTCAATTTGACAGTTGAAGAAGGGAGGTTCCGAAAGAGACAAATATCAAACTCGAATCCGCTCCAGTTGAAGAGTGAAAGTCAAGAGGGAGTGCAAGTTTTTGTCGATCGAAACAAAATTTTACATTTATGGTCGATCACTTGGAGACACGGGGCTTAAATGAGGGAGATGGTAGCCATGTTAAATCACAGCATTACCAACACACTGCGATGAAGGCGGAGTCGAAAGTGAAAACGAAAAGAAAGAAAGAAAAAAAACCCCAAAAAAGCGAGATGAAAAAGAACAATATTCAAAAATTCGAATAACCAAGATGGGAATCAGATAATTGTTCGATTTTGTACTCCGATCCCTGAGGATTTGAGACTGAGAAAAGGAAAATTCATAATTCATGATGTATCGGCATGGCAGCTGCTGAAATTCGCACGGCCAAAATTCCAGAAAAATCAAAAATAGGCCAGAGCTCAGTCAGATTCGCGGTTGGGTGCGCTCAACCACCCGACTCAGGCTGGGCGTGCCCTTTGGCCCCCGTTAAGTTCGAACTCAACGGCGGTGGTACCGCGGATAGACCGCGCGACCAACGGGGCAGACCTGCTAGGGCCAGGGCTGTGGGCAGCCTCGCAGAGGCAATGATTCACCCGAAGCGGGTAGTTGTCCAGAGGTATGAGACGCTTATACCGTAACCAGCCACTACTCTCCTCGTGTGTGGTCTCACTACTTGGATACTGTACTCCGGCCATCATGACGGTAATGCCTGCCTATCTAGACTTACAGCCTAGAGATGCAGGTCGAGGATCCCTCGAGGTCAAGACTCAAAAGAGGGCAAGGAGTCGGGGTTTGACTACTAACTTACTCTAGTACATTACTTGCCCAGGCATGTCTTGCAACGACAGCAGTACAGCAGTAATCACCATCACATTATTGATGGAGCAATCGACAGAAGCCCACCTCTTCCCCCTCCCTAAACGGTCGACTCGAGCTTCACTTCAGGATCCACCCCCAGACAAGTGGATCGAAGGCAAAGGACACCGGTGAAGCGAGACGATCAGAATTCCGAGATTCGTCAGGTCAGTCTTTATTGCATTGAGGTATACGATAGCGGTTAGTGAAGGGACTATCACAATACATAGTTACATACTGTATATAATTCCAATACAAAACAACCTTACAGGCTTATACATACATAGACTGGTATAGAGCATAGTGTGCCTAATACCCAAGACCTATTGACGGGAAACACCGAGAATGAGGTTATAAAGTATGAGAGATGGATCGCTCATAGGTAATATCACGTTACGCCACTCTTTCTCACAAGTTTTGAAAGTAGAACTTACGGCATCGTGACAAAGGTGTCTCTCTCAGTCTGGGATGTGGCAACTTGCAAGTCCGTTTTCATACCACAAGACATTGACTCCCAGCGTATTCGTGTCCGCTAAATGCTCGTAGTCGGGGCAAGGGGGAGGGGCAGGGGGAACAGAATGGGGGAAAATGGGGGGAAATGGGGGAAGATGGGGGAAACTGATAGAGATGCAGAAGTCTGCAGCTTTAGTCGAGGACGCACTGGACCGTGGAAAGGCTCCATCTAACCACGAAGAATAATTCTGCGGGTCGGGTAGTAGGACTAGGATGAATGTCTGGCTCCTTGTCGGTCATGTTCGGCTACCGTTGACAGTAATGTACCGTGACAATACAAGTTCTGATCCTTTTTTTTTTCCCTGGAAGCTGGCTGACTCGCGATTCGTTCACTCCGTGGCAATTAAAATTGTTTTTCCATATTATGTGGTCTGCTGTTCTACTTCATTTTCTCCAAACGTACCTATCTAACCTCGTTGTGTTCTCGAGCAAGAAGCGCCGCGGCAATTGTTCCTTTCACCAGCAACAAAATATACATAATCTATGTCCCATTAGAACCTTCCAGTACGATCAACGAAACGCCGATCGCCCACGAAGCCCGAAACTATTTCTCTATCTGTGACAGATTTAAAGTCTGTAAAATTCAATTGCTTAGACTCAATCTCTCTTGTCTCTCCGTGCCCTGCCATTCTTCCCTCGTGGATGGCGCGTATACAGTTTCAAGTCGGCTTTTCTGTTTCTCCCAGACTGCCCAGATTCAAAGCTAGGCAGTGATGAGCGCTCACATAGTGGAGATGTCCCTATTTGTATGTTGCTAAATGCCAGACCTGGAGTTACAGCCGCGTCTCTTGTCTTTTTGCCTTTTTGACATTCAGGATGACTCGACTCTCTAGGCGAGTAATCCATGACAAATGAGATCTAATGTGGAGACCGCGGATATTGAATAACGGTGTAAACCGAAGATCATTACTGACAATTGTATGTACCCCATACATTATCCACATTGTTATCAATACACCTCACAATGAATTACAGTATCTAAGCTAAAGATGTACAATGATACATACATACGATAAGAAGCATACAAGCTTGGTCTAATTCTATTAGATCACAATTAGCATTAGTACTGTACAGTCACAGTAGTGCAACTGCACAGTGCACACTGCACAGCGTGACAGCAGTAACAGCAGTAACAGCAGTCAACCTTAATGGGCCGCTAATCAGTAGTTCAGTACTGGTGAATTGGGTGCTGTCTGCCTACTATGAGTACTCTCCTTGCGAGCGCACTTTGCGTGGGCTTGATTGATTATCAAGATCATCTCACGTACTTCGGCCAAAGACAGACGATAAATCCATGAGCGAAGTCATTTGATATCCGCCACTATGCTTTTGTCCGGTTGCTTCGGCTGCCGCGATGATTAAAAACTGGCGAAGGTTAAGTTGTTTCTGAGTCGTTGAACAGCAGTGTCTGGCTCCTCGAGATGTACATCGCTCAAGGGCTCCTCGTACGTGCATCCAACCCCTCCAACTCCTATGTAGCACCACTACCGCAATCCTCATGCGTCTTCTGCACCAAATCGAGCGACCTGGATCAGGGATAGGGCAAGGACTAGAGCGCCGAAACCGGGGTCTGCTATGCACGCGATGATATGCAAGAAGCCTCGAAGGCGTGAGTTAGACGCCGTTCTTTTATTTTATTTTTTTTACTTTTCTTTCAACGGTTTAGATTTCCGTAAATTACACTTGAGTTGTAGTAGATATTCCTATCTTTTCTGAGCATATCTTGCTTGTCCCTGAACCTCTCCGTCTTTTCTTCCCCTTGTCGAATGCTTGCTTTCCTACCCACTCAGCATCACATCCATCTGATGAAACCTTTGGTTCAAAGGTCAAGTGGAACTCGGGCAGACGCTTTGACCCCTGAAGCAAAAAGGAAGTGAAGCCCCCTTTCCCCGCCGGAAATCATCCGCACCTCGGGAAGGTCATCCTCTCCCGTGTTCGTCAGTCTTTCCTTTCGGTCTGGTGTTTTCCCAAAATTTCTCTTTTGACCTCTGGTCGTGCTCAGTGTCAGTACGTACTATGTAGTATGTGCATCCATAGGACTGCCCTGCTTGTCTTTCCGAGTGGGTCTCGAATGTGGAAGGATCTCCCAGTTCTGAATATCCGACACGATCAGTCCTGCAAAACCATATCAAGGAGAGGAACAGCTAAGAAGAATGTCATGCCGCCAGAAAGTTAAAAAAAACCAACATAAACGCGCCGCGTCTATTGGACTACACAATCGTCACCTGTGACGAGGCCGGCCGTGGCACTGGTAATGAAGAACGAATGAGGAGGACGGGCTAATGCAGGCTCAATTAGGCCTCAGATGCAGTGGGTGGGGGCTTTGTGGGTTGCCAGCGCATTGGCACCTCTTGTTGCTTTTCGGGGGGTTTCACTTGTGGAATTTTCCCTCTTGATTCTCTTTTTTGGGGGGTGCGAATTCCTTATTTCCGACACGGAAGAAAGGCGAGCTTTTGCAGAGACGAGTAATACATGATGATGACTGCTGGACTGCACTGGCCAGTAGCCACCACCTGCGAGGCGCCCTTGAATGAATTTGTGTGTGTTGCTACTTCATGGGTACTCGGTGACACTCTTCGAGGATGTGGATGACTACCGGTTATACAAAATGTACTGTTGCATGTGGCGAACATGATGTTCTGCCGAACAGAGGCAAGAGGCCTTCCGATGGAATGATGATTTTTTTTTCCAAAGAAAAAAAAAACGTCAAGATTGATAGCCATACAATTCGATGCTTTGTTTCTCTGTATCTAGCCCACCCCGAAGTCATACGGTTTTCTAAGAAGGAGAAACAAAAGAAAGACCGACGGACTAGACCAATCTTCCGACTGTTGAATCCGGAACAAAACTTGCGCTCCTTCAGTGCTCGTGATCTCCGTGTCTCTTTGGACGAAGATCCCTGGATCATATGTCTCCAGTGTCTCCAACAGGGGGCCAAGAGGGGCATTTCAGGCCATCTTCAGCACATCGCCAACATATGCCTGTTGGGTCGCGGAGCTAGACATTCGGCATTTAACTCTGTATTCTGGCCATACATTACCCGCGACCAGATTGATCATTGATGGTCATGAATCATGCTCAGGCAGAAGGGATAAATGTGGGAGTTCTTCACCTCCGAACAAGAGCGAACCATGGTTCTCCCACGCTCATAGTCAAGGGCTT